TTGGTCATACTATAGTATGTCGTTTTTTTCTTCGGACTAAAAAAAGTTTTTTTTTTTTAACTGCTAAAAAATGACATTTTTGACATTTTTTACTTAAACCTTGTGATCAGACCACCCTATGGCATGTATTTTCATCCTAAAATCAGAAATTTCTATTCACCCTAAAATCTGAAATTTTGGTTTTACTATAGTATGTCGTTTTTCTTCGGACTAAAAAATGATTTTTTTTTTTTACTGCTAAAAAATGACATTTTTAACATCTTTTACTTTAACCTTGTGATCAGACCACCCTATGGCATGTATTTTCATCCTAAAATCTAAAATTTTTTTTTAACCCAAAAATCTGAAATTTTGGTCATACTATACTATGTCGTTTTATTCTTCGGACTAAAATATGATTTTTTTTTTTGCGCCAAATTTACATTTTTAGCATCCTATACTGTGGCAACTTGATCAGACAATACTATGGCATGTATTTTCATCCTAAAATTTGAAATTTGTTTTTACCCTAAAATCTGAAATTTTGGTCATACTATACTATGTCGTTTTTCTTCGGACTAAAAAATGATTTTTTTTTTTTATGCTAAAAAATGACATTTTTAACATCCTTTACTTTAACCTTGTGATCAGACCACCCTATGGCATGTATTTTCATCCTAAAATTTGAAATTTGTTTTTACCCTAAAATCTGAAATTTTGGTCATACTATACTATGTCGTTTTTTTCTTCGGACTAAAAAATGATTTTTTTTTTTGCGCCAAATTTACATTTTTAACATCCTATACTATGGCATTTTAATGAGACTACCATATGGCATGTATTTTCATCCTAAAATCTGAAATTTGTTTTTACCCTAAAATCTGAAATTTTGGTCATACTATACTATGTCGTTTTTCTTCGGACTAAAAAATGATTTTTTTTTTTACTGCTAAAAAATGACATTTTTAACATCCTTTACTTAAACCTTGTGATCAGACCACCCTATGGCATGTATTTTCATCCTAAAATCTGAATTTTTTATTAACCCAAAAATCTGAAATTTTGGTCATACTATACTATGTCGTTTTTTTCTTCGGACTAAAATATGATTTTTTTTTTTTTTTGCGCTAAATTTGACATTTTTAACATCCTATACTGTGGCAACTTGATCAGACAATACTATGGCATGTTTTTTCATCCTAAAATCAGAAATTTCTATTCAGCCTAAAATCTGAAATTTTGGTCATACTATACTATGTCGTTTTTTTCTTCGGACTAAAATTTTTATTTTTTTTTTTACTGCTAAAAAATGACATTTTTAACATCTTTTACTTTAACCTTGTGATCAGACTACCCTATGGCATGTATTTTCATCCTAAAATCAGAAATTTCTATTCACCCTAAAATCTGAAATTTTGGTCATACTATACTATGTTGTTTTTTTCTTCGGACTAAAATTATTATTATTTTTTTTCCTGCTAAAAAATGACATTTTTAACATCCTATACTATGGCATTTTAATGAGACTACCCTATGGCATGCTTTTTCATCCTAAAATCAGAATTTTTTTTTCACCCTAAAATCTGAAATTTTGGTCATACTATACTATGTCGTTTTTCTTCGGACTAAAAAATGATTTTTTTTTTTTTCCTGCTCAAAGATGACATTTTTAACATCCTTTACTTAAACCTTGTGATCAGACCACCCTATGGCATGTATTTTCATCCTAAAATTTGAAATTTGTTTTTACCCTAAAATCTGAAATTTTGGTCATACTATACTATGTCGTTTTTCTTCGGACTAAAAAATTATTTTTTTTTTTTTACTTCTAAAAAATGACATTTTTAACATCTTTTACTTTAACCTTGTGATCAGACCACCCTATGGCATGTATTTTCATCTTAAAATCTAAAATTTTTTTTCACCCAAAAATCTGAAATTTTGGTCATACTATAGTATGTCGTTTTTTTCTTCGGACTAAAATTTTTATTTTTTTTTTTCCTGCTAAAAAATGACATTTTTAACATCCTATACTATGGCATTTTAATGAGACTACTATATGGCTTGTATTTTCATCCTAAAATCTGAAATTTGTTTTTACCCTAAAATCTGAAATTTTGGTCATACTATACTATGTCGTTTTTTTCTTCGGACTAAAAAATGATTTTTTTTTTTCCTGCTAAAAAATGACATTTTTAACATCCTATACTATGGCATTTTAATGAGACTACCATATGGCATGTATTTTCATCCTAAAATCTGAAATTTCTATTCACCCTAAAATCTGAAATTTTGGTCATAGTATACTATGTCGTTTTATTCTTCGGACTAAAAAATTATTAATTTTTTTTTGCGCTAAAATATGACATTTTTAACATCCTTTACTATTGCATTTTGATAAGACTATACTATGGCTTGTATTTTCATCCTAAAATCTAAAATTGTTTTTCACCCATAAATCTGAAATTTTGGTCATATTATACTATGTCGTTTTTTTCTTCGGACTCAAATTTTTTTTTTTTTTTTCCTGCTAAAAGATGACATTTTTAACATCCTATACTATGGCATTTTTAATGAGACTACCCTATGGCATGTTTTTCATCCTAAAATCAGAAATTTCTATTCACCCTAAAATCTGAAATTTTGGTCATACTATACTATGTCGTTTTTCTTCGGACTAAAAAATGATTTTTTTTTTTTACTGCTAAAAAATGACATTTTTAACATCCTTTACTTTAACCTTGTGATCAGACCACCCTATGGCATGTATTTTCATCCTAAAATCTGAAATTTGTTTTCACCCTAAAATCTGAAATTTTGGTCATACTATACTATGTCGTTTTTCTTCGGACTAAAAAATTATTAATTTTTTTTTGCGCTAAAATATGACATTTTTAACATCCTTTACTATTGCATTTTGATAAGACTATACTATGGCATGCTTTTTCATCCTAAAATCAGAATTTTTTTTTCATTCTAAAATCTGAAATTTTGGTCATACTATACTATGACTTTTTGTCCGGACTGTTACGACACTGAAGAATGGTTTGGGACAGATGGGGAGTAACAAAAAATTAAACTGGGCAGGGAAGATGAAATGAAGCGTAGGAAACAGGAAATCAGAATAAGTGAGTAATTTATTTACAATCAAAAGTTATAACAAAAAGAGTAAACTACTAAAGGCGAGCACGAGGCCGATTATCAATACATTATTCAAAAACCAAGATTCACTGCCAACTATTTAATCAAACAAAAGAAAGACCACAGGCTCCTGCCACCAGAAAACCTGGACTGAAAGAACACCAAAAATGCACAAGATTGAATCACAGTTTACAATCAGGAGGTCTGCAGCAAGAGTGACGATCACGAGGGCTGAGAGAGAGAGAATAAGCGCAGCTGTCCCTTCTAATATCCGCCCCACTCATCACACCAAGCAGGTTCACCTAAGACACCTGGGGAGGAACCTACCAGAGAGAGACACACAGCAGAAGACACAGGACAGGACACATCCACACCCACAGTCGTAACACGGACGGAAATATGAAATATTTTTTTTCTCCCCTAAATTATGACATTTTTAAAATCCTTTACTAAGGCATTTTGATCAGACTACCCTATTGCATGTTTTTTTAGCCTAAAATCAATTTTTATTTTTCACCCTAAAATCTGAAATTTTGGTCATACTATACTATGTCGTTTTTCTTCGGACTAAAAAATTATTATTTTTTTTGTTTGTTTTTGCGCTAAATTATGAGATTTTTAACATCCTATACCATGGCATTTTGTTCAGACAACCCTATGGCATGTTTTTATATCCTAAAATCTGAATTTCTTTTTCACCCTAAAATCTGAAATTTCATGCTATACTACGTTTTTTTTCTTCCACACTAAAATATGATTTTTTTGTGTGCTAAAATAATTTATAAAAAACAATGACTTTTTTTCATCCTTAAATCTGATATATTTTTTTTTTACTTCAAAATTTGATTTTTTTAATATACTATACCTTGACATTTTTTTTCATACTAAAATTGTGAATAATTTTTTCACATTGAAGTTTGAAATTTTCACCAGACTATGAGATTTTTTTCATCCTCAAACATGAACATTTTTTTTACTCTTTACTCTTTACTCACACCAAAGTATGAAATTTTTAAACATTCTTTACTTATACATATTTTACACTATACTATGAAATCTTTCTTTCATTCTAAAATGTTTTTTACATCAAAATTTGAAATATTTAACATACTATATTATGACATTTTTTATTCATACTAAATCATCAATTTTTTTTCTCCCCTTTAATACTGACAGTTCACAGCAGCAGCCTGCAGCCCTCAGTTGAGGCTCATTACTCACATATTTAAGGCTAATATAATGAGCATGTGTAATTACTTCACCGTTCAAACTGAAAGCTGCATTTTAATAATTAAAGTCCAGCGTATCAGCGATCAACTATAATAAAATTGTTTTAAAATCAAGGATTACACGGGTAAATCCCTGCAGGCCAGATGTGAGACAGGGAGGGGCCTCCTCTGCACTCTGGGACCAGATTAAACAGAAAATCCCACAGGAGCGCTGCTGTCTTTTCTCTGCAGCTTAACGGGCTTGTGTGGTCTCAACAAGCTGTAATCCACCGATTAGCTGATATAATCACCTGTAAACACACCTTGGCCATGAAGTTAGAGCAGGCCGCAGCTGCAGGACTCTCTCTGCTTTGCAGGACGTGTGCTGGTGGAAGCAGGAGCAGACGGATAGAGTAGACCAGGGGCGGGCAATCATGCATCATGGAGGGCCGAGGGGCTGCAGGTTTTCTCTCCAACCCAAAACTCCACCAGGTGATTTCACTGATTACCTTACCTCCAAGCAGAGAGCAGGGACGAATCAGTGAAATCACCTGGTGGAGTTTTGGGATGGAAAGAAATCCTGATTGCCCACCCCTGGAGTAGACAGACAGCTGGACCAGATCTCTGATCTGATCTGAGTTACTTTGGATTAAAGCATCAGGAGAGAGATCATAAAGTTTCAGCCTTTTTATTTCTGTAAGACACTTTAAAGTCATTCCTGAAAGAGGAAACACATAATTTTGGTTCATAGCACATTCATGCCTGGCAAATTATTAAGACTACATCAACAACAACAAAAAAGAATTTACAAATCATGGAAGCAAATAATATAAACAATATCTTATATATAAAACATAGCAAGCATAATAAATATGACACATAAACAAGAAAAAAAAAAAACTAAAGTAAACAGAGTTAACCTATTTGGTTTTGGGCGATGTTTGGAAGAGAAACCACTGAACTGAAAAATGTGAATGTTCAAATCTCCTGGAAAAAGCGTCTCTGCAGATTCACTCGGAAAAAATTAACAACCCAAAACCTTTTTTGTTCAATCTCTTATTAGTGTCACCGTCACGAAGAAACACGAGGAATGAAATGTCTCGGAGGAAAGAGGTGTTCGACGCAGGCAAGTGAAGACTTCTTCTTGTGTGTTGCTTTTCCCGGGCCCTAGTGTTTGTTTGTGCACTTGTGCGTGTGGTTTTGATCCATTTAGGGCCTCGGGGGTGAAAATACACTCATGCAACAGTGAAGATATTGTAGGAAAATCCTCAAAGAAGCCTCAGCCGAACCTTTTCAGTCATTATCTTATATATTCCGTGTCTTTGGGCGCACTTTTTCTTGGGAATCTATCGGCGACTCGGGTCTTATCTTTGGGGGAGTTAGCGCGTTCACAGGAGATGGTAGATCAGTTTTGGTTCAGTCAGGAATCAAGGACCATTATTCATTCATTCATCCAAACACACACACACTCACACATCTGTACACAAGCAGACAAAAACAAATAATTAACTCAAATTCAATGTGACTGTATAGGTGAATTCACTCCTTTTAGTGATTCTTCTACTTAACATTGATAACTGTGCAATTTTTTAACCTTTCCTTAAAGCAAACCAGGAGTAGTACAAATATTAGGAGGATGTCCCAGGTGCTGTTTTTTTTTTTTTAGCCACATGTAGAGAGCATTTTTTTTCAAGTCTTAGTGTTCCTCTTTTCGAGTCCAAGAAGTTGCAGGGTTCAGCTCCCATCGGTGCCGAGTGCAGGGACAGTCCGCCGCGTTAAAGTCCCAGAGCGACCCCCCGGTTCATGCTACTTCCGTTGCAAAGTGCAAGCAGTTAATGTGTCTCTCTGCCTCTCCCTCCCAATCAAAAGAAGAATCAGGAAACCAACGCAACAGCAAATGAAAAGAGGGGAAAACTGGATTGTTATTGTCCAAATGCAAAAACAGTTCGATCAGAGTCCCAAAAGCAACGAGAAGGGAGAGGGCGACAACAGAGAGAGAGAGACAGAGAGAGAGAGAGTGCATCTGTGTCGCGACAAGTTCAGTCCATCGAAGCAAAACAAGTGTTCCTTATTTCCACCGTCAGCTGGAGTGGTTATTAAACCTCCCTGTAAGAAAAGAGACAAATACAATAAATGTACATGTCTGGAAGAAAATGAAAATGAAATTAAAATGTTACAACCAAATGAGTTTCTTCATATTTAAAGGGATATTCCAGCGTAAAATTAATTTAGAGTCAAACACACCGTAACACCGAGTTAGACATCCCTTGAGAGATGTTGCCGACCGCTTGCTTCTCTAGTTATACGAACTTTAGTAAAGGCACTAAAGTTTAGTAGAACTTAAGTACCTAATTTCTTTAGCAAAGAGACTAAACACAACTCACCTACTCTCTTCTAGCAGCCGTTTGTTTGTAGCGAGACCCCGTGACAGTCCATTACGAACTACAGTGGGGTTTCGCAGCTCAAGGAAGAACATTTATGATCATTTCTTCATGGAAATACAATCAGACCGAGACGCTAAGGCAGAAGAACTACCGCGTCTGCAGCAAAAAATGATTAACATGGTGATTTTTACTGTAAGGAAATGATCATAAATGTTCTTCCTTGAGCTGCGTCACCCCGCTGTAGTCCGTAATCGACTGGCCTGAGGTCTTACTACAAACAAGCGGCTGCTGGAAGAGAGTAGGTGAGTTGTGTTTAGTCTCTTTTCTAAAGAAATTAGGCAAAGTTAAAAAGATGTTTGGTGTCTAGTAGTATTATTTGTGTCTATAGAGTGGCGTTTTGGTTGAGGTTTGTTTATGGCTCCTCAGACCGCTGTGTATTGCTATCATGCGGTCGTTACTAAAGTTGGTATAACTAGAGAAGCAAACGATTGGCAACATTTGTCTCTAGAGGGGCTGTTTAACTTGGTGTTATGGTGTGTTTGACTCTAAATTAAATTTACGCCGGAATATCCCTTAAAAAAAAACAAAAAAAAAAACATTTACATTAATTCACTTCTTTCCACTGATATGCTGGTTTGGTAAATGTAGGGGCTACTGCAGGCCTCAAATTTTCAAACTACTGTCTGACTTACGATGCAGTGAGGGTGGAGTTGAGGACCAGAGTGGTGCGTATCCTGTAGAGCTGAGCTAGCGTTAGCTTCTTGTGCTGCTGGGCTGGGGATTTCCTCTTCTTTGGTGACATTTCCCCTGAATCACCAGTCACTGTCGTCTCGCTCTTCCTTTCCAGGCCACTAGATGGAGCCATTTCCCCATCCGAGCTGGTGTTACTCCCCCGGGGTCCTGAGGTCGCCCTGTTCCCCCGCCTGGCCTCCGCCCTCTTCAGGGTGGCGCACAGTTTGTCAGAAGGCAGAACGACGCTCAGGCTGTCGTCGGACTGGTCCAGGTCACTGGAAAACAGCTCCAGGGAGTTCTTACCGAGCTCCGACATGCTTTTACTGTGCGCCAGAGTTGATTTGTCCTTGTCCCTGCCTTCTGATTGGTCCTGGGTCTCATCGCTGAGTGAGTGTGTGTGGGAGACGGGGGTTTTGCCGCGGAGACGCTGCAGCAGGTTGTCCTCAGAGCGGGATAAAGTCAGAGTGGACAACCTCTGGAGGCAGTGAACCCGAGGCTGAACGTGAGGTCGACGGCGAGGTTTAGACGACTGGACCACAGACACCTGAGACCCCAGAGAGCCAGCATCCTCCTCCTCTTCCTCCTCTTCCTCCTCCTGCTCCTCCTCTAATCCTGCGTCCTCTCCATCCTCCTCCTCGGTCTCCTCTCCTTCGCTCTGGCCCCGCTGAGGCTGAAGTTCTCTCAGGAGAGACTCCGGAGAGAGGGTCCCGTAGGCGCTGTCCATGGAAAGGGAACGACACTGAGGATCCAGCTCCTCGCCGTCAGGCCCCGCCTCAGGGAAAACCCCAGAGTGGACTCTTGGGGGACTCTGCTGGACCTCAGAATTTTCAGACGGGGGGGAGTCATCAGAGTCTGTTTTAGTGGTTCGCTCCACGTTCATGTTGGGGGTTGGAGGTTCATCAATGTCCATCACTGACAGAGTCTCAGTGGATCCATCAGATTGACTAGAAAGATAAAGGACAATAAAGTTAATTTCACATTTACACTCAGGAATGAATTTTTAAATCTGTTTTTAGCAGTTTTTCTAAATAAAATCCAACTTTTAAAGAGACAATATGTCAGAGTGATTAAAGGAATATTCCGGCGTAGACCCTAAATTAATTTTACGCCAGAATTTCCCTTTAAATTACATTTACATTAGTTTTTTTTAAGTTTTCTCCTCTGGTACCTGGAGTTCTGCTGCTCTTTGTGTCTCAGACACGGTGAACTCGTTGCAGAGTTGCTGCTCTCATCTTCCTCCTCCTCTTCCTCCTCTCGCCCCGTACACCTCTTCAGACTGTTCTGCTGACGGAGGACCTCCTCAGTGCGGAGCCTCTGGAGCTGATTCTGCAGCAGAGTCAAACATCCAACATTAGACGTGAAAACCACAAAACAGAGTCTCTGAATGTTTTTTACAAAGATATGAAGCGTCTTCAAACCTGGACGTTGCAGATCGCATCGATCCAGCTTCGCCCCTGGGAGGCGCTGTTGGCTTGGAAAGTGTAAGCAGCCACTGCACTCTTGAACTCGTTGAGGTAGATGAGGATGAATGAACCTGGAGAGGCAGAGAATAACACAAAGATTCAGTATCAGGGTCTCGTTTTAGAGACACCAATAACTAATCAAGTTAAACTGAAAATCTTTGCATGTCAGAGCTTCTTAATTGTGATATATTACAGCTTTTCTCAGACTCGTTTGAGCATTAATTACTTTGACTTAAAGACAAACTTTTCCACAATCACACACAATTCAAAGACTGAATATTTAAGTCCAAACTGATATCACAGAATCACTCACCGGGATCTTTGAGCTCCTTGCAGACGACGTTGTGAATAAGGAGCGGCTGTCGGATGATTTTCACCTTCTCCACTCTCTTTACCGGCTTCGTTATGAGCAGCAGGTCAGTGAAGAGGACGCAGTGGACGTCCATCTGCAGAGGGAATGAGAGACACTTTTACAGGTCAACTGTTTCATGTGAAATTCGAGTCGACTTTGAAGTACAAAACGTGAGAAACCAGATGTTGAGTCTGAAGATAAGACGAGCTCGTCACGTGAATTCAGAAGACCTACCCGACTGTCTTTGCCCTCTTTCATCCTCAGCGCCCCCTCAAGATGCAGCTGTCGGGTCTCCTCCGGTGACGTCCCCCTCATGGGAGCCATCAGGTCAAAGCGGTTGTACTCCTTAAGGATCTGAAAGCGAGAAGATGAAAGCGTGAGGCCGAATTATACATGAACTCTGAAGTCGAGGAAATCACCGGAGCATCGTAAATCACTCCTTACCTTCTCTACCTCCTCGCTGCTGCCCTCTACAGCCTCGTACGAGTCGATGCGAGCAGAGATGGTGGCCAGTTTCTGCTGCTCTTGGCGCTGTCGCATCTGAGAGTCTACGCTGTTGATGAAACCCTCGACCGCAGCCACCTACACAGAAACACACTCACATTTACAGTCGTATTCATCAAGAAGAAACCAGCAGCGTTATGAAATCCTTCTTCTTTCTCACCATGCTGTTGACGATGTCCCGCGCCGACGGCTCGTCCGTCTTCTTGAGCACGCTCTTCAGCAGGAGAGGATACTTGGTGAGTCTCTGGTGAGGCTTCGCCAGCATGTCTGCCAGCTTCAAACGGTTGCACTGTTTATAAGTCTCCGCCCACTGAATTAGAAACACAAAGACAGGAATAGGATCATTTAATGAGCCGAAAGTAGAAAGAGAACCGCTGAGGACTTGGTGACTGCTGAGGAGAGGTGAGAGAACTGACCGTGACGTAGGTCCTGAAGAGCTCGTTGTCCCTGTGAAGTGTGCGCATGTACTCCATGCAGCCCTCCTCCTCCATGCAGTAGCGGATGTACGGCTTGAACCTGGTACCAAACTGAACAAGAACACAAACAGACATATGTCAGAAATATTACCAATATCTAAATCGTGGAAAATCTAGAGAACTCTGTTACAAAATAAAAATAACAGTTTAGTTTTTTCTTATAGTTTTTCTCTTCCCTGATTTGACTTTTGTACCCATATTTGTATTTTTATTGATGTATATTTTTCCTCGCCTGTTTCCGAATTGATGATATTACTGAATATGAAAGTTGTTTTATATCTCTAAGATATGTATGCTAATTTTGTTAGTCTTTTCTATGTATTTGTCCTTGTTTATTTACGCATTTCCACTGCAAAAACTTTCAAAAGGGATTGGTAACTTTAGGAGGAACTAGGGTTTGAGTTGAGGATAGGAACTTTGGGTGAAAAGCTAACTGTAATGAACTTTTCTGATCAGTTAGTGTCTTTGGTTTTGATTGATCTACCTCTTGAAAAAGTCCCTGCTTTGAGGGTAGTACTTCCAAAAGTTCCTAAAAACTCAGGGCCAGGTCAATGCTGACCTTTTCTGATTGTTGTTTTTATTTTACCGGCCGTGTATTTTGGATGTACTTTGCTGTCACGCTTGTTTCCTTTTTCTGCTGATTTGATTGGTAACTCAATAAAGTACAACGTTGGAAATTCTGCGTGTCGCCTTATATGGCGTCAACTTTCTAACTTGACCTTCGTCTCGTTCTTCCTGTCACATACTTGACTGGCAGTGTCGTTCAGTTCCTTTTACTACTTCTCTAAACTTCAGTGGCCTGATTTGCATAATCTTTATGGGACATGGTGGAAGTGCAAACGACAACATACCACAGGAACCATTTATTTCCATGAAGAGAAGTTCCTGAAACTCAAAGTTCCTGGTTCTGTCTCTGAGCAGTAGAAATGCTTATTCACATCTTCAGAAAACTGTTGTTTATTTTAAAAATACTTCCTGAGAATTGAAGTTCCTGGAACTTGAATTATTTTCAGGTGAAATTTCATAATGTTGAGTTTTATCAAAGCTACAGCTGATAAAATCTGACTCAGACTTACAGGAAAGTTATCATAATCGCCATATTTTAACGACCTCCACGCCACAAACTTATCAGTGTTTTGTGTTTCAATCAATGGCTGTGGGCCGGGTCACGGTTTCTTGATAACCTTTTTCCTGTGGAGAAGAAACAAGTTCACAAAGTGTAAACAACTGACCGTCCTGAAGCCGTGGTGCAGGTCAGTGGGGTCGAGGAGAGCCCGCGCCTGCCTGGCCTTCTCCAGGACCGGCAGCATGACCTGGTTCCAGAGGGACGTGTGGAGGCGGACGATCTCCTGGATGTTGCTGAAGAGCTTGGCGGGCTCCACCTCCGTCAGCAGACCGCTCTCCTGCAGGTTCAGCAGCCCACACAGGAACAGCTGCAGAGATAAAATATAAGTTTACACAAAGACATGGAGCTGACCCGGGGAGCGATATCAGCGACCGAAACTCTAATCTGATATCAGCGTCCAAATAGGCGAAAGAGGAACTATTCTCAGACGCAATAAAGAGATTAATCTGTTAACTCTGACGTTTTCTTACATAACATGAATCAAAGTCTGTTTATTTAACACACATATCTGCAGAATACCAGCAGTCTTTCCTGCACTCACATCAGTAATGACTCGCAGTTTCTTGATGTAGGTGGCCTCCGTCTGCAGCAGCTCCCATATCGCCTCCTGCTGGTGGAACTGTCGCCTTGTCAGCGTCTGCGTACGAACACAAACACATCATATGATTAAATATGTCACGTCCACGCTCAGATTCCTCGTCTTTATTACAGTTAGGATGACTTTTATGATCATCTCAACCCCGCTAAGAATCACATGGGATGGAGACAGTCGTAAATGACGATAAACGAGTTCAAGAAAACGAAATAAAAGTTTTAAAGCTCGGATCTTAAATATGAGGATATGTAACAAAACATTTAATTTCCTTCTCTATCATTTAAGTCATATTTAAAAACAAAGTCCACATTTATTTAGCTTGAAAAGTAAATATATTTAATTATATCACCACAGCAGAGAATTGTGACCCTGTAAAGTAGTTCAAGCGGAAGTATAAATGTGAATTTTAATACGACTTCACATTATCAACTCGATCACTGAACTACTTGTGGAATTTATGAGCCCCTGTAAAGCTTATGTAACCGACTATGAGCGGTATTTACAAAAGCATCACAGGAGGATTTACAGTATGAGAGAGCAGCTGAGCAGAGATACGGCTGTGGATGAGGAGTAAACACGAACAGCTGGAGGACAGTGAAAGTTTGAGACGGCGACAGACATGATACTGTTGTATTTACAGGTTAAAGTTCATTAGCTTAATAAAGCAGACATGAAAGTTTAAGTTTTAGGTTGGAAATAGGTCAGTTAGTCTTGAAAAAGTTAGAAATTATCATTATCTGGTGTTCAATTATACCTTTTTTTAACATCACTCTTTATTAGATATTTAATCCTTAATTATCACCATGTTTCTCTCGAATTTTAATGTGGTTTTACTTGAGTTTAAAAGGCTGTACACTCAATCTTTATGATCCAAACCTCATTCAGGTCAAGTGTCACTTTCTAAGTTGCATTTCAGTGTAAATGCACCACATGTTTAATTTACGCATTGGACTTTTAGAACAATGCTCAGCATAAATGAGTAGACACCTCTTCAGAGTTGTCAGAAAACCTTTAATTTCCTTCCAAAATCAACATTTTCTATGCCAGACTGTAAAACAAAATAATCTCCTAAATGTAGAGCCATTGACTGCAAACAAGATTTTTTAAGTTGCATACAAAATGAGTACACCCAAATCAAAGTTCTGAGAGCAAAGCTAAATTTTAGATACCATATCACCCTTATTTTTATCTTATGGTTTATGTTAAACTCAACTTTGACAAAACTCTGGATATTGAACTTTTGCTCATCTAGATAATAAGTAATAGATTACTTTTAACAGAAGGTGTACTGACTTATGCAGGCAGCAAACTTTTACTGACACTGTAAACACGGATGGAACATTTTAACAGGACTGAGATACTTTTTATTCCTCTGACTGTGTGGAAACGGATTTTAACAATCACAGGTGGTGATTACTGGAAAAGGTAAAAATACGAGTCTTGGCAAAATAAACTGTTTTAGTGTTTTAGTGCTTTGAACTGTTCTGTTCCTACGCAGGGAGAAGTATATTTCTTGAAATGATAGATATGATGACTTCCAGATATAAGGAAGGAGGAAAAACAGGAACGAGCACATGGATAAAACACGTGTGGCGCCGTAGCCTGTGTGTACTTTACCTCCGAGTTGTCCAGCAGCATCTGCCAGCTGTCCTCCAGCACCAGGTTGGTCTCCTCCTCTTCCTCCTCCCAGGAGTCCTGGTGGAAGGAGAGCTGCCGCGGCACCTTAGGCAGCCCGAACGTGGTGTAGGAGTGCAGCTTACTCTGCAGCTGCTCCAGACGATCCACCTCCTGCAGTCAGACAGGAATAATTTTGAGTTTAATCGCACCAACCCTAATTAGTTTAAACGAGGCTAACAGCATGTCAGTGTGGTGGTAACTGTTCGTTTCTGTCCTTTTGTCTTGATTTATTGTTGCACTCAAACTGTAAGTGAAGATGAGTTCATGCATTAGCATATCAATCCTGTCCTCACTGGCGCCTTAATTCTTCAGTCCAGCAGTGGTTTCTATTCAGGCCTTTGTTCTGCCTGCCGGCCCTGATGTAGTTATGAAAATGAGCTCGGAGCATTGAGACCCTTTTAACAATAGAAGAAGAAGAAAAGAGAGGGGGGACACGGGCCGCTGCTTCATGGATCGTGACGCCTGACGTCCTTGTAGAACAAATTTAGAAATAAAGTGAAGCACTCCTTTCAGAGGTTTGTGAAAGCAGCGACTGACAGTAGTTCATCCAAACAATATGGAGGGTGCAAGAGGTCCTGGTCCTGGTTTGGGATCTCTGGCTCTGGAGGGGTGAAGGGGGACGCTCGGGGTGAATAGAGATGAGGGGGCAGTGACAGGTGAGTGACAGATACTGTCCTTATGTGACATCTGCCACTGTTGTGGGCGGGACCTCAGGAGAGACGACACAATGGAAGTGTGCGGGATTGAGTTTGATGAGAAAACAACGCATGCATCTTAGACCTGGACTCTTTAACTACAGAGACAAGGTTATCCCAGAAACCTCAGTGTGCAATAAATCATATTACAGTGCCTTGAAAAAGTATTCTGTGGCAAGACTTGATGCTCTCCATCCAATAGTTTGGGCTATTTTGTAAAGAAGAACGGGCAAAAATTTTAGTTGTGTAATTCTAGATGTGCAAAGCTTGTAGAGACATACCCAGAAAGACTTGCATCTGTAATCGCAGCGAAGGGGAAAGGGAAGCAAAAGCGCACTTTTCAGATTTTTATTTGTTTCCATTTTTGAAAACCATGAATCATTTTTGTTTAACTTCACAATTTTGTGCTACTTTGTGTTGGTCTATGACAACAAATCTCCATAAAATACTTTTAAGTTTGCGGTTGTAGAGAAACAAAATGTGAAAAAGTTCAAAGTTTTTGCAAATGTTCATTTTAATCAAAGTTCTTATTGTTTTTTTTTTTTATGTCATTTTATTAATTATCTCTGTTTTTAGTCTTTTTCTTAATCCCCATCACAGGTTTTTACTTCTTTTACCCCTTTTTGCTGGTAAAGAGCTTTTACTTATTTGTTCATTTTATATTATTTTCTTGTTTTAGTCCATCAGGTTTTACTCTTTTCACCATTTTTATCTCTATTTTTATCTCCAGTGTCTCTCAGTTGTGTGTGTGTGTGAGTATGTGTGGGTAAGTGAGAGTGGGTGTGTGCTTTTGTGTGTGTGTGGGTGGAAGGGTTTTATTGTCGTTATTGTTGTTTTTAGCCTCTGTGAGGAACTTTGAACAACATTTTTTGTATGAAAAGTGACATAAAAATAAAGTTGAATTTCAGTTTGAATTGAAGGGGTATGAATACTTTTTCAAGGCACTGTATATGTTTATTCTGTACATCTGTATATAGGAAATAAGACTCATGTATATACATTTGTTTTCTTTATTTTCCTTTTACCTCTAAGTTTCTTTATCCTTTAATTTCTCTCTTTGTATCTGTATTTATGCTGCTGTAATCTTGGAATTCCCCCCCTGTGGGACGATTAAAGGAATATCTTATCTAATCTTATCTTAAAATGGCGTTTTTCTGTACAGCAGCATATGTTACATGATCCATGATTTCCAAAAAGAGTCAAATTTTGATTGATCAGACTTCCTCCCCCAAGTCTTTCGTAAATCTCTGAGTCCTGTAGACGGTCGTTTTGGATGTTATTTCAAGCCCATGCAGTGACTTACACTACAGAGTTTAAGACGCAGTGCTTTATATTCATTCAACTATGTTTCAAATAGATTAATTCTAAAACGGTGGATCTCTTCCTTTAAGCTGTTGGGCCTCGGTGGAACTGAGTAAGTCTTTTCCTCTCCGCCTCCTCCTTTCCTGAGCTGCTGGGAGGAAAGTCCATGAGCCAACAAGTCAGGAGACGTCGAAGGGAAATTACCTCACCAGGACTCTGGGGATCTAACCTTCTGACCTCCTCCCACTGCTGCTCTGCTACTGTTCTGTTTGTGTCTCAATCTTTGTTTTTACTGATACAAGTCTGGACAAATTCAGTTTCATCACCCACACAAGGAGCGCCGCTTGTATCTCACGTTACCTTGCCAAAGGGTCCCGCTCCTGCGTTGGAGCTGAAGAAGCCACTGAAGCGGCTGGCGGCGCGGTTCTTCCAGCTGTCGGGTCCCGTTCCAACGCCGGGCAGAGAGCCGCCAATCTGACCCAGAGCGTCCGGGGTTGGGATATTCGCCTCCCCGAGAAACTCAGTCATGTTCTTCCTGCGTCTCGCCTGACCCTGGAGGAGAAATGACGGATTAATTTAGAGGAATAGAAAACGAAAGAGGACAGAGTGACAGGACTGAGTTTGTCACTTCGACGGGGAATCACAGAAGTTTCCAGAAAGAGACAATGTAGGAAAGAGAGAAATATACACGATCAGGATAAACAGGAAATCAGAGGGGAATTCTGCGCGAGGGATGACATCAGCAGGAGCGTTCGAGCCGTCCTGATGATCAGACACAAACAGGAGAGGGAAGGACGGCCACTTCCTCGCTCTGAATGCATCATTACATCACAGCGAGGAGGCGCGAGGTTGTTCCATAAGAACAGACGGCCCGAGTCTGCCCATTGTTCCCCTCTCTATTGTCACCCTGTCAGCGGGCCCTGCGAGCGGCCGCACTCATGCAATCTCTGTCCACTTTACGAGCGGCAGCAAAGCAAACAAACAGGGGCCAGGTCAGTATCTGAGGAAGCAGTTGTTTTCGCCGTTAGAGCGAGGAATCTGCTGCCGCCGCTGCTGGGGAGTCAGTCAGGCCAGCGACCCCCCTGCAAGAGACAAAGATGAGGAACTGACATTCCAGGACACTGACACCGCCGCTGAAACCCAGAGACCATTCCAGTGACATTCTTTCACTGATCACCCCCCACGCACTCACAAACACACACAAACACACACAAACACACACATCCAGGGGCTTCAAAACACCTCCGACTAAAACTGCTGGACTTTCAGAAGACAAAGGGAAAGTTTGACGTGAGAAATGCTTCGAAAGAATGAATGAAAACATAAAAATGAAAATATCACGTGAAACTGACTGAGCTGATTCATTAATCTATCAAAAGCAAAGTTATTAAGTTGAAAAGTGAATTAAAATTGAATTAATTTGCAATCTTTAATGCTTTGGGACAATATTTTAGATGAAGATGAAGAACATTTGCTGGTTAGAGTTTCTTACAACTTTAAATTAGTTACTTTTCTTTGTCCGCAATAAGAGAGTATTGAAAAATCTCCATAATGTCCATAATAGCTAAGGCTGGGACGATATGCTTTTCTCTTGATACAATTCTTCTACGATTTTTTGAATACCGATTCGATTTAAATTGCAATTCTACGATATTGACGATTTTCTCGATTTTTAGTCTGCATTTTTAACACCAGAGAAACAGCTGAATGATTATGATCGTCTACTGACTATTCCAGGAACTATGTTTCCCAATAAAATTCACATCACTTGGAAGTCAGTTTTCGAGATTTATGCTTAAATTGAAAAAAAAAAATCGATTTTTGAACAAAAAAATTGATTTAAAAATTGTAAAACAAAAAATTGCGATACCGTATTTTTCGCACAATAAGGCGCACTTAACATCCTTTTGGCTTGTCGGAGCGCTGCAGCTACCGTCGCCTCGTGGAGTTATTAAATTAGTTAAATAAAGTTTGACTTATCTGTCTGTTTTGTTTAGCTTTATTCGCTCTATAATCCGGTGCGCCTTATGCATGAAAATAGACCCGAATAGACGCGTCCATTGATGGTGCGCTTTATAGTGCGAAAAATACAGTATGTGAATTGATTTTTTCTCCCATCCCTAACAATAGACATCTCTGTTTTGTTATTGAAAGATGTCATTCTGACTCAACAGGGTGTACCTCAGGGTTCAATTCTGGGTCTGCAACTTTTTCATTTCCCAAACTTTTTAGTCCTGAACACAAATATTTACGAAATCCTGTAAAAGCATAAAGAGACTCATAAATTCATCCGGTTTCACCCAGACCTCCCCCAAAATCTGAGAGGATTTTGCAGACATTTCTCCACACACCTACGGTCTTCTTTTCAGACTTTATCAACCCTTTTCTTACATAATCTGTTTATAGAACCTCAACTGAAAAAATCTAAACTAATCTGTAAAAAATGAGAAGGACAAAGAGCAGGTGCACACCGAGAATAAATGTAGACAAAGTGCACAAACTAGCCGGTCTGACCCGAGCCTTAGACATAAACATTCTCCGTTATACTCCTCCTGATATAGACTTATCAAATGTATATAAGTTTGCGGCGTATATAGGAGAGAGTGAAATGTAAATGTTATGAATAGCTTTGGGAGAATTGTTGTGCATTAAACAGGTTCCCATTTTAGGAAGAACCTCCCCAGACCTTTTGTGCAAACACTTAACTGGACTAAAAGGCACACAAGTGGCCCGTACAGGGGTTGCATAACAGGGTAGTAAATCTGAGTGGGGGGTCCTGCAGGTTTTCAAACAGCTTCAGGTCCTTTTATCTCAGTGAGAATGATTACCCCGGCCGAGAGAGTGACTTCACTGCAAATAGACGAGGAAAAAGAAAGAAAGTAGAGTGTAAAGGAAACAAGCGTGGAGCCTTTTAGGGGCTTTTTTTCTGGGCCGAGTGGTCAAGGACACAGGTGTCAGGAAGTGTGCAGACCCCTCGGACACACAGGGAAAGTTCGCGACTAAGGACACTTGACTGCAAACTGAAATCTCGTAAATTTGTCAACTAAAACAGGTGTAATAGAGACAGATAATGTCAGTATTTGAGCTGGTCTCTACACACTGGATGAAGGGATTAAAATATGAAGTAAAAATGGAAAATCACTGGAAGATAAAAACTTAATCAAGCTGTAATTACAAGAAACATGCATGAAAGCTCCCCGCAGTTTCCCCCCATGCTTACAGTGCTCACCATCGAAGCCAGCGGCATGTCAAAAGTAACAAAAACCATCCTAATCCTTCAGTCGGATTCATGGATCGCAGCCCATCCCAGAGCCAGCTGCCTCACTCTCCTTCTCACATCCACGCTGTCCTCAAGGTGCTGAATCCATCTAAGAACCTTGAATCCGAGTCAACTCTAAAACCGCCACATTAGTCCAACATCAAGAGACTTGTCCTGAACTTCTCCGCTCTCTAAACGTCCTGTTCCAGCTGACAGGGTCCGGGTTTGGCGGTGTCAGTCTGTCGCGCCCCGCTGTGCCCGACGGTAGCGTTTCTTTGAACCTGGGATGTGTCTCTGTCCTGTCCTGCTGTCCAAACAGTAAGTGGTAGCATTTCATACGGACACTGGGCTGAAGTCATAGTAACCAGGAGGATCCTGCCTCATTGTGTCAGGCAGGAAAGAAGAGGCAGGGCCAGGGTGCAAAAAAGAAAAAAAAAAGGAGGCAAGAGGAGGCTGATCTGAATATTTGGAGGTGGAGTCAGGGTGACAGCTTGGAGGGAGCTCCCTTCTCCAAACACAACACTCATCCAAGAGCCAAAAGTTCTTTAGGGTCAGATTCAACAGGCTGCACAGACGTACAAATCAAATCACCACTTCATTAGAGTTCCTGCTGCCATCTTTTACCCAAGAAATCTCACCCAAACAAAATCAAGACAATTCAAAAGCAGCTAACAACCCATTTGTCACTTCACTCTTTCTTTGCCGTTATTTGAAGTGGGTCCAGTATTCTTTGCGCTATCTCCGATCGCTGTTTGTCCCGCAGACCTTTAAACAATGCCACGCTGGTCAGCCAAAACAAGGAAAAAAAGAAATGCCCTGATAACGACCCGACGGGAAATTCCCTTTGTGTACTTGCATGTTTCAGCACTTTTAATAGGCGGGAGATAAGGCAGGACAGACTGGAAACTGTAGACAGAGTTAACTTCAACTTATCAGTCGTTATGTTGGTATTTCAAACGAGTAGATCTGCTGTTTTCATCTGGTTATTAAGATCTTAAATTGTTAGATAATCAACTAATCCTAATACTTCTTATGTACTAACAGAATCACAAGGTTTTCCACTTTTAATTCCTTATTGTGGAAATTAAATTCTGATTTTTTTATATTCAGGAGTGTTAAATTTAAAATGTAAAGGCACAGTGTAAATTCTTCATGTTGCGTTGATGCTGAAGATCGCTTTGGACAGAATTGACCGTGTTTTTCCAGTTAGAATGTAATTCCCTTAATCACCATCGCTTAACATGAACTGAAGTTTAATTTTGTTCATTGCCACCTAGTTTATTTTTGGGGTTGTATCTTTTTACAAATCTTGCTCCAATATCAAACAAGAGTACAAAACATCTGAAGTAAGAACAAAATTTCTCCTAATTCAGGGTTTCTACACAGTTGGAATTTCCACACTTGTCCATTTTTGGAAATACCTACTTTTCTATTTTAGAAAACAGTATTTGTTTTTTACTGTGGTAAAAGTCTGGAAACCTAAATATTTTACTTTATTTTTTATTTACTATACTTTTTAAGACCTTGAAGTTCATCAAATTGTTTCCATACTTGCATCGGAACCCTGCTAATTGCTCACTCTATTTATGCATACGATTTTATTATTTGTGTTGTATATAGTGTAAATACTTTTCTCTATATTTCTACTTATTTTATCTTTTTATCTCTATATTTTTATTTATCTATTATTTATCTCCTCTTTTACTGTATTTGCACTGGAGTACTGTGTTTGTCCGTTGCATACAGTCTTAAAAAAGTAGTTGTACTTGTATCCGTCACATGCCTTAACATGGGAGAGTTTAAGTCAGGTGAATACTTGAACCAGACTAAATATCCTCCCTTTAATGATTAATCTGCCCTACAAAAATCAGGTAATTTCGAGAAGTGTTAGTTCTTTTTTCCACCTCTCTGCTCTGGATATGTCCGTCTAGCTAATTATGTTTACAGGCCTCCTGTGTAAACCTGTCAGTCAGCGCAGAGGGCAAAGAGACACACAAAGCTGCTCTCTCTCTCTCTCTGGGAACTGATGCACAGGGTCCGAAGGGGGAGTCAGGTTAACGATATCAAGCTCTGTGTGTCCCCTCACAGCCTTATCTTATCGGAGCGGTTTGTGGCGCTAACCTTGGCCTGGAAAGAAGAAAATCTTTAAACGGGACGGGATTGTATTAAAAGTAAGTGGTGACAAAGAAAGAGCAAAGAAACCCCCACGTCACACCACAGCTCCCCCACTCCCACTCCCACTCCCTCTCCTCTCTTCTGTTTCTGCCCTCTGCTACCGCCTGTGTGTTAGCCCACTGATAACAGCTCCCCTTGATCAGGTGAGTTGATTAACGATGGGAAAACAGCACGACACTGACCTTCACACACCGACGCCGACACACAAATGTCCACCGACACAACCAGGAAACAGAAACTAAAAGAAACTCCATCACATGGCGCACGTTTCAAGGCCGCAGACACAAACCGAGGCTTTATTCAGAGAGGTGTCAAAACAAAACTCTTAACGCAGGACCTCCAGCCAGAGTCACTGAATACACAAACACACACGAGTACGCACACAACTTCAGGACAAAATCCAGGACAAAAGGATGAGATCAGTGAAACCAAAACAAAGGAGGATGATCACACTTTGAAGATTACATTAAATGAAGTGGCGGCGCAAGTTTCAACATGTTAACCGCTAAATGACCCTCCAGATGACCCCTGAGTCCCACCCTGCTGCACTGTGTTCCTGTTTTTACGATTTATTATGTGTAAATAAGAACATATATCTTTTTATATATACTTTTATTTATTTGGAAAGTGCAATATCACCCACCATGCTGCTATTTTACCCTGAGTTTTTATTGTTTTTATTGTTTCTGTATATTAAATTAAACACCATCATGCTGTAATATGGAAGCCAAGCAACGACATTTCATTGCAGAGAGAAATCACTGCTGTGTTTTATTCTGTGCAATGACAAATAAAGAAAGTCTAAGTCTATTAACTGTTTTTTTTTTTCTTTAATCTTGACTTTTAGGAAGCCAGGAACGACAGATTTTCCATGTATTTGTTAAAAAAAATCAATAAAAAATCCCAATTTGATGCAAAACTTTTATTTCTTTTTTCTTTGTTTCTTTTCTGCTTTTCTTTTCTTTTATTTCTAATAAATATGATCATTTTTCACGTTCATCTTTGTCTCTGTTTAGGTTTTGCATACTTTATCAAACCACTTTCGATAGTCTAATTCCTGTAAATGAAGTTATTATCGTATCTGAGTCTGAGTTTTTTTTGCACGTGTCAGTGAAGGTCTCACCTGGAAGTCACTTGCCGTCAGTTTAATCTCATAGGGAGACGACTCGGGGATCTCCGAGTCCACATCCAGCAGGTCCCAGCTGCGCCAGGATGTCAGACGAGTGAAACGAACCATTTTCCACGGATACAAAGAAAAAAAAATCTCAGCTTACAAAGAAATAAAACAACTGAGTCAGCGAAAGTTATTTCCAAAGAGTCAGGAGAGAGAGTCCATTTCCAGGAATTCACATGTGCAGAGCAGCAGAGAGGAGCATCATGTGTGTGAGCGTGTGTGTGTCTGATCCTGCAGGTACTCTGCACCACAGGCCAACGGTCACACACACGACAATCAGGTAGGTGTGTGTTATCTCCACCTTTAGGCACCTTTAAGGGAAGTACTCAGAAACACTCACATGCTCACACACACACCTTCTCTGCCCTCTCAGCATGTTGCTCCTCCTCCTCCTCCTCCTCCTACACCAGGTGGCAAAAACAGCAACAGTCTTCAAACTCCTGTTATCATTAAGTTAATTAGAGAGGTGCCATCAAATACAGAGACACACATTTAAACACCATAACCATAAAGATGAGTGAGAAATAAATATGAGGGTGTGTTTATTTTAGTTTTTATTTAACCAGGTAAGAACCCGGTGAGATCGAGATTTCATATACGGCAGAGGTCTGCAGCACACATCACGATAATAAATAATAATAAAGAGGAAGAAAATGACCTCCAGAGACATAATTAAAAACACTGGCACTGTTTCAAAGTCATGTAAGATTGAAGGAAATGCTTCCAGTGAAATTAATTCTGACAAGTTCAGGTCACTCCTGAAAATATTCGAAACTGAAGTGGCAGCAAAATTGAAAAACGCTTTTTGCCCAGTTCAGTTGTGATTCACAGAACAATCAATTTCAGTCCTTTAAAGGAGATCACATAAATAAGAAGGCGCTAAGCCAAAAAGATCCTTATAAATTAGAGTCATCCAGTGATTGTACTTGCAAGGACTCAAAGAAAGGCCAGACAGATTTGGTATAAAGTTTGCAATGATGTGTTAGGTGACTACAACCACTAATAAATCTCAGCGCACAGTGATAGACAATAATTAAGGACTGCAGGCTTTTGGTTGAAGCAGTCATATATAAAACATCACCGTAATCCAACAGTGGAAGAAAGGTTGCAGATACAAGCTATTTCAGTCTGAGTTTAGAGACCAAACTAGCGATATGTGCTTTGAAAGAAAGCTCGCGATCACCAAGAAAACCCTGATATTTACACACAGATACAGGCTCAATGAGAACACCCTGCAGAGTTAAGATTCAGGTAATATTCCCAGGTAACTCACTTTTGCTCAAAAACACCATGACTTTGGTTTTATTTGCGTTCAAGACCGATTTCAGTTTCTGCAGTCGAGATCGAACAACATCAAAACAGCATAAAAGTGATAAGACAAGTTATTAACATAGATAGATAATGAAATAGGTCCAAAGATCGAACCTTGACCTACTGTCTTTGTTGTCTGCAAACCACAATGCTGCTCGGTTTGATAGGCCAATATGCCGAAGTACAAAGTAGGTTTTTGACACTCACATCACAGCTACTTCTCACCCTATTAACAAACTATAGCCTCTGTAGTCTAAATCACCGCATGTTTGACTCCAGGTTAATGAGCCGACGCTGCTGCTGATTCAACTATTGTTATTCAAAGAGCCTCTCTGTGTGTTTCCCTGCTATCAGAGTGGGTCTGAAAGTGGGAGATGAAGAGGAGGCCGACTCGACACATCACCATCCACATTCACAGGGTGTCAAATCTGTCCCAGTTAGAAGAAGAGGAAGTAAATAAACACGGTTTCTCCTGCTATTGTCTCCAGTTTCCAGTTATACATGAATACAGTATAAACATACATGGTTACAATCGTCCTGGAGAGAAAAGCACGTGTCCTCCTGTTTAAGTTTCAGTTTACAAACAGTAAGCAGAAAAACAGAGGGACTCTTTTTCCACTGCATGATCAGCTGAAATGTTTTCAGCCCTCAGGGTTTTTTTGGGGCTTTTATCAGGTGTGTTTTTTCCCCAGGTCTGACTCTTTGTCTATTACAAAACAAGACTATCTACCTCCTCTGTCGATTGCATAACAAAGGCTTCCGACCTCGAGGCTAAGCCAGGAGTCTCTGTTTCGATTTCGACATGTGGCGTGAGGTTTAATTGTCGTTTATGCTCTTCTTGAGGACTTTATTGAACGATCATTTCAGTTTTTTTATGAGATACTACAAAAAGGATGTACAGAATCCACTTTCCTGTCTCATTCATGAGTGCAGCTTGTATTTATTTTCATCGCAGCTTCGTCTGATGGTTGTTTGTTTGGTGTGCAAAAGGTCAGACAAAGCGGAAAAACACAGTCCAGATTTTCCAAACCTGGAGGGCATACCTTCAAATCCTCCTTTATTTTCCAAGCAGAAGCTGGAAACAGAGCTTTGACCCCTATTGTCTCTCTGTGCGCGCTGTGAAAGGAGGTCGAGATGTGCCAGAAAAACCGCTGTTTTACTGCGGTCCAAGACCCCGGGAATTCAGGTTTACAATCTAATAAAACAGAGGAAAGTAGAAAATGTTCACATTCCAGACAATGGAGGGAGAAAATGTGAAATAATTGGGCTCAACTCAGAGTAATGGGCTATTTTTTAAAATCAGTTTATTGTCTAAATATTTCAGTGTTTTCCCGAAGAATGATGCTTTATCTGCAGGGAACCAACCCATTATCCAAGCCTGAGTTATCTCATCTCTTAATGTTAAAATTACTACCTGCTCTTTCGGTGTTTTCACCTCTGCCCCCCACAAACACGAAGCATCTGCAGCTTTTTTCTCTTTATACACACAGAGCTGTGTTCTAGTATTTCTCTAATATCTGTCCAAAGCAGATAAATGTCAGACAACAAACCTCTAAAAACGCTTTTTATTTATATTTTAGCAACATGGGTACTAAAATTAAAGGGATATTCAGGCATAATGTTAATTTAGGGTCAAATACACAGTAACACCGAGTTAGACACCCCATCGAGGGATGAATGTTGCCGACCGCTTGCTTCTCTAGTTATACCAACTTTAGTAACGACCGCACGATAGCAATACGCATCGGTCTGAGGAGCCATAAACAAACCTCAACCAAAACTCCACTCTATAGACACAAATAATGCTCAGAACAGCACCTAACTTCATCAACAGGACATATAGGGTCACAGACATAGTACTAGACACCAAACATCTTTATAACACAACTCACCTACTCTCTTCCAGCAGCCGCTTGTTTGTAGTGAGACCTCAGGCCAGTCCATTACAGACTACAGCGGGGTGACGCAGCTCAAGGAAGAACATTTATGATCATTTCTTTATCTTCTGCCTTAGCGTCTTGGTCTGATTGCATTTCCATGAAGAAATAATCATAAATGTTCTTCCTTGAGCTGCGTCACCCCGCAGGAGTCCATAATGGACTGGCCTGAGGTCTCGCTACAAACAAGCAGCTGCTGGAAGAGAGTTGGTAAAAGTTGGTAAAACTAGAGAAGCAAGTGGACGGCAACGTTCATCCCTCGATGGGATGTCTAACTTGGTGTTACGGTGTGTTTGACCCTTAATCAATTTTATGCAGGAATATCCCTTTAAGTACTAGACAGCGCTATTGTCCAAAAGTTCCTTACAGGAGCTTTAAAAGTTGTCTTTTGATGAGAAATTATAAATTACATAGGTAAAAAAAAAAAATTAGTAATCTGATAAAAAAGTTTAGCTGCACCTTCAGTTTCTCAGTCTTAAACGCTGAGTCTGCGCTTCTCTGAGGAGCTCTGACGCACATGGAGGATCCATTTAGAGGTCGTTGACCTCATGAAAAAGCCAAAGTCATCACACCACGAACTCTGATGTGGTATTTTACACACATATTTGTTCTGAGCTGTCCCTGGATAAATTAACACTAATGTCTCTAAGCTGAAAGTTTAAATAGTTATCTTTTCCAGCTGATTTAGAGAGCGAGTGCTGAGTTTGCTCGCCACTTTGGTTTTGTATTCCCGCTGCTATGGCAACAAATAGCCGTGTTACATAAAAGATCTTACAGTCAAAAAGCGGGAATCAACACACTGTGCACTCTTACTGGAAATCACAAAGGGCCAGACCGTCAGCTTATCTTTATGACGACTGTAAAACTCACAGTTTCTCCTCTCTGGAAGAAGGAAACCTGAGTGATTGTCCAAACTCTTTCTGTTGCATTATTAATGCAGAAGCAATGCCAGACTAATTCTGTTTGTCCCTGTTATATAAAGGTTTGTTTTTGCTCAGACGTGACGTCATGTTTGCTGCATATGGAGCAAAAACATCCTGAGCAGAGACCCCGGGGATCCATGAAGGCTTCGCAACAAACAGGTAAAGTGAGTCACAGGCTCGCACAGATGGAGGAGACCAACTCTCAGGGATTAAATACACTTTTACAGATTATTTTCTTCTGACTAATTGAATTTACACACTTCCAGAGTCCAATCTAAGCCACCCGGGTTACAAGTGCAACCTTTCCTGTATCAGCGTTTACATATCTGATGCTGTAAGAGTGTGAAAGGACCCATTATTTGCAGATGGTGCAGTAACTATGATGTACAGACGTATGGCGGTGCTTTATGGGAACTATCAGCGAGGTTGGAATGTGACTCCGACCAATCAGAGAGCTGCGACCGAGGCTCCCTGTTGTAACATAATCAATCTGGATCATCAAAGCTCTCTGCAGCATATCCAGAGCGCTGCCAGAGTCCATAAAATCTAACATGCATGCCATCATAAAGCTGAAATACTCTGCAGAGAAAGCGCCTGTGTTTCTGCAGCCGGGCACTCGCTGCTGCTGCTGCTGCTGCTGCTGCAGTGCCAAGCAAAGCATTGCTCACTGGGCAAATATCTAAAAAAGAAAAAACTCAATTCAATAAAAAGCAAACACGCATGCGTTTGAGAGCGAGCGCCAAAGCTGCTGCCATAGAAACTCAAAGACTCTGCGCGCGCACGTCCGAGTGGAGCTTTTGTCCTCCGAATAATCTTTCATAAAACACTCCGAACGGATCAGGAGCTTTTCTGCTGCTGAGACTGTTCAAGACAAGAGTATCAGCAGACTTTGATGACACTCGGCTCTTCAGCTCTTTGAGACTCGTACTGAAGTGTGAGACTGACATAATTCATGAGTCACTCTTACCAAACGGTGAGCGGCTGTGTGGGGCTGCTAATGATGGATTTTTGTAATCTTAGGTCATATCTCTGAATTACTTTGTTTTTCTATTGGCCGAAGTATCCTTTAGAATAAGATTTTGATCTGTTTTAGGCTTGTATCTTAATATTTTATTGATAAATGATCAGAAAAAAGTGATGAAACCCCTCGACTCATGGTGGAAACTCTGATTAACATATTGATGAGAGTTATTTTGTTCAGTTAAAAAACCAAATTTATAAGTTCTAAGCAATACTTTTGTATATTTTTTACTATCACACCAGAAAAGATGTAATTTTCAGAGAGTAGAATTAACATTTTTGTCTAACCTGATGGTATGTTTAACCTTCTTAAAATACCCTCATCTGAGGGTTGTATAGTTCTACGACAAAAAAATTCCAATACCTCGCTAGAACTATTCGATTTTCATCTTTTATCTATCTCTTCTTTAAGATTTCAAAATAAACATACGATTTTTGAGAATTGCACTTTTTGAGAATAGTTTTGAGGACTTTTTTACTCCCGTACTGAGAGGTGAGGACAGCTGATAAAATCCTAAACGGAGCGATGAAAACCTGAAGATGGGGTCAAACTGAACCCTCTGAAATCAGCTCTACTGGACTGCAAAAGGTCAAAGAGAGAGTCACTTTAAGATCCTTTTTAGTGTTTGTTAATTCATGCAAATTCACTTGATTATGTTGCGCTCTTGGTTGAGAAGCTGGTTTCATATTAGCTATGATTTCATATAAACACAAAGAGACTAAAGTGTCGATTCACTGACTGTTTTAGGCTTCAGGGAGACGGTGAAAGATCTTCATACAACTGCTGTCAAGTTTGAAACACATCCAACAGTTACAACATGAACCATTTCTGCCCCCTTGAGGCCGTTCCTATCACTGACATCACTCTTTCCACACTCACCGCCAACTAAACTGACAAGTCGTCACCTGCAGAGCGTCAACATGAGATTATTCGTCAAAACTTTGAGAGGAGGGGTCTGACAAAGAAACACTTCAGCGCTGGAGCAGATGATACGTGAGTAAAACCCCGCTGTCCTCAGTCACCTCCTCTGTTTACGTCTCTGCCCGGTGACTAAACCTCAATGACGTATCACCACAGATGGCGGTGAAACGATTGAACGCAGCCTCTACCTGTTTCCCGGCCTCGGGCTGCAATGACATCAATGTTAGTGTGTGGAGCACGTGAGCGCGAGCACACACTCAAACTCATCTGCGAGAGCGTCTCAGTGACAGAAAACAGAGATAAAAGACAAATCTGAGACCTAAAACTCACAACTGGAGGTCCAGATTTAAAGATCTGAAGAAACTAAAGAGAGATTAAAAAGACTGGGACTGAAGTTTGAGATGTTATTCTGTAAAAAAGACGGACAAACGCTTAAGTTTTAGGGAGTAGTTTTGCCAGAATGATCAAGAATCATCCAGAGATGCTTTAAAAAATGTAAAACAACTAGATAGGAAAACATATTTCTGCATGTTTTCCATTAAAATTCAACATTTCTTCATTTTTACTTCTTGAATACTTTATAGGATCAAATACTCATGATTTAACAAAGTATTTCCTGATTTTTGTATTTTTATTAACTCTTTAAACTACAACATTCACACCAGTTGCAGAGAAAAACTTAAACCAGGACTAAGAGGAGTTTTCATATCATCATAAATGTCGATACTCACGCCCACGCTCGCTCCTCCTAACCTACAAACGCACGCGGTGGTGTCACAAAAGGTCACGTAATAACAGCGTCATGATGATATATGGTTGCACAACTGATACACATTTGACACTAACACACACAGGAGTGATAATTACACGATTATTGATGTGCCAAACAAGAATGTCAGCTGATACCGGAGCAGGAAACGGCTTTTGTTCAGAGACGGAGACGCTGTTTATGATAACTGAGCGCATTTTTGAACGATGAGGATAAAAACAGGGCAAACATATCTTTATTTAATAACACTGCCGTCATTTCGTGTGAGCTAATTTATGTCGCAACAGAAGATAAAACCGTCTTGTAACATCCTCCTAAATTAAAGGCTAGTTTTTGGAAAATTAGTGGACTTTTGCAGCTAAATTTGCTGGTTTCTATTCGCAGGTTTCGACAAAATCAACGCCACTGCTTTAATATTTCCTTTCCTTTCCTGTTTTTGAAGTTTAAATCAATAAAATAATAAAATAGTAGACCTCTGGTGCAGAAATGTCAGTGTTTTTTTCAAAGCCAGAACTCCAAACCCGTGGAGTGGTTTTTGAACAGGGTCCTCCTCACGTGCCACAACATGAACCTGATGACCGTCTGCCCTATTTCCACGCCCGCGTTTGGCAGCCAAGTGGATCAGGATCGTGCGGACCTCGCTCGACCTCCCGGCACCTTTCAACAGGAACATAAAACCACTTCCTGTGGCTGCAGGAAGTGCTGAAGTGGCACAAAGTGTTCCTGAGTGAACTCATCATTAAATGAGATTCAAGGGATCAGTCAGCGGCAACACCGGGTAGTTTGACGCGCACGTACACGAGCGTGCACACTCACTACACACACACACACACACAGCTGAATGGAAATCCAAAAATACATTCCCAGGGTTGAGCTGGACGGACAAAGGTGATGCAAAACAATGAGATCATGGAGGGATTATCAGGAGATACTTCACTTCACTTGCACAAGGAATCATGGGACTGAAGGAAGAGGAGGTGAGGTGATGGAAAAAGAAGAAGAAGAAGAAGAAGGTGTGTCGCAGCAGAGCGAGTCAGCGGGCGTGTCCGTGCGGAGAGACGGTTTCTTAAACGATGAGTCGGAGAATCATATGAGATCTCAGTCACTCACCAGCAGATCGATGCTTTCTTTACGCCCCAGAGATCCGTGCTCCATCTTCTCGGTTCCCGGGGTGAGGATGTAGGGGCTCTGACCCGCAGAGGGCTTCATGTTGGGCAGACTGAGAGACCGCATGTCCTTCACACCCTGCTCCACCTTCAGCTCGTCGCCCGCTCGCGCTGGAAGAACCAAAACAAAACAAAACAAAACAAAAGAGGGGTTAGAGAAGTCTGGGGAAGGGATTGTGGGAAGACCAGATTCTTGCAGAGGATTAACATGATGACTTAATTAACATTTTAGGATTATTTTTCTCTTTTCAGCGTCAGTGAGAACAAAACAACACACCCAACGAATTCAGGTCAACATTTTAGACGTAAATAGACCTGTTTAGGATTTTTTTAAAGAGCTTTTAGAGGAAAATGAAGCAAGTTGTGAAGCTCTAGATCGACATATTTTCAATTTTCTGGCAACTTTCATCACAAAAAAAGTCAAATATCTACTAATCAAGCAGTACAAGCAATTGAAAGGCGTATTCTATGGTGTAATCCAAAATTTTACTCTCCTATGTCTTCTGTCAACTCTTAAGTGTAATATCTGGCTTTTTATGTTGATGAAAACCTCTCTATGTTCGTTAGCTTTTGGCTGAAGCAGCTCCAGTCGAGTAGTTTTCTGCAAAACCTGGACTAAAACATCGGATCTGCCTCCACACAGGAAGTATCTTCACTTTGAGTCGAGTGATCTTGTGTAAAATGTGAATTATCGCAGGTAGAGGTTCGAAGTACAGAAACTAGGGCAGTTTCTTCGCCTCTTAACCTTCAGGCCACATGAATAAACAGCTGCGGCGGGCTCGCCCTCGCCCTCCTCGCCCAGACTGTGTGTAACTCCAGACTGCGGTCAGGAGGTGCGAGTGCGGAGGGCGACACTTTCAAAAGAATAGAATTAGTCATGGCACAGGATCTCTTTTATGGACGGCCTGAATGAGCCTTTCATCCCGAAACATAACCGCAGAGATCGCCAAGAAAGAGAGAGAGAGGGGAGAGAGAGGGGGGAGAGAGGGGAGGCACCGGTCCAGTTTCCACTGAGGCATTATGGGAGAGAGGGCAGGAAGAGTCAGAGTATTATTAAGAGTCATGAGGAGCTTAATAGCATCACTTCTAGTTCTGATAAGTTTGAAAGCGAACACTCCCCTCCTTTTTCCTCCTAGAGAGAGAGAGAGAGAGAGAGAGAGAGAGAGAGAGAGAGAGAGAGAGAGAGAGAGAGAGAGAGAGAGAGAGAGAGAGAGAGAGAGAGAGAGAGAGAGAGAGAGAGAGAGAGAGAGAGAGAGAGAGAGAGAGAGAGAGAGAGAGAGAGGCGTGGGAGGAAGCTAAAGCCGCCGTCCGTCCTGCTCAGTCATTGTTAGAAACGCAGATAAGAACAGAGTGACGTCTGAGACTCACCACCGCTGCAAAGTCACAGGACAGGTGGGTCTTTACTTGAAATCACTGATCGAGACGTTTCTGAGACTGAGAACGAAACTTAGGAAAACTACAAGCTGCTTGATTTCGCTTCCTAACGTTGTAAATAAAAGTATAAAGACACAATTAAAACTGAGATTTTAAGATGAAGGTTTTAATACAGGAGGTTGAAATTATAGTTTAAACAAAAATAAAGATGCAAAAGTAGGAAAATACGTCAAAATGAGTCATGAAGAGGCGTGGCCTAACAGGCAATGACCGCCAACCCTGAACTTCTGAGTATGACTCTCTGCTGCAGCTTTAAAGTATCTCTCTGTACTTATTAAAACATTCTTAACTTATTAAAGGACTTAATTCTCTGAAAATTTTAACTTCGAGTCGAATAATGTTGTTTTTCTTGTAAATGTACGACTTTAATCTTGTGATTTTTTCACTTTTTTTTCTGTTTTTCAGAAATTTTAGACTCCAATCTAAATTTATAACTTTAATCTCTTAAAATCACAAGTTCAATCTGATAAATTTTTAACTTTAACCTCACAAATGAAGAGTTTGAACCTTGTGAATCTCAAGTTTCATAAGGAAGCGTGCTGCAAAGAAAGCTTCAGTTTTCAAATCTATAGTATTACAGTACGGAAATGGTCGATCGGATACCTGGTTGCTTTTATTTGCCATAAAAATACATCTTTAAGAATTTCAGACTATTTCATAAATGTCAAAAACTCCTCAGAGGAGCTTTAAGCTTCATTTAAATATCTGTTTTTAGCTTTTATGTGTCAGTGAGTCCAGCTGCAGACAGAGAAGAAACACCTTAAAAAAACTGCACTGATTTACTTTAAGCTGTTTATTTGCATACGCCAATCCTGCAGCTCTGCACATATGCGGTTTATCTCCTCTGGATGTGTCCTCCGCTGACTCAGACCGGGGATGGGTTCTAATTGGCAGGCGGGGCTCAGATTGTTTACGAGCCTCTCGATGTTTTTTACCTTTGACTTTGAGGTAGTGTCCTCCGAAGCGGTAGGCCTCGAAGTTGAGAGACAGCGGCGTGTTGGACTGGTCCAGGAACAAGTCGACCCGGGACAGCTCGATGCCGTTCCTCTCAAACACCGGACCCAGAACCTCTCTGAGAGAATCCAGAAACAAAACAAAATCAGGATCTTCAGATTCACTCCTCTCCTGCACAGCTGCTTCTCCTCCTCTTTTCTCCTCTCTTACCTCAGGGTTTTCTTTTTCATGGCAGGAACGATTTCTGTGTTTATGTCCACGTTGAGATCGAACTTGAGGCTGAAGCACTCCTTACTGGGGTCCTGCAGGGGGAACAGACTCATTGTTAGTTTACACAGGTGGAGCTGCTCACACGCTGTATGTGAGCGCTCGGAGGGTCCACAGGGGGGCTCTTTCTCTCCGCGCTGCCGTCATGTTAAACTCTCAGCTGCAGAGAATAATGCCTGCTGTTCCTGTGTTATGTCATTGTGTACTTGTATGGTATACATTTGTGGAAACTATTCTTCTCTATGTCAGAATCTGCAGCCTCTTTCCAGGAACGGAAATGAGGCTCTTGTGCCAAGAGGCGACTTATTGTGCGTCTGTCTGGTTTACTTACATCAGTGTGTCGTCTCCTCGGCTTCTTCTTCACCAACTTCATGCCCCCCGTTTTACGCTCCCTGCGAAACAATGAAACTTTTACAGTGAGGAACAAAAATATAAACTAAACATAAACAGGCATAAACAGGACTAGATGATGAAGCTATAGAGGGGTTACAAACCCGCGGTCGTTGCTCCCCTCATCCTCTTCCTCCAGGTCAGAGGGGGGGCTGGTGAGCGGGGGACAGGAGCGCGTGGAAACGTTCCGAGCCAGGATGGAGGCTAAAGGTCGAGAAAACACGACAGTCAATCCTTCTGTTAGGAAATAATCTCAGATATAGATCCAGAATTAAAATCGGCCAAAATTAAAGGGATATTCCGACGTAAAATCGAGTTAGGGTCAAACTCACTGTAACACTGAGTTAGACACCCCCTCAGGAGATGAATGTTGCCGACCGCTTGCTTCTCTAGTTTTACCAACTTTAGTAACGACCACAGGATAGTAAAACACAGCGGTCTGAGGAGCCATAAACAAACCTCAACCAAAACGCCACTCTATAGCCACAAATAATGCTCAGAACAGCACCTAACTTCAACAACAGCACATATAGGGTCCCAGCCATAGTACTAGACACCAAACATCTTTTTAACTTTGACTCATTTCTTTAGCAAAGAGACTAAACACAACTCACCTACTCTCTTCCAGCAGCCGTTTGTTTGTAGCGAGACCTCAGGCCAGTCCATTATGGACTACAGCGGGGTGACGCAGCTCAAGGAAGAACATTTGTGATCATTTCTTTATCATTTCCTCGAAGTAATAATCATCATATTAATCATTTTTCTCTGCAGACACAGTAGTTCTTCTGCCTTAGCGTCTCGGTCTGATTGTATTTCCATGAAGAAATGATCATAAATGTTCTTCCTTGAGCTGTGGCACCCCGCTGTAGTCCATAATGGACTGGCCTGAGGTCTCGCTACAAACAAGGGGCTGCTGGAAGAGAGTAGGTGAGTTGTGTTTAGTCTCTTTGTTAAAAATTAGGCAAAGTTAAAAAGATGTCTGGTGGCTGTGACCCTATATGTCCTGTTGATGAAGTTAGGTGCTGTTCTGAGCATTATTTGTGGCTATAGAGTGGCGTTTTGGTTGAGGTTTGTTTATGGCTCCTCAGACCGCTGTGTGTTGCTATCGTGTGGTCGTTACTAAAGTTGGTAAAACTAGAGAAGCAAGCGGTCGGCAACATTCATCTCTCGACAGGGTGTCTAAGTTGGTGTTACGATGTGTTTGATTTTACGAAGGAATATCCCTTTAAGGAACTGATTCTGTGCTCCTCCTCCTCCTCAGGATGATTTCTAAGAATTTTCATTTTTAAGAAATCAGAATCAGCCTCATTAAAATGAAGGAAAACTGGATCTTTTATAGTGATTATCTCTGTAATTCAGGGATTCTTCTCATCGATGCATTTATAAGACTTTATATATGTGTCTATGTTGAATTAAAGAGGTGGGTTGTCAAAGAAACTATTAGCTGACTTGTCAACTTTTAATAGAGCTGACTTGCTGAAAAGACAGATGCTAATTGTAGCCTGTAGCCCACCGTGTCAGACTTGGGAAACCTGCTCTGCACTGTTTCATCACGGATGCAGAAGTGGCTCCAATAAAACTGTTCACAGTGAGGTCTGCGGATCATCCAGCGAGACCAGATTCTTTTAAGAGGACTTCAATTTACCTCTGCTGATTTTGGGGCGAAGGCAGAAATTACTCTGCACATGCACATTTTTGATTTATGAAGCATTTTTCTGCATTTTGCAAGCAAAATTAAGAATGCAAATCACGTCTGTACTCAAAGGCTTGCCTCCTACCTTACTAGGTCCAAAAGCGACAGAAAAATAGCTGCGAAAAGTGCCCTGCAAAAGTTAGAAGTCAACGCTCAAACTGTCAGATTCCTTTGTTTGGCCTGAAAGAGAGAAATTAACTCCTCCAGGCGGCCACACTTCAGCTTATAAATGATTTAATTGTGTTTTATAATATCACCAGCTACTGATAAATGAATTAGGTCGACATAAACAAAGTTTTTAGAGGAATAAATGAGAAGAAGTCAGTCTGAGAATGAGGCTAAAAGATGGTGAGAAAGTGCATACATTATCACCATGACCATATATGTGAAAGTAAAGTTTAACTTGAACTCAAGTTTGTATAAAATCCACATGAATTATGCTGGAGAAGAAGCTGTTTGGTGACATTTTTGTCCTTATTTAGACACTTTGGACACAGAGTCCCTGATATTTATTTACACAGTGGAGTCCAGGGATGAGGTCACGGCTCTGACACCACCGTGGGAGCAGGAAAGAGACCAAATAAACAAAGTACCTTGAGGTTGTAAGTCAAATCGGGGGTGCCGGTCAAAGTGCATGTTGTCGGAGTTCTCTGAATGGCAGCGTGAGTCACATGACTCACACAGGTGAAGGGGGCTTTTGCTATTCAGGTCTTGGCAGTCTGGATGGTGGCAGACCTGAAAAAGGAAACAGGAAACACACAGAGAGAGAGAGAGAGAGAGAGGTCAGAGGAGAGATAGACCACAAGACTGTCAGGTACAAAAGTCTGAGGGGTTCACGGATCAACACTTCAAATTCAGCTAAAACAGTCAGTCAAGGAACTTAAAGTAAAATCAGGTTCTTAAAGTAAGTCCAGGTTCAGAGAGTCTGTCCAGGTAATAAGAGTATGTCCGGCCCCCAACCAGTCAGTCAAGGAACTAAGAGTAAGTCCAGGTTCAGACAGTCTGTCCAGGTTTAAACAGTCAGTTCAGGAGCTTAAAGTAAGTTTGGGTTTAAACAGTCAGTCCAGGTAATAAGAGTACGTCCAACCTCCAACCAGTCAGTCCAGGAACTTAAAGTAAGTCTGTGTTGAAACAGTCAGTCAAGGTTAAAACAGTCAGTCAAGGAACCTAAAGTAAGTCCAGGTTGAAACAGTCAGTCCAGGTTGAAACAGTCAGTACAGGTATTAAGATTATGTCCGGCCTCCAACCAGTCAGTCAAGGAACAAAGAGTTAGACCAGTTTTAAACAGTCAGTTCAGGAATATTCAGTCAGTTCAGGAACTTGAAGTAAGTTTGTGTTGAAACAGTCAGTTCAAGTTGAAACAGTTAGTCAGGGTTCAAACAGTCAGACCAGGATTAAACAGTCAGTCGAGGTTGTTGACTTCGATGGTTCACGGTTAGAACAGTCACTCTTTCTGTTATGGATAAAAGTATTGACATAGAGGACTCTGCTCAGACCAGTCCACAGGTGATGAGGACTTGACTCAGACTCGACTTGGACTCGACTCGCCCTGAGGATCCAGTATCCGACTCAGACCCGAGCTTTGGTGACTCGACTAAAACCGTGTTTAAGACTTTTGAATCATGAAAAATGTTTGAGCGCATCAATGTCTACACGACTTTTTATTTTACTTTAACTCAACTGACCTGAAATCAGTGTTGATGCTTTTTTATGATGATAAAAAACGTAAACAAAACTATTTATACAGGAAAATAAAGTGAAAATATTGAGTTTTTTTTTTTAAAGACCAGCCCAAAGTCAGAATAAGCGTCTCCCTGCCTCTCTATTGTTCCTGCTGCTTCTATTAAACCACCGCAGAGTCGCCACGAGCATTCCTGAGGTCTGAGACTCCCACCTCTCCGCCATCTGTCCCCCTCAGTGGGACGACGACTAATTGACTTAAAGTTAGTTTTTCACCTCGTGTGCTGACCTGAGACCAGCCTCCCGTTACATAATCCAAATTCCTACTAAAGGAAATGAGGCAATGAAACAGACTGCAGGTCAGGAACTGGGTGACTTCCAGACCGCAGAGCGCTCAGAGCTCTGCTGCAGCCTGGAGAGAGGCGACAGGCGGCAGAAGGCTGCGGGATTACAACCCAGACAGATCAGACCCCCCCGCTCTTTGTCACCCACCCTACTGCTCTCTCCCTCACCTCGCCTCACCATGGGGCCGGGTGGCACCAGGGTGCTCCTCCGCTGCTCCTCACCCCGCCCTCTGTCGGCTCAGGAAGCGAGGATATATGGGGAGATACAATGGAGGTCATGCTAATGTACTTCCTGTCATTGTGTTCCCCCAGCAGTGTGTCTGTGTGTGTGTGTAAATAAGTGTGCACAAACACAACAACTGCACAAATGCAAGAAGTAGACGCCATCATGCATGTTTAAGAGTTTAACTCAAGTTTTGATGCAAACGATCCCCTCTTTGGTACTCTACCGTCATGTCCTCCAGACTGCAGCAGGAGTCTCCCCCACTCCTCCAACTCGGCTCTGTTTCCATGCCAGCAGGCCCCCCCAGGACCCCAGTAAACATCCACCGTGCCCCCTAACCTACTGCTAAGTGCCACACACTTCCAATCTGCCTTATTAATCCACTCCTCTCAATGTCTAGCCAGGTATAATCACAGATTTGAGAGAGCAGGTCGCGAGGCTGGAAGAGGACAGAAGGAGGGAGGAAATGAGGGAGGGAGAGGGGGGGAGGGAGAAGGTTAAGGAAGGGTGAGGAGTCCCAGTAAAGATATAAACCCAAGACAGGAAGGGAGAAAAAGGTCCATGCAGAAGCTTTTCAGAAGTACAAAGCCCCCCTAATCTCGCTGCCTAATTGGTGCCTGCGCTCCGTCAAAGCCATCTGACGGTCCTGCGGAGATTAAACAGCCCCGCTCTGAGCTCCACCAGCAGCTCCGGCTCTTCTTCTCCTCTTTTTCCTCTCTCTGCCTTTCCTCCCTGTCCTCTGCCACCACCGGCACCGACTCCTCCCTTCCGCTCATACAGCCGGGATCAGTGTACCCAGGGCGAGCCCCCCGACCAAGGACTGGAGGGAGGTTTTAAATAGACGAGAGCGAGGGGCAGGAGTCAGAGTGGCCTTGTTAACAGCGGAGGACATGACATGCTCTCCTACAGTGAACATAACTCAAGTTAAGAGCACAACCTGATACGGGCCTGCTTCAAAAACAACACTATACTCACTTAAGTTAGAGCGAAAGTCTTGTCAATAGTTACACACAAAGTTGCAGTAAAACTTCTAAGACACAATCCGATGAGAAAATTGAATAAAGTGACATTTTAAATCCAAAAATGTCAAAAATAACAAGCGGCAACAATCAGCTCGGGAGTTTTCCATTTAGGGGCATTTTAGAGATTTTCAGATTAATCTTTGGAATCATAAAAATTTTTAACTAACAGTTGGTGAAGGCTGTTTTATGCAGACTCTGCTCATATGTGATACATAAGCTTCATCGATTGTAGATAGCGAGTGTTACCAGACAAAAACTTGGTAAGTCCACCAAAGTTTCATATATGTGTGAGAAATACTGGAAATTTCACTCTTGATCACTCATAGACAGCAGGAAAAAGCTGATGAAAATGAAGAAAATACAAAATATATGCAAATATACTTTGGTGGGATTAACAATACTTGGGCAGCCCGTCAAAGTTTCATACAAGAGTCAAAAAAAATGGACATTTCCGACTTTATTAGTCATAGATGGCAAGATAAACTGATTAGAAAACAAAAAAAGGTAGAAAATGGAAAAATTATATATAAATTAACTTGGGCAGCCCACAGAGGATCTTACAAAAGTCAGAAAAATTGGACATTTCCTACTTTATTGATTGTAGATGGCGAGCCAAACTAATTGAAAAAAGTTAAAAAATGCAAAAACGGTCTGCAAATATACTTCAGTGGGATCAAGTTTACTTGAGCAGCCCACCAAAGCATGAAATATTTGAGAAATACTAAATATTTCACTATTAGTTAATCATAGCAAGAAAAAGCAGGTAAAAAAGAAGAAAATGTAAAAATTAAAGACAAATATACTAAGGTGGGATTAAACATACTTGGGCAGCCCACTAAGTATCTTACAAGAGTCAAAAAACTGGACATTTCCCACTTCACTGATTGTAGATGGCGAGACTAACTGGTTAAAAAAGGTAGAAAATGTAAAAATGGCCAGAAAATATATTTAGGCAGGATGAGGTTTATGAGAAACACAGGTTCTTTCACACCTTATCAAACACATAGGGAGAAAAAGTAGGAACAATGACGAAAATGCAAAACGTAGGCAAATATACTTTGGCAGCCTGTCGAATCATACAAGAGTCAGAAACACGTTGGTTGTTGGTCGTAGAGGGCAAACCAAACTAGTAAACAAAGTAGAAAATGCAAAAATGGTCGAAAAATCTACTTGAGTGGTATAAATCGACTTGGGATGAGAAACACTGGATATTTTAGAGTTCATCAAGAAAAAAGAGGTAAAAATGAAGAAAATGCAAAAATGTACTTTGGCAGGACTCAACATACTTGTGCAGCCTGTCAAAGTTTCATCCAAAAGTGTGAAACAGTGGAGATTTTCTCCTCTTGAATGAGGAAACGTCCCCGAAAATTCCAACTTGAGATATCAGCTGATGGTAAACTGAGTTTGAGTTTTCTTTGCATTTTTCAAACACGCCGTCATCCTTTTCAGTCTTGTACAGAGTGTGTTTTATTAGGAAAACCATGAATCTCAGTTATTTCTCAACCATCAGTGACGTAGGAGAAGAGTTTGACGACCACACTTCACAGACTGACGGTCTCTCTGCAGAAGCAAACAGGTCACAGAAATCTTGGTGCCAAGTCAAATGTCTCCTCGCACAGAGGTGCTATGTTCTCCAGGAGGTGTGCAGACAGACGGCGCGGTCAGAGAAACCCAGGAAAAACCAGATGCCATATTTAGACAATAGCTCAGATAAGGTGGGGTGCTCACATCACATCACATTCCTGCTAAAAGTAAAAATATCTGATGCTTTAGCCAAGACAAACGGGCGCACCATGGGATAAAAGAGAAGACGGGGTAAAAAGCATCAAAAGGAAAATTCGATGAAAGCTTTTAATCTTACATTCTTGACAAATACCTGGAGAAATACAGCGAGAAGAACCGGTTTAAGCCCGGGATCTGTGCAACAGGGATTTTTGCAATGCTCAACATTCCTATCAATGAGGGGATGATTGATACTCGGATAAAAGGATGACCTGACCGGGTTTATCCTCGATCTGGATCGGTTTTCTCAACACAATACAGAGGAGGACAGCTGACAGGAGGCCGTGCGTGCCTCTCTGACTCTCTGAGCGCATGAATGTGTGCAAGACAACATGTGTCATGTGAGCGTGTGTCGCGTGTGTTCCCCCTCCGCATGCCTGCTCTCAGATCTGCCCGGATTAGTGAGGAGGTTTGGGGGGTATAGCATGAGTGACACACACACACACACAGCCTCCCTGACAGCTGAGAACACACTCCTGCAAACACCAACGGCGGCCCTCGTCCCCATCGCCACGTGGCACCTGCTTATGCACCCTTGTTTCCACACTTCCTGCGATCACGCCAACACTCCTACGCTCACATGCGAACACGGGCATGCCCGCTGTGTCATCGATGAGCAGTCGCCCGCGTCTCACAGCTGTAATAAAGCCGGTCTTGTTTGGAAGGAGATGACTGGAGTCTTCTGAGGTGAATCAGGATTATTACCTTAACGCCTAATCCTCCAAACACTGGCACGCTACACGCGAAGACGCTCCAACAAACACACTTTGCGACACTTCCTGCGGGCCCCACCGACACAAGTTAAGAGCTTGATCTTCTTTGGTTCTAACAGACGGCTTTGCAGAGCACGGCTGATGCTAAAGACATTAAAGCTCGGAGCGCTCATAATGACGTTAGAGTCCGATGTCTTCAACATGATTTATAATTAAGGAGAGAGCTTGTGGCTTCGCAGTAACGGGCTCGCAGTCGAGTTTGGCAGAAGTGTCCTCACCACCATCACAATCCTGGCTCCCGAGGACAGTTTTAAATCAGTTTCGACGGGTTGCCACATCCTTGCAGCCTGGAAAATTGGTGGGTAATCAGTCTTTGTCGGTATAGGGAATTATATGACGCACTGAGGGAAAAGCTGACGATAAATTCAAAATCCCAGATTACAGATCTGACTTTATGTGATACAAGGACCCATCCATCATAAAGAGCAGAGAGACAATCCCCTCAGTGATGATCTTTGCTCCGACGAGAAGATACTGATAACATTCATGGTTTGGAAAAAGCAAAAAAACTCTTCTGGCACCGACCTTTCTGTCTGTTTATTACCCCCTCCCTCAGTCCTCCCCCGGGTTACAGCATGTCCTGCCAGAGCACACCTAGTACTTATGCAACAAGCGTGCATCACCGAGTGTGCATGGAAGTGTGTTTGCATCAGGTCAGGAGAGGAGAGGAGAGTTTATGTGAGCTGTAAGGTGGAAGAGGAACAAACAAGTGAATCGTCTTTAACAGATCTGTGATCACGTTTGGGAACTGAGGAGATCAGGTTTGTCCCGTAGAGGATCCGATCTGTTCAAAAGTTCAGACTCTCTTTTGTTGGAGTTTTCATGGGTCTGTTTGTCAGGTGGGCCAGTTTGGCACCTGGACTCTTCTACTAAGGAGTCATACTGTTGTAATTTGTAGGAATAAAGCAGCAAATATCCGAACCTGTGGAGCATTCAAGGTTCCTTCCCAGATGTGTAGGCTAACCATGGAACGAGCACTTATGGATCCTTAGGCAATGAGGGTTTCTGGCTTTTTACAACAAACCAAGGGGACTAGGGCTGGGCGGTATGGCCTCAAATCAATATCACAATATATTGACCTCCACAAACTGCTCACCCCCTCCCATATTAACTTTGTCTACTTCAGCCGCTACAACTTTTGAACCGTCCTCCACCTCCTCACCTGTCTTTCACTCTTTGTTACAGACTGGATGGGGTGGAGTCACGTCTCTGACGTAGGACAGCGTCTTAAAGGGACATGAGACCATAGCCTACCTACACACATCCAAAACCAACTTTGATTAGTTATTCTTTTGTCATAGAATATACCGATATGAGCAAAATGACGTCAGTTATCATCCTAAATTTTTGTATCTGTAAATTTTCGATTTATCGCCCAGCCCTAAGGTGCATCTGTGATCTCCAAGAAGAAAGTCAATTCTGATTGTTAAACCACAGGACAGTTTTCTATTGAATCATGCTGTGTTTGTGGATGCATCTATGACTTGTATTCAAAGGTAGTAGTTTCCAAAGGGGATTTTGAGCTCATGTAGTGATCTCCACTACAGAGTCATGTCTGTTTTTAAAGCAGTGATGTCTGAGGGTCACATCCTTTGAGAGTTGCTTTTCTACCGTACTGCTTTAACATGGAAGTTTCTCCAGTTTCTCTGAGTTTTTTGTAACGAAAATTAAGAGCGGGAGAAAAAATCTTTACAGCATAGTATCACGATATTTTGTCTGGTGATATATCGTATCATCTCAATTACTAAGAATCAATTTTTCAAACTAACTGAAGTCAAATCTTTGATAATGGAAAAATAAAATCTACTATTTGTCCAGAGAGGTCGGCAGAGGAGACATTATAGAGCAGGAGAAAGTTTGTCCAACAAATATATATAAATAAGGTTTGCAAGATGTGCTTTATGGAAATAAAATAAAGCATAAATAAGACAAACATAAAGGAAAGACAAATGCTAAATGAGCTAAACAGTTGAAAAAAATTATATAATTCGCGATATATTGTATCGTAATACTTACTGTTATGAAAAATCGCAATAAAATTGTATCGTGGGTCCACTAGTGATTCCCACCCCTGATGAAAATGTCGAACTATTTGCTCACACAGTCTCTCACGGAGAGGTGAATCCTTATTTTGCCTTTTTCATATCATGCTCATACCTTCGTGTCTTTGATTTGGATACCATCAAAATCTACAGTGAGCTGAATCTCACTGACTGTCCTCAGCTCCTGGAGGACTCCATACAAAACTCTTGCCTCCATATGCTTAAATATTCATTTATTAAGATTCGCCTGATGCTGATGTGACGCAGAGAGACAGATCATTTCCGTAGGGAAGCTGCACGACTCTGTTTGTTTCGCTGAACTACAAAAACACACAGTTCAGTCCGGGTCACCGGTTTTACAGAGCCGTGTTTTTCTGCCCCTCTCTGCCCTTTCTCCACTAAAGCTCCCAAAAGTAAGATTCATACTTGTTTGGAAGTTTTTCCAAATGATCTTTTGGAGTTTTACACAGACGCTGAATCGAGTTTCTTTTTTCCTCTCTTACATGCGATTGTTCAAGGTCTTTCTATTTGTTTTTGTCTGCCCTGTCTGAAATCTATGTAGATGACATGGAAAGAAAAACACTAAGAGAGAAAAAATGTGTGAATATGTAACCGTCACCTAAACGTATGAGTGTGTTGGGAAATAAAGGGTTAATCTGCAACAAAACTGAGCAGCAGAGAAATGAAAACTCGAACCTTTTATTGACATATTGTGAAAACTGGAGTTCCCACACATGTGCTGCCCTCTCACACACAAACACACACAGCTGTTTGTTACCATGGTGCCCACACCCACAGAGCAAACGCAACTCCCTGTTATTGTTCATCACAAACACACAAAACTATAGAAAACATGAATCAAAGCCAACCTGAATCAACACAAAGAACAACTAATGCCTCGCACGGGAAACAATGGAGAATGCTGTTTGGTTACATGCGGCTCGAACCCGATTGTCGGAGCCAAACTTTTGTCTAAAGAGAAAAGAGCTCGCTGCGCTCCAGTCTGTGTTGAGACTGCGGCTGACATCTAGCTACCCTGTGTTTCATTCTCAGGCCGACTGCAACACTAACCATCACTCCACTCCCACAGAAAGGATCCTGTTGTGACATGAAAGTCATCATTTGGCAACAGTCTCCTCTTGCACTGAGTTAAGTTAGCATTCACGTCGCTCCTCATCCGTCACAAGGAGAAGCAGGAGGCGACTAACGGGAGTTTCAGATCCAAACTGACGCCCGGTTTATTCCATCAGAAGCTTTTTTAGACGCAAAAATCATGCAGAAAAGGAGGAAAATCCACAAGTGCTTCCTAAAAAACACACCTTCATGCTAATGATGGGTTAGCAGCAGACGAGGCAGCAGCGGAGTCATGCACGGTCTTGTTCAAATAGTCTGTCTGCTGTGAAGTCAGTCAGACAGACTTGGTCAGAGTAACTCACTCAGTCTGCAGCATCAAACTAATCAAAGATTACCTAAAAGTCAGACAGCGGGACTCATCATCGCTGCTTCATAGTCTACAAATGAAAGGCACACAAACACCGTCTCATTTTACAGCCAAATACACTTGACCTTTGCCCCCTGTGCACGCATGAAAACTGTGCAGGACAGAGAGCGCCCGGCCTGCATAAACACAGCCGATCCTCTCCATGTTTTATGCAAATAAAGGCAAATATTTCCATGCTTGGTTTTTTTCCTGGTAAAACCACAAGAGCAGCGACAGAACCAAAGTCTGTAGATTATTTCAGGATATGCTGACAAGTTTGTGATCAGAGAAACGTCAAAAAGTAAGTTGATCAGAAGCTCAAGAAAGCATTATTGATCACCATGTTTAGTTTACAATAAAAAGGTCTTTGATTTCTGTCACAAAGGAGAGATAAAATAATAAAGAACCAAACTCAGAGGCTGGAGTGGGGGAATTATTCTCTGTTTTTTTATATCATGTCGTTATGTCACATACTGAACCCCAACGTAACATAACATAACATGTCGTATCTTACCGTACCTGATCTGAAGGTAACGTACCATAACGTTAAACACTGTATCATATCGAGTCTTACCGTACTGGATCCCTAAACTAATGTGGTGTAACCGAACATAACCTACCATGACTCAACATAACATGTCATAACTTAACATAACATGTCGTATCGTACCGAACCCTAACGTTACCTAAAATAACTTAACGTAATGTGTTGTATCGTACAAACCCGAACATTACCTAACAAAACTTAAAATAACCTAAAATAACTTAACGTAACATGTTGTATCGTACAGACCTGGACATTACCTAACAACATAACCTAACATAACTTAACGTAACCTGACATAACTTAACGTAACGTGTTGTATCGTATAAACCCTAACATAATAAAACAGAACTTAAAATAACCTAACATAGTTTAATGTAACTTAACATAACCTGAGAAAACTTAACGTAACCTGACATAAATTAACGTATCGCGTTGTATCGTACGAACCCTAATGTAACCTTAAATAACTTAAAACAACCTAGCATAACCTAAAATAACTTAATGTAACGTGTTGTATCGTATAAACCCTAACATAAAATAACAAAACTTAAAATAACCTAACATAGTTTAGTGTAACTTAACATAACTTAACATAACCTAAGAAAACTTAACGTAACCTGACATAAATTAACGTATCGCGTTGTATCGTACAAACCCTAATGTAACCTAACGTAACATATGTCAAAAGACTTTTTTAAGACCATAATAAATACAATTTAAGATCCACTTCACATCAATACTGGCAAAAAAGTACAAAAGACATGAAGGGAAATCGGAACATTTTAAACTAAACTTCAGAGAATTTAAGGCCTTAAATTCAAATAATTGGATTTTAGACGTTTTAAGACTTCTTAAGACCCAGCAGAAACCCTGTACTGTACTGTATTGTGTACCAGATTGTATGATACACTACTTTTACTAACTTAAGTCCTTCAACAGCCTTTTAGTTGTAAATTCCAATTATTAGTTTTTCGTATGATTAATTACTTCACACAGCTTTAATCTAGTTTATTGACAAATATTTTCTGTTGAGTAGCCGATTTGATAAAAGATTAAATGTAATTTAACTCTAAAATATTTCTGATTCTCATGATCATTATTTTTGTTCCTTTTCTGAACAAACGCAAACAAACACTGACAGAAACTTTAACTTTTAACTAAACTTAATTATGATTGAGTTGAAATCTAGTATGCAGTACATCAAGCTGCTCTGACACAGACTGAAGCAGGTCAAACTCTACGCCATCCTCCTTTTTTTTTTTCGCCACTTTTTTTAAAGAGCTAATGTTCATTGCCCTCTCGGGAGCACAGCACACGACCCTGTAGGGCCCCCCCTGTACTCTGCACAGGGCCGACTTTCCTAAACATTACCCAGAGTGTCCATTAGCCGGGTCCAGTGTGTGGGACTGGAAGAGTCTGCAGCAGATCAAAGAGGAGAGCCGGGGCTGGCCTCGTCCCAGTCTGATTTATTTTTCAATAAATACAAGATGCATCTGTTGAGGAGTGGCACGGGAGAAAGGCTGCTGCTGTTGACTGACTTTTTTCTGCTGCCATCTGTCCTCTGGGAGGCGGAGGAAAGCCAGATTCTTGTTTTTTACTGCAAACCTTATGCAACAAGACTGCCTGCCTGTTCCCTATTAACCGACTCGACTTCATTCTGGTTCAGACCTGAAGCCCCAACACACATATGGACTCACTCAAACAGAGGCACTTGTTGTGCTTCACCCTCACAGGACTGTGTGTGTCTGTGTGTGCATGTGTGTTTGTGTGTGTGTGTGTGTAAAGTGCTTTCATCAAAGGAGCGTCGGTGCTAAAGTCATCCCCTAATAAACTTCAAATGTGGGACACGAGAGGGCCGTTTAACAGAGGGGTGATGTCACCACGGCCATTAAGTGATAGTGGATGTAAAACAATGACAGCAGGTGTACATAATGATCCCCGTAAGGGATACTTGACATTTCACCATGTACAACGCCACAGGATTATTTCTGCTCATTACGACTTCATTTACAACTCCAGCTGCTTCGTCGCGCCGTGACAACAGTCGGTCAAAAAATATGACTGCTGTCAGAAAGGGGGCGGGGCTACAGTTATTGTACACAATAGGGCTGGGCGATAAACCGAAAATTTACAGAAACTGAAATTTACGACAATAACTGATCACCGCATGGGCTCAAAATCCTCTTTAAAAAAACAACTACCTCTGAATACAAGTCGTAGATGCATCCACAAACGCAGAATAATTCAATAGAAAACTGTCCCCTAACAATCAGAATTGACTTTCTTCTAGGAGATCACAGATGCTCGTCTCTTCGCCTCAAAGAGAGGAGGGTCCACCTTAGGGCTGGGCGATAAACCGAAAATTTACCGATACCAAAATTTACGGCAATAACCAATGTCGTTTTGCCCATGTCAATATATTCAGTTTAAAAATAAATAAATCAAAGTTGGTTTTGGATGTGTGTAGGTAGGCTATGCTCTCATGTTCCTTTAAGACGCTGTCCTACATCAGAGATGTGACTCCACCCCATCCAGTCTGTAACAAAGAGGGAAAGACAGGTGAGGAGATGGAGGACGGTTCAAAAGTTGGAGCGGCTGAAGTAGACAAAGTTGATGTGGGAGGAGGTGAGCAGCTGGTGGAGTAGTTATCGTCCATTTATGGTTATAGAGGTGAACTGATCAATATATTGTGATATTGATTTGAGGCCATATCGCCCAGCCCTAGAACACAAACTTAAACACTTGATGATTGATACTTGTCATGAATTAAGGGAGCTCCTCAAAGGTCACCATCACCTTGATATCAGAAAGGGTGAGCAAGGGAGCACCTCAGTCTAGAATCTGAAGGCAAGTACGGCAGCCCTTCATGGACAAACAAGGAACATGAAATAATGAAAAATAACAATGAAATAATGCATCGCAGGATCTTCTTGTCCATCTCTCCACTGACAGGAGGGGTGAGCAAGGGAGGCGTCCCAATTCAGAACCAGGAAGCGACTCTGTATCATTTCACGTTAATCAGACTTCAGATCAGTTCGTCTGACTCATTTGCTTGTTGTTCCTGAATGCAGCATTTCAACATGTCGCCCTCCTCTCTGTGTGGTGACACATGAAGAAAGAGGAGAGGATTTTCCAGGATTACACACTTCAGCGTTTAGAAGAACTGGAGCATTTCTGTGACATCTACTTCATATCTTTACTCAAACTCTACAGACAGCATGTTGTCTTAATCAGCTTTTACAACCACATTTAACAGCTTCTATTTTGCTATTTAACCTCATGCAGCATGGTGCTTTGCAAATAATCAAAAGGTAGAATCAGATACCGTCCAAAGGTCCGTCTGACACAACACACAGACTGTAACAAACACGCTCACAGGAAATACTGTAGCTCATTTAAGTGCGGTAAACTCTGCATTCCAGTCAAAGGTATGTTTCAACATGCAGCAAAACTTCTACCTCCTCATCTTCTCAAAAGTCCTTTCAGACAAATGCAAACAGCTTTCCTGCTTTCCTCTGCAGGATCCAAACTCAGATTAAAGCTGAAACAACTCACCAGCAGAAGGAAATACTTCCTTAATTTCTTTATAAACTGAATCTGGAGGAATTTTCCAGCAAAACAAAGCAGATCTCAATTTTCTTTATTTGTTTTGAGAGGAGCTTTAGTCAAACTGACCCCGGCCCCTGCAGCACAAATGTTTACATGACACTTAAATGACACATGCCACTGTCACAGTGTCGTCACTGCAGAGAAAAACAACACTAAGGAGGACTCTTGAGGACAGAAACGCCGCCAAATCCTCTTAGAACTAAACACAGCCCGACCCGAAGATGATCAATACCAGCACAGAATAAAAGAAAGCACCACTCACCGGCAGCTGGGCTCGCTCTGCTCTAACAAAGTCAAGTGTACTGACTGCTGTCTCAGGCAATGTTGGCTGGACTGTGACGCAACCAGCCTCTCTATCCATAGCTCCAGGGCAGGGGAAGAGAGGGAGAGATAGACAGGAGGGCGGTGAACACAAGACCAAAAAAGGAGGAAGTGAGAGGAAAAAAAAGAGAGAGAGAGAAAGAGAGAGAGGAGCTGGGTACTCCGAGTGAAACTGGAACCGAACGCTCTGAATACGACATGGAAGTTGATTATTTGGAAACCACTTCTAATTGCTAAAGAATATGGAAAAGAGAGAGAGAGAGAGAGCGAGCGCCGCCGGGTGCCAGAGGGTACACCGGTCAGATGATATAAGAAGCAGATGTGAAATATGCAGACATACGAGGAAAAAGAGGCTGAATGTGCAGGTCTGAGCAGACGGGGATGTCAGAGGCCTTTACAGGTATTCAGCGAAAAAATGTTCAAACTTAAACATTAATTTTTAACCACAGAACTGAACAAAACATTCATTCTATAAACCATAAAATTCAGACTGATGTAAATTAAACAATCACTCGTCTGAATCGACTTTAACTCAGCTCTTCATCCTGATGTAGAGTGTTTATATACGCGCTAACAGTTAGTAGGGCCGCCGCTTAGACTTGACAGATAAGTCGACTGATATCAGCCGATACAGCCCCGCTATCGATCAATATGTTTTTTTTTTTATAAAATAAGCTTATGCAAACACTGATCTGTATTCTGGGGTTGATTTGAATTTCAGCTGCTGTAAAATATCAACATTTACAATAAGAGGAATGAAGAAATCGGCATCAGTCCGATCAGTCACAAGGTCGATATCAACATGATCTTCTTTACATGAAAAAACACATTTTTCCCTATTTTTTGATGATAAAAGATTAAATCAGCAGTAATAACAGGCTGGTGTTTAAAATAAATTCAGTTATAATGTGCAGCTTCTGAGAGAAAAATCAATAATGCTCTAAAAATTGAAAGTACGATAGAGTATGTATCTGTCTTTTTCAGCAATTTATTAAAAAATAATCTTAAACATGTTTCTGGCTAAAATAATCCTGAATATTACATTTTAATGTGCATAAAATCACAGATTTATACACAAAATGTTTTTGAAGATTTACCTAAGGTTATAATTATTTTGTTTCAAACAGTTTAAAACGGCTGAACAGACATTTAAAACTAATTTGTGCCATATTCACTGAGCAAAATAGTATTTTTGTCTATAATTAAAACCTTTTTTTTTTAAAGTGTAATATCGGGATTATATATCGGCTTTATATATCGGACAACGGTAGGCCTGCGCTCTTATTATCAGTGTCAACATCAACTGATGAAAACTATAAACAGTTCACCACTAACTGCTACTATTGCCACAACATATGCTACCTCAGATCCTAAAAAAGCTTACTTTGTACTTTTGAAGATTTGGAGATTTCTTAAAAAAACGAAACAAAAACAAACAAAAAAAACAACATTCAGTTTTCGTTAAATCTGAAGTTCCTGACTCAGGACTTGTGGCGCATTCACACTCTGACAGCAGAGGCTGTTGGTTTTAACTAATCCCGTTCACACACCTCCAAGCGCAGCCATCGGGGGCAGGCTTGGGGTTAAGTTTTGCCCAAGGACACTTCGGCATGTTGACGGCGGAACCCGGGAATGAACTCCCGACCTTCTGACTGGGTGACGACCAACATGACCAACAGAGCCAAAGCTGCTGCTCATTATTAGAAAAGTATGGAGAAGTAAGACGGTGAGTTGAGCTCATCGGCAAAGATTTCCTCCTCTCTACTGATCCAACGATATATAATATAATATAATAATACCGTTATCATAAGGTTCTTTTCACTGTTTACATAACAGCCCTTGCTTCATATTTATAAATGAAGATATATGATTGAGAAAGCAGCTTTCTGGGAACATTTGGACGATCATATTGGTGCAAAAATCTGTGCACAGTCCATGTTAAAAAGCTAAACTTTGATTTGGCCCAAAAATGAAAAACCTCAGCTGACACACTAGAAAAATATCCCTCTTGATGTTGACATTGGTCATAATTAAGTCATTATTTTACATCACGCTCTGGCAGCAGTTCCCCATTATTTTGCTTGAACACCTCATAGTTTCCCAGAGCAGAAAAAGAGGTCTTAAAACATCTTATTTAGTCTTCACCAACAGCTCTACATTTGTATTTCCACTTATAAAAGTCCCCCCAAAAATGACGATTTAGGTCCAAACATTAAAAGTCAATTGTAATGAAGTGACAGACTTATTTCTGCACAGGGTGTAAAGAGAAACCACAGAACTAGTCGTGTTTTCATATATTTACCACAGAAGAAGAACTCCCCTCCCCGGTAAGCGCAGCCTCTTTGAGCATCAGTGAACGTACAAATCAATATCTCCAAGGTCTGATCTACAGCAGGTGGTGAAAGTTTAAGTCCCGACTTGAATGAACTTGCTCTGGAGTCCTTCAGATGAATTTTCGTGTGTGTGTCTGTGCGTTTCCAGCTCCTGAAATAATCTGAATCCTCAGGGTGAAAAACCGGCGCACGGATTTAATCTGACAGACGGCGAGGGTCGAAACAACGTGACAGAGCTGAGCGTCTGACTCTGTTTACTACAGCAGTCTGCTGGGATCACACAGACCCATACAAACACACACACACACACACATCATCAACCCCGCCCATCCTCTCAATCACACCCCCGCATGCTCGCACACATCCCGGCTGACTCATGTAAACTCCCACTGAAACTGAGCCCTGCTCTCCTGAGAAGAGAAGTTTTCCGTGTGACGAAGGTTCGAGCGCCGGTTCAGCTGATCCTGATTTACTCCAAATGTCACTTTTTGTATTTTCCCCCTTTTTTTGTTTCTGTGCTAAACTTTCAGGCAGGATTTAGAGCTTCATTTGAACTTTGACCCTGAGGTGAACAGAGGTTAAAAAAGGAGGGGGCGGTAAGGTTTCTTTAAAGTGCTGACAAGGAGGGAAAGTCTTTAAAGTCTGTATTTGTTGTGGATTTGAGATAGAGATCAAAACGTTCGTGTGAGGATAATAGAAATATGAATATGAATCACTTCACAGTAAGGGTGACTCTTCTGCGGATGAGGCGGCGTGACGGTGATGTTATCACGCCATCATCAGGTCTACCTCACGTAGAGATAACTCTTTGTATCTGGGGGATTCCCATTTTTAAACCGAAAGTCTGACCATGAAGCGCTGTATTCATTAAAGGGTTAATCCGCTAAAGACGACTGATTTTAATAACTCTCTAAAATGAGAGTTTTTCCTCTGGTTTTATCAGGATGTGAAAGGGTTTCTTTTTAAGTTGTTTTGTTCTTAAATGCTGGTTGAAGGACGTTGTTGAGCTTCATGGTTTAGAAATTTTTAGATTGAAAAAAAGAAACACTTGATGGTTGCAGCCGTCTCTCTTACACTTCCACATATTGGCATAACAAACTCAAAGCGCAACGTTAGCTAGCAAGACATTCAGTCTATTTACATGCTGCTCAGTTAGAGTCATAGACTGTATATAATATGGAGAACTTGGCTCTGCCTTCCTTCATTATATAAATTTAAAGCCAGATTGTTCTCAGTATTTCAGGGATTTTCCCCACTTCCTGGAACCACCACTTGCGCAGAAACGTTGTGTACATTCGGCGGGAGAGTTGCTGTGATGGCACTCGGCTCAAACTGCATAAATGAAGCTGCACAAAAAAAAGAGGACTTGAGCACAAACCAGTCTCCCAATGCGCCATGAGACGTCAAGATGACATCTATTTAACATATTTTTTCGACGACACAAATGTGGACGTCATTTCAACGTCTAAAAGAGGTCCAATAGTGACGTCTAAATCTTGGATCCATATTGCACGTTGTGCGAACGTCTAGATTTGGTCTTCAGATGACGTCGCACTGACATCTAGATGTTGTCTTTGACCGACCGACCCAATACTGACTTGATCTGCACGTCTCTTCGATGTCCGATGTTTGGTGGGCGTAAAATAACTACATGTCAACATCGCAAACAGGAGAGAGAAAAATTCCTATTCCATGTAATTCATTTCTAAAGTTTGTCCTCAGCTCCGTAGGGATTACTGGAGGAGGCGGGATTTATGACCTATACTGCAGCCCGTCACCAGAGGGTGCTGTTCTCACGGTGGCTTCACCCAGCGAGGAAGCAGATGGCGTCGATTCTATATACAGTCTATGGTCTGACTCTGATTTTCTCTGACATGTTTACTCATCTGTTGGATTTTCTGCACATGCTCAGGAAGTTGGTTGACATTAATACGTTGCTGGGAAGCCGGATGGTAAACAAAACCTCGACTGATGAAGAAAGGACGTTTACAAAAAGATAAAACAGTTATTTTGTAAAAGTGATGCTAAAGCGTTTCGTTGATTGTTTTGGTGCATTTAAGTGAAAGTGGGCGTGCCTAAGTACTTCGCCACACTATTTTGCTACAGCGTGTAAGAGCTCGTCGAAGCTGCGGCGTCTGACGGGTGTTAAACGATTAGCTGACAGGGTGTAAAAATACAACCTTTTCAGCTGAATCGAGTTTATTTAGAGATCTGTGCGCATTGTACTAACTCGCAGGTTGGATGCCGTGTAGGTTTTAAACACCTGTCTTGTGAAACGCATGTGTGGAGTTGGTTGTTGTTCGACTTGGGACAATAAAACTATGACTCTGTTCATCTTGGAAACTAAACTCGACCTCCAGATGACCCTCCTCTTACTCATTTAAAGTTGATATTTACTAGTTTGGGAATTTCAGTTGGACCAAAAATAGAAACGAACTGACCTCTGAGTACAAAATCTTGATGAATCCGAAATATGTGTGAGTCATGAATTGATACAGAGTTGTGCAGCGTGTGTGTGGGAGGAAACAGAGTTGTGTGTGTGTGTGTGTGTGTGTGTGTGTGTGTGTGGTGTAATAGCTAAGTATGATTTATGGCGTAATGTCCTGTTACAGTCTGTTTCTCTGACCACTAACACTCGGCCCACTCCTCTCTGCTCTTTTGTCATTCGGGTTAATCCAAGATGAACCGTGTTTAAACCCCCCCCACAATTAGCCGGCTCGCAAAAACAATTCAAACCCCCCCAGGCCGGACCGGGACGGACCGGGAGGGGTACATGTGATTTTAATGTCAAAAACCCCTCCTCTTCTTGTCCCGTGTCTTCAAAACAAGGCGACCTGTTGAATTCGGGTCTTCCCCGCCGCCCCCCACTGTTGGTCTTAGTCCGGGGGGGGGCTGTATTTAAAAGACTGGACAGCAGAAATGCAATTATCCTGCAGGATTAGCCCCCATTGGCAGTGCCATTGTTGGAGGGGAGATGGGGGGGCTTGAACATGAGTGACCCTCCCTTGAAGCCTGACCTTGGCATTAACCTCTCAATATCTTTAAGCTTTGGATTCTTTCAAGTTCTAAAGGGGGGAGAAAAACGGGGTGATATGAGCCTGAAGATGACAAGGATGAGCAAGCTGGTGTGGGAAAAAAAGAAAAGAGGAAGAAGAGAGAGAGATAGAGAGAGAGAGGGGGGATTAAAGAGGAGTTTTTCACCCGTGACGCTGCAGCTGGAAGTTCCTGGGTTTGGTGGCTTCGGTTCGGGGTGATTTAGAGAGCAAGTGCAGTAATAACAGACTCCGGATGGGAGATTTCTCAAAACCTTATTATCGCCTCTCTAACTAAGCTGTTCTATTCTCACAGCGTTTCATTAAGCAGCGGTTGTTTACGCTCTCCAAACGCTCAAACCAACAATTAGAGGGGTCCGCCGTGAGGGGGAGTCTTCGCATGCGAGGGGATTTGGACGGCGCTGGTGGCGGGGGGTTGTTTTCTCAATCCGTCTCCTCGCTGGGGGCCTTCCATAAGTCTTTGAACCCCGGCTATATTGGTCGGCCCGTACAAGGCCGTTTCCATAGGAGCGTCGGTCAGGTACCCTCTTCCTGTTATTCCCATCTCTGAGGCGATGCTGCTTCCTGACGAGGATGCTCCTGGGGGGCTGAACTGGCGTCATAAATGCGACGCGCTCCAACCTCCCCGACAGGACATTGTATAGATGTATAGATGTATAGATGGACGCGCATATGTCAGTGTCCAGTTTGTTTATTATGGCTGAGTGCCTCTGTTATATGTTATGGCAGAGTTTCTTTCCACGAACCCGCAGGAACAGACGTCCTCTTTTTCCACATTTCAGCGGAGTTACATCATAATTCAGGGTCGGTTTTTGATCCTGGACTCAGCGGGGAGTCTTACAGCTCAGTAAGAGAAGTTGGCTGCACATACAGAAACGATGAATGGACTGAGTATGTAACACTCTCCTATCCTAAAACCTGAGTGTAGCTCCGCCTACGGTGCATCACCTGATCTAGGTGCCAGACCGCTCAGCTGATGACCTTCTTACCACCCAGTTGGCGCCATAAGTGTTTGGTTTAAACCACTTCATCCTTCCTGCTTCCTCTGAACACAGCTCGTTCTTTTTATAAGTCTGATTTTCTTTGCTGCTGCTCTCCCTGCCGTTGCTTTTCATGTTTGTGTATAAAAGGTAGAAGGGTGTCCTCACTTTACCTCAGGTTTTGGTATTTTACGCACACATGAGGAAAGGCAGGGGGCTCTAATCCCAATGGCTGCAAAAAGGCCATATCCGCGATCACAGCTGATTGTTTCCGTTCAAGTTAACGTGTCAATTTCCACCGGCTTCTCTCCGTTTTGCTGCAGATCGGCGGACTCCACAGCTGATCGCAAGAGTTCTATTTTTTTTCGCAGCATGCCGGATAAATTCAGCACAGATTAACCCGTGCTGAAAAGGAAGTTGGACACAGACACAAAATAAAACATCCGGCTTTTTTTTAAAATAAGACACTACGAGTTTCAGGCGGATCATATTTTACCAAAAAAAGAGGACATGTCCAGGTAAAAGAGGACATATGGTTACCCTAATATAGGAGAAACTAGGCAGGAAGAGGCAAGGAGACATCTATGAGAAAAAGGGAACGAGTCTATGAGGGGATGTATCAGGGTGGCTCTTAATTCTTCCTCAAACGCTAAAACATGTTTGCTGAATGTAAATATTTGTGTTTTTGCAAATTTATTGCTAAAAGGCCAAATATGTACAATGCAATATGGCAGATTCAAACTTAAGTGGTCCTAAAATGATAATAAAATACGATGTTTAGGAGATGATAATGTCACTTCATGCTTTGCAAACATATTTCACATTAGATATTAAAGTGTTGCGGGATGTGACACAGGGATCATGAGACTTTTCGGCTGATTCAGGGTCAAACTAAATCCAAAGTACATGATTTTTCTTCACCTGATTTATTATTTAACTTGCTTTCACTCACTTTGTTGTAACCGTCAAACTTCTGATTTCTATGTCAGAAACTGTGACGGTTTTCACGTGAGCTTTTTCACCTGAGTATTTTTGTCGAATCTTCCTCCTCCTCCTCCTCCTCATCATCATCATCATCATTAGCTGCGGTTGGAACACTCCAAGTAAAAATGATGCAACGCCTTTTTTTCTTCCCAATAAGTAAACAAAGGACTGAGTCTACATGTGTTTCTTTTTTATTCATAAAGTCACCTCTCTTGAGCGTCTGCGCCGTGACGTTAAATGAGTCACTGTCTCAGACTCATCAGCTTCCAACAGGGCTGGAAAAGTACAGCTGGATCCAACACGCTCCTCTGTGATTGGTTCACAGCTGATTATGTGTGTGTGTGTGTGTGTGTGTGTAGAGGAAGAAGGAGCTGCCAGCTTGTTACAGCCTGCTCAGGTGTCTTGGCTCCACATGTAACAGTCTTAATTCGCTGGTAAGACGCTCCACACAAACAGGAGAATATTAGTGATAAATGATCCGAATCAGGAGGTTTATGTCATCTATTGTTCTGCCTCCTCTAATAATCAAAGGATCAGTCATCAATTAGACGAGGTGACAAACCGAGCTTATCCTAAAGTGAGACTGATGATCAGCTCAGTCTGTCCCATGAGGAGGTTCCATTAAATCCGCTCAGATAAACACAGATGCTTCATACAGACGAGTAAATTATAAAAAATGATAACCAGCACCGAGTTAAAGCTGGTGTTTTGGTGACTCACTTTTCTCCAAAAAACAAAAACCACTGAGGCACAGAATGGAAAAGTACTTCAGATCTGTGCAAAGCAAAGCAACAGCAGAAATCAGAAATTATAACCAACGCCAGGATCGTCAAAACCAAATCCAAGAGAGAGCCGGCTGGTCTTATCTCATGTGCAGTTTCTCAACAATCCAATCATCTAGACACTTCTTGAAAACTGTCCTTATTTTGTATATTCAGTGAGCATTAAGTGACATTTTTAAATCAAACTTTTTAAAGCCGTTTAAATGACAGAAATGTGCTGAAAAGTTCTTTCATTCTCACACGTAATACTTGGCTGATTACATTATCACTATTTGACTGTTTATTATAAGAATTACGTTAATCAGATTCATGCTAACAGGTGTGTTTAATCTCCTCAGTGAAATAATTCCTTCATATGTTGGAAACAAACTGCAACTATTCACGGATCCAAATAAAGGAGCGTTAACGATGATTTACACTGACTTTCACTATAAACAGTCTGACTATAATTACAAACAGCAGAGACAGGAATAGTTTTCACAGTCAGCGGCGCTGACACATGGACTTTCCCCAGAATTAAAGCTCCTGTGAGGAGTTTTCAGCTGATTATGAAGCTACGATGAGTCCACAGAAGGGAGGAATGATCATGTTGTTAAAGCTGCAGTGGGTAACTTTAGGTCTCTATCCATCTTTGAGCGCCCCCTGTGGATGAAACTGTCTTTTCTTATCTAGCTATCAGATTCAGACATTAATAATTAGAGCATAAAATCTCTTAGTTTTATCTCTTAAGGTGTCGTTTGCTTCAGTGCATCATAGAAAGGCATAAATATGAATTTCAGTCCAATCCATACATGTCCAAAAACTACTTACAGGAGCTTTAAAGTCATTGAAGACCGCAGACAGACTCAAATATTTAACGGTTTAAAGCAGGATGGGGGCGCGCAGATGGCCGCAGGTTCGAGTCTGGCCCCGACCATGTGCTGCATGTCCTCCCTCCTCTCTCTGTCAGCCTGTCCTGTCAATAAAGACTAAAATCGCCCCCAAAAAACTTAAAAAAAGCAGGATGAGATTCTACATCAGGAACTAGATGTAGTGTCGATTTTTGTCCATTGGGGGCACCAAAATCAGCACAAACCAAAAGTTTCTTACAACTTTAAACAACTTTGATTATCTTCTCCAATGTTTCTTTTCTTTTTTTAGATTTAATCTGCTTATGAATGAATCACTACTACTAAAATTTGCACAAACCAAAAGTTCCTCACAAATTTAAACAACTTTTACCACCCAGAAGTCGAGTTTGAGCGTCATCTTCAATGTTCTCTTTTTTTAGGCTTAATCTTCATATGAATGAATCACTACTCTGTCCACAAAGCAGCCTTTAAGAGTAAAATATGAGGCAATAAGTGAAAAAATAAAGCATGTACAGATTAGTGATCAATCTCAGCAGTATCTCCATGATCAGCTTTATCACAGCCATCAAAGATTGGTTCACTTTTCTCTAGTTCCTCTTATGTCGAAATGACTCCAGAGTCATCAGCCTTACGCAGACCGCTGTTTCCATTTGCGGGCTTGCATTACTTCATAAATCCAACTTCCAAGGAACTTTAAAGTAAAGCTGAGCTCACATCCTGTTACTTTTTTTTTTCTCTTTTTTCCCAGAAACACAAGTTACAGACTCCATAGTCTGCAGTCACTTAAGTACAAAACAGGCTGTTAGGAAATACATATGGAAAGATCAGCAAAGAGAGAGAGAGAGAGAGAGGAAAAAAAAAGAGGGAAACATGGGGAGAGAGGAACATAAATCATAAAGTATACTATAAAACACACACAGCTATTATCCCTGCCAGGAGATTTTCTTAAACATTCAAAGAATATTCCTCAAAAGCACCGAAGCAAACGGAGGGAAAGGAGGAGGGACGTCATCTAAGAGGATACACACAGCTGGTTTAAATCAATCTACAGTCCATACATACTGTGTGGCTGAGTGCTTCCTCAGTGCGGGAGAAGTGAATCCCCGCAGACCTAAAGACGGACTATAATCAGGCTGATGGGAAGGTGTTAGTGTCGCTGCATGACATCCAGATCTTAATCCATCTCTAGCAGCACCTAATAGCAAAAAATAGCACCTAATACCTTCACCCTTCAACCCCGTTCACACATGAAGAAAGCGGGCATCGAGCCCAAACCGGGTGTTTACTTAGCAGCTCTCTGTCAGCCTCAGTTAGGTGAGATTTTCAGCCAACTGAAGGAGAGGTTAAATCAGTGCAGCAGGCCCCGTCTCGAATCAAAGACCTGGACTAAAATAAGAGAAATAGTGCATGATTCAAGCAGCGGTAATAAGGTGACCCCGCGTTTAGGTATCGTAGAGGTTTATCTGCGCCTCTCTGACTAACATGATATTACTTCCCCGAAAACAGCAGCGAAGGATTACTCACGATGTGTGACTGAATGAGGACAGAGGAGAGGAAGAGCAGAAGAATAGAGAGAATGGGAGCCAAACGGAAAACACAATGTGGGTGAGGATCAGAGAGAGGGTGACGACACGAGGCTGACAGGCCGCATTTCACTCGAAAATGGAAGACGAGCTGAAGAGGATTTCCAGAAAACAGAGAAAAAAATGAGTAAGATCAGCTGTTTACATCTACTTAAAGATTCCAGGAAACCCACAATCTAAGCTGGATGCAACCATAAAGATTGGCAGATAAGCCCTACTGACCGGCAGTAGTGTCCGCCTCCTCCATGTAAACAGATGGGACATGGACATACCCGCCAACACTCCCGTTTTTCCTGGGACTCTCCCACATTTCAGACCTATGTCCCACCTATCTCCCGTATTGTCATTTCTCTCCTGGGAATCTCTATTCAAGCAAAAATGAACACTCCAATGAAAGAGAAACAAACGTGAGAGTTAGTATTTACGTTGATAGTCTTGCACCATCTTTGAACGATGTGTTCAGGGCCGCCTCAGATAAGGTATATTGTAGCTGTTATCTTTTTATTATCATTTATATTGTTAAAACAAAACAAAAAGTATGCAGCTTCACTTATACTTATTTGGATGAGCAATCTTTACAAATACTCTCATAATTAGCTCATATCCACCATACAAGGTAACCCCAAAATTGCCCAGCGCGCCACAAAAATCTCTAACAAGACACTTGAATTTGGGGTTTAATGCCACAATTAGCAGATTTTGTGATTCGTGCTAACAGAACAGACCCTACTGCACGGAGTCTGGCTCCAAAGATGTACTTTGGATTCACTTTTGTAGAGTCATAGGAGGTGAAGACATGCCGTCCATCTTTACATTCAGGTAAATGATGTTGTAAGGATGCATATCCTACTCTGCAGTTTGCATTAAAGAGTCAGCTGAATGTTTTGTTGTAGGGCTGGGCGATATGACCTCAAATTATCATTACGATATATTGATCAGTTCACCTTAATAATGATAAATAGATGATAACTACTCCACAAGCTGCTCACCCCCTCCCACATTAACTTTTGAACCGTCCTCCATCTCCTCACCTGTCTTTACCTCTTTGTTACAGACTGGATGGGGTGGAGTCACGTCTCTGATGTAGGACAGCGTCTTAAAAGGGACATGAGACCATAGCCGACCTACACACATCCAAAACTAACTTTTATTTATTTATTTTTTTTGACACCAAATTTACCGATATGGGCAAAATGACGTTGGTTATTGTCGTAAATTTTGGTATCTGTAAATTTTTGGTTTATCGCCCAGCCCTACTTTGGTTTGTTTTATTTCTTTTGAATCAGAATTAAAATATTAAAATGTATCATTTTGCATTCAAGCCAGTTTACATCCTTATTTCTATTCAGTTTGTACTGATTCAATGTGTCCCAGCCTGAAAGAGACTGTAAAATTATAAGCGATATCCTCATGTTAATAATTCTATTTTTTCTTATTACTCTTTTTTTGTCCAAATGTGTGATTATTTTGGATTTTGCAGCTCTCACTAATCGTTTCAGTCTGTTTCACTTCATATTAAAAACTAATCGAGAGCGACGGTCCCAAAAATCAAAGTGAAACTTTCCTCTCATCCTTTCACTCTCTGTCAAACCGAGACTCCCTGAACATTATCCCATCTGCCTCCAGCTGTTTGGGCTGGGAGGGCCCCGTTTCCACAGAAACCCACACCTTACAAGTCGTCTTGTCTGGTCCTGTCAAAGCTGAGAGAGAGAGAGAAAGAAAGAGGGGCGAGAGAAATGAAGGAGGCTGGGATAGGGAGGGGGGGAAGCGATCAGGGGTAATAAGCCCTTTCTATGTGGGAGTCTGGATCCAGTGAGCAAGCTCAGACTAGCACTGAGCGCTAACCAACACAATCTGAAACGAATCCCACCAACTCAGCCAAGGACTGGAGGTTGTCTTCCAGTTGGACACCTGCAGGCTTGGAGAAAGCCACAGTAAAGTATCCAAATACAGCAGACAGCCCTGTTGGACACACATGTATCGGGTATTAAAGCCCGCCAGTAAGCTTCTCTTTGAGCTCTGTTGTGTAATGTGGTGACAGCGCTGAGCTACAGCAGCGTAAGAACAGAGGCTGACACCTGGAGTGATTTCAGTAAATTATGGTGCAGGTGAGCTCATGCTGTGACTGGAAGAGAGACGCGGGCCTGTCAGGCGCTGATATACAGCAGCAGCGGAGCGAAGGCAGGCCTGTCTGGGAAGAAAACGCTTGAAATGCAGCGCAGGTCCGGCCTCAGATTCTCCCTCTGTCTGTGTTTGTGTCCCGCTGCCAAACCACAGGAATATCAGAGAGACTATTCGTAGTACTTCAACTCTTAAAACGAAACATAAAAGTTTAATGCTGTTTCATATTCAGAGGAAAACTGCTCGCTTTCTGTCATGCATCTAAACTTAAAGTGGTTTTCCTCTTAGTTATGGAGTAAATGCAGACTGAGTGAGCAGCAGAGCGAGGCCTGTGGCTCACAGTTGCCATGACGTTGCCCCCTGCTGTTTAAAACCGGCTACAAGCAGTGAGTGTAAAAATATTGAGCAACAAGCAAAGAGAAATGCACAGTCAGGGTGATATGTTTCATGACTCATCATCTAAATGTTCCTTTAAGGTGCTAAAATTATCAGAAATGAAGAAATTATGACATCTGGGGATGTCTGGAGTGTACTGGGACGCAGAGATCACCTCAGGGTCAGGCGGTGAAGCATAGAAATAAACAATGATTCACCAGGATGGAGTCATTTAAAGTCTGGGAGCCTAATGACAAACCTCAGAGTGTAATAACTTATACGGAGGCTTTGATTCAACGCCGCTCACCGCCTAAACTGTGAATTATGAAGCTGAACTTTTTAAAGAATCCATCACAGAGTTATCTAAGTGGACAGAGTGAATCAAGTCAGATCCAAAATGCCGGTTTTTACTCCAAAGAAATGTTCTTTTTCAAACTTAGATATTCAGGAATAGTCACTGTCAAATTAATAGGATTTTTTCAATCAATAGGGGATTAATAATTGCGAGGATAATCTGAGCACAATGTGTGTTATGCTGTGAAGGGTAACTGAGTCACATAGCTGCTTTTAAAGGTCCAATCAGGAGTTTTTTTATTATGTTGATGAAATAGAATTAAATTCACTTCAATGCTTTTTAATGCCACACAAAAGCAGCTGAAAACATTATCGCCAAGATTGACGGTTTTTATATCATAATTTTAACGCCTGAAACAAGTGTAAGGGTTTTTTTTTCAATTTCATTATAAAATATTCAATGTAAATGATCATTTGACCATCAAAAGTGAGCAGGATGAGATTCTTTTTAATTAGAGGACAAACGAGCAAAGATTGATATCTTAGAGCTAGCTAGATAACAGCAACAACCACTTTACAGCAGTCTACGGCAACTCTTAAAGGGATATTCCGGCATAAATTTAAGTCAGGGTCAAACACACCAACTGCTTGCTTCTCTAGTTTAACCAACTTCAGTAACGACCGCACGATAGCAATACACAGCGGTCTGAGGAGCCATAAACAAACCTCAACCAAAACGCCACTCTATAGCCACAAATAATGCTCAGAACAGCACCTAACTTCATCAACAGTACATATAGGGTCACAGCCACCAAACATCTTTTTAACTTTGACTAATTTCTTTAGCAAAGAGACTAAACATAACTCACCTACTCTCTTCCAGCAGCCGCTTGTTTGTAGCGAGACCTCGGGCCAGTCCATTACAGACTACAGCGGGGTGACGCAGCTCAAGGAAGAACAAGCACTGTCTATAGCATTAGCATTAGCAACCATGTCTAATATGTCAGTGGTGTTGTAACATGTAAGTCTAGTTTCATGGAGCATGCTGAGCTACAAAGACAGAAACAGTCTGTCAAGTTTTCCATAATCTACTTCCACGACAACATAAACCCTGACCCTGAGCAGGAGGGGGGGGCTCTTGGCGTCCCACAGGTCCGGTCCCACCCGTGCCACAGCAGGTCTTTAAACACAGATGCACACTTCGGTCTCTGCAGACACGTCCTCTATCTTTAAAAGATGGAGTTTGCTGAGTGAGGCGAAGTTGGTTTGAAGATTCAATAATGTGAGGAGCAGAGAGAGGATGGTTCAGGTTAAGCTCTTTGGCTCTCTCTTCTTACCCCCACTTTATTATTCTCTGTTACCATGGAGATAAAACTATATATAACCTCCTCTCCCTCCCTCCACGTGCTGTCTGAATTCACCTTCTTTTTCTAGCGGTTGTCTTCACTCTCTATTGTTTCTGCAGAGAGGACAGCAGGGGCCGACGTCTCCATTCAGAGGGAAAATCTATCTAAAGCTTCACTCTGCTGGCATGAACGACAGACAGGACAGACAGACGGACAAGCAGACAGACAGACAGACAGGCAGCATGTCGCTTTCTGTGGTTGTCTGGATAGACTCCCATTTTTAGAAACCAGTGGCTTCAAAGGAATAATTCATTTCACAGTCTGGTGGCCCCGACACAGCGCCCTGACATGCACGCCCCCTTTTAACACCTCAAAGAAGAGAGGCAGCTTCTAGACACAACATTTCTACTCCTGTCTTTTCATGCGCAACAAAAGAGGCCAAAAGAGACTCCTGCAAACTTCAGTCAGAGTGTGTGCATCCTGACTTTAAAGCTGCAAATCCCTACAGTCACTGTAACTGCACTCACAATGACAAACATGACTCCTCTAGGTTTGATATCTCCATCATGACGATATCGTTCGTCACTGACCTCCAACCGCAACAAAAGCACCTCCAGGACTGAGCTCAGTAAGTTCTGGCACTGAAATGAACCGGTTCAGGTTCAGGGAAGACGAGGGTTTGGTCAAGGTTTGGAGACGTGTGTCATCATGGCGACTATAACGACCACTTGGTGAAGATTAGGGGGCGTTTGCGGTCGTGGTGTCGAGAAGCCGACATCGCTTGTTGGGAGGAAACAGGAAACAAAGTTTGGAGCTGAGGCAAAGTGTTAACCCGTTCAGCTCAGATGTTTTTATCACTTTCCTGATTTCCTGAACCATTTCTTCACAAAAATGGGAGTAAAAACTTTGGCAGTTTGTTTTATAACCGTATAATTGTCAAAAATCAAGATTCACGCATCAATTTATGCAATTAGAGACAATTTGCACAGATAACATTGAGCTATTGTTGGGTTTTCCGGTCCTCTTATTCGGTAAAACATTACTGGTGGCTAAAAATGCAAACTTTTCGAGCCAGGCTCCAAACTGTGAAGACCTGCAGTTTAGGACTGGGCGATTATATAATCGTGATTAATTATCGGGATAAATTTCAGTCCGATCACGGTGATCAGCTGTGAGCCTATTTACTCGATCAAACATGGCGAAAATTTGCGTCACAACAGCCAATCAGAGTGGAGCTTTTCCTGCTCACTTCTGTAAGTTGCTGGACAAGTAAAGTAACCGAACATGGAGCTGACGGGCAGTAAAATAGTGGTCAGCCATGACTCTGAGTCATCCTCCAAAGATGTTAGTGGATATATTATAGAAGAAAAGTTATTTAGTATTTATCTATTTATGTTTTACTTTTAAGTACAGATGCTTTAAAACTGGCAGTTTTAAAAAAAAAATCGGGATAATAATCGGGATCAGACGATATGACAAAGTATATCGTGATCATGTTTTTGGCCAAATCGCCCAGGCCTACTTGCAATAGGTGGATCCTGCAAAAAGACCAGTGAAGGACCAGTGTGCGGTCTCTACTCTGCTGTTTCTACTGAGTTTAACTTCTTGGTTTTTGAGCCGTCGTCTTCTTGTTTGCTTGCACACTGCAGCATTTTCACTTGTTTTTCAATGTTTCATACATCGCAGATTTCTTTGAACCACCCAAGTTGAATCAACTTTTCGTGTTAGCCGACTTCCCCGCCGTTTCCTCGAGTTGAAATCTGTCACTCCACAAACCCTTATTAAGTCCGAGAGGCTTACCTTAGAGGCCCTCCGTCGCTCAGGACACTCAGGATGCTGGCACACCACCCAGTCCTCCTCCTGGACGGGCTTGTCATCTGAAAGAGACACACACACACACACACAAACACACGGGTCAATCTGACGTCTCTCTTTATCACTGAAACACCAAACCAGGCACACGTCCATTAACACACCTTTCTTGGTAAAGCTGTAAAAACATAATGTAGACATGAAGGCTGGAGTCCCTGCCTGTGTTTATAGAAGGACGGGGAGAAAAAAGAGGGAGGGAGAGTGACTTTGAGCACCCAGAAACACTCTCACACAGTCATAGAGAGCGAGGAGCCGTGTCATAAAGTGAAAAAAGAGATTTCGAGGAGGAAAGGTAAACAGAGGGAAGAGGGTGGGGTGTGTCGTTGGGAGGAGATCAGAGAGAAATGAGTAACGAGCGCAGAGGCAGGAGGAAAACGGAGCGAACGAGAGGAAGCACCATCCTGGGTTTTGAACGCGAGTGCACTCATCGCGGGGAAGCTCGACTTCACAATAACAAATCACCATTGTCAAATAAACCTCCCCAATCTACTTGACTGGCCGGCTAACGCTGCCGCATTCAGGGGATGATAAAAGGCCGTGTTTACCTCTACATCTCCTCCGCGTACACACACGATAAAGATATCAAAACAGAGACTCTGAGGGCAACAATATTTTTCTGTCTGCCTAATGAGAAAAACAGAATAAATGTGCAGGAGGGGAAGGTAAAGGATGGGAGAAGGTGCTCGTTGCAGAAAAGTTTTGCTCAGATAGTCTGCTTAACGTCTCCCTATTTGGCCGAGCTGCACATGCACATATATTACATCTAAATCATCAGTAATCGAGACATGCTGCTGCTTGAAAATGAAGTCACTTAGTGGCCGAACTTTAAGGCCACTTTAAACAACCATCCGTCACAATGAAAGAAAGAGTAAAACAGCCAAGGCGCTTCTTAAGAGCTGGTGTACAGGAACAAGTCACCTCGAGTCATCCACTTGGCTACAGCTACACTCACAGGTCAAGGGTGCTGCTGGAGGAGAGGGAAAAACACTGTAATTGGTGCATACCGCAGAGCCCAAGGCTTCCCCACTGGGAAGGGAAGGGTCAACCTGTCTGCAATGAATTTGCTCAATGGGAGTAAAAACAAGACGGAGAGTCTGCAGCCACACTAGCTCCTCTGTGAGACGGCGCTCTGGCACAGCGGCGCTGCGAGATTAATGCTAATGTCAACATGTGCACCATGCCAATGTTAACATGCTGATGGTTAGCAGGTGGAATGGTGACCGTGCTCACGACTGTTGGGTTTGTTCGCATTAAAGCTACAGTGTGTGGTATTCGGGAGCATTTAGCAGAACAGACTGGGAGGAAATTTGATGTTTTGGAGACAGAGAGAGTGAACATCGAACGAATTATACAAAAGTTTATTTACAAGTTCTAAATGGACCTCAGTGAAGCTATGAGATCAACCTATTGGGGAATAAAAGGGAATTTACAGACAGGTTCATCATCTGTGGACCATGAACTTGACTAAGATTTCTGAGTAACCTTTGACAGTGATTGGGTTTAATGGTCGAAGTCTAATCATCGTGTATCACGGCAGCTTTTTGACCTTGAGGGCCACCGTTGCTTGACAAGTCAGAGGGGTGAGGAAGAGAGCGATTTATTCTAAAATCAGATTATCATCTGGGGACTAAGGGTAGGAATCACTAGTGGCACCACGACACAATATTATCACGACACTTGGGGCCATGATACAGTATTATTGCGATTTAAGCATTTTGCAATACAGTGAGTATTGCGATACAATATATTGCGATTTACACAATATTTTTCAACTGTTAAGTTAATTTAGCATTTAGCTTTCAATCATGTTTGTCTTATTTACGCTGTATATTATTTTTATGTAGCATATCTTGCAAACCTTATATTTACGTGTTGCACTAACTAGAAATTAATTTGAAAAAACGATATTTGTTAAATGAGACGATACGATATATCACCAGACAATATATCGCGATACTATGCTGTATCAATTTTTCTCCCACTTTCTCCCATGGGGACCATGAAAGCCTGTCCTTGATTTTTGAGTGACCTATGAAGCTGATATGATTAGGGGTGTCCTGATCTGATATTGATATCGGGTATCAGTTTGATATCAGCCAAAAAAAAAAAAAAAAACAGATTATATCGGCCTGCATCTAAAATCCCAAATACAAGCAGTCCATTCCAGACTCTGCTCCAGCACTGCTAGCTAGCAGCGCCTGAATCCAGCATGCAGAGCCCATGTGATCACAACAACAATGTGTATCAATGCTGTGTTTGAGTTACCGCGGAAGTCAGATATCGGAGCTGAAAATGACGTCACACCAGAGTTACCAAAGTTTCAGTTACCAGAAACATGATGGCTAAATCTACAAAAGCTGTTTTAGCGCTTGCCTTGTCCGAATATAACAATGATAAGGCAAGCGCTGAAGTAACTATCCACCTCTGATTTAGATTTTTTCCGATGGTAACTGACTTCCGCGGTAACTCGAACACAGCATATGGTACTGACAAAGTGGCAAGGAGAAGGAGTGATGTCCGGAAAAGATGTTGCAGCCAAATCAAAACTGCACAAGTTTGTGCTAAATAAACATCTATAGTATCGATCATCCACAAACACCAAATGGTTGTCAAGGTAATTCAGTCCTTGACGACGAGGCCAAATCCAGACCCGGTCATGCCTTCACTTCCACTGTTACTCAGTCTAAAGCCCCTCTGGACACGTTCAACAATTCCACCCAACTTTCACTAACCTCCGGGGAAATGTCTGCGCAGATCTGGGATCAGGCCGAGACATACTCTCAGCGCTGACTGTGGTTTCTGCCAGCAGGCCTCAAACTAACAGGTCCCTGAGGGTTTACAGGCAGCGCACTGCAGAGGGAGCCTCCAGCTTTGATGGAGTACTTCCCAGAGAGGCAGGACTTTCTTTGCAAGAGCGAGACTCTGCAGGTGACTCAGAGTTCATCAGGTGGGTCGAAATAAATCAAAATATGGATGTGAGACAACTATTTAACAACAAGCTTAACCCAAGAGGCAATAATTACACACTGGAGAGCTAAGACTTGGTCTCAATCCGGACTTTTTAATCTATTTTTATCACATTTAAAAAGCTTGAGTTGGTGTGTCCTTTAATTCACACTGTCCTAAATTCGAGCTCTTTATTCGCCCCGTTTCCTTTTTCATCCGTCTTGTAAAATCACTCCATCACGGCTGAAGCTCCATCTTCTGTCCTACTTGCTCAGATCTTGCTGACTCTCTCGCTTTCTCGCTCTCTGATGAACTGGAATTTCTGAACTCAGCAGTGCTGATTAAGCCAAAAGCAAACACAAGCACACACTATACACGAACACACGTGATGGCAGACAATGAGCTCGCACTCTAAAGAGACGGTGGAGCATCGCATCCACAGAGAGAGAGAGAGAGAGAGAGAGAGAGAGAGAGAGAGAGAGAGAGAGAGAGAGCGCCCGGGGCAAAGGCCCATTAGGTACCCATAAATAAATCCAGACCAGCGAGGGAAAAGTTCGAGATGATGTTCACTTGAACACGCGAGATTTACTAAGTATTCCAACTTGTCAATCTCAGTTTCCTCACTTTGTAACCGCAGAACAACCATCCTTCCTATCAATCATGCATGACTGCTGCTCTGATAATGCACGAGAGCTGAAACACGCCATTTACCGACCACGCACCAATCAGGAAACTAAAATACAACAGTTTCAGTCTACTGTGATCGATTCTTGGATTCTGCAACACGAGAACAATGCGTCTCTTTCATTCCCGTGTCTTTTAAATGTTTCATCTACGGGTGAACACGCTGGCTTTCTGTCTACATCAGTCTTGGAAAATGCATATTTAAGATCTTTTTGTGCAAGAGCTCAGATTTTCATTTAATGCGAGTCAGCTGGAGGCATAAAAGAGTCAGACACAGATGGCTTTCGGACAATAAAATAGGCTGCCGTCAGCTTGAAATGAGAGGCCTGCAGTTGTCTGAGGTCAGAGAGAGAAAGTTTTGAGTTTTTACTTTTGATTGTGAGTCATAAATCGTCACGGTAACCACTGTCAAGCGAGCAAATTCAGTGGAAAGTGGAAAGTTTGACAGGTGTTAAGCAATCCTGCACAGAGTCGTTTGGATGTCGGATAAATATTGGTGCACCTTCGGAGAGAGGTGCTATCAAAGTTCAACCAGGCTCCTTTTCGGTCTTCACCACTTCCCTACCAGACCTCCAAGTTTAGGCAGGGAGAGGCAGAACCAGGCACCAAGTCTAGCCGTAAGACCTGCCCACGGTTTTATGAGGAATGTCAAGAATGCTTCGCCCTGTTCGGTGAGATCCCATCATGGCACACGAAGAGGAGGGCAGCAGACAGTTCATACTCAAACACCAGCTTCGATAGACAGATGGCGGGCAGGCGGGATGGCATACGGTACGAGAAAGCTGGCAAGGAGATCGCTGTATCAGCACATGCAGGGTAGCCAGCAGATGGGAAAGTGAGAACATACGTTATATTAACGCGGCGTCAGGATCCAAGGTTGGAAACAGTGAGGGATGTTTGGCCTATCATCGGGGTCTGGGTAACAGTCGGGCAGATCTACAAGTGTAAAGTGGCGAAAACATCATCTGGAGCGCCTTTTCAATTAGCAGACACTCCAGTCAGTCCCTGAACTGGGTTTTTATATTCAACGAGGAATCTTCTAGGTCAAATGCGTGACTTTCACCAGGGAGTCTGCTGCTCATTGTAATGTTGAGACAAGTGTCCATGTTGATTTAGGATTTGAATCCAGTCCAAGAGCGTCTCCTCGACTTCCAGCTAAGTAGGTTTTGGACTTACTGTCAGTCATGTCTTATTGTTGTATCAGTTTGGGAGAGTCTAGACACCGGCGCTAACCTGGTTTGGGTCTGACAGTCAGTGTGTTTACATGCACGGCTTTATCGGACTAAGCTCATATTTGTTTTATTCGCCGAATCGGACTTCTCTCCTTGTCCTCGTTAACATGCAGCTGAGAAAATTGAATTATTGCCGTGAACATGTCCTCCTCTCCAAAACTAGGCGGAGATACGGGTCTTTTCAGTGCCGCTGTTTCCGACCCGATACAACCGTCAACAGCAACAGCAGGTCGGTGTCAGACGTCAGAAGTGTCTACAACTGCTGCTGGGCATTTTGGAGAAACAAGAAGATGGAGCGTCCTTCAGCGTTGTTCTTGTTGTACATGATGGATGCGGTACTTTTTCCTTCTCTGGTGTTTTTGTTCCGGGGTTACGGGGGCGTGGCGCACACGCACATGCATTGTCCAATCATACTCTTACTACACTGGATACATGGTAGAGAAAATCGAATTCCAATCGCATTATCTGGGTGTCTTAATTGGAGTTCTCAAACTCTGATTATATTCCAACTAAGAGGTGTTTACGTGCACTTCAGTTGTCTGGTCTTAGTTGGAGTAAGGCGATAATTCGGTTTTCTCAAGTGTCGTGGAAACGTGCTGACTGAGGTCAAGCCCGGGAGTCTCTTCTATTCAGATTCAGGGGCGCTCTGGCAGCGAGTAAGTTCTTGCCAATACAGTTTCAAGACTTATAGTAGTCAGTCCAAACCAAGATCAGTACCACAAGAGAAACAAAAGAGGAGATTCTTGCTGTGCCAAATGATCCAGATCACGTAAATGAGATGAAATTCTCATCCGCACTGAGGAAGGATCCAAACACGACTTTTACACGTTAAGATGGATCCAAAACAGCTTGAGTAAGATCATAAGACCTTTACAGATTTGAAGCAAACTGAGGATCTTCATGGATGTGATGTTTTTTTGGATCAAGAAAACTCAGTCAGTTAGATTTGGGCTTGGACCTGGAAACAGTTTTATGAGAAAATCTTAGAAAAATCCTCCTGTTATTTTGTCTAAAACACAAGATTCATCCCTCGTTTTTCAGGAGAGTTACTCAGAAAACCGTTAATGTCCAGTAAAAAAGGCCAAACCTAATGAAAAGCTCTTTCCTGAGTGAACATCTCAGTCCAAACTTTCACCTCTGAAGCCCCACAGAGTTCCTCTACAGGTGAATGAGACGCTCGAACCCGAGCAGGTTGCAGCTGTTTTTAATGCCGAGGGTTCAGTGGCGACGGGGGCAGGACGCAGCCCTCCTGCTTGATGTTGTTTTACCCCCATAGCGGTTAAATCACACACATGTGCATCACACACTCCCTTCCCCCCCTCCCTCCATCTTTCTCCCTCCTCCACCACATCAGAGCGAACCCGAGGTCTCAACGTTTTTAACTGGAAACCGCAGAACAACAAGTGTAAACTGTTCCAGAGAGGGGCGGAGGGGCGGACGACAGTCCTCAATTTAAAAGATGGAGAAAAACAAATAATGTATTTATTCTGCTGACTCATTTTGTGATTAGTCAAGAGAAAAAAAAAACTCTCCATTCTTAAGCCTCTCAATGTGGTCTACACCACTGTTACATTAGGACGAAGCATTAGCTGAAAACTCAATACGCTGTCCCCGTTTTTAAGAGGGGTCATAAGGGGATTACTGCATTTCTTGAATTTTTTAGAGCATTTATGTCCGAGAGTACAGTAACCGGTGAAGTACGAGCTGATTATTATGTAATAATGTGGCCTTTTGGGGTCAGATTCTTCTTTTTATGGGCTTAAACTGCAAAGAAAACAGGAGCATGTTCAGCTGTTACTGGAACCCGTGGCTGAGTATGACCCGAGGAATGCAGCGTGGACCGGCTTGGCGAAAGTCGTGTACGGCATGAGTATAAGAGCGGCGTGAAGTGACTTTTACTGGAGACCAAATTAGGACGCAACCAACAGTCTGAGTCTGTTCATGTCGGGGCGTCGAAAGCTTGATTGTTGCGCTCGTACCTAAAACAGCTCCGTCACCTGTTTAGCAGGAAGTCTATCGTCAGTTTGACGAGTGGGTTAGTGAACCCTGAGGACAGTAAACAAAGAAACATCAACAGAGCTTTTCTCAAATAACAATACCCACACAACCGGTCTGTATTAATGTTCCGTACCCTCCTCGCCAAGAAGATGCACCCAGAAAACCAACCGCAATCAACCAATCCATCCTCACCCAACCGTGGGACTTCAGGTTCATCCGTTCTCTAAAGGATGTGGTTATATAAACAGTTTTTAGGTGAAGGCTTTTGACCCAACAGACTTTGCAAGACCTGACAAAGATTGTCGTCTTTTCTTATTTCATCATCTGAACCCACATTTTTAAAAACAGCAGTAAGCGACAGAGATGGATCAGCATTAGCAGTAGAAACAGAACCGTTACAAAGACTGTAACTGAGGAAGCCATCATCAAAATTAATAAAATTGTGTTATTTTATCTTATTTAACTCTAAACTAAACTTTCATATATTCTTATGTTTATTAGATAAAATTAAAACGTTTTGAGCTCTTTGTTTATATTCCGATGTTTTGGTCTTAAAGCTACAAAACTGACGATTAAGTATTAAACATAACGATAAGAGTTTATGTTTGGAGTATAGAAGTAGAACCGAGAACCTCAGGATGTTTGAACGTTTCTTGAAATAGATTATAGCAGTGGAATTATGCTTTTCCACATTTACAATGTTTGGGATTCATACTAGATGTACATACATTTTCAAATCACGAGGTAAGCGTATGTTGTAATTATCCAAGAAAATCAATGTTAACTGCTCAAAATGGTTCGTTGGGAGATCTCGCGAGATCTCTGTGAGACTTACCAACTAATGATGTCATCGCGATAGGCTCTTTTGCTGCATTCCAGTTACCTTGGAAGTCAGAAGTCCGAGCTGAAAATTACGTCACAACTGAGTTAGCAGCATTAAGTTACCAAGTCGTAAAAAAGCGAAATCGGGTTAAAGTTATTTTAGCGTTTGCCTTGTCCAAATATAAGGCAAGCGCTAAAATAACTTCTGTAAATGTAGCCATCTTGTTTCAGTCTCCGATTTTGCTTTTTTCTGAAAAAAACTGAAACACTGGGAACTCGGGTGGAGCATCATTTTCAGCTCCAACATCTGACTTCCGAGGTAACTCGAATGTAGCATTTATATTAGTTGATCTGTGCTTCCGGCAAATCAGAACGTCCTGCCGGAAAACCCCTGGAGAAGTGGCCAATCAGAAGGAAGTAGGTTTGAGGAAGGGTGGGGCCTTAAAGAGACAGTAGCTAAAACGATATGTTTCAGATAGAGGTATTTTAATACACCAGAGTGAGAAACACAAGGTAGTTTTTCATGTGAAAATAATGTAAAGTTAATAAAGAGGAACTTGAGAGGAAGTGAAGAGTCTGAAAAAGAATAATTGTTGCAGAACAGCTGATGAGCTGCAAGAAGCCAACCCACACCAAGTCTTTGTAGATCGTTGGCTCCCGAAACACAATTTCAAGCACGCTGGCAAACACTTTCAGTTATCAACACCCCATAAGAGCTGCTGCAGACTTGAGAAAACAATCTCAAGACTTTTTTTAGTATCACAAGAACGGATATACGGTTGAGATTCTCAAACTAAAGGAACAACAAGTGAGTCTGGAGCTGAATCGTATGGTTTCTGGGAAAAGAGAAGTATTTGTATCTCTAAAGTGAAGCGCTTCAATAGTTGGAAAATGTTTTCAGTAGGAGCTCTGGGCTTAATTACAGAGATGGTGAAAAGGTAAGGATCAAAGCCTCACTGTTCTCTCGGTGGCATTCCTCTCTTTCTGTCTCTGCCAAACAGGTCTGCCTCAGCAGGCATCGTCCTTAAGCTGACCAGAAAGAAGCCAGATTTCCAAGAGTCTGGCTGGCAGAGAGCGGAGGATGAAGAACATTCCTCCCCGGCCCTGCGTTATCACTTCCCTTCCACTAATGGCAGAAGTCGGGCGGCACAGCGGAAAGTAAGTGCCCCAGTGCTTCTTGAAAAAAAAAAAAGAAAAAGCCCCGAGTGAAGACAGGGAAACATTTTAGTCCAGCTTTGCACTTCTTCAGCGGTAAATATTTCATCCGTGGAGCTTGACTTGTCGGATCTTCCCCTCATGTGAGGTTTTTCCCTTATGCCAGGTCACTGAGTGCTTTCCACGGAAGAACACGGCAATGGAAAAAAAAAAAAAAAAAAAAACCTTTCCATGATGGTGCTTAAACCCTCGGCTCAAAAGTACGAGAGAAGCAGGTCACCCCGCTCGGAGAGAAGTTACAGAGAACAAAGTCAAGTCATGTCAAAACCATGTTAACGTTACTTAACCGCTCGTGTCACGGTGGATGAAGAAGGATGAGACCGGGTGATCAAGTCTGAGCTACACAAGAGGTTTCCATTTCTTTTTCAATATTTGGAACAAGCATGAAATAAATGGAGATGTTTCCATCATGATATTAGAGGTAAACGGGCAGATTTAGACCATTTTTAAGGGGATCCAGGTGACTCTATTCTATCCATTTCTATCCACCAGCTTGGTCTATCCTTTCACAGCAGATGGATGTCTGGTCCTGCTCGGGGTTTCTGCCTGTTACAAAGAAGTTGCTCATTGTGGACTGGAGTTTCTTGGGGAAACTTTGGCTTTGTTTTAGTATTCACCTCAAACTCTCAGATGTCCTGTGAAGTCTGAATACTGATCGCAAAGGACGTTATATAAAGGGCTCACCAGTAAGTCCATTCGTACACTGCACGCGATACCACTCGGGGACATTCAGGGTTCAGTATCTTGCCCGAGGACACATCAGCATACAGATTGCAGGTGCTGGGATGTTTATTGAGTTACGAGATTTCTGACCGGAAGACAATTAACTCAACGACTGAGCCTCAGCCGCCCCCAAGGACGGACCGAACCATGAGGCGCACAGTCAACAAGAGGGCTTAAACCTTAGAACTCCCAGATGTATTTTACTATTTTTGGTACCAACTCTTTTCTTTCAAGCACTGCAAATATACACACTTTTTTTTCAGGACAACCTCAGCTGTCAGTTTATGGAGCAAAAATGATGTAAAATAAATGTGACAGTAGATTCAGAACCATCAAACTCAACCAATAAACAAAAACAGAAATCGATCCCAACAGTACTTTGCACAAAAACACATAAATCTACAGTGACCAAGCCTTTTCTCACCTGAACATCATTCTGTTAAGTCTTGGCTATCAGGAGAAGAAATATTGGGATTGGAACAAAAACACAACAGAAACTATTTACATATTTACACTCATTCTTCCAGGCGTTTTTAGCTATTTCCAGTTGTTTCTGCCACTCCTTGAAGCAGTTCCAGTCTGGGATGAGACAGAGGACCACATCATACTGCTCAGAATCTCTTCTTTACTTGTTTCCAAACATTGAGGACCATTATTTCTGATTTTGCAGACAAGCAGGGAACTTTCTTGTCTCTTGTTGATTTTATGTTGCCTCTTATTGGACACTACCGCCAAGGGAACAATAGAAGAAGAATATGAGACCATGTAATTGATCGAAAGTTTGACAGAGAAGACATCATCAAAACAGCTTGTCAAACCTATTGAAGACATTAGCAGCATTTAGCGATAGCGATATGATAAATAATCCTGTTTTCACCAGGATATGACTGTGGATTTACCATCAAATATCTCTGATCAAACACCTATATTTGTGGCTTGATTGTAAACCTTGTGGCAGGTGTAGAAATAACTGGAAACCCTTGATAGATCGCCAAAAGGGTAAGCTTTTGAACACTTTTTAACCCAAAGAGATACACGGTATAGTTCTCGAGAAACTGTAAACAATATTACTGGTGTCACGTGGGATCGCCGGCGATCCAGCTGAGTTCTAAGTGCTAAAGCAAGTCCTCCGCAGAAGTCCGCTTTATCAGTTAGGAAGACTTAAAGAAACAGGGATTGGGAGGTGGGGAAAACATGCAACAAGGACTACAGCTTCTGTATGTGGACGCCAGACGTTCTTGGGAGGACTTATTTCCTTAACTTTTCCAATCAATTTAAAAATATGAAAACAAAATCAGCAAACAGTCTAGAAAATCCACAATTTAACAAAGGTAACCATGGAGATCGAAATACCATCAAACTGTACAGCAATCCAAGGGGCTGTCATCTACTGCTATATGGATAATAAAGGGTTAATATTGGAGTCTTGTAGTTGTGTGCCATCACAGACCACATTGAACTCCAACGTTCTCCTCAGCAAGTCCAGAAATCTGACATTTGGATTCAGCCGATGAATCAGCAGAAACAGCAACTATGTGTGAAAACACTCAGACTCCACTGTGAGCGAGAAACCTACGTCAGCGTGTTAATTACTAACAGAGCTGTTTATTTTAAGCTGAAGCAGGTGTATTTTTTATTAATGATCCAGGCTTTTAATGTGAGCGTGCTTACATTTACAGATTAGTACAAACCACAGCGAACAGCTGAGGCTCATGGGAAGGCGGCGTTAGTTTTGTAGTATCCGGTTGGAGAAGAAATAACTAATCTGATTTTTGATTTCTTTGCATTAACATCTCAGACACACACACACACAGATCCAGTCAGGTGATCCTCCCTGTTCCCCGAGCTTACCGCACAGGTCATGGATGACGTCCAGCGATGAGGACCAGGAGTAGCGCTCCATTCCCACTTGGGTGAGAGAGGCTGGCAGCGCCTCCAGCTCGTACGCCCCTCGCTTCTTCCAGTACAGGAACATAATGAGCCCCCCCCCCCACTCCCCGACAACCTCACACTTTATAACAGAAAACCTAAACTGACGTCTGAGCAGTCCTTCACACTCCCTGAAACCCGATCTTTTAATCTTCTGCAGACGATCAATACACGCTCCACATCAACCATCTTTCTAATAAAAACTCGCCAGCCCAACTCAACCTCTGCCAACTGCCAACCACCTGCACCATTACCTCACCCGGCGGAGCCTCAAAAACACTTCCCTTTGAACCTTCAGTCCAAGTCTCATTCGACATCAAGGCCCGTCCAAATGTGCAAACAGACTTCCCTCAAGTCCAATCCATTACGCCTCCGGAGGACCGTGTTATTGAATCCACTCCTCGGTCAAACAGACGGGCTGCCATCCAGGTTCTCGTGCGCAGCTTTTACGTAGGTAACAGGTGATATAACTGATCAAAGTCCTGGCCGATTATTGATCCTTCAAGCCCCAATTTTGCCGCTTGATCCAGTTTTTTCCCTCCTTGGTTACCCGCTAATCATCCGCACACACAGAGTACTCTTGAGCTCCAAATGCTGCTCTCTTCTAATCCATTTAACGGAGCTATTCCTGACCAAATTAAAGACACCCTGCTGCTGAAAGATTTTGCAAACCTATCTCCACCAGCAGGTTAAACATCCCCTGTCGCTGCTTCCCCATCGCAAAAGCGTGCAAAAGTGGCGTGAGAGGAAAGGAAAGGAAAGGCTGGTCATGTTAAACCCTGTGTAGGATCTCCTGGCGATAGGGGGGCTTTTTCTGCCCACACCATTAGACAAGTGTTGTATTCATGCAGAGGTGAGTTGCATGCTGGGACGGGCAATCTGGTCCAATGGCTTTTTGGACTGGGCGACACAAAGATCTCCTTTTAAAACCTCCTCCTACACGCGGAGTGGACGCAAACTGTAAAAGGCTGACATTTTTCTGCATTAATTAGTGCCCGCGCCCTTTATGTCTCCTGAAAGATTTATGCCTCTTTATGAATGCAGCGGCTCTGTGGTGACCCGGCTCAGTTATTTCTGTGGAGGTACAATGCACACACTGGCCTCTTGGAGACGGAGTCCATTCTCCGGGATTTTAAATCTGTGAGACGTCTTTATTATCTCTGAAAAACAGCAGAAGGGTTAAAGCAACAAGCGGCCAGAAATCTCAAGTAAGAGCATAATATTTTCCGCACTTGCTCGCAGGATGATGCTCTGCTATTATGCGTCTAAAACGGGAGGAAAAAATACTGTGAGAATGTGCTGCACCAGCCGGGGGAAGGGAGGGACGTTGTCACACACAACGACCCACATGTCCAATTTTGGGATAAGAAATTAGAGGGTAGGATGGGAGCCGGTTTGCTGCTCAGCTCTGGGCTTTGCAGACATATGGTAATAATCTGAAGCAGCTTTGAGCACACGGCTTCTCGTTTAATGAAGAGAGCAGCCGTGCAGCATGAGAACCAGGCTGCAAAACACAAGGGCCGACTTCCACCTCCTGCAGAAACAAAGAGCGAAGATGAGCGGGTATTAGACCGCCGAGCTTTTATCACCGACCATCAGATCACCGCTTAAGACAAAGATGCTTCTCAAGACCCACCTTCACATTTGTAGAGCTGCTTTGTAGTTTTTTTTTTTCGGTGTGATCTCACACATAAAGTATGAAGGTAATGAAAAAATAATCTTATGACATTTACTCAAGAATGGACTAAATACAAAGAAAACACAGACTCCTTTTCCACGGTGAGAAGCTCTGGCAGCTGTGAGCAGGTACAGAGGAGATTCTCAGCACCTGCTAGATCAGGTGAATCTAGTTTTCAATCCCCTAAATACACATCAAGTTCAAATGTAACTCTCATTGGCCCAATGGAGTCGAAAGGGGCAAAAAACTGCAGTTCCTTAAGTGTCCACTTGAGGCAGAGTTTCGAAGTCAAGGAATCCCCATTTAAAGGGATATTAAAGGGATATAAACACACTGTAACACCGAGTTAGACACCCCGTCGAGAGATGAATGTTGCCGACCGCTTGCTTCTCTTGTTAAAACAACTTTAGTAACGACCGCAGGATAGCAATACAGAGAGCCACGCACTCAACCAAAACGCCACTCTATAGCCACAAATAATGCTCAGAACAGCACCTAACTTCATCAACAGGACATATAGGGTCCAAACCAGAGTACTAAACACCAAACATCTTGTTCAAATTGCCTGATTTCTTTAACAAAAGAGACTAAACACAACTCACTCTCACTTTTCCAGCAGCTACTTTTTTTACACAGACATGCGCGCTGGTCCATCCACAACAGCGGGGGGTCGCAGCTCAAGGAAGAACATTTATGATCATTTTGCACTGCAGACATGGTAGTTCTTCTTGTCTTCGCGTCTCGGTCTGATTGTATTTCCATGAAGAAATGATCATAAATGTTCTTCCTTGAGCTGCGTCACCCCGCTGCAGTCGATGGACTCGCCCGGAGGTCCCCGTACGAACAAGTGGCTGCTGGAAGAGAGTAGGTGAGTTGTGTGAAATAAGTGTTGAGGTGCAAATAAACGCACTTACAGGTGGGGACAACGCAGCTAGCAAACAACAATTTCATGATTAGCAAGAAGTCAATTGGAGTCAGCAATTCCAATATGGCGCCTCACACTGTTAGCCCCTATGGGAACCAGTGGGTGACCTCACCAAGACTATAATGATGTTTTTTTTTTATTGGCCCAATGAAGGGAATCTTTTATTTTTTATCTATACTTCCAACTATAAAGTCAAAGTTAATGAAACCAACAGATCAGTAACCAACAGTTACTTTCTGATAATCCAGCACAATCGGACACAATCTGCCGTTCACTCAGTAGGACAATCCCAACTGCATCAAACCGATAAAAGAGTACAAATGGCATCACCAGTGTGGATGTTTTTCACTCTTTTAGACACTTGAACTTCACGTTTTCTGTGAACAGATAAAAGTTCCAAAATTTTAACAAATACTCTTAAATACCACCTGAAAAGACTGATATGAAACGTAGCTGCAGCTCACATTAGCACTAATAAATCAGGGTATTTGAAACGTTTCCAGGAGAAAGCCTGGAGGCAGAGCAGTGACCCGTGTTATTGGGTTCAAACTGGATAAACTATCAAGGATTTGGATTTTGTCCGTTTATGGCGTACTCAGAACAAAATCCCGGATTACTCCTCAGAGGTTTCCGTACCTGCCCCGGATGATATGACTTCTGTACACGTTCAAATTCGGACAACAAAGAGAATTTCATGTTGTTCATCCCGACTTTAATCCCTATCGTGCAGCAAACCCCGGATCCTTGATTTCCCATGATGCAGTGTAATCTTTTAGCCTGACCTTCCTCGCCTCCTAAAAGACTTCACTAAGATTACATCAGTGTGACATCAGGAAGGTCACCTTTTCAATGATTTAAAAAACACGTTGGGGCTCTTTTATATAAAACAGAAAACCTGCAAACCTTTGGACTGAGCAAAACCAAACTAACCTCCTCTGGTTCTCGCTTCTTGTGTGACCTACTTTTTTAATCCTGCGCTGATTTACCGACAAGAACACCTCAAATTTAGACACTTATTTCTTACACGATTACAACGATAACTAATCTACACTTCTTCACCTGTAATTTGTTTGAGCATGAGACAGAAATAGCAGGTAAATCGTCTTTGTGAATGAGGAAATGAAGGAGCCGGCTCCCCCCTCGACACACAATCACACTCAGTTAAGTATTAATGGTGTGCTGAGAAATAAGCGTGTGAGCGGCTGCGTTACGACGAGACTGTAAATGAGCCTGTTGGAGAGTGTGCGCTAAAAGTGTGCGAGGCAGTGTGTTGACAGAAGGAGTGCAGTTGGAGGCTTGTGCGTGCCCATGTGGAGGAGGTTTGAGGGTTATATTTAGCAAGGTGGCCCATCAAACAGCAGAGGTTAACCCTTCAGGACCAAACCAAGACTGAGAGACTTCTGTGTGTGTGAGGAGGTGCAAAAGTCTGAATCCAACACCGAAAAAAGAAAATGTGTGAAGTGTCCTGAAGTGACGAGTTGATGCAACAACAAAATAAACTCGACATAACAAGGATGGGACTGGGGGACTACTGGGGATGTAAAGCAGATTGTTGGTTTTTGTCACTCAAGGCCTAAAATCCCAGTTACATGATGTGACTGAGCAGGTATGGCTGCAGCTCCTGTAGCTCTGGCAAACAAGCCCAGATGACAGATAGGACAGAATCTTATATTGTGGTGTGATTTGGCAGAATTGTGATCTTAAAAATGTTGGTAGAGCTTACAGCAGCTCGTTAGCTCGATATAACAAAGATCAATTTCTTGTGATGACAGAAATGGCGTTTTAGCCGACCTAAAACATAAATTTTTAAAAACGCCCTCCAGATTGGGATGTTTCTGAAACGCCCTAACTACCATTGTCAACAGCAAGACAGCACTCTCCACTTTGTGCATTACACATTTAACAACCATGCGCAAATTGGACATCAACAGTAACAATGGCCAATTATACCAATTTAAGTAACAACGGCAGGATAGCAATACACAGCGGTCTGAGGAGCCATAAACAAACCTCAACCAAAACACCACTCTATAACCACAAATAATGCTCAGAACAGCACCTAACTTCATCAACAGGACATATAGGGTCACAGACATAGTACTAGACACCAAACACCTTTTTAACTTTGACTCATTTCTTTAGCAAAGAGACTAAACACAACTCACCGACTCTCTTCCAGCAGCCTCTTGCTTGTAGCAAGACCTCAACCAGTCCATTACGAATTGCTGTGAGGTGACGCAGCTCAAGGAAGAACATTTATGATCATCTCTTCATGGAAATACAATCAGACTGAGACGCTAAGGCAGAAGAACTCCCGTGGTGATAATGGTGATTATTACTTCAAGGAAATGATCATAAATGTTCTTCCTTGAGCTGCGTCACCCCACAGCAATTCGTAATGGACTGGTTGAGGTCTCGCTACAAGCAAGAGGCTGCTGGAAGAGAGTAGGTGAGTTGTGTTTAGTCTCTTTGCTAAATAAATTAGGCAAAGTTAAAAAGATGTTTGGTGGCTAGTACTATGACTAGGACCCTACATGGTTTTCAATGAAACTGTGACGGCACTCTCCACTTTGCGCATTACACATTTAACTGCCATGCGCAAATAGGACAACAACAGTAACAATGGTCGACACATTATTAATTGATTCATTAGCAAGAGAAACTATCTTTGTTTTGTTGAGATAACGAGATAAGTTGTTATCAGGAGATAACAGTGCATTTAAAAAAGGAAATTCCATGGCCGTTCTCATCTTCCGTAAATAAGAAATATCATCGTAGAGGAATGTGTGACCAGCGCAAGCATGGGGACGTTTACCTGAAAGGAGGATTGAAGTCTGGTGGTGCTAGCTCTGCTGGTGTTAGCTACGTTTGGCAAAGACTTTGTTTACCTGCAGAATCTGTGATCCTAGATTTAGCTGTGCGTTCAGAGGAGTCACTAAGGCTTAAATCGAATATCTCGTTTTGCATAAGAGCATCCCTTCTAATGCATGTAAAACACAGACTCTAAAAACAACACAAGCGGTCTTCAAGAATATGAAAAAAATGAGTCTAATGTGGTTTTTTTCGGTGACTTATATTCATCATAAACAACAAAACTTTGCTGCAAAGTTGACATGCATGACCACCCCTGCAAAGAGTACCGCTATAAGACGCTGCCATTCCCAACCCAACATTTAACAGGGACAAACATCTACTATTTAAGTTGTTCATATGAATAATCTCATAATTGAAACAATCTGGGTAAAATTGCAGTAGGAGGGGGTCCGCCATTGAGAAGCCAATAACAGAGTTGACAGGAAAAGTACAGTTATTGTCATGTGGAGCTCTGCTATATACTGTACTATATAAACACTCATTTAGCCCGGGTGGAGCCTATACGTGTCCATTCAGAGATAAATATTTGCCATTATGTTGACGTTAAAGAAGGTGTGCATTAGCGTGTGTGTAACCGTTCATTATCCTCTGCATACTGTAAACCATGAAACCCTGAAGCATAACAGACAATACAGACGGATTCTTCGATTCTATTAGCCGCACTTACAGACAAACGCCGGGCAGTGACCGAACGTACAAGCCTGTAAGTAGGTTAAAGAGATTCTGGATGCAAACTGGGTGAAAATGCAAAGCAGAGCATGACAGATCGTGACAGATCGTCCTCCGTATGATGATGATGATGCAAAACAGCCGAGCAGGACGAGGACAGAGAAAAACCCTCAGGGGGGAAAAAGAAAAAGAAAAGAAGAAGAAGAGAGGATCTGAAATTTCAAGCCAAGAAACAAGTCTACTGTTAGTAAAGCAAACATGAGAGAAACACCAGCACAAAGAGCTGAGAGGAGAGTAACAAGAGCCCTCTGTTTACTATCGTCTCAGCGTGTTGGGTAAAGGTACAGCTCATGAGAAGAAGGAGGCCGAGTTAGCCTCCAGCTGTGAGCACGTTTATGACTTCATCTGGGACGCAAAAACACACAAAATGACTCTGAAGGTTAGTGGAGCAAGACTGAAAACCCGTCTAATCTGTGTAATCCTCATTTCTGTCAGCGCACGGAGCAAAAGCAACTCGATCCTGAAATAAAGACACTTATTTAGCAGAGTCGAAGGAAACACTAGAGCGAGAATACAAGAATCAGCTAGCCTGGGTTTGAGTCTATGACGGGTTTTCTATCTTTATTGCAGAATTTTGGCTGATTTTACAAAGTGAAATGACAGGTTTCACTTACAGTAAAGTATGTATACTGTGTACATGATGGTAGACCATAAATGAAAGAGGTTTCCGTGCATCATAAACCCCCCGCTGTAATAAAAAGCCACATACAGGAAGTACAGAACAGAACAGATGAGGTTCAAGGAAGGAAATTAACTTTCAATCAGATATGAGGAGGAGGAGGATCACAGAGTCAGAGCATCTATACTTCTTTGTTTTTTTTTTTCAATGTAGCGGGAAACAAGCTGTGCTGCAAGGTGGGTAAATATTTACTCTTGGAGACGAAGTAAAGAGTCAAAAATATCACTCTGAAGATGTGACAGTGGACGCACAGCGTAACCATACTACAAAACAGATGGGTCTAAAAACAAGATAAAAACACTGAATCTGAGGGAAAAGGTACTAAAAACAAGTGAAATTATCTGTCCATGCAGCAAGATCATTTAACCTGACAAGATTTCTTGAATTAAGATTGTTCAGTCTAGAAATAAGCATGTCTACAAATGTATTTGGAAGGATTAAAGTAAGACAAAAATGCTGATTTTAAGATCAGATTACTTAAAATTTAACTTTTACAACCCCCAAATGAGTTAAATATACTTAATATAAGAATAAAATAAGTAAAAAATGATGGTTTAAGGATAAGATTACTTAAATTTTAACTTTTACAGCCCTAAATTAAGTTAAACGTACTAAATATAAGTATAAAACAAATATAAAATGCTAGTTTTAAGATCAGATTACTTGAAATTTAACTTTTACAGCCCAAAAATAAGATAAATATATGTAATATAAGCATAAAATTAGTATAAAATAATGGTTTTAAGATAAGATTACCTGAATTTTAACTTTTACAGCCCTAAAATAAGTGAAATGTTCTTAATATAAGTATAAAGTGAGGAGAAAATGCTGGTTTTAAGATCAGATAACTTAAAAAGTAACTTTTCTACAACCTCAAAATAAATGAAATACACTTAATATAAGCAATTACATATTTTGTTTTCATACTTTTAGCAAATTAAACTGAAGATTAGTTAAACAAAAAATTGAAATTTAGAGAAAAAATACCCAGAGTTAGTCATTCGTGAAGAATGACTAAACTCTGTCTCAATCCAAGCAGGCTGATCTTGAATCCAGGCTTACTTAATCTTAAAACAAGATTCCTTCTGATGAGACTTTAACTTATTTTACACTTATTTTTCTTATTTTAAGATTTCCTGCCTATTTGAGACAATAAAGATCAGGTTGTGCTTGATATAAGATTGTAGTGTCGAGTTAAACACTTAAAATAATAAAATTAAGTCTTAAAACAAGAGAAATTATCGAACTCTTCTAAATCAAAGTTTTTTTTTTTGTCTTTGTAGGAACCAAATAATTTTCAGTGCAAAGGCTGGAACATTTATGACTCTGCAGTTGGAGAAAAACAAAAGCAGTGATAACCGTGACCCACAGCGACATCAGGAAAAGGCAGAAGTGCAAAGAGTGGAAAAGAGAAAGGAAATTACTGCCGGGGAAAAAAGAGGAACAATGGAAAGACAGTCTGAAGAAGGAAGTCTGAACTGTAACAAGCCACAAGCCGGGCAGAAATCACTAAAACACACACTCTCACACACACACACACACACACACACACACACACACACACGACAGCAGCCGAGTCAGGCTGGAGAGCTGCAGCAGCAGGCAGACTAAACAGTCCGAATGTTCACTCTGGGGTCTGCAGCCCTTTCAGATTAAAAGCCCTGCATTTCTTTGAATTAAAAGTGTTCAGATGAGTTAACTCAGCTGTCATGAAACGGCACAGTTTTTTTTCTCTGGAGGAAAATCCATCAGCTGTTCAAGATCATGTGACCTGATTAAAAAAATGTATGTTGCTGTACCAAACTGAAGATCGTATTTAATCCAAACATGGAGCAGGAGAAATGGAAACCTGAACATCCACAGTCCGGTTCTGACTCCATCTGCTCATTTAGATCCTGTGATATACTAGAAACGTACAGAACAGATCCTGTTTTCTCAAATTCCTGATTCACCGAACATCTAGAGCTGAGATTAAACAGAAATATGAACTCCTGGAATTCTGTAATGCAATTAACATCCCTCCCTCTCCCCCGTCTTTAAACATGATGCAGTCTCAGCAGATGACTGTCCAACATGAGTCTGGTTCTGCTCGAGGTTTCTGCCTGTTAAAGGAGGTTATTCCTCTCTCTCTATTGTAACTTAATAAATGCTGCAAACTGCTATACTTTAGTGAATAAGCGGCTTGACTCGTCATAGTCTTAATCTAGTTTTTGGCTCAGGCGCTGTGAAAAACACTTAAATTCCACGATATCCTGTATCCAGCTGAGATGTTCATTCCCTTGCGCTCCCTATTTATCGAGCAAGTAGCCATATATTTCAAAATTGAGCCACGTGAATTGGCCTCTTTCTTCACTTCTTGGTTCACATTGATGATAGGGCTGTCACGATATTATATTGAGATTGAATATCAGTCTGATATCAGCCAAAAAACAAATATCGGATTATATCGGCCTGCATCTAAAATCTCCAAAATCAGCACTTTGATACAAGCAGTCCATTCCAGACTCCATTCCGGCACTTCTAGCTAGTAGCACCCGGATCCTACATGCATGATCCATCATACTAAGGTACGAACAAAGTACCAAGCAGTAGGAGTGATGTCGGCTGTGTGGCAGTATTTTTCGCTAAAGTCCGAAAAAGACATGGCAGCTGAGTGCAAAACTTGTCATGCACAAGTTTGTGCTAATATCGGAATCGGCCGATATTAGTTCTTCTAAGGCAGAAGAACTACCGCGTCTGCAGTGTAAAATGATAATATAGTGATTGTTACTTCAAGGAAATAATAAAGAAATGATCATAAATGTTCTTCCTTGAGCTGCGTCACCCCACTGTAGTCTGTAATAAACTGGCCTGAGGTCTCGCTACAAACAAGCGGCTGCTGGAAGAGAGTAGGTGAGTTGTGTTTAGTCTCTTTGCTAAAGAAATGAAGATGTTTGGTGTCTAGTACTATGGCTGTGACCCTATATGTGCTGTTGATGAAGTTAGGTGCTGTTCTGAGCATTATTTGTGGCTATAGAGTGGCGTTTTGGTTGAGGTTTGTGTATTGCTATCGTGCGGTCATTTCTAAAGTTGGTATAACTAGAGAAGCAAGCTTTCAGCAACATTCATCTCACAACGGGGTGTCTAACTCGGTGTTATGGTGTGTTTGACCCTAAATTAATTTTAAGACGGAATATCCCTTTAAACTGCTGTAAAATGGTCAAATATTGAAAACCTAGAGGTCGGCTGCAGTGAGGAAAACCAAATCTGGTGATGAAGACCACCAAAAGCTCCAGAACAGCAACTACATGCACCTCATGGCAAGTTTATAATGCTTCAGATATCCAGTCAGAACCCTTATAACAAATTAAACCAGAATTATTCTCACATAAATATACAGTCATGCATCAATACAGTAAACAAACTGTTCATGTCAGACAGAGCATCATTTAGTCCATCCTCTCTAATCACAGCAGACGCTGTCAAATCCTCGTAGCGCATCAAAGACCCAGATCTGTGATTTAAAGGTCTTGTTTCTGTTTTTTTTTATGTGTGTGGACAGAGACCAGACAAGACATCTGGTCCCAGATTAGACCAGTGTGTTTAAGACAGGCTTAAGACTCCGGTGGCCTGGAACGCTGAAGGGTTCCAGACTCGACCAATTAAAGCTGCTAAACTTTAACTCCATGTTCGCTGTATGAAGCCGACAGACTGCCAAAATCAGGAGTCAGCGCACGACAACTAACCAGAGGGTCGACTGAAGATACTCTGCAGTGGTTTCATTACTTACTAAACTCATCAAGAGTGAATTATCATCTATTTTTGTTACAAATTCACTCACTGTGGGGTTTTAAATGAGTTAAATATGTCTACTGAGGCTGTGAGAAATGGGACAGTCAAATCTGACAGCTCTCTGATTGCAGACTTGTAAACCCTAGAACACTATCGCCAGGTGATCAAACATGTTTACGTGATTTTCATAGAGTTAAGTTTGTCTGAGTATCACGGGTCCCTGGGTAGCTTCAGCATCCAAAACTCGCTTTTTCCTACAGACACGTGTTCGGGTGATTTTCGGGTTTTTCTGGAATTTGCATGCTATCTTTATTTAGCGCAGTGGTTATGAATAACTGTCACAAAGTTGTGATTTTAAGGGAATTCAGATGGTGATAAGAAATATTTTAGCCAGCTTTGTTCATGAATTCCTAATTTCCCGCTGCCTCAAGTGGAGGAGTTCAAGTCTCTTGGGATCTTGTTCACGAGTGAGGGTAGGCTGGAGCTGGAGATCGGAGCAGTGAAGAAGTCGTGGTGAAGAAAGAGCTGAGCTGTAATCGAGACTCTCGATTTACCGGTCGATCTACGTGCCGATCCTCACCTAAGGTCATGAACTTTGGGTAATGACCGAAAGAACAAGATTGTGGATACAAGCAGCCGAAACGGGTTTCCTTCGCAGGGTGATAGGGTAAGGAGCTCGGACACTCGGGAGGCGCTCAGAGTAGAACCGCGAGAGGAGTCAGCTGAGGTGGCTCAGGCATCTGGTTAGGATGCCTTCTGGACACCTCCCATTAGAGGTGTTCCAGACATGTCCCACCAGGAGGAGACCTCGTGGCTGACCCAGGACCAGGTGGAGGGATTATATCTCTCACCTGACCTGGGAGCACCTGAGAATCCTCCAGGAGGAGCTGGTGGAAGTGGCTGAGGTGAGGACCGTCTGGACCCAGATAAAGTGGAAGAAAACGATGACGATGACGACGAATACCTAAATTCAGTTATTTTGTTGCATTTTTATGGCACTTTTTATCCTCCATTTGGACTCTTTACAGTTAAAAACAGAAGAAAACTACTTTATTTTGTCATGTTTTGTCCTATTTTGATGACAGGTACTTTTTCTTGGGTATATTATTTCAGGTAAAAATCACCCGATAGCGATAGTGATGGTGTTACTAATTTTAGCGATAGTGTTCTGGGGTTAAGATAAAGTAAAATAATATTTCACTACAACCAAAGGATGCAGAAGTTTCACTTTGATCTGAATTATGATCTGGGAAAGGGAGAGCGGCTCAGATTGCACGTCTGAAGGGAGAATACAATAAATAGTGTCGGCCGGGGGGAGATTTACAAGAGGTAATATCTATCATGTGAGTTTATGCAGAGTTGTCCAAAGACTCCTCATCACTGAATAATGTAGGATCAGAGTGTGCTGTCCTGTCCTGCACCTCCAGCTGGGATAATCTCCCAGGTCATAGCAAACCCAACTGTTACCTTTGATGACTAAAAGGAAAGCATGAAGCAGAGATGTGCTGCCTGCAGGATCAAAGTTACAAGAGCTCATCTGCTGCTTTTCCTAAAGGGCAACTGGCTTACACATGCTGTCTGTTACAGAACAAAGCATCCAGGTGACTCATTTTCATCCAACAGCTGCTCTGAATAGTGGCATGACTACAGCAGAGGGCTGACTTGGAGAGTTTTTACTTACTGAGACGTAATCTGAGCCCGAGCCAGCTCCTTGGTGGCGATTTGTGCAGAACTGAGTTCATGCTCCACTTGTTTGGCACCATCTATGCTGGAAAATCCTCTGCAGAGACACCGCCAGCTCCTCTGTCTGTCTTGTCAGTCTTGTCTGTCTGGGATGTTGCCTCAACTTTAATCACGCAGAGATGTTTAATTAGCTTCTATGGCGCATATTCTTTCCATTTTCTGCAGCCAAAACCTCCCCAAACCGCAGCGAAAATCCCAGCTTTGTGAATCTGCACGTCGGTGTCGAGCACAAAAGCTGCAGTTTACATCACGGTGAATGCACGAAAAAGAGAGGCACCAAAAGCATCCCTCTGTGTGGAGAAAAATAGAAGTTAAACCTGCAAGTTGGACGCCGTGCAAAGCTGTAAATAACCTGTTGCTCGCTCGCTGCACACGCGTAAAAAGAAATCTCCTCGACGTCCACAGAGAGAGAGAAAAGCGTCTGCTGGTGGAGCCCTGGTCGCTGCGGGAATGGGATTACGAGGAAAAACCCTTCCCCTGGGCCTTTAAAGACGCAGATCCGTGGATGGGTTTCTGTCGAGCAACTTCACACGACCTGCAGCCGGAGTTAAACGCATTTCTGTCCGCCGCTTCAGTCTCGCCGCCTCCTGTGAGCGACCGTCGGCTCTCCTCCATTCATTCACTCACTGACTCACTCACACAAGCTGGAGCCACAAAAGACTGAATGCGTTTGGGTTCTCAAGTGGCGCAGAGCTGAAGCTAGAGGCGCCAGAGACACAAAAACACCGAGTCCATTCAACAACTCAGCAAACACACACAGACACACACACACACACACACAGACACAGAGGTGCGTTCACTTTCTGATCAGGTCTGTGGGGATTCAGACTTCCGTCCCAAAATGTAAAACACCAACATGAATTTATCTGTCATCTCTTATTTCTTTCACCTCTGTCTTATTTTAGCTTTTGTTATACTTTTACTCTTTTCTTTATTGACCTTTTATTGTTTTATCTCTTACTCTATTTTGTCATTACTATTATAATCAGTATTACCTGTTATTATTTTATTATCATTGTTAATTTGCCTTTTATATTTACTATCCTGTTTCTGCTTTCGATCCCCCTTTTTATTGCATTTTCTTTTTTCTTAACTATTTTATGTTTTTATTCTGGTCCTCATGGTCTCATTTATGTCGCATGGTTCTTGTATTGTCTGGGTTCCTCATGTACGGTGGCTGAGAACCGCCACTGCTGCAAATAAAAAAGATTGTAAAAAAAAAAGTAACCACAACGGAAGTTACTGATACAAAAAAAAAAGAAACCTTGCAGATAAAAAATAAAATAAAATAAATAAAAAAACAAAACAGAAGTAATGACGCAACAAAAGTGGTGATGCACAGAAAAAAATTACTTACTGCAAAAATACAAGAATGCAAAAAAAGTAACCACGATGCAAAAAAAAAGAAAGAAACCGAAGCCCAGTGCAAATAAAAAAAAGAAACGGTGCAGATTAAAACAACGGAAGTTAATGACACAAAGAAAAAAAAGTGGCGATAGAAAAAAAAAAAAAATTACTGTGAAAATAAAGGGATGCAAATAAAAAAAGCCTCAATGGGAAATGAGATGCTGGAGACAAACAATGATGATGTACCGGTTCTTTACGATCTGGGCACAGACGATGACGTCGAGAAGATGAACAAAGAAGCTAGTGGAAGGTTTTTGTTTAATTTCGCTTCGTAAACTTTCCAGTGTGTCATTTGGTTACGTCATGTAGCGCCTGAGTCGATATGAAGTTGAACTGGAGGATGGTGGTGTAGTGTTAGCTTCAGATCAACTTCATATCAACTCTGGTGCTACATGGCCTAACCAAATGACACATTGAAAAGCACACAAAGCGAAATTAAACAATAACCTTTCCACTTACTTTTTTGCTCGTCTTCTCGTCTGCCTCTGTGCCTACATCGTAAAACACCGGTGCATCATCATTATTGGTCTCCGGCAGCTCACTTCTGTTGTGGCTTTTTTATCTGCACCATTTTTGTTTTTATTTACAGTGGGCTTCTGTTTCTTTTTTTGGCATCAGTAACTTCCATTGTGACTTTTTTTTTTGTAAGGAGCAGTGGCGGTTCTCGGCCACCGTACTTATGACATGACAATGGCCTTCACTTCCGTTTTAACTGAGCTTTTTGTTTTTACCTGTCTTTTTCCATGAGCCCTATGACTGTATGTCAAAGCACTTTGTAAACTTCTGTTTTTAAAAGGGCTATACAAATAAAGTTATTATTATTGTTATTATAAAGTCTAACAGCTGATTCTTTCGATCAAAACAGCCGATTTTGCCACATTAACCATTATATGGTTAAGAGTTCATATTGGAGAAGAACAACATGTGTTTTTATATATTGTTGTTTTTGGCTAATATTGTGTCAAAATAACTATATTTTACTCTTTTCTTGTCATATAATCTGGTTTTCTTATATCATATACTGGCTTAAACAAGACACCGCTAATTTTTTCAAGTAATAACTTTGGTGAGTAATTTAAAACATTTTTCGACTGTTTGCTCTGTAAACTCATGAGAAAGGTATGTGTAGTTGTCTGACTGATGCTAAACCTGGTTCAGTCATGGTAAACTGCTTCTACTTCAGTGTAATTGTCTTTGCAAGCAACAGATGGACTCTTTCTATAGGAGGCAAGACCTGACAGGAGTGTGACACGGATTATTTGAAAGAAACAAAGGGTTTAACGGCAACACAGGGCCTACATCTCAACCCAGCCGAGGTTTCAGCCCTCAAGACTTTTCCTGGATCCTCTTCAAGGTTTTTACAGATGACTGGATCTAGCAGGAGAACCATGTGGGTAATGTTTTAAAGCTGGAGAAGACTGGACATTTTTTAGCATGAGCAGAAATCTATTCCTGTTTTTGAGCAGGCTTTCTCTGACTGAGGAGGACTCTGTGTGAATACATGGCTTTAACATCAAATAAGTCTTAATGAGGAAGGAGGAAATATTGTTCACCCAGGAGTCTGCAGTTTGTTGTGGGAAAAGAAAAAAAAGAGCGTGGTTTTGATCGTACAGATGTGTGTTGTTATGTCTGATGGTGGAGGTTTGTGGAGACTGGTGGCAGCTCTACAGAGGGATTCCTCTTTGGTTTGCATGAGGTCTGGGGAAAACATCTGACCTGACAAAGCCAAAACAATGACTCTGCCAAAATGTAGCCGTGTTGTGTTTGTGTGCTCCCACCCTCAATAAAGAGGCGGGGGAGCGGACAAAGACAGGCAGGGGGCAGAGAGGGGATGTTCAAACAGCCCACTTAACAAATTAGCAATTCTTCACTGGAGTGGATGTTTATGACCTGCTGTTCCTCCAGCTCCTCCACTTAAGATAATGTAAACCCCAGGCAGAAGTCTTCACATGGATTGAGTTGTTTCTTCTTTTTCCTCTAAAGCTAAAACATGGTGTGTGAAAACTTTAAATACATTTTTTCCTCTTCCCTGGAGGACATGAAGATCTGCTGCTGCTCTAATAAAACTCTTAGCCTACATCTGCTGCCCCCTAGAGGTCTAAAACTGACCCAAAAGTGCAGGAATGTTAAATTCAAGGTGGGGTACGCAGGAATCCGTTAAAGAAGTGTCTTATTTTGTGGTGTATAGACAAAAAAGCTTTTAATATCAGTCAATAGCTATTACGATATTTTTCGCACAATAAGGCACACCGGATTATAAAGTGCATTATTTATTTAACTCATTCAATAACTCTGCGAGGCTACGGAAGCTGCAGTGCTCCAACAAGCCAAAATGATTTTTAGTGCGCCTTATAGTGCGAAAAATACGGTAGTTATTGATGACATTTGGTACTATAACGATATCGCTGTGTTTTGTTATCTCTGTGTAGTCGACATTTTAAAATTTTTGAGCGGCCCGCTCTTTCTGACTGTAAACAAAGCTATTTTCTGTCTCCTCGACCTGATTGGTTGGAAGGTAGACGCTGCTCCTTCGTGTTGTAAGGCACGCTCCACATCTTCTGAAAATGTTCACGAGCCCAAACAAAGTTAGCGTGCTGCAATATTGGACAGTAGAAACCAACCAGAAAGTATGGAAAACACAAGCAAGAAAACAAAGTAAATACTTGAGACTCTGGCGGAATAACGGGTGCTTAAAACGGAGGTAGACCGGACAAGAGCTAAGAAGCCGGGTTGATGGGGGACTCTTCTCGACCCTGTAACCTTTCTGCTGGACAGGTAAACCGCTTTAACAAAGTAAGACAAGTGTCTGTAACAGAAGTGTTTCTTATCAAACAGACCTGCTGTAGCGTGTTGTAGCGCCATCGCTAAACTGTTGATCTCGGGTCCTGGACTATGTCACTTTATCCTAGTTGTAGAAGTCCTGCAAACATTGTGTTTGCTGGTAGTCTGTTGGCATCTACAGTAGCACCGATGCTTTTGACTTTCACCTTGACTGGGCCCCATTTGCAATGATCTGAAGTATTTATCTGCATTATATCTGAATTCAATTGGAACGATACGAGCGAGCAGGAGCGTCTGTTTGTGGGCGGGGCTTGAGAGGAGAGGAGGAGCTGAGGGGAAAACTGGTTGGGAAGGGTAGAGTTTACAGTCAAGATTTCTCCTAAAAACTGGAACTTCCTCAGATCCTGACTACCCCACCTTTAAATGACGTAGAAGTAAAATACTGTCAATAAGTGCTCTTATTTTTCTTAATTCACAACTTTCCTCGTTTGATTCTTGGATGAATTAAGTATAAAGACTTCAAACATCTTGGCAGGAAGCATTTTATCCAAAAATACAACTGTCACAGCAGGACAAAACACCTTCTTACTCAGAGACTACACCGTTAACACTGTACTGACATTTTTCAATGGTGACTGACTGGTTGAAATCCTCATGGATGTATGACCGGGAAACTTGAACAAATATCTACACTGAAGAAAAGCACCGAAGTCAAAGTCTGTGAAAGTTTTTTTTGTTGTTTTTGCAGGAGAAAACACGTGAAATAAAAGGTTTTAACTTCAAAGTGAGTCATGTGACTGAAAACAGAGAGTCCTTCAGGGCGCTGTCAGATCTACAGAGGTTTGTAAGACGTGATGAGCAAGTTCAGAAACACAAAAGTCCTCCTGAAGAGTCTGTGATACTCGCTGTAGGTCTAATATGGGGAATAAAAAACTGTCTGGCTCAATCCCAGTTCTGCAGGGACTGGTTATGGCACGAGACGCCAGTGAAGATGGGTAAGGGGCGACTAACCAGTGCTAATTACACCCCCATCTGACTGGGTCTCATCAGTCCCTTGAAGACTCGCAGCTTTCCTGCTCCGGTCAGATCGAAACTGTAATCCGTGGTGACGTAGGGCGTCTCGCCTTCAGAGCCGGGCTGGAACAGAAACAAGAGGGGAAGTTTGTTTTTATGTTTATTCGTGTTTTGATGAAATTCTGTGTGGAAGAACAAATCCGCCTCCTGACCTGTGTTGTGAGGATGCAGGAAGGGAGCGATATCGCCCCCAGGAGGAGACAGTTGACCTTACAAAGGACCGAGGGGTCAACAGGCGTCAGCAGGAAGTACAGACCTCGCTCCATGTCGATACCTCGAAGCACACCTGGGTCACACGGGAAAAACGAATAACCAAATCACAGAGGGATAATCACTCAACCTGTCAGTGGTTAGAATTAGGGATGGGAATCAAGAACCGGTTCTTGTTGAGAACCGGTTCAAATTGGTTCAATCCAACGACATCATTTACATTTTATCTTAACGATTCCTTTTTTCTGGGTGCCTTGAAAAACGGTCTTGCAAGAGCCAGTCAAACGAGAACAAAGACAGAGAAAAAAAACATGGCAGACGGTACCAAAAATGGGTAGAATCGAGCTAAAGTGTGATTTCATTTTAGTAAGAAAGACGACAACAGAGCAACGTTTATCGAGCAGTGATAACATGCAAACGTGGAAACACCAGCAACATGCTTAAACTTCATCAACGGGGCACGGCATCAAATAGAAGGAGTCACATGTATTCGTAATCTCCGCCGGAGCTCGGTCTCAGCACGGCATGGAAGGTACCGATGTTAGGGTGACCATACGTCCTATTTTATCCGGACATGTCCTCTTTTGGGGGGCTGTTCGAGGGAGTTTATAAAATCCTTCAAATGTCCAGAACGTGTATTTATTCATTATAAAACAGTGCAGAGCATCAGTGCTCTCTGCAGCTCTGCCCCTCTGACGCAACGCACGTATGCACTGTCTTTGGGAATCCAAAATATGCGTTTAACTGAGTTAGAAGCACATAAAAAACACTCGACCCGACACAAAAACCCTCAAAATTTTCCACACAAGTCCACCCTACACAGTAGTGTCATATGTCCTGTGTTAACATTTGGACTATGCATTCTAGAAATGCTGTACAAAAAGCATTATTGTTTGATCATTTTAGACTCTCACTGAAGGTGGCAAACATCTTTTCCTGTTATCAGAGACCCAATAAAATTTTGAGTTAACGGTGAAAATCTATAGTCTACTTCTTTTTATATATCAAAGAAAGGCATTGATAAGAGAATCGTTAAAGAATTGAATCGATATCAATAAAATCTTATCAATTCCCATCTCTATCTATAACGTTATAACTGTTCGGTGTGTTTATTTAATTATTCATTCAATGGTGGGACAGGAAACTCACCGAAACCCACACACGGGCAGATTGGCGCCTGAGAAAGCATGACCGGTCCTCCTCTGCTCGTCACTTTCTCTCCCAGGCAGCAGAGCCCGACCAGACTGGCGTTGGCGGCATACAACATGTGACTGGGCGAAATCTCACAGTGGATGGCGCCCAAAGCCAACGCCGTGTGAGGCACCTGGAATAGAAAGGTTAAGGAGCTGACCTTGCAAACTTTGACCCCTTAAACAAACAGATGCTCTAACATTGACACAGCTGCAGCATCATCTACCTGGTAGGGGGTGAGGCTGTGTAGAGGTCGAACTGGTCCAGGATCAGCAGACTGCAGCTGACTCAGATAGGCGAGCAATGACAGCTCTCTGTGCTCATTCGTGCGCTGGTGCTTCCTGTGAAATGCAACAAAGGCAGGTGTAAAAATTAAAGCTTGTCGACACGAATGATGACACAGGCGGACGGAGGCGCACTCACGCGGTCCCTTGGCGCCCCACCCCTTGAAACTCTGATTGTACGTTCAGGTGGGTGTAGCTTCTGGGGGGAGTGTGGATGTCTGTAAACTCATCCAGGGCGGTCGGAGCGGGCGGGTGCGTCTGACAGCCGTGCGCCGTCTTCAGGAAGTCTGGAGTGAGGAGGGGACACTGAGTGGTGCCGCCGTGACTCAGCTGGACCACATGCGAGACGGGAAAGAAGCGGATCAAGTCCACCAGGAGCTGAAATCCGAACCCTGCAGACCGCAAAAGCAGATCCAAATTTAAAGCATTTTCACAACTGCTTCTACTGCCCTCCACATTACGTCACTGATGTTACAGAGAGCTGACCTTTGACCCAGCCCATGGTGTTGATAATGACAGGGGTCTCTCTGCTCGGGGAGCGTCTATGCCAGAGGGACTTCATGGATTCCAGGAAGCGGTCTAAGTCTGACTCACATGACGTTTGACCATAGTAGATCATGTGTTCTGGTGAGTTCTGATGTGTGAAAGGAGGACCTGGAAAAGAGCAGTCGACTCATTCACACAAACAGATAGATAACACTGGAATTCAGTGTCCAAACAGTCTGACACATGGCTCCAAAATCACTTTATATTTCTATTTTAATGCAAGTTCAAAAAACTTCATGATTTTATACATTTTGTTTGGCAAAATAAGCAAAGAAAGACGCGTTTCTTGGTATGGAAGCGATTTCTTAAAATGTTGAACTATTCCTTTAACACTAAACACACTGATTGATACCAGCTGAAAGGATTCTGTGAGCTTGTTGTGTTTCCAACAGCATTTTCATGAATCCAGGGTCATTCATTATTGCAACACACAACCAGCACCATTAAAAATCAATGTAAGCAGGCCTAGATTAAAGCTCCTATGGGAGGTTTTAACCAACAGGACATTAAAGAGTTAATATTGACCAATAAGAGGATAAAAACAAACCCAGAAGTGGTTCTCTGATGGTGGACAGGGACAGGCAGCCAGCCGGTGTGAACTCCGTTTGACCGAGGTCTCCTTCCAAATAATCTACACTGGTAGTACTACACACACAAAAACACACACATGTGCATATTAGGTGTCTTATATGTTCTACTTAACTATGTAAAAATGAAATTAATAACCCTCTGTTTTTATGTTATGTGTGAAGATGAAATGTATTATAAGGTAGCTGAGTGTAACAAACATTACTTATAAGAATCTGGGAAATAATGGAAGAGGATTAGGGCCACTGGAAAAAAAAGTAAATAAAGGTACAATACATATATATTTTTATTATTATTATTTTGAGAAAAAAAGTCAGAATCCAGAATTACTTTTTTCTTTTTTTGGGAAATCTGACTTTTTTCTAAAAATAATAAATAAATATATTTTTATTATTATTAATATTTTTCTGAGATTAAAATAAGATTTCTGAATTATGATTTTTTTTGTCAGAATTTTCACTTTAATCTCTGAAGTCAGAATTTTGAGATTAAAGTCAGAATTATGAGGAAAAAGTCAGAATTTAGAAATCTTTTTTTTTCTTCTGGGAAATCTGACTTATTTCTCAAAATAATAAACAGATATATATTGGACATTTTTCCCCCAGTGGCCCTAATCCTGACTATCAAAGAGTTCATGTAAAATATACAGATGAGAGCTTACTGATTTAGTAAGGTGTTGATGAGGAAGCGGATAAATGTCGATTTTCCCACATTCTTGGTCCCACATACGAGGATGACCGCACAGCCGTCAAAGTCCCCTGAAACAAAAATGTGTCATTTTTCTTAGGAAGCAAAATTCAGTCAGACGAGGCGATTTACAACACGTTCAAGAAAACCCACGGGAAATATTCATGACTCATGTTACGACTGACGAAGGTGAGGTTTCATCAGAAATAATACGCTCACACACGTCCAGGTGAAAGAGGTTTGTCTAAAACCAACAAACAGAAATTTCCTCACAGGAGATTTAAAAACTGGCTTTTTTCACTTTTGATTTGATGGTTTCAGTAAATAGATTATGAGTCATTATGAGGTTGTGTCATTTTCTGCTCACCTGTGCAGGCGTTCACCAGCGTGTTGAGAGCGTCTCTGTAGCTCTCTGACATTTTAAAACCTTCGATGGCGCTGACCAGAGGGATCATCCCCAAACCGTTGAGTGGCGTGTCAAGAACAGCTGATATGAGTTCACTCTACAAAGAAACCAGATGATTCAAGTTCCTCTTTTAATAAATGTATGATGATTTCTACAAATGTGATGAGGGTTAAATGGAGAGTAGCTCTGTTAACTTACCATCGGAGGGCTGAATAATTCACTAAGATCGGTAAAACTCGATAGAAAGCGGGTGAGCGGCGTCTCCATGGGCTCCAGGAGAATGATGGATGAGCTCGGCTTTACTCTTTTTAACAGCTTCTTACAGGACACTGAAAAAAAAACACATTCAGAGAGGTGAAAAAGCAGAAAAATACACAAACACATCCAGGAGTTAGCTCTGCGTGTGTTTACCTGATGACAGATACTTCCTCAGCATGACTGAAGCGTCCGTCCTGTCCCCTCTGGTGTCAGGGGGACTCTCTAGCGCTCTAATGGTGAGTGGACAATGTGAAGCCGGAGAGAAGAGTGGATACGACTGCTGGCCTTCTTCAATGGTGAACCCCATCACCTCCACCCGGCCGTACAGACTCGTCAAAAAGCACTTTCCGCGGAAACACAGGGTCTGCGGGAGAGTTATGTTACATTCAGACGTCAGGAACAGACGAAACATGAATAAAAAAATCTATAATACTTAAGATCTATCAGATGTGGAGTGTTTCAAAATAAAAGCATAGGCATGTGAGGCTTAAATGTGATGCATACCTGATTCTCCTGCATGACCAGCACAGCGTGGTTCTTCCGATCGTCTCTCTCCGCACAGTAATGAAGAGCCTCTCCCTCTAGTCTACCTGGTCTAGTATCTCCCACAATGCACGACCTCTCGATACCGTTCCTGTTAAAGGACTTGGAATACTCTTTCCAGTCCTGGGAGTCCTCTGAGTCATTGTCCACCGTTAACATGGAGCTGCCGTTAGACTGAGTGTGGGACTTCTTCGACCCAGACTGAGGAATGTTTTTTTTCTTGGGGGCGGACACAGACTTCGCCTTATTCTTCAGTCTCTTCACAGATGGTTTCTTTTTCACAGTCGCCTGGTGCTCCTGGATCACCCTGGCCATGACAGGACTGGAGTTGAGGTCTGAGGAGTTAATGGGAGGCCTGCTGCGTTTGCCTCGTACATCCTTCCACTTCTGGGATCTGGCCTGGCTTTTGGCCTGTGCGGTTTTGTTCACCTTCATGGTTCGAGTATCAAGAATTAATCATGTATGTGATGGAGGTGAACAAGGGGGGAACCTGCAGAAGGAGAGAGAGAGAGAGAGACAGGAAAAAAGACATGTACCTCTGTAGAAGAATGACGACAAATTAGCGCTGGGCAATAATACGATAACGATATATATGGAGAATTAATTTCCCTCAATATCAATATAAAACATGGCCAATATGCTTTTCAATAGTTTGTGATATTTATCAATATCGACTGATATGAAAAAAATATATATATATATCATGATAAACTTTTCCCATATCGCCCAGCCCTACAACAAATCATCAGCCACTAATTTCTTGTAACATTGTCATAAAGCTATTTTATTCAGCTGGGATATGAAAACAATGCCTATTCTTTTTAAATCTGAGTAGATTATCAATTATAAATTCTACTTTTAACCATTTAATACCTTTTGTATCATATTTGATACTTTACTTCTATCAAATCAATTTGATCAACAAATGACTAAAAAAAAAACACTTAAATGATAAAAATGTCCTCTTTCAGTTTAATAGTTTCCGAGAACATCTAATGTATCAAACAAGATAAATATTTGTTAAGTTTTAAGGACATTTTGATTTTTTGGTTTTCAATAGTAAATAAAATAAACACTTCAGCTCCAAATAAATTGAATTTTCTGGTCATAATTTGTGATTTCAGGCATTAAAGGGCTACAAAGCTTCTACATCTGCAGGTTTTTGTTTACCTGATCAGAAAAGTGACAATTGTACTTTAAATTTATCTGTTTAAATGTAGAGAGTTGTGGTGAAATAAAACGTGTTCCTATTATTTTGTCCTTTCTTATTAGAAAACAACTAAAGAGGGCAGAATATTAGGTACACTTTCGATATAGTACAATCGAGTACCAAACAATCTTCCACCACAGCTCCAACAACCAATTTTAAGACCTGTCTAACGAAACGGAAAAACTAAAAGCTTCATTAAAGTAAAAAATTTCACAATAAAGCTGTTATAGTAGGTTGTATTACATTATAATGGGATTCATAGCAGTAGAAAGCTAGGTAAAGCTAAATGCTCGTTTCCGGGCAAAAACGAACCAACTGTGCTGTTAAACAGCTGGTTTAACAATATATAGGGTTAAGTTTTTAATAGCTAAATGCACAATATATAGAGCTATGAGACAACAAAGCAGTCTGAATGTTAAAGTTGGCGTGAAGTTACCGAGGCTAACATGACTTAGCTTATCTTCCTGCAAGAAAACAGGGAAAACTCACCCCCCACCTTGGTTGGAATAGTGCAGAATTTTAGGTGTGGACCTAAATGATTTTACTTGATTATAAAAAATTAAGAGTTGGTCAAAATAATCCTAATCCGCCCAACGGGGAGTGTAACAGTGCTAACTGGCAGATTAGCTTGACATGTGTGAACCGCAAACAGACGCCGATTCTAGTTGGTCGATTAAGTCTTACCCGGAGTTTGATTATTAACGCGGAATCATAATATACAAACAGATTTGTGAGTCAAACTCCCGCAAAGTGCACATTATTTGTATTAAGGTTAAAAATGCCGTATAGAGCGTTTTATTAATAGATACTTACATTTTTAACTTTCAGTTTTATGTTTAATAATGGACAACAAAATTCTTTTCCGGTGTTCGGTCGCGTAGGTTGCGTCACTTCCTCTTACAGTTTTTAGGGGCCTACAAGAAACGAAAAAGATGGGCTTGTAGCTTCTTTGGCTTTTTAAACTTTATTTTTTACCCCTGCAGAGGGAGAAACATCTGAATAACTAAGATTTAATCGACGGTTTTGATCGATAAGGCAGATGAGAGTCTGAAGATGCAGCTGTCGGGTACGTACTTCGCTAAGGGAGCGTCTTGAAATATGTGCTAGGAGATAAACGTCGAGGTGCGCAGATAGCAGGGGTTTGTAATAATTTTAGGAAAAACAAACTTCACTGCAGAGTTATATTAGCCCCAGGAAAATGCAACACAAAGATTTAAAACTTTATCTTTTTTTTTCCAAGTGTAACTTTTATTTGTTTTTTTTCTGTGAATTTATTTTGTTGGTGTAAGTGGTTGATATATATGGTGGCTGAGAACTGCCACTGCTGCAAATAAAAAGAATGCAAAAAAAAAGAAGGAGCCACAATGGAAGTTATCAATGCAAAAGAAAGAAAAGAAGAAAGAAAGAAACTGAAGCGCGCTGCAAATGAAAAAAGAAACTGTGCAGATAAAAAAATAAACGCAACAAAAAAGTGGTGATGCAAAAAAAAAAAGTTTATTTCTGCGAAATTAAAAGGATGCAAATAAAAAAAGCCCCAACAGAAGTGAGCTGTCTGGGACCATTGTCAATGTTCATTTCGATGTTGATTTTGTGTCAAAATAACTATATTTTACTCTTTTCTTGCCATATAAACTGGTTTTCTAATATGACTCTTGTCTGTCATGTGACCTGGCGCCTATCTTAAAGGGATATTACTGCGTAAAATTAATGTAGGTTTTTTTTTTTTTACTGTACATTTATTACATTGGTTGATTTTTTTGTAAGTGGTTGATACATACAGTGGCCGAGAACTGCCACTGCTGCAAATAAAAAAGAAGCCACAATGGAAGTTACTGATGCAAAAAGAAAAAGGAAGCCGGGTCTTTTGGGGGTTTGCCCCTGACATGTACCCTATACTTCATTCAACTTATACAAACTACAATTAACTTACAACAAAAAGGCAAGAATTTTCAAAAAAATGTTAAAAATGGAGTTAAAACCAATTGTAACGAAGCTGAAATCAGAAAAAAAAGAAGTCAGTTTGAAACAGACTGATTGGTGATATGTTATCAGTCTAATGTGTTTCTCCTCCAGCAGCAGCAGTCAGCATCAGAGCAGCAGGAACGCCTGCAGCAGTCAGCAGCCATGCACAGCGCGTCCTGTCCTCGTTGAACCAGCAGAGGGCAGTGGGGAAGTTCTGTGATGCTATGTTGAATGTTGGAGACGGAGTGGTCTACCTCGCCCATCGTAACCTCCTGGCTTGTTTCAGCGAACTCTTCCAGCAGCAGTCTGGCACGCCCGCAGCTTCATGCACAGAGTTCTGCCTTCAGGAGTGTCCGAACGACGGCCTGGAGCTGATCCTGAACTTTGTTTACACCGGGGAGCTGAAGCTGGACCTTGAAAACCTGGATAAGGTGCAGCAGGCAGCAGCCAGTCTGGTTGTCCCAGAGGTAGTCGCACTCTGTCAGCTGTACAGAGAGACGCCTGCTGATCCTGTTCCTGTGAAACGTAAAAGAGGGAGACCTAGAAAATCTGCAGCAGGTCCAACCCCGTCCAGTTCAGTTAAAGATGAGAACCACCTCTTAGTCACAAAAGCTGAGTCCTCCTTTGATGCTGCCGCTGCAAACTCAAGTGGGGCCACCACAACACGCTCTGGTCGAGTGGTGAAGGGTCCAAAGAGACTGGTGACAGATGAAAGTCTCAACAGTGATATTTCAACCCTTGACAAAGACTGTGAAAGTGCTCCACTTGATCTGACAGAGGGGGAAAGTGTTGGTCCTGCAGTGGAAAACCAAAACCAGGGTCAGCAGAGTGGGGAACCAGAGGTAGAACTCACGAACATATGTCTGGAAACAGTTATTTTTCACCTTCCTGTACCACATGAAACTATAAGTGCAAATAAATCTGACTTTTAGGCTGTATATTTGGGTCTTACTGCACCTGTCTTGTGATTTTTGCAGGTTACAGAGTTGCAGATTGACCTGAACGACAAAAGCCGAGCGATTGAGGACGCAGAAGACGACGATGAGGTGGAGGACTTTGGAGGGAATGAAGACACAGATGAGGAGTACGACCCCGCTGCGGAGCCCAGTTCTTCAGCCCCGTCCAACTCGACAACCCGGAAACGCAGGCCAGCAAGTAAAACAGAGAAGAAGGAGAACGGCGAGGCGGAGGGGGAAGACTCCAAGAAGGACTGCGTGCAGTGTCCCGTCTGTGCCAAATCCTTCAAGAGTAAATACTACCTTAAAGTCCACAACAGGTAGACAGCCTGTCGTCTAACCAGTGTCTTTTTATTGTCCCCTTTTTTTGTCAAGGATTTGCATCTCATTAAAGCTCCCAGGAGGACGTTTTTCCTCAGAATTCTGAGCTTAAAGTCAGAATTTTGATTTTTTTTTTTTCTTATACTTTTTAATTAAATTCAGAATTTTGAGGAAAAAAAATGTCAGAATTGTTATTTCTCCCACAAAATTCTGAAAGAGAATTTTAGATTTTAGGTCAAAATGTGAGAAAAAACATCTGAATTTAAATGTTTTACCCCAAATTCTAAAATTGAAATCTGAATTCTCACTTTTCTCTCTCACAACCTGACCTCAAACAAAAAAAAAACAGGCAAACTTAGTTAAAAATCCTAATTTTATCTCTGAATTTTTACTTTTTAGTTAGAACTAGAGAAACTAGAACTAGAGTTAGAGAGAGAAACGCCAGAGTTGTGAGTTTAATCTCAGAACTTTGAGTTTGTATATGGAAATCTGACTTTAAAGTAAAAATTCTGAGAAAATGGAAATTCTGAGGATGAAGTCCTGAGAAAATATCCTGATTTCAACTCAGAATTCTCAGAAAAAAATGTGACTTTGAACATATTTTGTAGCTTATTTACTCTTCTTCTTTTAGTGGCCTTCACCATTTCTTGCAAATATACGAGACAACACCAGGAAAGACATAAAATGACTTATTGTCCACAAGAGGGCGCCGAAGAAGTTTCCATGAATCCACACAAAAACATTATTTTCAGTCTTTTTCTCAGACAGTTGAACTGAATGTGTAATTTACGTTTCATAAATTTGAAGGTCAGTCATTGAGGTGTGATTTCTCCTCAGGCGGCACACAGGAGAGAGGCCGTTCGGCTGCCTCAAATGTGGAAAGAGGTACTTCAGGAAGGAGAACCTGCTGATACACGAGATCCGAGACTGTTCGAAAGTGCATGTGAGTAAAAGAAGAACATGAAACATTTATAATAAGAGAGAGGAAGTCAAATCAAATCTGAGAAAGTGTGAAATCTGCTGTGTGGATGTTACAGACGTTCACCTGTGAGACGTGCTCTGAGACATTCACTGGAAAAGAAGAGCTGCGGCTGCATGTCGTCACTCACACTGGAAACATGCCCTACAAGGTACGACCAACATCTAACAAAGTCTGAATAAACAAAATTAACATCAATATAAAGTCTGAAACAAGTTCGATATGATCTATTTTTACAGTGTTCAACATGTTCTGAACAATTCATGTACAAGAAAAACTTAATGACTCACCTGATGAAGGTCCACGGTCATCCCAAACCACATGCAGTGAGTTTTCTGATCAGACTTTACCTCTGTGTTCTCTCATTTTTCCTTACTCATAAAGCTTGGAGTTGTAATTCTTCATGTTTGACTTTCTAGTGTCCTCAGTGTCCCAAAACCTTCCTAACAAAGACCGAGCTGCGAGTGCACGAAGCAGCCAAACACCGAGGTGAGAAGCCGTTCGTGTGCGAGGAGTGTGGCCACCGAGCGTCCAGTCGAAACGGTCTGCAGATGCACATCAAAGCCATACACAGGTACAGGAACCAAGAGACAGAGACGACACATCGTGGAAATTTAGTTGACTTTATGAAATCTGTGACGGCGTTTGTTTTTCTTATTATTTCAGGAACGAGCGCCCGTTTGTGTGTACTTTATGCGGCCATGCTTTCTCTCAGAAGAACAACCTGAACATGCACCTGCGCATTCACAGTGGTGAGCGGCCGTACCAGTGTCACCTCTGTGGGAAAACCTTCAGGACACAAGGTAAAGAGTCTCAAACTATGTGGCAGAAAACCCTTTCTGCAGAAGACTGTAGCCTTGCTTGCATGCATGCTGACGTGTAACTCATATGGCTTAAAAAATGTTGAAATATCCCTTTAATGTCACCATTTTTCTGTGTCTAACTGTAACTCTAACTCTAATCAACACTGTCACATCAACAGTCTTGGAACTGCAACTCTTAAAGTTTCTGTTGACATCCCAAAAGCATGATGGGAAACATAGTTCAGACATTTTGTAGCATAAATTTTTCTCATGTTGCTCTCAGGACAAATGAATCAAACTCTCGTTCCCGGCTGCTGCACTCTGATACCTCCCGATGAAGCATGCATGTGTATATAATGAAGTGTACACACGTCTTTTTCGCTCCAGCCAGTCTAGATAAACACAACCGGACACACACCGGTGAGCGTCCCTTCAGCTGTGATGTGTGTGAGCAGCGTTTCACAGAGAAAGGAGCTCTCCTTCGACACAAAGCCAGCAAACACGAGGAAGGTCGACCGCACTGCTGTCATATCTGTGGAAAAACCTTCAAAGGTGAGTTACATACACAATATGACCTGAATGTACCCTCTTTATTCCTCATTATTGTGACCGGTTTTTAATAATCACCCCACTGTGTTAAATAGTTGAGTCTGATTGGTCAAAACCTCCTAAATTGGTCCAAAATCATCTGCATTAGGGAGTCTGGTACAACAGAGAGGTTTGTGGTTTCATCCCATTCTTACAAACGATGTAAAACACACAAGTTGTAGAAAGACATCCAACAAATTGAAGAAAACAGCTAATCCAGTACAAACAGAGTTTGAGGAAAGAAAATGTCAATATGACGTCAAAGAGGAGAGGATTTCTGCATCGATTAAGACTTTACCGTGAAAAAATGATGAGTTTAATATTAAAGGGATATTCGTCGTAAAATTGATTTAAGGTCAAACACACTGCACGATAGCAATACACAGCGGTCTGAGGAGCCATAAACAAACCTCGCCAGACTAAACACGACTCACCTACTCTCTTCCAGCAGCCGCTTGTTTGTAGCGAGACCTCCGGGCAAGTCAATCAACTGCAGTGGGGTGACGCAGCTCAAGGAAGAACATTTATGATAATTTCTTTATCATTGCCTTGAAGTCATAATCACCACATTAATCATTTTGCACTGCAGACGCGGTAGTTCTTCTGCCTTAGTGTCTCGGACTGATTGTATTTCCATGAAGAAATTATCATAAATGTTCTTCCTTGAGCTGTGAAACTCCACTGCAGTCTGTAATAGATTGGCCCAAGGTCTTGCTATAAACAAGTGGCTGCTGGAAGAGAGTAGGTGAGTTGTGTTTAGTCTCTTTGCTAAAGAAATGAGTCAAAGTTAAAATGATGTTTGGTGTCTAGTACTATGGCTGGGACCCTATATGTCCTGTTGATGAAGTTAGGTGCTGTTCTGAGCATTATTTGTGGCTATAGAGTGGCGTTTTGGTTGAGCGCCTGGCTCTCTGTATTGCTATCCTGCAGTCGTTACTAAAGTTGGTATAACTGGTGAAGAAAGCGGTCAGCAACAGTCATCTCTCGAGGGGGTGTCTAACTTGGTGTTATGATGTGTTTGACCCTGAATTAATTGTACGCCGGAATATCCCTTTAATTTGGCCTGCAGGTAAACTAATAAAGAAACTTTTAGTTGGTAGTTTGTTCGTTGAGACCCTGACTCTGATCCACCAACTTTTTCCTCCTCCAGCAAAGGAGCAGCTCCGTGTCCATCTGCGCCGCCATAAAGGAATGAGGAAGTTTGAGTGTGAAGACTGTGGATACAGGTTCACCAGACAGGTGAGCTCATTACAACTACGACTGACATTCTCTGGTAATCTGTCAGATACAGGTATCTACAGGTATCTGTATGAAACTTCTCCATGATTCTTCTACGTCCTCTCCAGGCTCACCTGCGGCGACACGTTCTGATCCACAAACGCACCGAGAACTACAACCCCCGCCAGAGGAAGCTGAGGAACCTGATTATACAGGAAGTGGATCACAGTCCCGAGGCAGCTGATCCCTCTCTGATCGAACAGGACACCGGCTTCGACCCAGAAACCGACAACGTCCAGGAGCCCGCAGACACAGAGCACGACTTGGCAACGGACCTCAGCTCTGGCTGCATAGTGAGGGTGGTGATCGAGCCGCCGAGGGACGCGGTGATGCAGGAGGTGGTGTCCAATCAGAGCCTGGGACACGTGGAGGCAGGGGGCGGCTTCTCTGTGCAGGGGGTGTTGCAGCAAACACAGCTGGACAGCGAGGCCTATGAGTCCACGATAGACATGGAAGGGATGGTTGAGAACATAACGGAGAGCAAGACCTGAAGATAGAAGACTGGAGACCACGTGAAACCGGATCTCATTGGCTGTTTGAGCTCCTCCTGAATGAAGGACAATCAAATGTGAAAGAGGATGAAGGTGCATGTTTAAAACCTGCATCCTCTAGAAAACCATTGCATCTAGTCGACCAAAGGGTCGTCTGTGACGTTTGCATGTGATCTGGGTTGCATGTTTGTAAGGGCTGCTTGATGTAAATACTGTCCTCTGCTGTTCTGTGTGAATCCTGCAGTTTGGATCTGGAAAATCAGCGATTATTGTTCATTTTTACCACTAAAAGTTGGTATTTGTGATGTTTACTGATAGAGTTTGTATTTTGGATGTTTAAAAACAGACTTTAACTTATACTGATGCCTCCTTAGGAGCTACAAAAGCTCAGAAGTACGACTTGTGAAGACCATTTATCCTTCTTAGCATTTCAGTGTGGCACATTTCCCTCTGTTAGTGCCTTACGCCTCATTTTGGTTTTTGCACACAGAGGCGAGTCAACTGGAAATCAACTCATTCCTGAAATTGAACTCTTGCAGCAGAGTTTGGAGAAACCATACGACTGTGCATGCTGAATGAAAAGAGTTCCTAACTGGCTAAGAAGTGCTGATCGGCACTTTTGGAGGATATTTCCTTCGTCTCAGTTGTCTTTTTGTTGGTTGTCGATTGATTAAAGAGAACCTGTTTGTCAAATAAGAACGTGGCTATTCATTGAATAGATTCAGATTATCTCTATTAGTTTGACATTAAAGGGATATTCCGGCGTAAAATTAGTTTAGGGTCAAACACACCATAACATCGAGTGAGACACCTCTTGAGAGATGAATGTTGCCGACCGCTTGCTTCTCTAGTTATACCAACTTTAGTAACGACCGCAGGATAGAAATACACAGCGGTCTGAGGAGCCATAAACAAACCTCAACCAAAACGCCACTCTATAGCTACAAATAATGCTCAGAACAGCACCTAACTTCATCAACAGGACATATAGGGTCACAGCCGTAGTACTAGCCACCAAACATCTTTTTAACTTTGACTAATTTCTTTAGCAAAGAGACTAAACACAACTCACCTACTCTCTTCCAGCAGCCGCTTGTTTGTAGAGAGACCTTAAGCCAGTCCATTATGGACTACAGCGGGGTGACGCAGCTCAAGGAAGAACATTTATGATAGTTTAGTTAATTTCATGCCAGAATATCCCTTTAAATACAGATTCTTTAATTCTTCGACAAATTGATCCCCTCCACCAAAGCTGCAGGAAGATTTAACGGTTTCTATCGTGATTTTACACCCATTTTAAAACATTATAGACTCAGTTATGCTAATCGTGGAAAATACAGCGCACTGTACCTTTAAAGTCTGTCCTCGGACATCCGATCATCTCTACAAAGAAATAGACACCACACAGGTCATCAGTTTTCTGTTAAATATACAGCTTTATAAGTGAACGCATCAGCTTCTCATGCTATTTATAAAAATAACTTTTCACACCGCTGCAACAACTACAGTCCAACGTTATGAGAAATATATCGGTAGCATGCTAACAGCTCATCAAGTGTGACTCAGCAGAATAAACTCTCTATGACCTGCCTGCAAGTTTCCTTTTTGGTACGCACACTGTAAACATCGTACAGACACAGGACACACACGAGTAAGAATAAAGACATGATTCGGCATTAAAAGCTTGTACAAACATTGATGCATAACACTCAAAAATATCATTTTTTACAAGACGACAAACTGAGATTCTTCTGCACTTCCAGTTTTAAACGGTGACCCGTCACAAAAATTCATTTGTGTTGCAATTAAGGGACACCTGAAGCAACCACAGCACAAATATACTGTATATATATATTCATAAATAAAAGTACAAAACATTCAAACATCTGTAAATACACTTTTAGGATTAATTTCTTCATGCACATTCTTCCTCTGGTGGTTATAAAAGGCTGATGTGGCCTCAGAGTGACACAAGGAGACGCCGTATCATCGCTAGCAAAGGAGATTCAACTCGGCACAAGTTCACAGCACATGCAGCTTCGACAGGAGAGTACGATGATGACGGACGTTTACCGAGCACACCTTCAAGTCCGACTCCTCCAAGTAAACTCAACCCTTCTTATTCGGTTTCTAGTGCTGGATTTTAAATGTGATTGTCATTTTTTTGGAATGTGAACAGCTCATAACGACTCGGATATGTCAGGTTTAAAAGCTGTTTTAACGCTGTACTCCAAGAGCACAAAAAATCAGCGCGACAGGGCGCCACTTTAGCTCAAACGTTGATGTGTGAAGGCCCGAGTCTGGGCTGCTGGTTTGACCCTCATCACTCTTTGGCTTTCCTATACAATAAAGAAAAACTGACTTTAAAAAATTATACAACATACCTGCAGCTATGTTTAACCCTCGTCTACTTTATGTCTACTGCCGTCATGGCAACCTCCTGAAGTTAGCAGTTCAGTCAGAAGGTCAAGTGTGACTTCACAGGGCTGTCAGGATGTCACAGTTTCACCTATGACTGAAAATTTCATAAGAATTTTACAGATGTTTAAGGAAGTGGATCAGAGCAAGTAAAAAATAAAAAAGAAGACCGGATTTTTCACGATTTTGAGACTAAATTTTGGATTTTGAGAAAAAGTGAAATTCTGACTTTAAACTCGACATTCAAAAATTTCCTCAAAATCCTGATATTAAAGTCAGAAATCTGGAAACCTGCCTTTTTTTCTCTGAACCCTGATTTTAAACACAGACCTCCAAGAAAAATGAAAATAACTTAAAAGCTCAGCCAAATAAAGGCAGAGAAAAGTGTAGAAAAACATAAAATGTTAATGACTTCGTTATCTGTTTCTAATAATGTTCAAATTGATTTATCACCAGCCTCTGTAAGAAACCTCTACACTGAAGAGATTCCCATATAAAGCAAATGTTAACGATGCTTCATTTTCACATTTGTGTTTAAGTTGCTACATCTCCTATAATGTAAAAACATGCTTTTATTTTGAAATGAAGTGTAGACCACTTCTGGTTAGGGAACTAGATGAAAACTGATTTTAAAAAGTTAAATATATGAGTAATAAGAGACTAGTTAGAAATGTTTAGGGCTTCTTACTAGCTAAAGCGCTATTAAAGCTAGTTAGCTAGCTTCTCTCTGCTTCTTCATCTTCCTTCTGTTTAATGGCAAGTAACAGCATAAAGAACTACCAGCTCCTCTTGTGAAAAACAATATCAACAATTCATCTCTTTAAAAGGTGGTTATCGTCAATATTGCAACAGCCCTCACAAATCTGCTGTAGAGTCATCCACCCACACAGAAAAACTGCTGAAATCTGGACTCGTCCCTCAGCTGCGGTTCCTCAAACAGAGACCAGACTGGAGAGGGGGTCTGAGGTGTGAGGTCTACCCCCCCCACAGTTGAAAAACTTGGGTGGTCAGGACCATAAAACATCCTCTTGGTAGAGTCCAAGTCCAGCTAACCGTCACACAAACAGATCATCGATAACGCACATTTTACAGAGTTTGCCCACCAGGTTGTAAACATGATATAAATTATGTGTGAAAAAGAAACAACACATTATTATTATTATTGAATGCTGCCCCCTACAGGACGACTGCTTACCTAACAGGGTAAAAAGAAAGGAGTGGATGAATGTGTGTCCAAATAAAGCTAAAGATCAAATATACCTTTGCTTTGAAGCTTTTTGTACAACTAAAGAAACGCTCTGTAATTTTCTACATTTTTTAGGGAAGACATTTTGAGCCTGATCCTGAGGACTAGCGTTTCAGTTTGGGTCTCTTCCTTAAGAGGCCTCTGCTTCTCTGAGCTCAGCTGGACTCAGTCCCGGACTGAGCACAAACAGGGCCCCCGTCTTTTGGCGTGACTACGGGTACGACAGCTCGGCAGTCCAGAGGATCAGAAGCAGCTCAGATGACTTTGTACATGCTCAGTCTTCTGCTTCTAACAGCATCACGTTGAGGTAAACTACTCGTGGTACGATGAGGGTTGAGTCTAAAAAGTTACTCCCCAGTTTCAGTGCGCTGGGTTCACATCCTGGTTCTGGTTCTGGTTGAGATTGTTGTTGAGATTCTGGAGCGCCTGGTGTCGCTGATGCCGGTGGAGGTGAATGGCATTGGACTCCGGCACCTCCGTGGGTTCAAAAGCGCTCGACACCTGAGGCATGAACTGGCGGAAGATGCTGACGCTGCCGTGCCAGAAGGTCGGCTGAGGGAGGCGGCCGGCGATCGTCCAGGTGCGAGTGTTGGGGTCGTAGGCTTCCACCACGTCGGACAGCTCAAATGTGTTGTCGTAACCTCCGGATACGTAGAGTTTACCGCCGAGGACCGCCACGCTGCCTCCGACGTGGACCTGCAGATCAGAGGTAAGGTTAAAAAACAAAAAACAGACTCAGACTCATCAATCAGAAGAGCGAGATCAACAGTTGTTCAGAGTGAAATACTAACCTGGGTCATGGGAGCAATTTTATCCCACTCATTCTTCTGAGGATTATAAACATCCACCTCAGCGGAGTCATCTCTGCAAATAGAAACACAGCAGAGTCAAAACAATCACGGCTCGCATTACTGAAACAACTACAGAGAAACAAAACGAAAAACTGTCATGAACTCATGCAAAAAGTTCTTAAAACAAGATCAAAGTTTGAGCTGACAGTCGGCCCAAGAAGCTGAACGCTGATTTCTGCATCGTCATTCTTCTCAATAAGACGACTGACATGATAAGAAATAAGAATGTCCACAAAAATCACCAAATAAGGAGAGAGGCTGATCACATTCAACTAGAGCATTCTTGTTTTGTCTAAATGATACGAGTACAGTGGCGCACTCTTGTGGTAAAACATCAGAATGACAGCTGACTCGGTGGTTAAAGGGAGATTTCCTCCAGAGTCTCAGTGACTAAAACTGGCTTTTCCGATACTAAACCGGTGAATTCTTCGAGGTGATCTTTAATTTTTAGAAAATATCTGAAACTTTAGCCAACAATCTAAAACAAGTCCTCTAAATTACACACAAAAAGTGAAATAAACAAGTTTGAAGAAGCCAAAAAGTTTCTGCCAATTTTAGCCCGTTGGAGACTAATCAGTAATCGGCCAAAATCGCCGATTTTCGCCGTTATTTTCAGAAATAAAATGCAGAGAATAAGATTCGGTTTCACTTCGAAAATGTTCCGCCATTTGAAAAGTTCCCCGACTTATCCAGTAGATGGCGCAGCAACCTCGACAGATCTGAAGCAGGCAGCTCAGGGACGCGCGGAGGAGAGTGGTCCGCCTCAACGGTAAATAAACCAGTTTGTGAAGTACACAATAAGTCAACAAGTTTCAGTTCAACGCACTTCACCATGTTCCCCGCTGTGCTGGTCTCAGTCACGCTGAGTTAACGGTGAAGCACCATGAAATATGCAAGCTAAAGTTAGAGTTAGCCACCTGCTATTAGCCGCGCTACACTGTTAGCCGCGCCACTAACGGTAGAATAAACAACAGTTCACATTAGTGATCGAGCTACTTCTCTTACTGAGGCAGCTGCACGTCTCCAGATGAGACAGGACCGGAAATGAGTAACGTGAATTAAGACACGGAGGCACCGATCGGCGGTAATAATCGGTATCAGCATCGGCCCAAAAATTCTGTCTTACCTGATGAAATAGATGAGGCTCTTGAGGGTCACAGTTTTAGGTGTGAAGGACCACGGCGGCAGCTGTCCGCAGCTCACCGTGGACCAGCGGTTCGTGTCCGCGTCGTAACTCTGGATGGTCATCGTGTCCTCTCCGGTCAGAGAGCCGATGGCGTACAGCCGCCCGCTGCAGGTGGTGGTGGAGCAGTTATCCATGGCGTGCAGCATGGGCGGTAAGGCCTCCCAGCAGTCCAGAGCGTGATCGTAGCGCTCGGTGCTGTCCGACGCCACCACGTACAGCTGACCTTTGAGCACGCAGGAGCTGTGGTACTCGCGCGCCTTCAGCATGGGTGACACCTCCGTCCACTCGTTCACGCTGGATTTGTAACGCCACACGCCGTCGTAGAGGCGGGAACCGTCGGAGCCACCTGGATGACAGTTAGGAGGATGACATTTTTTAAAGCGAAGACTGCTCTGACCACAGGGGGGCGCCAAAGTCTGCTCAAAGGGAAAGTTCCTTACTGGAGCTTTAAAGCTAGTACAACAGTCACATCATGATTTTTATGATTTTAAACTTAAAAATGATCTAAAACATCCAAATTTAAAACATCTTGACTCTCAATATTTACAAATCTTCTACCAACCTCTGTCTGAAACAAAAACAGAATATTTTAGATCTGCAGTCATTTAATAAACCTTTAAATAAACCCTCTGAAAGTGTCAACTGTATGTTTATAAGCGTTTAAAGTAACCCAGACATCATATATATAGAATTATGACGCCTCAGAGTGTGTGTGAATGAAACTGTATACAAGGATATAAAAGCCAAATCTGCCTCCCGACATTATGCAATCCTTCTCCGCTCTTATTTCAGCACTGAGCGAACACTGCTAAATTTGTTGTCTTGCAGGAAACTCAAGCTCACTGAAGTACAGGATGAATTCTCAAAGGGATCAACTGTCAGCTGGTGATGAAGAGGATGATGATGATGATGACACCACGGTGGTGCTTTGGCAGCACACCATGTCCTGCCTCACTCCGCTCTGCCTGGTTCCCACATGGAGACACCCGCCGAGGAAGCTGACGTTTATTTATAATCCTGACAGGCGTTTCGTAAGGTGGAGGAGCGGGAATGGAAATCTACCGACTGAAGAGTTTGATGTACACAAACACCCAGACTGAAATCCCAGAGCTCAGGTTTGAAGAGAGTTAAAGAGCTTGACGGTCTTACCTGAAACATACATGTCATTTCCCAGAGCGGCTATACTGTAGCCTCCTCCCAGGTGATCAGGGAACTCCGCCAGGTAACGCCACTGTCCAGTCTGAGGGTTGTAACAGTCCACAGTGACCAGCTCATCGCAGTCCTGGTCACAGCCTCCGACGACCACCAGGATCTCTGCCAGTCCGGTGGACGGCCGCGGCCTCATGCGGTGGCAGGGCCTGTCGTGGCGGTCGTATTCGCAGGACTGAAAGCTGCGGGCCTCGTTGACCATACGGAGGCAGGTGGGCGACAGGTAGACCAGAGGGTCGCTCTCCACGTGGGCCAGCAGGAAGAACCTCCTCACGAAAGGGAGGCGCACCTGCTGGAGGAGCTCGGGCCAATAGTGCAGCCTCCGTTTGAGATCTGCTTTGACCCAGCGCACGGCGATCTGATAAACCGTCTCCTCTTTGTCCACGCAGAGCTCGTCCTCTGACACAAACTCGAGCAGGCGCTTCCATGACAACCGCTCAAAGTCTGTCCCTTTAGCCAGCTCCATTATGTTTTTCAGGACGAAGCGGCGAGCGCTGGTGGCCAGTTCTCTGCAGGCGTAGGCCTCTGCGAAGTCCTGGATCTCTAAGCAGTTTGAAACGTCGAGCCGCTGCTCCAGGAAAGCACAGCAGGCCTCTTTAACCGAGGGGAACTGGAACAGATCTGCCGTCTTCAGCAGGACGTCCACGTTATCCTGAGTGACGGTAACCCGTCCCGTGTAGCAGAAGTCCACAAGCAGACCTAAAAGCTCTGCTGACACTTCATGTAAAACCACCCGGTCCATCACGCTCTCCCTCAGAGTCCCCGCAAACATAGCTCTGAAGTAGGTGCTAGCGGCGGCCAACACTGTGCGGTGACAGTGAAACTCGCGGCCCTCCGCGCACAGAGTCACGTCGAAAAACTTGCGTTCGGCTCGGAGTTCATGGATCCCCCGCAGCAGGTTGAAGGCGTGGGCCGTGTCGAAGAACGGAAGGGTGGAGGGTTGGGTCTGCAGGACTGGCTTTTCCATCGCTCCTCTCTCTCAGGGGTCTCAATTTACGGTGATTGTGCTCAGAATGATTTTTTCATCTGAAACAGAAGAACAACAGAAACACACATCTAACCAACACATGATAGGAACCACCACAGCTGGATGTTTGGTAACATGTACAGTTTCTGGAGATGTTTCGCCTCTCCATGGACAGACTTTGATACTTATCAAGGTCTTTTCTTTCCAGAACTTAAGAAGCCCATCTCAAAGTCTTAAACCAAGTCCAGTTAACCTTTTTGGATCAGCCTGGGAAAACTACGATCCAGGGAAATGGGCAACAATCAGTTTGTCTTCTTTTTGGAAATCATGGACTCCCCAGTTCAGCTTCAACTCTGCTGTAATTTTATTATTTTCACTTAAACGTAGGATTTTAATTGTTCACTGAACATTAATCTCTGTTTTTAACTCAGTGTCCAAACTTTTTTAGGACTTAAGGATGTTTTAGGGTCGTTTTTGTAACCAAATGACTTTGTTTTCCTTTTTTAATTCAAACCAGGATGTGTGCTCGACAAAAAATGAGAAAACACCCTGAAAAATATTCACCAAAGATCCCTGAAGTACAAGTATTGATCTGTAAATAGTTAAAATCGGCACATTTGACAGCTACAAGGTTGTGACGAGGATACTTCTGGCACTTTCTTTTGGACCGATGCTCATTAATATTCGTTCACACAAAAATATCACAAAACCCGCTAAGAGAAGAGCTACTGTAGCTTGGATATAATCCCTAAACATGGACACTTTGAAGTAGCTGTGATCACGTTTCACTGCACTCAAAGTTTCGTAACACAGAGTGAAGGATATGAAATATCAAAAGTTGAAGAGCTACAACTCTGGTGCCACACGTCTCGAAACAAACACAAGCAAAGCAGGTTCTAGAAGTCACTTCTAGGCGTATGATGTAAGAGAAACTGTACAAATACGCCTGTGAGGTCCAGCTGATACTAATAAAACTCTTCTTTCTCCTACCTGAAAACTCCCCAGGTAAGCTTTACGACCAAAGTAACGGCGCTCAATAATCCGTTAAAATACAAAAGCGAAGCTGAGCACGACTGATGAGTACGAGCAGCTCCTCACTCCTGTTTAAGAAAGAGAGCTCGCTTGTGCTCAGGGGCTATAAATACACCGGCAGTGTCCATTTCCAGGCAGGGTGGTGGGGGGGAGACACCTAGCATGCCGTGGGCTGACGCTTTGGGGAGAGTGTGAGCCCCCCTCTCTCGACTCCCACTGGTATGTCTCTATGGTCAGTCAGTGTGAGTAAGTGGTCTTTGAGAGAGGAGCCAGCTGAGCCCGGGCCTCCTCATCGCCGTCAGCTCAGCAAACCGACCAAAACACAGAGAGCGCTGTCACCGTCTCCTTCGGTCGGCGCGGCGGAGAACCCCGGCAGCTCAGATCTGCTCTGAACACACAGAGACAGAAACGGCTCAAGTTCTCGAGTCCAGTAAAGTCACATGTGAGGGAACGTTTGCTCAGGGAGTCGCCGGAAAATAATCCAAGAACATTCAGGGTTTTTTTTTACTGTAGTGTGATCTCAAATATCTGAGTGGATATGTAAGACTGAGTCCAAGATTTATTTGGAGACTGAAACATCGATGAAATGTTACAGAGAGATTCCTGGCCCACAGAGGATGAATCATAATGACTTTGGTGGTCCTTTTGAGCTTGAATCCTTTCTTACCACTCAATATTTCACCTGTACAGTGAAACATCTCAACATGACTCAAACTGTAGTCACTGATCTTTCTCAGAGACGGTGTAACACGCCCACACTGACGGCATTTTTACACTCGTCCATATAAGAAGTCAGACTTTGTCTCACCTATGAAGAAACCTCTTCTGAATATCAACAGTTACATAAAAACACTACACTACTGTATAGTAAAGATGCTGTTTGATATTCAATGTTTCCATGCATAGATACGTTGAGACACAGTTAAAGCTCCATTAGGCAATTTCACTGGGCTGCTTTAATCTATTATTTATTTTTATTTTTTTTCAGACTCAAGTTTTTATTTCAATTTTGTTTTTACGCTTTAATCTATTATTGACAGAGGCATGTCCGCCTCCTCTACAGTAGGTGGCGATATGCCCCCTATCAGGTTGTCTCCCGGTTGACTTGTTACGTATCAACACAGTCGGCGAAATGCGTCAGCAAGGTGCTAACTGGATGTACATCGAACAATAAAAACACCCTCACTTTTACAGCTCTGTGCCATTTCTTTGTACAATACTTAAGTTTAACCTTTTTTCATGTCTTTTCTTCTTCTGCCGAGGTTTTGTTTACTACCCAACTTCCTACTAGCGTATCCACACCCTTCAAACTCCCATCTCAAAGACTAGCATGCAAACACTGGCAAATGCAGAAAACGCTAAGGCCAGTTTCAGTCTGATTAAGATGTAAACACAGGAGAGAAATAGATCCCCAACAGAAAATTTGTCTGTGAGGCTAGGGCTGGGCAATATGGCCTCAAATCAATATCATGATATATTGATCAGTTGACATGACATCAGTTATTGTCATAAATTTCGGTATCTGTAAATTTTGGGTTTATCGCCCAGCCCTACTCAGTATATGTACAGTTGAGACGCAGTTAAAGCCCTGTTAGGCAATTTCACTGGGCTGCTGTCATCGTCTCAAAAATCTAATTATTGACAGAAGCATGTCTGCCACTATCAGGTTTTCTCCCAGTTGATATCAACACAGTTGGCGAAATGCGTTAGCATTTGCTAACTGGACGTACATCGAACAATGAAACCTCTCTTACTTTTACTGCTCTGTGTCGTTTCTTTGTACAATAGGAATGTGTCTTTTTTCACGTCTTTTTTTCTTTTATCAGTGTCCTTTATTACCAGACTAGCATGCAAACACTGTTGCATGTGCAAAACACTAAGACCCGTTTCAGTCCAATCAAGATGTAGACATGAAGGATAAAATCACTCTCCATCTGTCAGTTCGACTAGGAAAAGTGTGATTTAGTGCGATTTCATTTAAACTCGTGTGTTTACATTTTTTGTACAAGTCTTGTTTCAATCCAACTAAAGCAATAAATTATTGTTTTTTTCATTCATGGCTGTTTGATCAACTTCGAGCTGGTTTTGAAATAACTGTTTGGTAAATTAACAAGAGAAAATATCCTTGAACACCCTGAAAGACTCAAGTCGAAGTCAGGTTTGTTTGACCCTGCATTAAAGGCCAATCTTTGGAGATAATCATTCCTGCTCAAAATACACAGGTATCTGCTTACAGAGATTTGTTTAAAGGTTGTCATAAAGCCCCCAGCAGGTCCTCCGGCCAAAGGACTTAGCACAAATTCCTCATGAGGGTTCAACAATGCAGCGGTGCTCAGGGCTCTGCGAGGGATCAAACTGAACCTCTGAAGGGCAGACGGGACCTCACAACCCGGACCTGCTCTGCTGAAACACACATCCGAGCTTCTGTGGAAGAGATCGTCTGCATGTCAGGAGGGGATAATAGCATTTCCTTACATAGACGGGACGAGCTAACCTTTCATTCAGACCTGCGTTTGATTTCTTGCTCCCACTGGTCTCCGTTACAAACACTGAAAATGTTCTTTCATAAAAGTCAGTGTGCTGTAACATCTGCTCTTTTGCTCGTTTTCCTAGAGGTACAGATAAAGTCCAATCCTCAAATCATTGAGCAACTTACAATCGGCTCTGAAAACAGCTGACAGAAATGTAATCCCACACAGGAAGGTAGAGAGGGGAGGTGGTGGAAACAATCTGGGCTGCTATGAGAGAGGAGTACAGAGAGAGCAGTGTGACCCTCAGAGTCTGGATATATAGGAGAAGTGGACCCTATGCCCCTTTTCATCACCTACCAAAACAAGAGTCTCCTGTCTGCTCCTGGAGCTGAACTCGTGACCTGCACTTATATCCAGGAGAAAAACACTCAGAGTAAATCACAGCAGAGGACTTCAGAATTCAACTCTGGTGTATTTCGTTTCTATTCCCTGAAGCGGCTGATGGTGACGATGATGATGAGAAGGTCTATTCCTGTATTTAGTAACGATACTACTAGTGTATCTGTAACCTACTGCTGTTTATAGACAGTGAGTCTTCACAGAGTAAATGAGCCTAATGAAGAAGAGTCAAAACATCCAACAGGACCAATGAGTCGACACAGGAGCAACGTGAGGATATACTGGTGATTTAAGAGGCTTTATTAACACTGACGCGTAAACATGATGATTCTAGTTCATCCTAGTTCCGGTTCAAACCTCTAGTATGATGCAGCTGAGAATCAGTGAGATGATTAATGACTTCTGATAGTTAGACGTCATTACATCCTTTAAATCTGAGGCTGAATTGAGGATTAAAGGCAAAGAAGTAACTTGTAATCTGCGTACAATTTTATCTCCATTTACTGAATCCAAATCTGAATTTAATCGAACTGTGCTACACCTAAACATGCCATCTGCTACAGCTAAGACTAAACATTTGATTAGTATTACAATTACGTATCACTAAATTGTGTAACCAATCAGTGATCGCAGTGCTGTAACTTTGCGGTGATTAATTTCAACCCTCCAAACACTCACATCCATGACTGATTGGGTCAGGGTTGAGTTAGCAGACAGGTGGGCTGCTATAGTAGATCAATTTTTATTAACCATTAAAGACTCGACCTACATAAAGGCAAAATTGAAGCACAGAAGGCAATAAGTCCTCCAAAGCTTGAACATAAACTGAGCCAACTCCATGAATTAAAATAATAGGAAAATACTCTAATTGAATCCAGCATTACTATCACTCAGTTACAGCGGTAACTTTCAAACCATTTGCAGCTGAATTTCCCGCTTGAGAAACATGTTCAATCTAAAAGTAGACAATCTAAATTTTGACCTTATGATGGTGCTGGATGACAAATTGAGGACTTGACGACATTATACCCAGTAACTCTTGAGAATCTCATAAGTGAATGACCAAAGTGTGAATCTGTTAGAGGTGACAGAGTCAAACTCAGGACAGTCATTAAAGGGATGGTTTGGTTTTATGTTTTGTTTTGTTGTGTTACTTTGGAGTGGGGTTGTGTGAGGTTTCTGCTAGATCAGGTCTGGAAAGCTGGCACAGTCCTGCAGATTAATGTAGTTTAAGATTACGCTACATTTAAGAAATTATCTTGTATGTTTCTGACCGTAAAGGAACAATGGTACAAACTTCATCCTTGAGTCAAAACACATGGAGGATGACTTACGAGGAACAACATCTTAATAACACTCTTGACCTCATGGGGTTCAAGTATTCAGAATGGGGGTGGGGGGTATTCATGAGCTGTTCAGCGTATGTAAACAGCGTATATCAACAACAGGCTCCGTTTACACCAGTATGTTTGCAGTTACTTCTCTGCCTTTCTATCTGAATAATTGTGTTGCCCCTTGCTGGCGCAGTCTTGTAATTACCACCAGACGATTTACATACATATAGACCTCAGCCCCGTCTGTTTTGCATTCATATCAAGTAAGTTTCAGAATAGCTCGACTGTGTGCAGAAACTGAGCTACTTTGTTTGAGCAGTATTCTACTTTGCATGTATGAAAGTAATGTCAACATCACAAAGAGTTCAATTAACGTCGAAGATATCAAGGACTCTGAATCTTCCTCTGCAGCAGAACTGCTAAGCTTCCTGAGGTCAGGCTCAGCACCTGGTCGTCTAACATCCACACAGGCACAGCTGCTGTCGCTCCAGGCTGTTGGGGCCAAGTCAACCATCAGAGCGGGGTGACATAAACCCCTGGTCCCCCACAGCTGAGGCCAGCCTGGCCATAAAAAGGCAACCACGCCGCCACACTCATCTCATCCCCCATGGAGGAGGGTCTGAAACACTAACAGCAACCACACTGAGATAAAAGTGCAAGTAAGAAGGATATACTCAAAGTATAAAGGTAAATATACAATAATACACCCAACAATAACAAACTATGTTAATAAAGTTAACTTAAAAAATAATAAAAATACCATGTTATCATGATTCTGTTTCTTTTTTCCTTAAAGGGATATTCCGGCATAAAATTGATTTAGGGTCAAACACAACACTGAGTTAGACACCCCCTCAAGAGATGAATGTTGCCGACCGCTTGCTTCTCTAGTTATACCAACTTTAGTAACGACTGCAGGATAGTAATACACAGCGGTCTGAGGAGCCATGAACAAACTTCAACCAAAACACCATTTCCTTGAAATAACAATCATCATATTAATCATTTTGCACTGTAGACGCGGTAGTTCTTCAACCTAAGTCTCGCTACAAACAAGTGGCTGCTGGAAGAGAGTAGGTGAGCTGTGTCTAGTCTCTTTGCTAAAGAAATTAGACAAAGTTAAAAAGATGTTTGGTGTCTAGTACTACGGCTGGGACCCTATATGTCCTGTTGATGAAGTTAGGTGCTGTTCTGAGCATTATTTGTGGCTATAGAGTGGCATTTTGGTTGAGGTTTGTTTAGAGAAGAAAGCAGTCGGCAATATTCATCTCTCAAGGGGTTGTCTAACTCGGTGTTGCGGTGTGTTTGTCCCTTTATTGATTTTACGCCAGAATATCCCTTTAAATCACCTAAACATTATCCCAAACTGTATTACCCTTGATTTTTATGGATTAAACTATCTCTGCCACAACTTTCACTCAGTAATAATGAGCCTTTTTTAAACTTGTGACATTAATCAGTAAAGTTGTCCAACAAAAACTTACTTTTATGAAAATCTTGGTGACTTATAGTGAGGAAGTACATCTATTTCTTTATATTTTGAGAGTATAAACAATGGTGTCCTTGAAGGACAATAATCTGCCATGATACATGATATATACAATTCTCCATTTGGCAAGTTTTCACCATCAAAATCATCCAACAATACAAAATATTTTGCACACAACAACCTCTCTTCTTCTTCTCCAAACTGTTGCACTGACTATAAAGAAAACATGTGTTACTAATTTGTGCTCCAGCAGAAACATGGTGGTGCCTTTAGAGAAGGACCCACACCCATATTAATACAAATCTACCTCTATTTACTACTATTGTGTCCTTCTTTGACCAGGTCAGTGAACTCTCCTCAGGTCAAGAGAGACTTCCTCTGACTGAGATTACCATCTAGATAAAACCAAGTCAATAAAGCAGCATATTATTCATCAATCTTTTATCAGGAATGCAGGAAAGAATAAATAAAATGCCACAAAGGAGGTCAGTTTCATGTTATGTCTGATAGGGGATGATGTGAAACACTAAACCAACCTGCTGCTTCGTCTCCCCCTACATTCCTCTAATTCCTGAAGAAACAGCTCCAGCTCCACGTTATAATAAACATTTGCATCATACAGGCCATAAAGCCGCACACTGAGGCCTGTGAGCTATGGAAAACACATATTTTCTACTCTTTACAAAGCGTTTTTACCTTCAAATCCACATCTTACAGCTAATGCTAGCTCATATCTCAGATACAGAGCTGTTGTCAGCATTACCTAAAACAGACTTATTACGATAATGACACAAATGTTTAACAACTTCACTCCTGCTAGCTTTATCAACTTTCTACCACGACGTATTTCTCCGTTAAGAGCTGTTATTTATCTTTAAGAGGATATATACACCAAAAATTGAGTAAAACTCTTTATATTCCGCCTGCTAATAATATTAATGTGATGTTTCTATCGGGCTAATCGTAACGGTTTTTTCCAATCGTACTGAATGTAAACGTTACAGCTAACTGCCGATCTGTCCGAGATTTAACCGCACTAAATAACGAGCCAAACACGCCGCAGACAACTTACCCGTGTTTATTTTCTTCAGGTGTCAAGAAATTAACACGTATGATGTGTTAACGCCGAACAAATCGAGCTGAAGTCAAAGTTTGATGCCTCGGATGTGTTCGGCCTCCTCTGCGCCATGATACCGTGGAGTGTAACGAGTGTTGCCTTCACGGACCGTCGGGAATGTAGCTGCTCACACTAAACACAAATCCAGTCGTACTTTTCGACTATCCTCTTACATGAAAGTTAACAGGATTGGAAGAAGTAGACAAAATACCAAAGTAATAAAATACAAATACACATTTTAATTAAGTCCAAATGTGTTAGATTTTAAGAATACTGTTTGTAAACAGTGTTCTTGATGCAAAATGTTAAAATTCATGACTTCCCAAGATTAATTAGGGTCAAACACACATTTCTTCATGGAAATGCAATCAGACTGAGACGCCAAGGTAGAAGAACTAGCGCGTCTGCAGAGCAAAATGATCAAAATGATCATGGACCAATCAGGGAAAGACAGCCCCTGATTGGTCCATGTGTAGATGGTGCCGTCTAACATATGCCGCGGGACTTTTCAAAGCGCCGTTCCTTCAGAACGCCGTTAATTCTGCGGTTGACTTTGCAAAGTCGGCAGAAATCGTTTATATCCGACGGATATGCTGACAGTGGAAACACAGTCACTGATTGGCCCGATTATTTCCTGATTTCTAATACACGCTCCCAATTGGCTGAAGTCCAGACTGTTGTGGGAAGGAACGGGAAGTGATTCACGCAACTGGATAGCCCAGCCAGGCTATAACATATGTAGACGCCTCAAAGCCTGACGCTGCCCATTGGAGCTCACGTATCAGTGCGGCCGCCATCTTGGAGGGTTCCCCATCCGCCTCCAGTGCATTAAGGTAGGTAGGAATGGCCAACCACATTGATAATAACTCTGAATCTCTGCCCGATTTTCGCACTTTTTGGTTTGTTACAAACGGCAGGGATGTAGCCATAATACAGGACAATATCACACATTAAAAATAAAACAAATTATTTTTCAATCCTATTTGTGAAATCTAATCCTATGTGATCTGGTTTCAATACTGCGTCAGGTTTTTCAACCATAGAGTGCGAAAATACAGGCATAGTTGCTTATTCTCTACTGACACCCTTTGGCTCTTGCGCAAGCATGGAGTGGGGAGACCCATCCAATATGGCAGCAACGCTGGGTTACGCTGCAGCATGTAATAAGGTGTCTATGTATAATGTGTGTGGTCTGTAATAGACTGGCCTGAGGTCTGGCTACAAACAAGCGGCTGCGGGAAGAGAGTAGGTGAGTTGTGTTTAGTCTCTTTGCTAAAGAAATGAGTCAAAGTTAAAAAGACGTTTGGTGTCTAGTACTATGGGGGACCCTCTATGTCCTGTTGATGAAGTTAGGTGCTGTTCTGAGCATTATTTGTGGCTATAGAGTGGCGTGTTGGTGGCTCCTCAGACCGCTGTGTATTGCTATTGTGTGGTCGTTACTAAAGTTGGTATAACTAGAGAAGCAAGCGGTTGGCAACATCCATCTCTCGAGGGGGGTGTCTAACTCGGTTGTGGTGTGTTTGACCCTTATTGATTTTACACTGGAAATCCCTTTAAATGTGAGGAGGGTTTAAAGTGAATCTATTAGAGGTGTCTGTTTCTTTTTAGAGATAACTTTTGGACAGTTTTGGAAAGCTACACTTAAATTGTACATTTATTTTGATTATTAGGTTAAATCTCAAAAGTTGGGGTATTGAGGTCAAGAAATGTAAAACTGAGGTACAAGTAGTTGAGATGGATAAAGCTGCAAATTTAGGATAATCCTGAATCACACTATGTTTCTGACTTCCAAACTCTGAGCTTTAGGATGTGAAAACCTGTCAGACCTCATCCATGCTTTGCATTGTTCTACCATCCTTTAATTCAAACTAACCCAAACTCCCTCCTTTAGAAACCAAACACTATCTTAAACTAATTCCTTTTGGCAAATAAACTTTGAACAAGGGCTGTATTGTTCAAAGACAAGAAGTGAACACAACTAACAAAAGTTATTAATCTCTGAATGCTTAAACAAACAAATACATGGAGATGAAGTTGACCTTTTAAATCAGACTAGTCATTATCACTCTCCATCATTGTTAACCTGCAGACAGCGACTGACAAAACCTTCCATTCGCTATCACAATGTTTAATTCATTTAAAGTGCTTAGCAGTCAGTTCATGGAGGATATGTACACACTGAGTTATACCTTTCCCCCCTGTTCCTCTGAGGAGGATCATGGTCCAGACTGTAAAACAATCTCCTCTGCAGAGTAATTAAGAGTAACCCATGGTTGAACTTTGTACGTCCTCGGTGTGTCCCTCAGGCGGCGCGGTGTAAACGTGGGAACTGCCAGCAGACATCATGTACAGCGGTCACTTTGACATTGTACAAATGCAGCTGGATTAGATCCTCACTGCGGGTCAGCGGACAGTTTAATCAGGCCTTTAGTTTTATTTCGCCAGGATTTCAGTCATGCATTTAAAACAAGACAAATTATTCATTCAGAGTAGAGAGATACACCTGAGCTGATGGACACACAAGTCAAACATAAGGTTGTCATTTCCTCATTGTAAAGCTACAGCCAGCAGGCGTTATCTTTACTTGGAGTTAAAGGCCTCGCATGATAGTATTTTTAGATAATATCAACATGTCTTGGTTGTTTTTTAATCAATGTTTTGAATTCATCTAAGCAGGATCTCCAGTCTCTGAGTTTCTAACCCTTTTTACATGAAGTTTGAGTGATAATGAGGTGCTGTGCTGATTGGCTAAGAGAGTGCAGACTGATGTAGAGGTGGAAAAACACCAAAACAAACATGGTTCTCCAGGAGAGCCGGCATCAATACCACACCCATTCCCGACATTATTAACTAAAAATATTATCACAACACCCACCATCAGCTGAATGTCACTGTCGCTTTAAACACAACACTGACTTGTTATCATGCTCTACTGTTGTTGATGTAAATAAACATCCTCCAACTGATAAAACCAACTTTTACCTTCCACTTCTCTCCATCTCTCTCTGACTCGTGTCCTCACATGACTCCTTTTTGCAAACAGCTCTCTTTAATTGCTAATTACCCCATATGTTCACAGGCAAGTCTGCTGTGAGTTTTTGGGAGCTTTTTATTACGACACAGCTGCCTAATAAGAGCAGCGAGACTGAACTAAATAGTCACTCGGTTATGGTGCTGTACCTGCACCTGAAGTGACCTTAAGCACGAGGAACTAAATGTGTGAGTCTGAAACTATAAGCGGTTCATTTCATATTCACAGCGATTTGATCCTATAAACATAAAATACCAATTGGTGCAGGCGAACAAAATGCCAGTGCTTTACAAGAGAAGTGAAAATTTTTCATTTTTCCTCATTTTGGAGAGAAATATCATTATTTTACTCCATTAGGGATCCACCTCCCTTAAGACCACCCAAGTGAGAGGGAGCAGTGAATGTTTACAGCTTATTGTCACTAGATGGAGACATTTTATGGGTTTATGTCAAAGCTATCCTCACGTCTGCAGACTGATGGCTCTCAGAGTAAAACAAACCTCCCTTATTAAAAATTGAGCACAAACAGACAAAATTTTTTCTTTGCACTGTAACACCTCAGTGTGTGTGTCGTAAAATCTTTGCCTCTGAAAAATTTAGAGTGTTTATGTTTTGTGTCGGTCAGGGTTTGACACACAGCCTGTCTGTTTACACCAGAGCGGCTATAACTCCAAACTGAACAGCAACAACTCTTCAGTCTCTAAAGGCTCTTTCTTATTTCTAGAATACTCTTCAGCTCGGATTGCACCATCTTCTCCTAAATCTATTATTTACCTCTGAATTTTGGTGAGAAGTCCATCCTCGTTTCTTCCTTCAGCTTGTCTGAAACTGGACTGAAAAGAGATGGTATTCATGTAAACTTAAAGAAAAGTCTGAGCGCCAAAGCTTTAATATCTAAATGTGAGTATGACCTAATTCTTCTATGAATAAATGTGGAAATACTTGTTCCACTGTAAGGCTAAATATTCTGTGGCTGCTGTCTGGGGAGGATTATGCTAATGCAGGCTCACTGATAAGCTTGCATTTTGTGGATTGAGGAATTGAAGAAAGATTGAAAAGTTTTTTTCCTGTAAAACAAAACTCATGGTGGACACCAGCAGCTTTCTTAGCAACACATGGACTCTGGAGCACGCACAGAAGGCTTTGGCCAGTTTGAGTCCAGAATAGATAAGAAAATCGATGCTAAAATGCATCCTCTTTGTACATTGGTGAATAGTTTGACATTTTCAGTCAGACTAATGCAGGAAATCCATTTTTGGACAAACATGTTGATGCACTGATTGTAGCTGGTACACAGGAGGCTTTTAACTCCACTTCTTTGCATCCTCGCAGGCCAACCAAAAGTTAAATAATTAAATAAATACTTTGTTTATTCCTCTTACCCCGAATTTCCACCACATCTGGAATGGCAGCGATTTTCGGCGAATTCCTACCAGATCGCGAGAACTCACAAGAACCCGCAGAGTCACGTGCAATTGCACAATAACATGTTGTCTCCGTAAAGACAGTCAAATAACCATATAAGCAGTAGATTGTGTCCTTCCAGAGGAGGAAATCTACTTCTAGACTTCTAGAATCAGCATCTTCTCATCCATGGTGTCATCAGGATGAAATGCTGTCTTTCACTTGTTCGTCCCCGTCTGTTTGCATGGTGTGAAATACGATCCGCCTGAGACACGGAGTGTTTTATTTTGAAAAGAAGTCGAATGTTTTGTTTTGTGTCCGTGCCCGACTTCCTTTCCAGCACGGGTTAATCTGTGCTGAATTTATCTGGAAAGAAGCTGGTGGAAACTGACACATTAACTTGAATGGTTACGATCAGCTGTGTTTGGCGGATACGGCCTTTTTGTAGCCGTTCCGGATGCGGTGGAAATTGGGGGTTAGTTTTTAACCTTTGACCTCTGAGTGGGCAGGGATGCAGTTATTATGAAGCAGTGCATTGATTACCTCCCTGAATGTTGTCTTAGAGAGGGAGAGCGCAGACTTGGCGAGTGCTCCAGAAGAACCAGCAACAACACTGCACCAAATCTTCCCCATAATGAAGTGTATTTGTAAATCTGTTGCACGTAAGGTTTAAAATTGTGGATAAAGTTTATTAAACTTTGCAGAATGAACACTCACGTATTCTTCACCTTTAAATCTCTCGTGTTTACAGCATTAATCCACGGCTCAGAGGTGTCAAACATATTTCAAAGTATCTTTCAGGCTCCACACTCACATTCATTAACACCAGCGAGCTATCACATAATCCACACTTGAAGTAACACCAGGCAGTTAGTCAGTGTAAATATTTAATTATATCTGATATTCAAGCGGGAGCGTAACAAATTGATTTGACTTTGTTTGACTAATGTGTAAATTAAAAAGTAAACACTCGTCTTATAACCAGGTCAACAGGTTGGGGTTGCTTTTGTCTTCGTGCGATGCTTTGTCTTCATTTATTTACGACGTTGTGCGGATGAATTATGCAAAAACTGGATGTGTCGACGAATCTTGTAAATAAAACAAGAAAGACAACAGGATTATGGTCTTATTTGTCAGCAGAGATGAGTAGCTCAGGGTTGATACTCTCCTGAAGGACAAAGCATTAAAAATAAAAGAGGACAGGAGCCTTGGAGTTTGATTGACTCCCGGCCTGAGGTTTGAAATTCAAAGCATCATCGCCGTAAACAAAGAAAAGTCAAGGGATTAAACAGAACCTTGTAAAATGGATTCATGCTTTTATCGCCGGCACAATTGATTCCTGCAAGAACTCCTCTCGCTTATAAAAGACACCCTGCAGCTCATCCAAAATTCACCTGCCAGAGTTCTGACCCGAACTAGAAGGACGGCCAACATCAACCCAGCTTTTGGATCCCTGAACTGGTTACCAGTGAGCCCCCAAAATTGATTTTAGAGTCTCATTAGTTATTTATACACCTCTGCGAGAGCTTGGCCCTGAGTACATGACTGATGGTCTTGAACGGATTCACCCTGAAAGACCTCTGAGATCACTAGGGAGAGGACTGTGAGTGATGCCACGAGCAAAATCCACACCGAGGACGCTCACCCTGCTGGAACCAACGGCCTGCCGGTCTGAAGAATGCGACAACAACCAATGACAGCTTTAAACCGAGCTGAAAACAGCGTACACTGATGGAGACTTATCGTTGTTTGGGATTTATTGTCATTGACGTTCAGCTTTTCACATTAGCCTGTCTTCATTCATCCATTCAACAAATTGTCCTCTCTATTATTTATCCTCTTAAATTGTGTGTTTTACTCCTGCTTCAATTTACCCCTAAGCATGAAATGTGGTTTGGAATAAAACTGCCTTGTGTGCCTGATATTGATAGCAGTGGTGTGTCCAGGTTATTTAAGGGGGCCGGGGCGAAAAGGGGCCCCAAGGCTCAGGGAGATGAGCTTAAAAAAGTTATTATGTGATGAAAAAGTAACTGGTTTGCACTTGTGAAATTAATGGTAGGCCAGCAAAACCTTGAAGACATGGTAGACTAGAGTTTAGAGAATTGGGACAAGTGTGCAAATTAAAGGTGGCATAGGCAGGAATCCGTTAAAGAAGCATCTTTTTGGTGGCGTATCTATAAAAATGCTTAAAACATTGGTCAATAGCTATTAGTTATTGATGACATTTGGGAATAATACAGTTTCTGACTGTAAACAAAGCTGTTCTCTACCTCCCCAACCTGATTGGTTGTGAGGTGGACGCTGCCCCCTCATGTTGTGAGACACGCTTCATGAATAATTTTCACGAGCCCAAGCAAAGTTAGCGTGCTACAATATCGGACAGTAGAAATCAACCAGAAAGTTCGGAAAATTGTCTGAATCCTCCTTTGGCCACGACTGCCGACACAAGCAAGAAAACAAAGTAAATACCGGAGACTCTGGAGGAATAACGGGCGCTTAAAACGGAGGTAGACTGGACAAGAGCTAAAAAGCCGGGTCAACATAAACGATGGGGGACGCTTGGGGATCTTGGTGACCCTGTAACCTTTCTGCTGGACAGGTAAACCGCTTTAACAAAGTAAGACAAGTGTCTGTAACAGAAGTGTTTCTTGTCAAACGGACCTGCTGTAGCGTGTTGTAGCGCCATCGCTAAACTGTCCTCCCTCGGGTCCTGGACTATGTCACTTTATCCTAGTTGTAGAAGTCCTGCAAACATTGTGTTTGCTGGTAGTCTGTTGGCATCTACAGTAGCACCAATGCTTTTGACTTTCACCTTGACTGGGCCCCATTTGTAATGATCTGAAGTATTTATCTGCATTATATCTGAATTTAATTGGAACGATGCGAGCAAGGACTAGGGTTCCTGCACTAGATTTTGCACAGTTAGATGTATATAACTTTCAATAACAGAGCGAAAACTCTTATTTTATTCAATTAACTGCACAAGAGTCTGGCGGTTTGGCCCTTCAGAGAAAAATAACGCAGAAAGGGCAACCCCCCCTTCAAGACTTCAACCTCAAAGGAAATAAAAACAGAGTACAGGGAACAGGTCAGTCAGAGGGCCTCTGTCTATTACCAGAGAGAACCTACTCCAACACGTCCGTCTCTGCCAGTCCAATTTGCTGCCCTGATGGGGTTGTCACTCGCTGTGTGGAACTGAGTCTTGTCTACACAGAGCGGATTCGCCCAACAGTACATCACTGTTGTCTCCGGATGGATAATTTGGAGGGAGAAAAGCGGTAAGAAAAAGCGGCACACACACCAGCTCACTTCCAAGTTGCCAAGTATCCCAACATGCTTTCATATCATTCCCAGTCCTTCTGTTGGCGCCCAGTCTGCAAGAAATTAGCTTTTCAAATACTACTGCTGTTTTATAACGCGCTGAGTTGTTAAGGTCCAAAATATGGTCCCAGAATATATTTGTTGGACTATATTTTATATCAGAGAGGCTCAGGTTTTCTGGGAAAAGGATTCAGCAGAAACCATTTGAGAAATCTCTATAAAACTGCAGATCTGCCTCGGCTTCCAAGGCTGAAAACTCACCTGTTCACCGCTAGAATCATTCATTATCGGCTGGACTCAGATGTTTTCTTTGAAGGCGTAACTTTTAGGTTGTTTCATGACCACAAAGCTGTGTAAAAAGTAACATCCATAAGCTGTGTTCAACTTTATAACATTGGAAAAGCACACCAGGTGTAAGATTTGAGCGTGCAAATCATGATGAAAGGTGAAAATCAGTATGTTAGTCCTCCTGGAAGTCGTGTCCTCAATATCTTTGAAACTGGAGTGTGTTTGGATAGAAAAATGAGCAAATCATGTTTTTGTTCTCTTTTAAAATGAAAGATAAGCTTTTTGAATGGGCAGGGATCTGGCTTCTGAGGCTTTTCCACCTAGCCTCTAGTGGACACATGAGGAACAACAGTGTTCAGAGCTTCTGCACCTCCGCTTGGTAGTGACTGGAATATTTAGCAACATCGAGCAGACAGATTGAGACCCTCCCTTGCCTTACTTTGTCTTAGAGCAGCAGTCAGTTGCTTTGTACACGGTGAAAAGGTGGTAATTTCTGTCTGTGTCATTTTGCTTTTCGTGGACATGCACACGTTAAAGTGCTGGAGGCAGGGCTGCTCACTGTTTACCTGAGCAGCCGAGAGGAGCTGCTGCACCTCAGAGGGAGAATGTGGAGACAGAGGCAGAATAAAGAAGTCCAAACCTCTGTAAACAGAGTCTTATCCCATCAAATCTGACAGTTAATAAAACTGACATGATGCAGGAAACAGACAGACGGACAAATAAATAAAAAGCATGCATCCTGCAGAGCTTTAAAAGAAATACCAAAAGGGATGTTTGAGGAGGACTGCTCTCCATCTGCAAAGAAGCATCTTCATCAGCCTTGACAGATACTGGCGCTCTTTATAACCCCAACTGGAATGAAAAAGGACCTTTGTGAAGGATTTTTTTAAAGCAACAAGTCAGCAGAAGTTAGTTTAGGTGCTGATTCGCTTTTTAGTTGTCACACTTCTAAATGACTTTTAGATTTAGAGAAAACTAAACTTAATTTGGACCAATTACAGCCTCGAAACAAACAGAAATGAACTGATCAATGTGAATTATTTAGGTGGAATAATCAGAGTTTGATTGAGCGGTGCATGAAGCTCACTTTAAAGTGCACGGTTCAAAGGTCACTCAATCAATCAGCTCATTTCCATATCTTTCCTCGCTCTACAGCGTATGACAGGACACATGTTAAGCTCACAATATCCTTTCATTTGTAATATGAGAAACTGACCGCACATCCTGACGCTGACGCCGGCGCTTTGTGAACATTTGTTGTTCTTGTGCTCTGTTGTATATTTGGGGAACGGCAGAGACGCTGTGTAAATTATTGATACTCATGCAGACTGCAGCTTTTAATGTCGATACATCTCCCCGGAGACGGAAAGCCAAAGAAACCACTGATAAAGAAGTTTGATCAATAGAGACGGAGGTGCAGCTTTGGAGAAAGAAAGGGGGGATAAAACAGAGGAAGCAAAAAGAGCCAGACGAGCGGTAAACATGGAGAGCTGCTGATGGAGGGAAACTGTCAAAGTGCACAAGTTTGAAATCCAAAAACATTAAATTAAAAAATTCTGGACTACATGGAGTGCAACATGGAGTTATACCCGAGCAGGCTTACATAAGGCATGATAATAACCACCCTGTTATGTTGTTCTATGATATCAAAGGTCAAGATGTGCTTTGGTTAATTAAATTCCACATTTAGTGTTGCACAGCGGTGCCTCTCTGCAGGGTGACAGCTCTGAAGGGCTTGATAATAAGGTACCACAGGGCTGTTGAATGAGTGTATTTTCATAGATCTGGGTGCAGCAGAGGGGAGAGAAAAAAAACACACTGGACATCAAAGGTTCATAAAATACTGAACAAACTCATCTTCATTCAAATCAACTATGTTGCACTAAGAGAAAACTCTTAAAAAAATTTTTTTTCGATGCATTTTGATATGCATGTCAGTAATCGACTTGCACAGCATCATTAGTCCATCTGCAGTGTAAGACTATCTGCAGAACTTCATATTTGCCTTGTTTATTTAGTACTTTTCTCAGTCGGGCCAATCTTACATAAGTTCATCCAATTTAGATTCCCATGTGGAATAACAGATATCAATAGACTGGCCCCTTACATAGATTTAACAAACAGAGCGCCCTCTACGTGCTCTTCCAGTGGACAGACTGGATTAAAAGGCCTTTGGATGTTTTCCCAGTGAGTCAAATGTAAACAAAGCTGACCCCCAATGCTCCTTGAGTGGATAGAACAAGACCGAATCATTCTGTTGATGTACTTCTGAGGGATGGACTGTAAACAAAGCACCACAAGATGCATTTCCAGTGGACGGAATGTAAACAGAGTGCCCTTTAGATGCTATACTGGGACATCAAATGTAAGCAAAAAAAAACCCTTTGAGAGGTTTTAGTGGTTTAAATGTAAACAAAGCACGCCAATGTCTTTGTATAGTGGATAGAATGTAAACAAAGCACCACAAGATGCATTTCCAGGGAACAGAATGTAAACAAAGTGCTATTTGGATGCTTTTCCAGTGGATAGACTGAAAATGAAGTGCCCTTTGGATGCCATTACAGTGGATGGAATGTAAATAGAGTGCCCTTTGGATGCTATTCTAGTGAATCAAATTTAAGCATGCACCCTTTAAGTGTTTTTAGTGGATAGAATGTAAACAAAGCACCACAAGATTCACTTCCAGTAGACAGAATGTAAACAGAGTGCCCTTTGGATGCTACGCTAGTAGATTTAATGTAAACAAAGCACTCTGAGTGTTTTTTCAGTGGTTTCAATGTAAACAAACCAGCCCCCTGTTATTTTTTCTAGTAGGTAGAATGTAAACAAACCCCCTCTGGATGCTCTTAAAGTAAATATAATACAAACAGAGTGAACACTGGCTGCTCTGCCTGGGTTAAAATGTAAATAAAGCATCCTTTCAATTGTTCTTTTAGAGAGTAGAATGTAAACAAGCACTTGTTGAGTGTTCCTTCAGTGGTGAGTATGTAAACATGTTTTCTAGTGGATAGAAAGTAAACAAAGCACACTCTTGGCACTTTTTCTGTGTTTAAAGGTAAATAATCTGGATGCTCTTACAGTGGATACAATATGAACTAAGTGCACACTGGGTGCTCTACCTGGGTTAAAATGTAAATAGCATGAAAGCATGTATGAAATGGATAATAAGGTCTGTATTCCTGATTAAATATTATAGATTTGAAAGTGTTATATGACAGATTCACCTTGCATTACAACCTAAGCCTTTAATTCATTTCATCCCTGCCCTACAAACAGCACTTCTACACAGCACTCTGTACTACAGAGTAAGAAAGCTGTCATGGATTTGGGTCAGAGCAGTTTGAACTCCGCTTCCTAACCCCCTCTGCAGTAACTTGCAGGTACAACTCAATCCACTGTTTCACATTTCTCTAACACTACAGAGCTTGTGCGGATGATTTAAAGTCTTGCAGGTGCTGCAATGTTTATCATGAGCTGACGGAGACTTGGTGGAGCAGGGTAATGGGCTCCCCTGCGCTCCAAGGTGATCCACATGAGCCTTGTTTTATTTGTTGTTCCACGTTTTCAGAAGCCAAGCTACACTGTTTATGTGCTGTCAACCGTGTTCATAAAGAGCATCTTTCAGTCAGGCATCGGTCTGTGTGTGTATGTGGCTTACAGAGGTGGAAAATCCCCTGTCAAACATTTGGTTGTCAGTGGCCGTGACTCATATGTAATACATGGTTGGCTATAAAATTACACATTGACGCCGTGTTCTTAAAGCGTTTCTGTCTTTTCATCGAGCCGATGATTACATGCCCTGGAGAGATAACAACCAAATTGGAAAAGTATAACATCACATTCATGGCCAGTCATCTGTGAGTCCTGATTGTTATCGGATGCCATCTTTCTCCCTCTTAAGCGATCCTGCTCAGCGAATTGCAGCAGAAAGCATAATTGCGGGGCGTAATTATAAAACCTGTCATGTCTAAGTGATGAAATAGACGTGCAGGTGATCAAATTGGACTCCATTATGAGTTTGTTTACAAGAAATTGCGTCGTACGTCTTTGAGGAATCCACAAAAGTGCACATTTTCTGCAGCCAGTCATCAGTAGTGGTGTGCTGTGCTTGCAGTTGCATATAAGCTTATATGTAAGGATGTTTTTTATGTCGCTGATGCACTCACGGGAAGAAAAAACACTTTAGATTTGGTTGCTTGTGATGAATAATTTCTGAAGGCATGGTTAGCCGCTTGCCTGGTGTTCCCGGCCCACATGATAATCTGCAGTCTGATCCAATCATGTGCTTCTGATGAGTGGGACGCGACTTGTAGATATCACCTCTGTTAGCACATCTGCACTGCTGAGTGCACATTCAGAGAAATATGGAGTGAATGTGCAAAATCCTCTTACTCTTTGTGCGTCTGCAGTAAACTTCCTCGACATCCTCCGCTCTGTCTTTCAAATTGGATGTGACAGAGGTAGTTTATGCTGCCATTACTGAGGCTATCAAAGTCATTTATCCTGCTGAAAAATATATTGTTTGGAGTTTCCTGGACAGAGTTTTTCTAAGACATCAGCGAAAATGTTTCTGCGGTTTCATTCATCATGATACCAGTCTCTCTTTTCACACATGAAATAAACAGTTACTTCTTCCCACCACTGCTGAGAGATCCTCACATATCCATCTGCTAGCTTAGCTTCCTCCACCAAACGGCACGATTAATCACGCTGTCACACAATCTATGCATGAGTGCGAGATGGCCCACGGCTCCGGAGCGCCGAGTGACACAGTCAAACAAAAACACAAGAGGATGTTAACTACTCTCTCATGAGCAAAAAGTGATTTTCATTATCCCTGCCACCATGTGGAACTTTTAAGTACGAGAGCGTTGGAGTGCGCATTAGTCATGTCGCCTTATGTAATTATTTTGTCCACTTCAAGTCCACTTTAATCAGTCAGTCAGCCGTCCTAAAAGATGTCATGCTCTTTCAGTGGGCAAGGCAAAACAGAGCTCTTTAGAGTGAAAATGAAAAGATAGAGCTGTCTGAGGAGGAGATCTTTGGAGACGAACAACAAAACACAAGTTTATTAGTGTAAAAATGCATGGACTCCGTTAAAATTGTGGATAAAATCAAAAGGTTGACATGTTTGTAAGAATCTAAGGCTATTAAAACCTCAAGTGAGGAGCTCAAATGAGATGCACTTCAAGCGTGAGTAAAATCATTCGCCCGAATGAATTACATGTTAAGTCAATGCAAAGACGCGATAAGACGCTCGTACTTCTCTGTGAGTGACGTGAATTGGGCGGGAGCCTCATGTCGCAACTTGAGCGGATATTCGTGATAACCAATCAGCACGAAGGTTGCCCGGTGACGTATGAAGTGAGGAGGTCGGATTGTCTGGCAAATTGTAAAAAACCTTTGTCCATCATTTGATCCCGCCAGTTGAATTAGCAGGGATTACCGTTGAAATTACATTGACGCGCGAATGAAGCGAGTAACTACTATTCATTCATGCGTCTAGATTCGTGCGAATTAAGCGAGTTGATGATTTTACTCATGCTTGGTGTGAGCGCCCCCTAAACAGGGTTTTGCTAAAGGGGAATTTACACTCTGAATCCAACCACAGAAGCTGTAAATACTTTATTCACATATTATTTCCACTTTCGTTTGTTTATGATGTCCAAACTGAGAAAGCACCAAAAAATATTCCTGGCGAGGCCGATGTCGTCTGATAACTTCTAAATTTTACTGTCAAACTGGATGTTTATAAGGTGACCATACATCCTCTTTGACCCGGACATGTCCTCTTTTTTGGGGCTGTCCGGCTTTGTCAGGGGAAGTTTATAAAATCCTTCAAACATCCACTGTTTTGTACGTAAGTTTTGATTTTGTGTCACGTGGACTAAGTTAGAAGCGTGTAAAAGACACTCAACCCAAAAAACTCTCAAAATTAACTTTGTGCGACTCTGTGACTCCGCCCCCACACAGTCGTATCGGAATAGTCAGAATATGGTCACCCTAGATGTTTATAACGCATTTTATAGGTCGATCATGGACTGAAATATCATGAAAGGGAGGAGTTTTGCAGGTGCAGGAGAAATCACATAGATTCCCACAGGAAAACATGGATATACATCTTTTAGGAGGACAGTTTATACAGATGGTTGTCGATCACTTTCCTCTCTTTGTGTTTCTTTTAAACTGCCGAGTCATTATCTCCTCTCTGTTCTTGCCTTTGTTTTCCACTCTTTTTGCTGAGTTAGAAAGCAGAGTGTAAATGATGACGGACAAACATGGGACGATGGTCTCATCCCCATCCCAACGGTGAACTGAAAGCCATTATATCCCCATTTATCACGACTATGTTTGGGACCATCAAAACTGTAGAGACCATTGGCGGAATAAAACATGGATGGAGTCTCAAGATGTAGTGGAGTCGAGGTTTTAGCAGATACAACAACCTTATTATCATCATGGGCTTCTATCATCAAGCCTAATGGGGATTACCAGTATTTAAAACTTGTCATTACACAGCTGTGTTAAATACATAATTCTGATTGGTCAATACAGCAGCCTGTAAACTCTCTTGTTGCCATGGGAACATTCCTAATCACCGACTCCTGGAGGACTAACTGCAATCATATTGATCCACCAAAAGAGGTCCTGTTGATTTGACATCGGGAGAAACGGCGAACGAAGGGCAGGAGAGGTTAAAGACAAAAACTGTGGGGGTATTAGAGAGCAATCTACCAAATTGAAGACGGTGCATGAAGGAAATACTTAGGGGAACACAATGTGAGAAACAGCGGCGTTTATGGACTGATAAATAAAGACGAAAATGTCACAGAGTCTGGCAGTAATGGGGCAGAAAAGTCAATCTTGTGTGTTTTGCTTCAGCATCAGTGGAAATGTTCAGTTAAATGGGAGTAATACGAGCTCGGTTATTTTAGAAAGGCTGGAGAGTCAGGGCTTCATCTCTAACTCAGATATTTAAAATACAAAGTTAGGTCATTTAAGGCACATTTTTATTGCTGAATATAAACTGTTGTACTCTGATTCTGATCGAGGTTTCAATCAAATAGCCTGGGATCGATTGCCTCTGTCTGTTTAGGTATGTTTCAGTAAAGTTAAGTGAGGTTAAATAGAGCTTGCTTACTCAACTTTATATAAACTTCTAGGCTTGGCGGCCTAATGATTCACTGATTCAATTATTCAATGATTCAAGCGTGCCCCACATATACGCAGGCGGCCCGGGTTCGGTTCCAGCCTGTGGCTCGTTTCCTGCATGTTGCTCATCATTTCCTCCTCCCCCCGATTTCTGCTCTGCCCGCTGTCCTGTCGAATAAAGTCCGAAAAGCCCCGAAATAAATCTTAAAAAACAGAAAAACTTTCCTCTTGTAACTTCTTCTAAAGAGAGAGTCGCAGAAGTTCAGTGCAGCATGTGTGTTTGCCTCATCCTCAGGTGAAATTAGAGTTTATTATTAAAAATTTAACATGTTTTTATCAGGAGGCCAAACTCTGGCATTAATGAGAAAATTGTGAGGTATTAATACACAGAGTTATTTATTTCTCCCAGAGGTGTTAAAATTACACGCTGTGAATCTGACCTGCAGGAATTCAATGATTCATCCGGTTATAATGGGAAAACGGCCCCGATCCATCTATGTGTATGAAACAATAAAACATTCAATAAGTCAGGGTGTTAAAGCGGGAGCAGAGGCACAGATGCGATGACACACCTCAGGACAGTGACAGCAGCTGAAAGAAATAATTGGATAACGCTATATTTAGCTTTATGTTTGCGAGTCCCAATCCTCAGCCTAATTTAATTCATACTGAGTACATGACAGATTCCTCACCAGCATCCTCCGAAATAATCTCCAGATATAAGATGCCGAGCAAATGAACAGCTTATAAGAAAAAAAAAGGCTTCCCCCGATCTGTCAGTGTGCTGCCTCCTTCTCTCTGTATGCTAAAAGGAAGTGGCACCAACACCGAAGTGTCCCCGCTGACAAAAACTGTTCATTTTGGTGCTGTGTGCAGGAAATAATAAGACATTAAACCCTAGGAGGGCTGGATAGCCGTATGTTCCTTGTTGCCTGTTTTGGAAGAGCAGCTTTGCCTCCTTCTCACCAAAGGCGCTTAAATTCAGGGGCTCCTGCCTCCTGCCACATCTCTGAGGCAGCTGTGTTATTATGGATGGAGATTACCGAGTGTTGGTGGGCAGAGGAAGGCCTCAAGTGATTATTAGAGAAACAAAGAGCACTGACTGCTGAGGGTGGCCTTCTGGATTGCTGCTTGAACATACTAATCCTGCAGTCTTAAGAAATTCTCCCTGTAAAAGATTCAATAGGGATCCACTGAGTTCAAGCTCCCGAATCAAACAACCGTTAGCAACAAAAATAACCTAAAAATCATCCGCTTCATTTTCGTCCTGGAGCAGTCTGTGGTGAGACACCGCATAGCGAGTAAAAGGAAGGTAGAGTGAGGGGAAAATGAGCTTTTGAAGAGACGTGGAGAGATTCATGTTCAACAGGATGAATTTTATTTTAGGCCCAGTTTAAAGATCATAGAAATACCTGAAGTAGATTTTTACTCAACACTTTAACATAAAAACAACAACTCCATCCTTCTGTTTGTCTGCTCATCCATCCATCCCCATCCATCCATTCATTCATTTATTCATCCATGGGCCATTGACATCCATCCATCTATCCATCCCTTTCCATTGTCTATCTTTCCATTGTCTCCATCCATCCATCAGCCATCAACATTTATCAATCTAATCATTCATCCATCCCCATCCATCCATTCTTTCATCCATCTATAGGCCATTGACATCCATCCATCCATCCATCCCTTTCCATTGTCTATCTTTCCATTGTCCATCCATCCATCCAGTCTTCATCCATCCATTGATCCATCTTATTGTCATCCATCCATCCATCCATCCATCCATCGGATTGTCATTCATCCATACAATTATTATCCATCCATCCATCCATCCATCTGTCCATCCATCCATCTGTCCATCCATCCATCCATCCATTCATCCATCCATCCGTTCCCGTCATTTTCTTAGTCATTGTCCATCCATCCAGTTAATCATCCATTCGTCAATCATCTACCCATTCATCCACTGTCCATCCATCCATCCGTCAATCATTCATCCATCATTCCATGTATTTTTCATCCATTCATCTATTCTATAAACTTGCATCCACCCATCTACCTACCTATCATCCGTCTTCTTTCATTGATTTGTTCCTTATCCATCTTTACATATCTATCTGCTCATCCATTCATCGATTATCCCTTTTTCATTCATCATTTCATCATTTGTTCATTTCTTCCCCTTTTTCCCAGCATTTTCTTTCTGCCGCTTTTCCTCAGATTTTTATCCATTTCCTTTTCTGCTCTTTTGCTTCCCGTGTGTTTTTCCTCCTTTCTTTTTTCTTTCTTTTTTTTCTCTTTTTCTTTTCCATAAGTCTCATCACCGTCCTCTGTAAACTCAGTAAGTCAGTAACCTTCTCCTCTCTGTCGTGTCCTTCAGAAGTGATCCAGCATAGATGAGGTATGTGATAATCACAGTGTTTTATGGATCCACCTTTAAGGTCTCATTCCTGTTTGATATGGCTGATAAAATCTTCAAACTTCAGGGTGTTTGTACTTTTCATCCCTGGATGACCTGCGGTGGATATGTCTTGTACGAGTATGTTTTTCTCGATCCTGGATCCTCTTATTGCAAAAGCAGTTATTTACAGATAAAGTCCTGCTGGTCTTTAAACTTAACCTCAAAGGAACAGGTCCCACTCAAATATACTTTAGCTGAAAATATCAATATCGCAGATTTATGCATGTGCCAACTTTATGTTCGGTTACATGCATTTGTCATTTGTCAGGAGATTTACTGAGTCGACTACAAGTAATCTGGTTGTTTACTGCACGGATCAGTGTTATGCTACCGTTTGTGTCACTCTCCACTGCCTTCGCTGCCTCTGTAGCGTCCTCCTGAGGCTCGACTGGGAGTTCAAATAGCTTGAACCAAAGTTCTGCCCATCAGAGAAGTCGGGGACTCGGGGGATCCAAGTCAGCTTCACAGAGAGAGTGAAAAACAGAGATTACAGCGAAGAAGTTGGGCATGTGGTTCTACAAGACTTTTGGTGCATTCGGTGGATATAAACACAACTTTGAGATGTAAAGTTTGAATGCGCTCAAAAAGTACAAATTAAGTTTTGGAAATAAGGAATGTAGAGGATAATAAAGTGAGAATGGTGTGTCTTCAGTTGTTTTCTGATTTTCTTGTTTATTTGGCAGTCAAAAGTCTGAACAAAGTGTTCACTGAGATCGTCAATCTGGAAAGAAATCAAGAAATTTTCACAAGTTCAGTGCATGAGAGCAGCTTTAGTTTCTCCATCAGCTCCTTCCCTCTGAGTTGTTTTGACTGATCCATTGAACAAACCATTAAAGGTGTAATTTGAAAGCGTTTTTGATGACAGCGTCGAATCAAAACAAAAATCTTTTTCCATATCTTTTTCGACTTACAACTAAGATATCCAAGGCAATTAGGGGGGTTGTTGAACCTGCTGGCTCCCCTCTGTGATTATTTTCCGCCTTGCACACTTTGAAATTGAAATAGAAAAATGTTCCCGATGGCGGAGACAACAGTCAAGGCTGTGTTTATCTGTACAGAAGCAAATCTCACGCTACTGCTCCTCGGCCAAACATCCTATCATTCTGCCTGGATGATTTCATGCTGAGGTCAGCCGGGATGTATCAGGTAGGGAGGGACGAGAGCTCAGGGGTGGGAGCACCTTGAACTGATTTGCATTGTTTAGTATGTGTTTAGGTGCAAGACCCTTTTAAATTGTCCTTGTAGCGCTTCAGCGAGAGCCTGGATCTATTCCAAGCACATTTGATTCACTCACTTTAACACAAATGCAACTGTGAAAGTTGCAGCCGGGTGAAACGGACGTTTAGCTGAGGAGAACATGAATGTTTGGTTCATGGCTTCATCAGTTCTGAGAGATGTCTGAAGTCTGTGACAGGAATAGTCAGTGTTCCTCACATACCGCCGACTCAAAATTGAAAATTTCCTCTCACTCATGGGCCTTTAACCTCTTGAGTTTAATTTTGTTAACCGGCATGCATCTGAGGGTTCAGTTTCCTTGGTGACTAGATCACATTTCCTCCTGTGAAATGAAAACAAGCTCATTCGCTCTGGGATTTCCGGACTCTGTGTTTGAGCACCTGCTTAATACAAGGCTATAAATGTCTTGAACCAGCAGCAGTAGCACACCCATCAGGCTGTAAACAAGCAGCCTTGGGCAGTGGGTCCTCAGGGTGGGGTTGTGGGGCTCATGAAGCCAATGAGAAATCCTCTTCATCAGTCTCAGGATTTGTGAGATAATCAATAGAAGCTTGAGATGAGACAAGATGAGGATATCCATATATTTATTTGTACATTACTATCTAAATTGTCGGCATGTTCGAGTGTTTATCCGTCCCTCCACTCAGCTGTGAACGTATTTATCTCAGAGCTGAAATAGTTTCAGACCTGGTCCTCCACCAAAATTTTTTAACAGAACCCGTCTGGCAGCCTTCCCTATCTGATCTAACTCAACACCCCATGGATGGTAAACAGCTGACCAAACACTCACCTGCAAGCGGGAATGATTCACACAAAGAGGATTCAGTCCCTTCACCCATACCGAGTAGCTGCTGGCTGACAGCAGCTTGAAAACAAACCGCTGTAGCCAAAAAGCATGAAGCAGAAACAGCATCAGCTCAACCGCAGGCTGCAAGGGTAAACCTGGACAAGACGACGAGTGTCAGAATGACTTAGAGACTGAGTATGTGGCTGGTTTACAAAGATATATGAGTTATTCAAGAGCTGCATTTGAAACCATTAAAAGCACAGGACGAACAGGGCTGAAGGCGCTTACAGGCGGTTCTTTCATGGATATTTACCCGCCTCGTCTGCAGAGTGTGATGCACAAAGGCGGAGTGGTGGAATAAAGCTGTTCTTCTTCTGATCGTCTCTCTGAGGTGGCAACAGAGGGTGGGAAAGGGGGCGCCAACAGGGTGGAACAGCACGGTGTGTACATGTGAGTGAATGAACAAGAGCCTACACTTGTCAGGAGTGTTTAAATCATGTGTAGAGTCTAAATTTAACATGGTAACACACTGAATATTACTGCCACAACACTACCCACCAAACGCCCAATGTCACTTAGACGTCTTTTTTTCGGGCTAAATCACATCGGCCCGTCATGGACGTAATTTAGCCCAAAAAAAGACGTTGAAAACTGACGTCTTTTTAAGGTCTTTTCAACCACCTTTTGCTGGGTGGGTCAGGACTGCTATGTCTAACATTTGATGACTATCTGAGGAATTACGGTAATCAGAGGTACCACAAAAAAAAACTCAAGAAAACATGACTTGGAGAATTTCCTCTAGAATGATCAGTTTGATCCTCATGGTAAAATATCATTTGGATTCTTTGTCTGTTGTCAAGGAAACATGAACATGAAATCTGGTCTGCAGGAAGTCTAGGACCACCCAGATTCATCTTCTAGGGGTCATGAATAAATGCACCAAACTGAGTCATAAACTGGACAAAATTCTGCTGACATCTGTTGACAGTCCAAAATGTGACAATCGTCACTCAGCATTGGGACCTCAAACGATGGGGGACTGTGGTTGTCATGGTAACTGTAGAAATGAATTACTCGATTACACATGATGTCACATTTTGAAATATGGGACTTTGTCAAGAATCAGCTTTTTCAGTATCCTGGTGGTTCTTAGTATGGTTTTTAGAGCCAAGTCTTTACCTACTGACACATAGTACCAGGGCGTCAGTGGCTCAGTTGGTAGAGTCAGTCCTCTACCGGGGAAGGGGTCAGGGGTTCGATTCCAGAGCGAGACACTTGACCCCACCTGCTGGTGATTCAGCATTAGCAGTGATTTCTGACAGCTGTAGCTATCCACAAAAACACTGTGGATGTAGATGAAAAATATCACATCTTCTATAGAATTAAATAATCCAAGGTCAAAGTAAAATAACTGCACCATGGGTCCAGTTTTAATACTTACATTTTAATAGGATAATTACCCATCTGTGTGAAAATGCGGCCAAAAGTCAAAGTGGATTTTTGAGGGGTTTGAAGGAATAGATATCAGGCATTTTTCTTGCAGTCAAAACAAAGATGATCACATCAGTGAATCTGTCTTCTGAGTAATGCTTCATAATGTTTCGCCTCGCTGTCAAACTTGTGTGAAATTTGTTTTAAACCAAAAAGCTTTTTAATTCTTGAATTTCATTTTAAGCGTCTTCCTGCCAGCCATTAGTGCGCCGAAGAGCACCGGGATGATTTTGGGTGGAAATGTGTATCTTCATTCCCCGAGAACATTAGAATAAAAATCTAATTTATGTGTCTGCATGAGCCAAAGTGATTTCATTCAGTTTCATCAAGAGGAAACACGGCATTAAAATTCTCCGAAGACATCTCACAGGCTTCGAGGGTCCAACTTTCAAAGCAGATCCTTTCTTCTGCATCTCTTTCTCCAGAACCAAGACAATAGATCAAAGACACCATTGATCCTCCAAGCCTTCGCTGGCTTTCAGCTGCAGCACCCGTCCAACGCTGGGAAAGTGCTGCTGTGGCGTTTTCAACCTGCTAGACTCGGCTCGGTTTGGAAGTGAAAGGAAGACTTTGAACAGGTGGTGATCTGTTGTCTGGAGAACGAGAGCTGTCTCCATGAGGAAGACTGTCTACTTCTGTTTTAGCAGCTCAATGCAGAGCTGAAACAAACACTTATTTATCTTCTCTACAGTTAAAGGTGGGGTAGACAGGAATCCGTTAAAGAAGCATCTTTTTTTGTGGTGTATTTACAAAAAAGCTTTTAATATCAGTCAATAGCTATTAGTGATTGATGACATTTGGGAATATCATGATATCACTGTGTTCTCTTTTGCCTGTGTAGTCAACATGTTAACATTTTTGAGCTGCCCGCTCATTTTGACTGTAAACAAAGCTGTTCTCAACCTCCCCGACCTGATTGGTTGAGAGGCAGACGCTGCTTCCTTGTGTTGTGAGGCACGCAAACATTTTTTTGTAGGATGGTAGGGGAAGGTCCCGCCCTCTTTTGCCTCTGATTGGCTAGATGTGCTGGGCTCCGATTGGTTATTCCTTTCTGCTGTGAAACCTCATCGTCTGTCAGGTTAGGGTTAGGTTCAGGAGATTTAGAAGTGCGATAATGTTCTGTAACTTTCTGATCAATGTACAGAGCTCACATTTGGCTTGAGTGTGTGATGACATTTCCAGCTTTTCTAGACAATCAGAGGCGAAGGAGGCGGGACTTTCCCCTACGGTCCTAAAAATTTTGCGTGAAGTATGCTCCACATCCTCGATTAACGTTCGCGAGCCCAAACAAAGTTAGCGTGCTACAATATCGGACAGTAGAAACCAACCAGAAAGTTCGGAAAATTGTCTGAATCCTCCTTTGACCACGACTGCCGACACAAGCAAGAAAACAAAGTAAATACCGGAGACTCTGGCAGAATAACGGCACTTAAAAAGGAGGTAGACCGGACAAGAGCTAGCATAAACGATGGGGGACGCTTCAGGTTCTTACGGACACTGTAACCTTTCTGCTGGACAGGTAAACTGCTTTAACAAAGTAAGACAAGTGTCTGTAACAGAAGTGTTTCTTGTCACACGGACCTGCTGTAGCGTGTTGTAGCGCCATCGCTAAACTGTCCTCCCTCGGGTCCTGGACTATGTCACTTTATCCTCGTTGTAGAAGTCCTGCAAACATTGTGTTTGCTGGTAGTCTGTTGGCATCTACAGTAGCACCAATGCTTTTGACTTTCACCTTGACTGGGCCCCATTTGTAATGATCTGAAGTATTTATCTGCATTATATCTGAATTTAATTGGAACGATAGAAGCAGGAGCGTCTGTTTGTGGGCGGAGCTTGCTGGAGCAGAGTTTGGAGGGGTAGAGTTTACATTCAAGATTTCTCCCCAAAACTGTCACTTCCTCAGATCCTGCCTACCCCACCTTAATTTCTAGATCAGTAAGCTTTTGTCGGCTGAAAACTGTCAACAAGAGAAAACATCCATCCGTTTTCTCAATCTCCATGAGCAGCTGGAAACAATCAGCCTCAGCTGTCTGAAGTGTTTTATTCAATTATTGCGTGAGCTTAAAAAACGAGCCACTTTTTAAAGTCAGGGGGAGAAAGACATATCTTCTAAGTGAAAGTGCTGTTAATGTGTTTAACTCTTCCTGACAGATACAGCCTGGCAGGTTTGGCCATGTCACACAAACAATCTCATCGGCAGAGGGCTGGAGCTGCTTTGTATTCTGCAGGTGAAACGGGGTCTATCTGCAGATCGTACGCACTCAAAAGGGTTCAAAGAAGTCAAAAGTTTTCTGTGTGAAAAGTGCCTGTAAAAAGTTTGTAAAGGTGTGTTTTTTTTCCTATTAACTCTAAATGGATCTGGGAGGTTGTTCAGTTTGTTTTCACACATGAAGAGTTATTGATACTCCTCGTTGTTTAAGACCAATCAGCATTATTTATAAAAGTTTTTAAGGGACCGCTTTACATTTCGTTTTTATTGAAAATGCAGCTGGTTTATGAGTCGTTTAATTGCCTTATTATACTTATTCAAATGTTGAAATAATGGCGTTATCGGCAATTCAGTTTAAAAATGATGAGGCAGTTTGGGCTTATTGTAATTAAAGAAAAACAGGGGACTTCTGTTAAACCGTGAATACACAAATTTAATCTTTAATATGCGACTGTGTGTGGATAACATTATGCTGCGCGTATGAATCTTGGATGCATTTATGCTGCGAACATTTCCAGGAAAGAGAGAACTCATAACTCTGGAAAATCACATTTCTGGGAAGTGTTGTTTTTCTGATGGGACCTGCAACACTTGTAATAAAAAGATGGATAATGCACAGCTGGGTCGGCTCAGGTGCTCTCAAGACCGGCTCAGTTTACAGTGCAGCGCTCACTTTTTCCTCCATAAACCTGCTCTGTATAAAATCTTGATGAGTGTGCAGTTTTTCAGTGGTTTTCATGCGGCTGAAGCAGTACGGTGGCCCTGTTGGATCATTTATTGTTCACCCTGAAAATGATGATATCACAGTTTGTGTCTTTCACCTCTCCAACAGAAGTAGACAAGAGTTGTGTTTCCACTTAATTACGTTGCTTCTGAATCCTAAACAAATCAAACACCGGCGCTTGTAAAACTTCATTCTTTGGGATGTGATGTGACGGGCTGTGATAGCTCATTAGCTAACTAATGAGCTAGACCTATGTGCTTGGTCATTAGCTGGCTAATGGTTTACTTGATGACTTTGGCGTCTGCCAACACATCACTCGCTGTCAAAAACCACCTGTAGCTGCCAAAATACCGGCGGGGCCACCGCTGAGATCTGTTTGGACACCCGAAACCACGATGGGCTAGTTGTCGTATGTTGGCGCCGTCTATTTGGGTTGGGTTTGACGGGTTTATAGTGGCGTCTTTTGGATACATGTGGATAACAATAGGGCAAAGTGGTGCCTTTGTGTGATGTTAACATTGATGTCTAACAATGCTCAGGTTGTAGGTTCAAATCCTAGCATGGACTTGCCTGCTATCACATGAGTCTGGACTTTTTTTTTTAATAAAAGGGATATTCCAGCATAAAATTAAGTTAGGGTCAAACACACCAAAACACTGAGTTAGACACCCCATCGAGAAATGAATGTTGCCGACCGCTTGCTTCTCTAGTTATACCAACTTTAGTAACGACCAAAGATGACAATACAGAGAGCCACGTGCTCAGCCAAAACGCCACTCTATAGCCACAAATAATGCTCAGAACAGCACCTAACTTCATCAACAGGACATATAGGGTCACAGACATAGTACTAGACACCAAACATCTTTTTAACTTTGACTCATTTCTTTAGCAAAGAGACTAAACACAACTCACCTACTCTCTTCCAGCAGCCGCTTGTTTGTAGTGAGACCTCAGGCCAGTCCATTATGGACCACAGCGGGGTGACGCAGCTCAAAGAAGAACATTTATGATCATTTCTTCATGGAAATACAATCAGACCGAGACGCTAAGGCAGAAGAACAACCGCGTCTGCAGTGCAAAATGATTAATATGGTGATTATTACTTCAGGGAAATGACTAAGTAATAATCATAAATGTTCTTCCTTGAGCTGCGTCACCCCACTGCAGTCAATGGACTTGCCCGGAGATAAACTTTTTTAGGGGGTCTGACAAAAACCATCATGATCAACAGTCCACAAATTGGGATGACCAAATTCTGTTGAAATTCTAAAAATGACACAAAAACACCCACAAAACGGAGCAATTTTCACAGAGAGAGAGGTGATTTGTCTCCAGTCTTTTAATCACTTAATGAGCTTGCTGAACACTGCTTCATGAAAAGCTCTTTTATTCTCAGCCTCCTATTGAGCTAACATTGTGCTGACCTGTAAAGAATATTTATCAGCAGAGGTGCTGATATCATTTATATGTATAGGGATTGATATGCACGACAGCCGACGTCGAGAATTGACTCTTGTGGACTCGATCCCTCTTCAGGGCAGAGCTGACAGCACCCCAATTAAACACGTCGTCCCTCTGACATTCAGGACATGTTTGGATGAGACGACGCTCTGTGCACATTTCACCTGGACACACGATAATTATTCTGCTCCTCATCCATCCGCGCTGTGGGTAATGTCATTGGAAAATGTCGTAATATTTCCAGCGTGTGTGTGTGTGTGTGTTTTATTGTAAATCCTGCTGCCTCTTGCGTAACACTCATTGGCAGATCTATTCGTTCACACATCACCTCTTCATCTGTTGTGCTGTAGCTTCAAAGCGGCATCCATCACATCCTGCCTACACAATTTAAAACTGTTACTAACATGCTTAAAAACGAGCCAAAATAGAGCTATTTGTCTGCATGCCCCACAGCTGAGCAGGAAAATCTTTGATTAACACGCCGTGACAATAAATCACACACACACTGATACACACTGATACACATCATGTGGCTTTATACTGTAGAAATCCTGTCGTCCGTGGAGGCCCCTTAGGAGAGGTTTGGAAGTGCTGCTGCCGCTGATTAGCATAGCTTTGAGTGAGCCACCCTTTGTCATGCATTTGCCGCGGTGAATCAAGTTCAACATCTGGGCTGTCACCGCACAAAGATTCGCCACAGATGAGCTTTATTTGCATATCAAACTGGCGACCTCCGGAGCCACAAACCCCTCATTTGCGATGAAAAATATGCCCGCACTCTCCACGAAATCATCAACCAGACCCCCCCGAACCCTCCTTATTAATTTATTTATGTTCTCGCAGGAGGATCATATTTAAATCTGTCAGTGTTAATATCGAAGTCGAGCTTTCTCAGCAGTTATCTTGATTATTGCTGTAATCCACACACTTAAAGCACTTTTCTGGCTGCAGAGGTTTTAATTATTTAAGGAGGGGAAACTCTCCCGTACCACAGACACTATTTTGTGTTTTTTTTTTCTAACTGAGCTTCATGAATAATTAAAAAAGAGGGTAAAAAAAAGTAGTGTGCAGTTAAATCCAAGGCGTTTAATCAATGTTTTATTCTGTTTGACTTACGGGGAGCTTTGACCATCAGCTGTGCCTGGTTGTAGAAAGAGTTGATTATACAGAGCAGTAGATCTTCTTTCAATATAGTGTTACAACTGTCCCACTGTTTTGAAAAATCCCTCTAATTTCCACTGGCAGCTTGTGGGCCGAGTGTGGAACCCACAAACAGAGTAGCAATTACAACTGAGCGAGTGAGCCATCAACCAAACTGAAGAAAAACAACCGCAAAACTGCAACAGAATAAGGGTTTTAGAATAGAGTAGAGAGGGGTACGGCCAATCAGAATGCTCCTTGCTTCTAATCAGCCAATGAGAGACTTATGCTGCATTCCAGTAACCTCATAGGTAGGATGTCAGAGCTGGGAATGACGTTATATCTGAGTTGGACGTTAAATCCAAGTTGGAAAACCAAGGTGGACGCGTACAGCTACCCGTTGTTAGCTGTTGTTGCATCTGGCCAATGAGACAGCTCCTTTGATCCGGTCCTGTTTCCAATCAGCCAATCAGAAGCTGGCTTCCAAACAGCCGATTAGAGTGATCTTTCATCTGGCCAACTCGACGGCTCTTTTAATCCAGACTTGCTCCCAATCAGCCAATCAGAAACTGGCTTCCAATTGGTCAATTAGAAAGAACCTTTCATCTGGCCAATTAGAAGGCTCCTTTGATCTGACCTTCCTACAATTGGACAATGAAAGACTTGCTTCCGATTAGCCACTTAGAAACTAGCTTCCAATCGGCCAATTATCTTGCTAATCAAAAGGCTTCTTTTATATGACCAATCAAAAGGTGCCTCATCTTCAGCCAATCACATTAGCTTCCAAACAGCCAACCAGAGACTCACTACTAATCAGCCAATCAGAAGGCTCCTTTTATCTGGCCAATCAGAGCCATTTGAGTAGTAGGTGGGACTTTTGGTTTCACCAGGTCTGGATTCTATTTCACAAAACCACAGACCAAACATATAATACCCCCAACCCTGAATAATAATAATAATTATTACAATAATAATAATAATAATAATAATAATAATAATAATAATAATAACACAATTTTAGAAGAACAGTTTTATTTAGCACCATTAGTGTTTTAGTGTTAGAAATATAATTACAAAAAGTTTAGAAATTACAACAAAACACTTGGGAGTTAAAAACACAACAGCTACATTGACAGCTAATACTACGACCAACGAAGACAAAAGGAATAAATCATTAAAAAGGCCACAACCACTTATAGATAAAAGCAACAAAACAATATAAGAAGACTAAAACCAACAGAAGGTAAAAGGTTTAAATTATCCAAGGATAAAAAAGAGATGTTTTAAAAGAGATTGTCTGTTGGTAAAGAGGTTCGTGGAGTCTGTGGAGCTTTGGTCTTCAGCCTCGGTTGTAGGGAGTCTTGGCTGATGACCAGTTCTGATTGGTCGTTGTCTGAGGTGAAGTATAGCGAACAGGTGGTCGTGTAAATTAGAATCAGGAGGCTAATGTTTCTCCCATGGTGCCAAGGGGCAGAATTAAAATGCTTGAATGTATCATCAATGTACTATTATTATTACAAATGTGCCTGCGCCCCTTTACAGAGATTGATTTGATATGATTTGTGCGATCAGGCTGTCCCCCGCGTTACGTTAGTTGTTTAGAATTAATCACCCTTGTTAATGGGGTTGCGACCAATTAGATTGAATTATTTAGCACAGCTGAGAATCAGAAGATAAACATTTAATTAGTGGGAGATGGAGCCCGTTCATTGGTTATATCGAGACACAGAAGTGCATACTCTGTTGGAAAGTTAAACACAGAAGCGATTTAGAGGAGTAAAACTAAAATGAAAAGATATTGCATCGTATAAATCAAACATCGTCCAAGGTAAATTGATATTTTACCTCCTGGCCTGACAGGTTTTACACATAAAAGTACTTAACTGCTTTCCAAGTCTGGTCGTCCTTATATATAGGCTTGTTTTACATTATTTACTTAACACCTTAGACAAGATTTTCCTTATGTAGGAAAGATGGGAGAAGATGGAGGCTTTTCCTTGTGATGGTGCATTATCCTTTTATGGCTGGCTATTTCCCAGCTGTCTCGTTATAGTAGCAGAAAGTTAACAAGAAACCATCACATACAGAAGCAATATTTGTCCGTGCATCCTTGGACTACCCTCTAAATAATGTAATGGCCCGAGAAAGTACCGCTGCAGTCTGGGTCTGTTTTCCTCCACGGCGAACGGTGGCTTTAGCGGCACTGGAGGGAAACATTAAATCGCTTTGTTTTGACATTTCGTGTATACAGGTAGCTGTAAACCCGTGCGCATTAAGAGACCGCGGGATGAGCGAAAAAGAAGGCGAGGCGATATCAGCTGAAGCAGACTGCAGGAGGAGTAATTGACCCTTTTGAAAACCAGCAGCCAGAAACTATGTGTTATTAGCCTGTTAATCAGGGTTGCCCTGGGAAAGTAGATCCAATCTTCAGTTGCGGGAAGCAGCTTAGACCCCTGATCCAACCTTTCGAGTGGCTGAGATAAGCTCTCAATTGTCTCAGGACTGTTACCCACCGACGTAGACGGCACAGAAAACTCAATTAAGGAAGGGAGCCCACCGAGATCTGGTTCGACTCAATCCCATGTAGAAGTAGATGGGCATGAAATCATTATTCTGGAGCCTAATTTGTCATAGAGTTTATTGAATTACTCTGATAAATGGGTTAAGTTGGTAAGAACATAATTAAGAGATAAGGCCAAGCGAGTTCACGTGCAGTTCAGTGTAAAAAGCAAGAAGAGCCGAGTTAATTTCTTTTTATGTGGCACAGTGCAGCATCAGCAGCTCTTTGAGTTTTGGACGGTTGTAATAAGTTCATTGACTGTAAAAAAAACAGAGCAGCTCTTTTGTGTGAGAGATGGACAGATACATGACGAAAGTAGACAACAAAGGGTAGATGAAACTGTGAACCTTCGACTCTATAAACAAAGAGTGTTTAGAGTTCTGTGTGAGAAAATGGTGGTGTGACAGCGACAAAAAAGAAAGAAAGAAAGAAAGAAAGAAAGAAAGAAAGAAAGAAAGAAAGAAAGAAAGAACACAGTACTTCCAGCTAACCAAAGGAGTCCCTCAGGGGTCTATCCTTGGACCTCGACTTTTCATTCTATATATCAGAAACAATCAAAACATTTAAAATGTTCATTTCAACGCAGACGATACTGTGATATACCGCTCGGCATCTCTTCTAGCTGCAGCTTCTTTTTAACAGTTTCAGGGTTTTTTTTTTAAACATATTTTTTACAGCTACAGCCACATAAAAGAAAGAAAGAAAGAAAGAAAGAAAGAAAGAACACAGTACTTTCAGCTAAAGCTAAGCTAAAGGAGTCCCTCAGGGGTCTATCCTCGGATCCCTACTTTTCATTCTTTGTATCAGAAAGAATTAAAATGTTTAAGATGTAAATGTTCATTTTAATGCAGATGATCCTGTGATATATCACTCAGCATCTCTTCGAGCTGCAGCTTCTTTAACATTTAAGAAAGAAAGAAAGAAAGAAAGAAAGAAAAAACACAATGCTTCCAGTTAACCAAAGGTGTCCCTCAGGGGTCTATCCACGGACCCCTACTTTTCATTCTTTTAATCAAAAATAATCAAAACATTGACGTTGTAAATGTTCATCTTTATCAGATGATACTGTGATATTCTCTCTTCTATCTGCAGCTTCTTTTTAACTCTCTTCAACATTTATTTTATATCTAAAACTTTAAATTCAAAGTTTCTGTGATTTTAAAATGCAAATCTTAACCAATCCAATCTCTCTTCAATTTCCTCTTCTCAGGGCTCACAGAATGAGTTTGAATAAGTTTCAAATTCAATCAGTGAATCTTTGTCTTTTATAAGCTCCACGTATTCAGGAGCTGCTAAGAAGACTAAAACTAAAACTAAAACTTTTATTTCGGTGTCAAATTCCGCCTTTCTTTCGAGTCCAAAAAAGCAGACTGGTTTCTGCCACTTTTTTGTCTCTGCTGGACCGTAGTGAAGCTCTGGACTCTGTGTATCACGGAGCGCCAAGTCCATTTGTAGAATTGTAGCTTTTGCTCATCTCTGGTCGCTGTGTGATCGTGATGGTTGGTCCTCCGTCTGCTTTTCTTACGGTTTGTTCCAGAGGTCAGAAGTGAGATGAGAAACAAAGATTTCAGAGTTTACAGGACGCTTGTGAATCAACTGGAGGCAGACACATCTGGTTACATAAGCGTTAAATAAGATATTACGATACGACAGTGTCATTTTCAGGAGTTTATCATCTTGATTGAATCGAAACCTCAGAGATTTGCAGAAGAGCAGCAGAGAGAGCAGTGAGGAGAGATGTTTTTGCTTTGATTGGGCTTCATTAGCTGCAGTCCCAGCAGAGACATTAGGGCCAATGTTAATGTCACATACCAATTCACTCCTATTTACATCTACAAACTGCTCTGCACAGCTGCAGGATAGGAGGATGCATACAAACTAACTGCGTACATCAGCATTTTTAAGTGTTTGCATTGTGTTCAGCCGCACAAACTGCTCCCCCTCTTTTTTCTTTCGATCTGCTCCTGCAGACATGTAGTTAAGTCCTCATCATTACAGGTTGTAAACAGTCAGGGATCACAATCAGAGCGATGGGGGATAGTAGACGGGAGCGTTGAGACCTGGCAGTCACAGGTGGTTTCAGCCGGAGGGGGAATTTATCACAGGAGACAGCCTGACCTGAGAAAAACAAGCCCAGTGGTCGTTACCTTATCTTTTTTTTTTTCAGCCGTGCACACTCGGAGAAGCAGCGGGGTAATAGATGCATTAAGAGTGGGGGTGTGTGAGGAGGGGAGGAGGGGAAAAAACAGGAGGCAAAGTAGGGGGGAAGGGGTTGGCAGGCTCTGGTGCTTGTTGCTCATGATGATTGTGTTTCATTTGAATTTCCTCCTCATGTGATGCAACGATTCTGCCCTCACAACACCTGCAGGCAGATATGACTCATTAAGTCCTTATGCATTGTTGCACATATACACACATTTATGTCACAGCACGCATGTTCATGCTCTTAACAATCTTGGCCCTGCTCGCACACACAAACACGCACATACACATACGAGCGTGTTTGTGTGTAAACACTCTTGAGAGACCGGGGGAGACGGAGAAGGATCAGCCGAGCACGGAGACAAGTTGCATTTTGTGTTGTGCATGCTCGGCTGCTGCTGCTGCGTGTGTGTGTGGGTGTGTTTGTCCCCCCCGTTTGGATGAGCACACACGGCTGAGGATGCTGCTGGGAGCATGAGTTCTGACCGAGAGGAGTATGACATGGTCTGTCAGAAAGCTGTGACCCTAATTGTTGACCTCTGCCTGCACAACAGCACTCTGCTGGATCAGGACACCTGTCAGGACTACCTCTTCCTGCTGTCCAGCCAGAGCTCTGACCACAAAGAACCGGGTAAGGACTGTAATTAACTCCTGATCTCTCCTGGGTGACAGCAGTTGTTGCTTTACGAGCCTCTGAGCTCTTCTATTCTTCAGAGAGGACCTCGTTTTAAAGGATCTCGCTCTTTTCTCCGATGCTGAAACCTCCTGCTATGTTTATTTCTCTCTTTTCTGTCCTTTAACATGTGGTTGAACTTCTTTTTTCTCGCGTTTACCACGCGTTCGATCTCAGATGGTCGCTCGGACACATCTTCAACCGAGCCATTAATACACCCTTAATGAGTTTTTGTGACCCCGGGGCAGCAGGGAGCCAAAGGTATATAAAACAAACTCACATTGACTCCAGAGAGCAGAGCTTCTACTCCGTTTATAGATAAGCCTGGGAGGCTGACTAATGCCAGCTGATGCTGTCCTGGCCACTCAGGCTTACACAGAGGAGAGATAAGAGACAAACCGTTGCAGGATTATTTGCTTCTCTGCTTTAGGTCGAAAAAGAAATATCGAAACGTGAGGAAAAGTTAGCGCAATGCTGTGTTTTTAATCTGCTCGGCGAAGTTTCCCGGGTACGATTTGTGACTTATTCATGAGGGATGATTTACACATCTGTTGCAGCCTTGTACATCTGTTGCTTTGGCACTTGTAGCGTGAGCCGTCCTCTTTAAAGGGAATAATGTACGCCCCCCCCTCTCTCTTCAGATGCTTTGTAAAAGAAGCAGCTGTACTCTATACGTACTGGCAGACTCGATGTGCTTTGAGTGGATTCGAAAACAAATCATCTGGATTTCGTAACAGGAGAAACTCGAGTGCATGAATGTAGAAATACAATGCAGATAACATTACACAAGGAAATGCCTGAGGGTTGTGTGAAGAATTGAAGCTTTTGTAGATGTGGAAACGCAGGCTTTCCTGAGCTCCGTGTATAATTCGAAAAAGAAAAAAACACTTTATTTTTATCTGGAAAAATTGGATTTAGCAAAGCAATACGGTGAGTAAATCAGGACATCTGATTTCATACCATATTCATGATCTGTTGCATAATAGATAATCATATCCATCTTCTAATCTTATGCTAATGGAGCTAATTTTGATTTTTCTTCTTCTTCCACTTCCTTTCGACTCTCTGTTTTTAAGGAGTATTCAGTCTTTTGTTTCGGTCCGATGGTCCACAGGAAAGATGAAATATTATCAGCGGCTATGCTCCTGTTCACAGAGTGCACGTCACACCAATCCTGACCAAATCCACTGTCACCTCACATCATTCTCAGCTGAGGAATTGAACGCACACCGCAGTGCCACTGGCTTCCACTACTGAGCTGTGGGGACATTAAATGCCATCGCATGTTACGCAGTCATTGATGTGAATTACTTCTGCCACATGGAAGCTGAAGACAAGCTGCTTCACATAATGTTGGAGGATGTGGTTGAAGCGTCTCCTCTTATATGTTTAAGAGGTAAACTGCAGAGATCCCACTGAGAGAGGAACATGAACACAGTAGAACATGGATTCAGACGCAGCCTGTGTGATAGAATAACCTCTTCATTTCTTTATACAAAGGTTAAATCCATCTTGTTTAATCTTCTCAATAATAACATGGTTAAAATTATGAATCTGTGTTTTTATTGGTCAAAATATCTGGAACAATCTTCCTTAAAATGGATCGACTGCTAACCGTGATTTGTGTACAGGATCTAAGATAGCGCCCCCTCATTTAGAGAGGTACTCTGCACATTTTCGTAGGATACAGAGTTTTAATTTCGTTGATAATTTAGGTCACGCCGACAGGTTTTGTTTGAATCTGGTGTTTATAAAAGTCACACAGTCAAGCAGCGTTCCAGTTGTACCCAGAAGTCTAAATTTCTGAGCTCCGAGTCTGAAATTCGTCTGGAACGCCCCCCTGAAGTCGGATTTCCCAACGTCTAACTGTGAACACGGTGCTATGATGTTTGTAAGAGTAAAATACTGTGTTAAGCGTTGTTTACAACTGGTGTCACTAACAAAAATTAACAATGGCTAACAACGGGTAATTGTAGGCGTCCATCTTGGTTTTCTGACTTGTTAACTGGAACGCCATCAACTCGGGTTTAACGTCATTCCCAGCTCCGACATCAAACTTCCGAGGTAACTGAAACGCAGCATCAGTCCACGTCCGGAAAGTCAGTCCAGGAGCTTGGAGTTTAAATTCCACCTAGTTTGGTTTACCTAATGACAACTATGAGGACTTGGACTTGGACTTGGACACAGGACTTGACTTAAACTCCTCTCTGGTAACAGGGATTTGGTCAAGACTCAAACACCGAGGACTTGAGATTTGGTGATTTATGTCCTTAACCCAACATTGGTACTGGTCCTGGTACTGGCATTGTCAAGAAAGATTAGAGCTCCCCCTACTGGCTGGCTGCAGTAATGATCATAAACCCCGCCTCCTTGATTTTAAGAGACGGTACAGAGGTCAAAGATGTCAAATGATTTTCTCTTAGTCATGTTATGTTGTTCAAAAAGTCAGTCCAGGAGCTTGGAGTTGAAAAGCCACCTTGTTTGTATCACACAGTAACATCCATGAGGACTCGACTTGGACTTGGACACGAGACTCAAGACTCGACTTAAATACCTCTTTGATAACTGGGACTCAAACATTGAGGACTTGAGATCTGGTTGGTACTGGTCCTGGTACTAGCATTGTCAAGAAAAATTAGAGCTCCCACTACTGGCTGGTTGCAGTATTGACCATAAACCCCGCCTCCTTGATTTTAAGAGACGGTACAGAGTTCAAAGATGTCAAATGATTTTCTCTCAGTCATAGTTTCTGTCAGTTAAGTACGTTCCTATCCTGATTTATGTAGGGTGACCATATGTCCTCTTTTACCCGAACATGTCCTCTTTTTTGGGGCTGTCCAGCCTTGTCCAGGGAAGTTTATAAAATCCATTAAATGTCTGTGGTTTTGTGCAGAAGTTTGAAGTTTGTGTCACATGGACTCACTGAGTTAGAAGCGCATAAAAGACACTCGATCCAACCTGAAAAACTCTCAAAATTAACTTTGTGCGACTCCTTGACTCCGCCCCCGTATAGTCATGTCCTCTTTTTTGGGAAGTCAGAATATGGTCACCCTAGATTTATGTCGCGTAAGAATTTAAGTTTGGATTCAATATTTTAAGAAAGCTGATGATTGACAGCTCTGTTAACCAATCAGGGCTGGATTAGTAAAGTAGAGAAGGAATAATGAGAGAAAAATAAAGACTAACACAAGAGTTTTCAAACTTTGTGTCTTCTTCAAACAATCAATCCTTTAAGTCAGCGCCTTCCTACAAAAAAAGAAAAATACTCAAATCGAACTTTAATATGAGCGTTTCAATACTGTCTTCATTTTTATACAGACCCAGTGTGCCTCATCTTTCAAGTTCCTCAATATGTGGGATTGTCCAAAAACACTTTCGGGGGTTTACTTCAATGGAGCCTCCGTTGCTCCCGCTCTTATCTGGATTCTTTCACATATTGGGAAATTTTCAATTTTCTCTCTGCGTCATCCGAGCTTTTACAGGGATTTGAGAGAGCGATATTCAACGCTTTAATCGCCTCGTTTTCTCCTCTGTGACGGCGCTAAAACGCACACAGCTGTTGGAATATATCTGCTGCTATCAAGCTCACAGCAGCAGAGTCATTTTACCAGAGCAAATCTCTCTGAGAACTCCCCGCTGCTGGCTGAGTATCCCCTCACCCGGGCTCGAATCGATTATGATAAAATAAGAACGACTAATTAGAAAGCCTGGGACTCCAATTCCCCTGTCCTGATGCGGCTGAGAGATAATAAGCCGCCGTCTTTATCAACCAATTTGTTGAATCTTGAGCCGGCTGATTGTATTCCAATCAAAGCTCGGCGTGTCATGGCGGCGGACCCACCTGCTGTGCGTGTGAAAGGAAACACAAGGTTTTTATTTTTTTACTGAGATAAATAGGAGCTCACATTGGCGGCGCTCGCTCTGATGAGCGAAGGTTTCCCAGTGATCAGCCGCCTGCCTCAGATATTGATATTCACTCCTGAGCCGTGGTAGAGGTTACAAAACCCCTAAGCCTACGGAGGCTCTGAACTGGCAGGATACACTTTACACCCCCATCCTCCAAACACACACACACAGACACACACGGACGTGAACTCACCCTCATTACCGATTCCTCTTTCATTATCAGCTGCAGCTTCAGGTGTGTGGGCCTGAATTGACGAGGCTTATTTTTGATCACATTATTTCTCGCACGCCCATCTCATCTTGAGGTTTATTAAACAAGACCTTGGCTGGCAGAGGACGTCAGCGTCAGCAGATCATTCATTCGGTTCCCACACGGTCTGCTCCTTTTACAGTCCGTGGTATTCGCGGGGACGGCTGCTGCAATGCAGGTTGAATCCCAAACAGGAAAACAAGAACATCAAATTAACTGCACTGTGGAGATTAGAACCAATGGGTCTTTCAATAATTCATACTCACCGTCTCTGCTTTTTATTGATACAACATTTCACTGTAGACCACAAAGGAACGCTGGAGACACTTTGTGTTCCTGTTGCGAGAGATAACACCAGGAAAATGTCTGTCTCAGCTGTCAGAGAAGGACCAAATGCCACTTCTTAAAGGCCTGTGCCTTTATTGCCGTAATCGCTGGAATAATTAAACCCTTTTTGGTTCTTTTATACAGGACTCATCAAGCAAAAGTAGGTAGTTAAATCGTTCGTAGATACAGCTTTGGGAAGGTTAAAAGCACCTGGAAATCCAGAGATGTATCCATCAAGGTTCACCGAGAGTCTCAATGAGGTTTCTGCGAACATCTGAATGGAGATAATCTCTTATAAGTCCGGGTAAACCTCTAAACTGCAAATAAGATTTTGAAGGATTGTCGTTGGAAAGTGAAAAGTGGTGTACTACTGCACTAAATATATGTTATGTTATTCTTCAGCCGCCTGAAAACGCTCATTTCTTCTACCTGAATGTTGCTTTAGTATCCACTACCTCTCTACTCCAGGATATTTCCCCGAGGACTGAGGACTTTAGGAGGTACTCAGTGCTTCCCCGCTGCAGGGACCGTGGACTAAATAAACTTCTTGGACTCTTCCCTCTGATGTGAAAAGTTCCACTATGAGCAGGAAAGTGCCGGGACCTTGCAGCGTACAGAAGACTCTTTCACACGTACGCGGACTAATTCAATTAAATTTAATTAATTTGATTATATCTCGAGACCTCTGAGGACATGCAGGCGATAATCAGCTGGATAGAGTTTGGCTTAGCCGACAAGGCGTGGACAGGAAGCTTCCCTCATCGCAGCCGTTGCAAGTTGGATTCCTCCTCCAATATGTGCTTCCCTCTCCCTCAGCCGTCCCTTCTAATGAAGTCAAATAAGCCCCAAAATGATCTTCTCTAACTCCTGGATACTTGTGGTAGAAATGCAGTTAGACTTCGAGGATGAAATATACTTATTTATTCTCACATCCTTGTATCACAGCTGCCAAATTATCAATATTTGGAATTGCAGTTAGTTTCAGAATAACAATACTTTAGCATTTTTAATTTTGAAACTGGTGTCAGCCTAATAAACAATCCTACTTTTACACTTTCCATATTGACAGAATTCACAATAAAATTATACATCTTACTGTCAAAGGCAACAAGGTCGGTGTATTATCCATCCATTCAATTATTCCATTCAATCTAGTAAACGAAAAAAACAAGTCAATATTTTGTTTATTTGTTTTTCTATATAACCAAAAAATAAAAGATTAGTGTTTGTTTTATATATAATAGAGTTTTTGTATAATAGAGATGGATTTATTGGATTTTTGAATATCGTACATTACAGGTAAACATGTGGCAAATGTTGTATATGTTGTAAACATTGACTTGTATGCAGACAGTAAACAAATAACTATATTATACAATGTTTAAACTCCAGGAAAGAGAGAAAGAAAAATAACAACATGGTAGCAATGACAGCAAAAAACAAAAATGAAAAGGGCGATACAAGAACAATCGAACAAAAGATAAAACAGGACAGCACGACAGTAAAATACTTTAAAATAAATAAATAGATTATATATGTACATATTTTTAAAAAGGGAAGAAAGAAAAACAAACAAACAAAAAAAACATAACATAGTAAATGTTACAAGGTTGTTGTTTTTTCTACCTGAGGACGAGTCAAAATTAATGCAAACTAAAAATTCCTAATAGGAGCTTTAAGTTGACATGCTTTGAATTCAAATGAACAGTTTGTGTTTGGAGATGACTGTTCGGACATGGACACGCATTACAAATTCGTGTACATGGTGTACAAATCTAAGAGTATGGATTTTTGCAAACTAAACGAACTGGTTTTCTTGGCCTGGCTCCCCGGAGACTTCTGTATTTTTCCAATTAGGTTTCTAATTTCTTATTCCTTTCAGATTCCCCCCTTCAAGATATACAAGATCCTCTTACATAGTTACAAGGCTATTGTTGGTGTTGGCTTTCCAGAGCCCATGGAGGTTTGTGCAGTTATTGCTGTGATCACTAGAATAATAAAACCATTATTGCTCATCTTTACCTTTTTTATCGAGGAAAGTTACCGCTCGGAGATACAGCTTAAGGACGGTTTAAGTATTCATTTCTTTCAATCCTGCTTTATCCTTCAGTTGTACTGTGACACGGGTGGGGAGGTCTGAAATGAAGTCATGAGAGACTGTGTTTTGATTATAGCGGGGGTTGAAGTCAAACAGACGCTGCAGAGGGAGGTCACTGATCCGGCTCTATGGGAGGAGGAAATAACAGCCGCCCCAGTGAAACACATTTTTCATTAAAATAAATGCGTTAAAGAGAAAAGTCAAACAGAATACCAATCAGATCTGTGTGTGAACAGCATCATAAACCTCAACACCTTCGTCTCCATCCCTCTGAGGGCTCTTTCTTTGGTGTTTCCTTCCCCCCACATTTCATTCTGATGGCGACTAGGATATCCCTGAAGGTGCTAATTTCTTGTGATGTTATCTGCTCCCCAGCCGCGGTGCTGGCGTGATGTGAATCCATCTCCATGAATAAATAACAAAGTCGCTTTTCTCGGACTCAATAGAGCAGCTGAAGACACACGATGATGGGCTGCTGTGTGTGTTTCCCGGCGTCGCTCGGTGGTTTCTGCCTCAGAATCCATCAGCGTCATTAATAACAGAAGTGATAGGAGGGTGAGGGATGGACAGACCTGCTGTGTGTGACCCAGAGCGGTGAACTGGGCAGGGCCTCTGCCGGGGCTATCGAGCAGGAACATCGGTTTATTGATTAAAGAATCAGGCCCTGGGCGGGGAGGGCGCTGACAGACGTACAGCTGACGGCCTTGAGAAACGTTTTTTTTTTTTTTTGCCCTGCAGTCCCACCAGAGCATGACATTCTCCAATTTGGCGCTGAAATATAACAACTGACCACTTGTTTCTCACCGCCGCCCTTGGTTACAGTTGCTACGCATGCTAAGCTTTAAGTCAAATTACAACACAGGCAGTTTACAATGAAGAGTAATGGCCAGAGGGATGAACAACAGAAAATCACACTTATCTTTGCATCAGTGGTTCTTCCACATCAGGTGGCGGAAAAAACGATGTCGCCCGTTTACAGCTGGTGGTATAGACCAAAATTCATATCAGTGAGCCCTTTGGTTTTAATGATACAAACCATAGACTGTATTTACTATGGACAACTTGGCTCTGCCTTCTGCCAGGATATGGATTTGAAGCCGAAAAGGTCTCTGTAATTGCACGTTTTTTCTCCACTTCCTGAACATTGCGCAGTAGCATTGTACGGATTTGGTGGGAGAGTCGCAGAGAGTTGCTGTGATGTAGTTAACTGCTGAGTGAACGACGTGAATGGAATCACTCCAAGACCTCATTCTTTCCTGATTCATGTAACTTCCCCCTTTTGCTCTTTGCAAACGATACACATCCAACCAACGAACGAGCAAGCGGGTGGAGTCTCGTGATTTGCTCACAGCAAATGAACGACATGTATCAGTCAGTCAGTGAATGAAATGAATGACTTCTGAACAACTTGATGCAGGCAGAGGAGGGAGGGATGTAGCGTCGTTTACGAACTGCAGAGCAGCGGTTCGTTCAGTGAGGCTAAGATGAAACAATACATTACAGTGCCTTTACATTTATACATGTGTTTAAACTTTCCTATAAGAAGGATTTAATTTCAGACGATTTAAAGGAATACTCTATTTGATATCTTTAAACGTATCAGAATCCTCACTACTGCTGCAACATTTATTTATTTTAAATCTCTCCACTTTTCCACGATATGAAAGAACAAAAACTCACACTTGTTTAGCCGGTGTGCTGTTTGCTGCTGTGTTGTTTCCGCCGACGGTGACACACAGAGAGGTGAGTTTTTCATGGCTGGGGAGTGATTCCTCCTTCACGACCTGGCGAATGAACGACCTGTGTCACCCAGTGAACGATGCTGTGACTTCAGCAGAAGGGGAGGGGAGGGGCTCGTTCAATGAACAAACTTGCGACTGTGTCACTCCCTCGTGTACTGCACTGGCAGAACGAGGCTCCGAAGCACCGACTGATTCAGTGAACGAATCTTTTGAACGAATCATTTTAATGAATGGATTCTAAAGATTCAGTCAAAAGAATGGTTCTTCCCATCACTGCTGTGATTACTATGTTTGTCCACAGCTCCATAGGGATTGCTGGAGGGGGCGGGATTTATGACCTATACTGCAGCCTGTCACCAGAGGGTGCTGTTCTCACGCAACGAGGAGGCATTCTATATACAGTCTATGGTTCAAACTCTCTCCAAACTCCTTATATTCTGAACACCACGTTCGCTGCAGCTCTAATCTACTGCACTCTCCGTTTCCTTTGCCTCCTCTCACTGATGTCAGGCTTGTCTTCTTCCTCTCCTCCCTCCTAACAAAGCCTCGTGTTTCTCTTCTGTCTCTGAGTTTCTCCGGCTGGTTCTGTTCGTGTAGCTGTTTGTGTCATAATGGCTGCTGAGCTGTCTGTCACGCCGAGAGCTTCAGGCCTCCGGGGCCGACACTTCTGTCATGCTCACAGAGCTGGGTGGTGTAGCGTACAGACGTGGAGCCTGTTCATCACACCAATTAATGTTCGCTCTTACAGACGAAAATCACTTCATGCTTCAACAATCAAAAGACTGTTTAATCCCTACAAGTGATGACATACAGTAAGTCTGAGAATCAGACCTCAGCCCGTGTTTTTTCTTTAAGATGAGGCGGTGGGGTGGGTGGTCTATTCTAGTAGATAAAATGTAGATTATCTATTTTCTGAGTCTAAATGTACTGATCTATCACATGTTCTTGGCCCCGCCCCCTCAGGTGCAAACCGTTGCACTCTGGACCGGAAAAACGTGACCGAGTAGCGAGTTCACTTCTATCTCTTCATTAACTACAACACAAACAAGTTACTTTTAGAAAATTAAAAAACACTTTTAACTTTACCGAAGTTTTAAAGGACTCGCTAATCGCCACTCTTGGTCAAATAGCCACAAACTCCACCTGATTATATCGAAGGGCAGGATTTTACTGTTATTTACACTCTGTGGACCCTGTAGCTACCTTGAAAATATGTCAAAGAGAAAGCTAAGTTCATTCTTTAACGACTTTCTTTGAACCCGATAAGGAACCACAACAGCGTTTGCTACTCTCCGAGACCAGGACTGGAAGCAGTAGAGACCTTGTGGGAGTAGACTGCTAGCAAAGTTTATGTTACCAATACAGACTGCAGATAAAAACAAGACCCATAGAGCAGTGTTGCCAGATGTAATGAGAGAAACAAAAAACAAGCTCTATGAAAACAAGCCCAAAATATACCCAACAAGCAACCCGCAACATCCCATGCCAGTATGCCCCAAGGTGCAGCACCCATATGCGCCACCTATGCTGAAACATACCGAGTTCCAGGAAGCGCCACGTAAAAAAAAAAAAAAAACTAATTTTGAAAGTGTGGCACCTGTTATTTTGTTGCGGCTGTGCACCATGATGAATTACATGTAAGGGAAACCCCGCACATTTATCTTGACATAATAATAAAAATAATAAGAACTTTTTTTATCGCACTTTTGAAAACAAAAGTTTACAAAGTGATTTGACATATAGTGATAAAGCATATGGAATAAGACATAAAAACAAACGCTCAGTTAAAACGGAATTGAAGGCCATTTTATGCATGAGCAACAGCAAAAACGATGAACACAATTAACATAAACATAACAACTTTTAATTACTTACATTTTAAAACTTTGATTAAGAGAAAATAGTTTGGGTTGAATTTTTATATTATTTTATTTTTTTATATTTTTCCCACTTACTGCCACTTCCTGTTGCGCATGGGCATAATGCGCCGTGTGAGTGTGTTAGGGGGCGTGCCGAGTACTCGAGCCGGCACGATCCCGGAAACGGTGATCTGGAAAGAACAAACTATCTACTGCACTTTAGTTTTGCTTTGCTTTTGCGATGAGCTGTGAAATAACCAGGGTGGGATTCACACAGACAGAGAAGAAAACCGAAATAAGCAACTATTAGTCAAAAACACGCCCAAAAAAGCGCAACCCGCGACGCACGAGTTTTACAAGCAACCTCTGAGAAAAACAAGCTTAAAGTCGCTTATAATGAGTGGACCTGGCAACTTTGCATACAAAGATGACCGCAAAACTCAGCAATAGGTTTCAGGAAGAGAGCCTGCGTTCACCTTGCTTTATGGACCCCCTAAATGGACCCCCAGAGGACACATCTGATCCAAGATTATCACAGGACAAAGACGCGTGGGGACCACAGAGGACCAGTCCACTCAGGTCAGAGAAAAAAGTTCTGATTTCAAGTCCACGATTGCTCTGATTTCACTTGCTGTGTATGTTGGGTTCGTGTGTGTGCGCGTAGCGTGCGTGTGCAGAGTGCAACGCGTGTTTAATGCTGCTGGGTTTACAAGATCAGTGTCAATTTTAGCCCTGGTGATGTGTGCATATGCAAAGTATGTACATTATAGTCGTGTGGATTAAACCGTGAATCAGACTTAAGTTTAACTCTGATGCAGTATATTGCACGAGCACTGGCCTGATTGGCTGTTCAAGAGACTTTTAAAAAACTAAGATAACCCCAAGAAAAGGGTTTATATGTAAGGTGTTCATTCTGTCATGTAGTTTTTTCCACTGAGTGCGTTCAAGAGTTTCCTTTTGAATGGTTCGAGGTGACTCTGCTCTTTGTTTCTTCTCATGGAATTGCATGGCACATAAAAATGCTGCTTGCATCTGCAAAACACCGGCTGTAAATGGCTCCCGGACAGGAGAAAATAAAGTAAAACAACTGAATAGAAACACAACATCAAAGCTATCCGACACATGCAAGCGTTTTTACAATGTACAGAGATAATTGCTTCAGTTTTGCCAGTGGGGTTCAAGAAAACTTTTCCAAATTCCTCAAGAATAAAAAGTTAAAGGAGCTTTCTGATGTTTACAAAATAGGCTTAAACTTCACAATGATGCATCAAAAAGCAGCCAAGACGATCACCTGCAACACTGAGAATTATTATATTGCAGTTTTTAATGCCTGACACTGGTTTGAGGGGGTAAGTGTAAGCCGAGCAGCTGCAGAAACAGCCTGTTTAATACAAGAACTTTATTGATAGCAGATCATTACTTTATCATTTCCTTTGAGTAATAATCACCATATTCATCATTTTGCACCGCAGACACAGTAGTTCTTCTGCCTTAGCGTCTCGGTCTTATTGTATTTCCATGAAGAAATGATCATAAATGTTCTTCCTTGAGCTGCGAAACCCCGCTGTAGTCCGTAATGGACTGGCCCGAGGTCTCGCTACAAATAAATGGCTGCTGAAAGAGAGTATGTGAGTTGTGTTTAGTCTCTTTGCTTAAAAAATTAGTCAAAGTTAAAAAGATGTTTGGTGGCTAGTACTATGGCTGTGACCCTATATGTCCTGTTGATGAAGTTAGGTGCTGTTCTGAGCATTATTTGTGGCTATAGAGTGGCGTTTTGGTTGAGGTTTGTTTATGGCTCCTCAGACTGCTGTGTATTGCTATCGTGCGGTCGTTACTAAAGTTGGTATAACTAGAGAAGCAAGCGGTCGGCAACATTTATCTCTCGAGGGGGTGTCTAACTCTGTGTTACGGTGTGTTTGACCCAAAATTAATTTTACGCCGGAATATCCCTTTAACAAACTGTGTAAATCCAGTCAGGACGACATAGTTGAAGTCTCTTGATTTTGTTACAAGTGCCCCAGGGTGTTGACTCTGTATCCTAGCAACAGTATCATGAAGAACATAACATGGAACTTCAGCCGTTGCCTTGTGTGGGATATGTACGAGTGTTTAAGATACCTTTGATTTTAAAAAGCCAGTTGGAAGAGATTTTGTCCATAAGGAGATACTACTGAAACATGTAGGAGACTTGAGATGTGTCTCCTCACATCATTTAAACTGCACAGGCTAGAGTGTCCTACAGATGTACCGTGAGTGTGATATTTGACACTCCCTGCTGCTGCAGATAGTCTGTATTTGACATTCTGGGAGTGAGAAGAGGCTGTAAAAGCTTCTAAAACGTGTCATTATCGTCATATAGACTTGGTGTGTCAGAATAACACCCATGTATGTCACGCTGATCTTAAAGGTCCAGCCAAGGAAAGGGTGTGAGTCGCCTCTGGCTGCAAGATGTGAGACTCTCTCTCTACTGAAGCTGTGCTGGACCAGAGGCGATGACAAGCTAATGAGGAGAGGGAGGAGGTCTACTATATTAAAACTTTACTCACTAATTAGAAGGAGGTGTTGCATGCATGAGAGGCCAGATTAAATACAAATATCAATGCTAAAGGGACAAACCAAGGGTGTAATGTGTATGCAGCGCTGCATCCTCTTCCTCTGTGGTACAGACTGTACTGAATTCTGCCCCCGTGTGTTCTGACAGTGATTGAAGATGTTTTTCTTCATTTATTTCAAGACTCGGCCTGAAGGGATGAGGAGCAATTTATATATTAGTTTATCAAAAAGTCCATTATCCATTGTGTCTCTTTTTGTGTTGTTGTTGCAGACAGAACTTCTTTTTGTGTCTGTCTATAAATCCTGTTTTTGGTGAGCTGCCAAAAGCTGTGTTAGTCACCGAGCACCTCCAACACCCGCTGCTGCCCGGGGCCCTCCACCCGTCCACACTGTAGAGCATCATTCCCGTTTCCTGGAATCTCTGCTGCTTTCTATATTTTGTGTTTCCACTTGTGCAGCAGTTAAGAATCCCCCGAGGACTCATGACCTGCGAGCAGCACAATCAGGTGGATGGGGGGGGAAGGACAAATTGAATAACGACCACAAGACAAAAGACATGAAGGCGTTCTCTCTTTTTTTGTGAGTTCTAATGGGGTCACGCTGCACCCGCTCCGAACATAAGGGTGATCATGTTTCATTAAGATTTAACGCAGAATTTGTTATTTTCTCCGTCTTCGCTCAGGACAGGAAAATAGAGGTGCGATTTGAGCTTTGTTGTGACATTTCATCCTCTGATTATATTAGTGACCTCTGCAAAGCAGCCGCTGCCTGCTCTGAAATGATGTTACCTAGGCCGACAAGAATTGATGCAATGACCTTACAGCTTGTCCACCGGCGGGAAAAATTGCTCCGCGGTTTCACAGTGAGACATTCGAGGCATGAAAACAGACCCTGAACCCTCGTTGCATTTTGCACCCCCGATATTACGTCAGTGGAACGATATTTGGATGTGAAAGAGACGATGAGAGGTGTTAAAACCTTTACATGAAACTGTAAATAAAACTTTGATGCAAAGCCAGACAACAAAAGCTGTAATAAGCGTGTGCGCGCACATGCTCCCAGAGCCCTCTTTCCATTATTCATCAACAGATGTGGCCATTACATTTACATATTTCATTTATCTGCGAGATGCAGCGATAAATATCCCCGTGTTGACTGTGCCCGATGACTGAAACTCTTGCCACTCATTAATCTTGAGCTAGAAGTGCAAGTGTGACAGGAAATGTGAGGAGGCGCGAGCAGCAGAAGTTGAACCTTTCTGAGAAAACATGTTTTTCAGATTGAGAAAAGCTTTTCAGGCAGATGAGTTCAAGCTTTTGAGGTTCGTTTTTTTAGCAGAAATACGCTGAGAGCATTATAATGAATGTTGAGAGAGAATCAGTGTAAAGTCGTTTATTTTTCTTGCATGTTAAAGGTAGAGCTGATGAGGAATAAAAGCAGCCAGGTCCGAGCATCCTGTTTGTAAATACACCAAAGTTAAAGGTTATTTTAAACATACTGAATGAGTGGCTTAGGTGGTGCCTCCGGGGGCGTAACCAGAAAGGTGGTCGAGGTGGCACAGGTCCCCCTTGACAAGCCAGGTAGTTATCTTACAGCTAAAATCCACAGGATACGGAACGGCTGCATTCCGCTCCGAAAAGGGTAGCCTGATCAAATACACAAGCATTATAAGCAATGTGCATAGGTCCACACAATTTGTCTGCCATCTGACTCTACTGCGGATCCGCTTCGGCAGTCAGGTCAGATACGCAAGGCTTCTATTTTTGCCGGGCACCGCAGCACAACGCATCAATTCAGTGCAGCTCACCATGAGCGGCAGCGGAAGCTGTATGCGGCTACAGAGTAAAATATCCAGTAAATTTTTCAAAATAAGATAAAGTCAATATGTTGTACTGTTCTTTACGTGATAATAGGAGGGGCCAGGGTTTTGGGATTTGGGTGTTAATATACACTGCCGATCTCACTCAGTGTCTCACGGTGAAAAACGCGAGATCTCGTCCAGATAGTCACAGATTACAAAAAAGTCATTCAAGGCACAATAAGTAGTTTTTATCTGAGTTGGAAACAGGTTGATATGGACGCTGAAGGAAACATCCAGCCTTAATTTACAAGCCCACACATGAAATGCTACAGGTTGGGTACATTTCCTGCTTCTTACATCACTGCTTTTACAGCTCTTCTTCTTCTTCTTCTTCTTCTTCTACACTCTTTAACTGAACCACTTTAATTCAATCAAGGTTAATCCCACCTTTAAAACATGACGACAGCCTAATCCACCATTTTGGAGGTACTTTAAGGACTTCCTAGCTCATATCTACGCCTGTGATGACAGCTGATAATGGGCGTTTAATAGCGTGATAACATCTAAATCGGTTGGTGTCACCATCCACAGGCAGGAGGTACGAATTAAACCACTTCCTGTGAGGCAGGCGGCCGTATATGCTGACTCTAAAAAGGTCCATTAATTACTGATCATCTTCTTAATATCAGTGAGATATAACAGTTGTATCGAGTGACTAACAGCTGCTTGAAAAGTCATCACAACTTTAGTAAAAGCCTCGTAACTTTAATGATTTCCCCTTATTTAAACCCTGATTGTGTTGTTTCTTCTCCGTAGGCTTGCTATAAATCAGCAGGAGTTAATTAGAAAATAAAAACCCCGTCATAATCAGACTTTTAATAGTTTCCGTGTTCAGAAAAAAGAGCTGATCTGCATAAGTATCAGCAGGTAAATGATGGGTTTAACATTAATCATTTCCACATGACAATTAGACCAACGTGTGTGGCATTAACGTTACAGCAGGTGAGACGAGTTCGAGACGAGCGGGAATGAGCTGCTCTCATTTACCAGCGATCAGAGCTGACCTGGGGGGGTCACTTATGGAAATCTCTGTATGTAAATAAGTTTTGCAGACAGTAATTCATCCCCTGGTAGATCATAACCCTCTCTTTGACAAGCTAATCCTCAGCCAAGCGTGTAATTAAGAACAGAGCCGGGATTGCAACGCGTGTGCGAGTGTGACAGGACAGTGAAGGAGCGGCCGCCGCCATCAGCGTGGAAACTAATCACCTGTCAGCGGATGGAGCTGACCAAACACACTCATTAACGGATAGGAAAGAGACGCATTACCGAATGAAAGACGGGGCATGTTTATCGAGTTTACCTCTGACACAAACACTCTGTCACATGTTCGGGAATTAACGTCTGCATAAGACTCCGACACGCCGCGCAGGGACGTGTCTTTAAATATGTTACGCCAACGCCGGGGGGAATAGAGCAGATTCTGCAGCCTGAGGCAAAACCCAACCTTTACAATGCTGGATCCATTTCATATTCCTGTATTAGCATACTGTAATCACTTCACTGCAGCAGCGCTAACACAAATACCTGAGGGTTTACCTGGCCGGGAGCCCGCTTCCTTACATTAAACTGGGTCCAAAGTGAGTTAAACAACCTGGAGAGAAACGACTGTGTAGGTCACATGACCTCCAGCCGCTCCAAGAGAAGTATTTGTATTGTGTTTAATGTGTTTTGTGTAAGCACTTTACTGAATTTGCATTAATTAAGTGTTTGAGGAGTATTTATCCGAGCATTGTCGGGTTGGCAGAAGTACAAGAGTGTAAAGAAGGAGGAGGAGGAGGAGGAGGCTGCAGCTTCAGTCTGATTGAACTTCTCAGAGACGTTTCTGGCTCTGCAACAGAATAATAGACGAAAATTAGTATCAAGGTCAAACCAGAACCGAGAAACAAAAGAGTGTTTTTGATGCTGTGTCATTTTCTTTCACTTCTTCATCTATTTGTGGTCCAGGCTAAACCTCTGACGTTCTTAAGGCCAAGAAACCCCCCTGGACAAGCGCAGAGAGAGGACGCTGAGTTCACTTCTCTTTTTATTAGACCCTGTTGCCCCACGTTGTAGCGAAGCATGGACTAAGCTCATAATTCTACCTTTTTTTCGCCGAATCGGACGTCCCTCCTTGTCCTCGTATACATGCAGCTGAGAAAATCGAATTATTGACGTGAACATGTCCTCCTCCCCAACACTAGGGGGCGAAATGGGTCTTTTCAGCGGCGCTGTTTCCGACCCCATACAACCGTCAACAACAACAGCAGGTCCGTGCCAGACATCAGAAGTAGTATTGGGTATTGAGTCTCGAGCGTCGATGGGGACCGGGACTAACATTCCGATTCTCCCGGAACTGTTCAAATTTAAAAATTTCGATTCCAAGTTTCGATCCTGGAGTCCACCGACCGGAAATAATAGGTGCCGAACACCAACGAGGAAGACCTCAGGATTCACGGAGGAGAAATATCTAAGTGCCCCGTCTTTGACGCGCTTCGTCGGTCTTCCGCTAACCAGCTAGAATCAGATAAGTAAAACAATAAATGACTTCTGTCTTTGGCTAACATTGAAATGGAAAACAAATTGTACTGTCAACTTAAATATCCAACTAAGGTTAGCCCTCATACTTTTTCATAGACAAACGACCTGACAACAAAAATTGATATTTATCTACTGGTTGAAAATAGTCCTGTGAGAAATTCATAGTAAATTTCTTAAAAAGTTAATATAATTTAATGGAGAAGTTCAGAAATTTCATCCAAAAAGAAGAACTCCGGTTAGCTTCCTCATTTAAACCATGCATTTTTTTTTTTTTTTTATATCCTGCCTTTAAAAAGAATCGGAATAGAGAATCGTTTGGAACCTGAATTGAAACGAGGAATCAGAATCGGACTCAGAACCGGAATCGGAATCATTCAAAATCAATCGATATCTAACCCTAGTCAGAAGTGTCTACAACTGCTGATGGCCATTTTCGAGCGAGAAGACGGATCATCATACAGCGGTGTTTCTGTCGTACATGATGTTACTTTTTCTGCAGATGAGGTGCATACCAGTGTTTTTGCTCCGGGGTTACGGGGCGTGGAGCACGCGCACATGCATTGTCCAATCAAAGACTACGCTGGCTAAATGGTAGAGAAAATCGAATCCAGTCACATTATCTGGGTGACTTAATTAGAGTTCTCCGATTAGAGTCGGACTAAGATGTTAACATTTACTTCAGTTGTCTGGTCTTAATCAGAGTAAGGCGATAATTTGTTCTTCTCGAGTGTCATGTAAACATACTGACTGAGAGGCAGAGGAGATCCTCGTTCATGAGCTCTCCAGACATCTAACTACATGTTTTATAATATGTATAATAACCTGCAAGAGTCGGAGAAAAGGCGATAGTTTCCAATACTGTCTGCGTGTTTTTTCCATCTTTGAAGTTAGCACAAGCTGCAGAGTCGTCCCCAGATCAGTGATGATGCACAGTCCAATCGTAGATTCAGCTTCTCCTGCCAGTACGGGAGTCACCTGTTCACTGTCTTCCTTCCTGTTCCTTCAAAAATAAACCGCGTTCATATTCTGCAGTTTCATCCTCAGTGCTATAAGGATGAGATGTGTGGCATTTGGGTGAAAGTCAGAAAAAGATGAAGTGCCCACAGGCGGAGAACCGTCTCATCTGTTTCCAAACGATTGGACTTTTGTGAGATCCTTTACTCTTCAAACCTGCGCCCACTTCTTTTGGCAGCCTTTGTGAATTCAGCTGCAGTTTGCCAGCAGGAAAAGCGGCTGATAAGAGATGAATGAAGCGAAACAGCTGAAGTAAAACCAAATCAATGAGCTGAACGATGTTAAAGTGTCCCGAGGAGCTGAGGAGACCTGATGATGATAAATCTGCGTTAGTCTGCCATTAAAAGTAACCGCCATAATAAAACTGTACTTAAACTTTAACACTGTAAAAATATTGCTTTGATTAAACGACTCCCTTCTCTGATTTACAGCCTCTAACTAGCGCCTCCTGGTGTGTCCTCGGTGCAGCTTTAGGGCGGATTTTTTAAAGTTTGACTCTTTTTTATCCTACAGATGACAATGATTGAATCCCCTCTCAAGGATACTCCTCACATAAATCCACACTGCTCTAAAAATACCCATCACAGTGTGAGGACTCTGCATACCAACAGGTTTGACATGGTAATGAGTCTGTCTCGAACACAGGGTGGTGCAGAGAAGGTGTTCCTACCGCCTCAGTCCCGGTGGCTCCGGGCCAAGACTGAAGGAAGAAAGTGTCAGAAGCTGGAGAGCCGCCCTGCATTCAGAGCGCCGCGGGTCGGTCCGAGGGAGGAGGAAATGGAAACGCTCCCCCTGGATGGCTCACTCCACTTGAAGGAGAAGTCCTGTAATATCCGGCCTCTCACCAGATCAGGAACTGATACGTCCCTTTGTGGCTCACCAAAGAGTTCCTGTGCAAAGTCTTTATCAGATTCAAAACTGCGAAAATACCCATCGACGCCCATCTCGACCTGACTGACTGTTATCTAACTCCTCTATAATTTCACTCCCTTTATTCGGAGGCAGACTCTGTCCTTTTCCTCGCCATGTGTCCTGAGGCGTAACGTCAAAGATCTATGTCTGCTGAGTCACTAATAACATAATGGTAACCAAACCTTTGACCCACTCATGAACGACCTTCAATTTTCTGTATTATGAGTGGGGTGTTAATGACGGTATTTACAGAAAAAGTACAATGACGACACGGGTATTGATGTATTTTTCGTCTTTCTGAAAAGTTAATGGAGTCAAATTAGCTGACTCATCTTCAGTGTTATGAGTCAGCAGTCCTTATACTAATATGTGAGGAAAGGATGGATGGTAGACGTCTTATGAACCCAAAGAAGAAGAAGAAGAAATGGGCAGTTTCTTGATTTCTACTAGATTTCCAGAGTCTTCGTCGCCCTAAACTAGCTAAGAGATGAGGAGAATCTGATCGAATGAAATCCCCATTAAAGAGCCCTAAATGTGAACTTGATGGTTATGTACATGGATAATCGCGTGCTAAAAGACTGGCACTGAATCTCCCATAAAGTCAAAACCGTCTCTGCTTTATGATCCGTGCGAGACATGGAAATGAGGAAGAGGAAGAGTCCTTGTGCTGCTTTGAAGAACCGGTTCAACCCAGACTGTTTTTTTTTAAAGCAGAAAAACATCAGACAGAGTAAAACGCGGTCGGAGTAGGGCTGGGCGACATCGCCAAAATATTATCATGATGGTTTTTTCCTAAAAAGCCAATAATAATCATTATAAAATGTTTTATGTGACATTACAAACATTAAAACATAATTTTCTCAAATTGAAATTCTGTTTATGGTTAAATTAGCTTGTTTTTTAGAGGTCAAGTACTCTAACAAACCTCTTGAAACCCTCATTTTTGGGAGGCGTGTCTTTCGTAAAGAATTATGTTCCTGCTCCGATTTTTACAAGGCGCAAGAAAAACAGACTGATTTTGAGATTTAGCAGCAAGTGGAGTTGGTTTCCCAGTCTTGGGATGGCTGAGGGTCCACTACAAAATAACAATTGTAAATAGTCTGGACAATGTGACTCCGCCTCCTGTCGACTTATTGGTCGATTCGTGTTTTCACCATTTTGGATTCGCCAACCCACTAGAGAGCGGCTTGAGACAGGAAGATTGATGAGCGTCCACGTTAATCAACGTCCGGTGGTTTGCTGAATATAATATTTGTGTTTGATTGTCGTCTTGTGCTGATATCAGTATATTTTCACCCCGCCGCAATAGGGTTTGCTGTCAGAGTCCCTGATTTGTTGATTTTTGGTCAAAAATTTCAGGGTTTTAGTCTACCAAGAATTTCTTTGGTTGATTACAGCCGCACTAATTTGAAGACAAATCTCAGTATTTCCAGGATTTTCTCCATTTCCTGAAACCTGCATTTGCGCAGTAGCTTTCGGCATTCGCTGTGATGATGCTAGGGCTGGGCGATATGGCCTCAAATCCTCAAATCAATATCACAATATATTGAGCAGTTCACCTCAATAACTACTCCACAAGCTGCTCACCCCTCCCACATGAACTTCGTCTACTTCAGCCGCTCCAACTTTTGAACCGTCCTCCATCTCCTCACCTGTCTGTCCCTCTTTGTTACGGATTGGATGGGGTGGAGTCACGTCTCTGATGTAGGACAGCGTCTTAAAGGGACATGAGACCACAGCCTACCTACACACATCCAAAACAAACTTTTATTTATTCATTTTGTTGACACCGAATTTACTGATACAGGCAAAATGATGTTGGTTATTGTTGTAAATTTCGATATCGGTAAATTTTCGGTTTATCGCCCAGTCTTAGATGACGCTCAGCTCAAACAGCGACCCTCTACTGACTGTATCCAAGTATAAATCAATCTCTCTGTTTGGATTTACACTCAGCGGTGTTCTTTGTCCAAGTTTGTGTGAGTCGGTTCCTCTAAATGAGTAATTGCTGTTCGGATGGACGGTTTAATGAGCGGTCAGTTTATGAGGACAAAGTTATTTCTCTATAACCCGATCAATTTATTCAGCGACACTCGGCGACTGCTGTAAGCAAGGCCACTCTGCCCTTTGTCTCAGCTTCATGTGTAAAAATAGATTTGTGTGAATAAATATGAAAAAAGGTCAGCGGCGGTGAAATTATCCCGCAGAATCACAGATATTCTTCAACTTCCTGTCTTCATAACTCTCCTCTCGAACCCATTTATTTCCATTTTGAGTACGCTCGTGTGTTTTGAAGAGCAGGAAACACAACAGATCTGATGTGATACCGCAGAGAAAAAAGCGAGCCTACAGGCTTTTTCTGTTTACTCATTAAAGCAGCAGATAACGTCTTTTCTTCTCCTGAACACGCTCTCATGCATGCAGCCTTACTCCACTCTCTCCTGTAACCTTCTCCCTTTTTTTTTTCCTCTCCGAGTTGACTCACGCTTCCAGGTCAGCCTCTCTGACGAAGGGGAGGATTTTGTATGAAATCTCCTCAGGCGAATACCTGAGTGGATTTAGACTTAGATTCTTATTCTTGAAGCATCAGTCCTGCAGCCTGAGCTCCCTCTCTTTGAACTCTGCTTAGATTTTCCTCGCCCGGCCACCATCCATAAGCAGATCCGATATGTTGTGGAGGCAAAGAGGACGGACGGAGAGCTCCTGATGTACGCTTCATTGTTAAGATGAATTGTGCTGAGTGCATCCCCACCGAGGATTGACTCCGCTGGATGTGCCAGAGCTTTGCTTTTTTTGAAGTTATGCATGCATTCAGGCCATTCTCCACATTCACCAGGAGCGATGGAGCATATCAAGCACCCTGAAGGAATCAAGTGTTTACCCAGATATGTCATGAGCCGTTAGCATCCAGGATTGGCATCATTATAGAGGGAGATTTCAACAAATAGAGGGTGGCTGTCTGATCAGGTCTGATGGCAAATGCGGGCAAATGAAGCATGAGTAGACGCAGCCTCAGCCTCGCTGCGTGTCTGACTGCAGCTGTGCATGTTTCTGACGGGTCAGCCAAGTGTTGACATCTTTCGCGCTCATGGTTTTAGATGCATTACAGGCGAATTTGGAGGCTGAGGATTCAGACACATTATCCTTTCAAAGCAGGAAGGAAAGAGAGAAGGCTGCAGAATGAAGCTGAGGTCGAGAAAAATCTGCAAGTTCTCATTCCCGAAGAGACAAATTCTGGTGCTTTTGTCATGATGCTGCTGCTTCTGTGTGTGCATGAGGTAACCAACATGCAATACTCCTAATAACACAGAGTCCTTTTGCATAGACTCAGACCTCGGTTCCACAGCAGGCGTGCTTCCTCTCTACCCACGGCAAGTCTCAGATCTATCCCAGAAGCCTCTCTCTCTCTCTGCTCCACTTTGTGCTAACACTCTTTTTTTCCAACGGAGCTCGAGTCCAACACGCGTCAAGCCGAACAGAGCGGATCGACTTTGACAGAAAGTGAGAACCCGGAGCATCTCAGCAAATTTCAAAATAAAACACATGAACAGACAGACGCAGTCCCTAAAGAAAGATGAATACACTGTAGAGAATCTCAGATTTATGATCCACATCATCACTGCTGGTTGTTTTCTGTCTTGTGTTTCGGCTGCTTTATGTCCTTTACGGCTGGCATGTGCTTTTATTTTGAAATATAACAATAAGAGACTCAATAAGAACCCAAGGTCGCTTTACGAAGAGGAATAATTAACTCAAGATAGAAAAGATAACTACATATATGTATACAAAATATGTTGATATTATGGCGATTATTTAGGGTGACCATACGTCCTCTTTTACCCGGACATGTCCTCCTTTTTGGGGGCTGTTCGGCCTTGTCTGGGGGAGTTTATGAAATCCTTCAAATGTCCAGAGTTTTGAGTTTGTGTCACATGGACTGACTGACTTAGGAGTATGTAAAAAACACTCGACCCGACCCAAATAACTCTCTAAATCAACAATGTGCGACTCCATGACTCCACCCCGTGTAGTGGTGTCCTCTTTTTGTGGATTCAGAATATGGTCACCCTAGATTATTGTCATTTTGACATAATCAACATCATATTGGCATCAGCACTCACATTCCCACGACCCATTAACAGCACAGTCACTCAGTAGTGTTTTGATTGATAAGTATTGTAATATTTGTGTCTTTTCATTAATTTATATCAAATCTACGAAAAAGGATTACGGCCACAAGAAGAGAACGTGGACCAAAAACTCCAGTCCAGAGCGGTAGAGAAAGGCTAACCTGTTGTCATGGAGATGGACGCATCCTACGTATTATTCAACGCCGCCAGGAGGGTCACGCTGAAGGAGGAAGATCTGACTGTAGAAAAAATTACAACCAGAGCTCTGTTACAACGTAAGGCTCTGTCGCATCTTTTGCCATGGTAACTTTCGCTGAGGATCATGGGAAGGCCAATGTAGCCTCCATGTACGTACGCTCAAAACAGGCGCACTAAAAATCAATAATTGTAAATAAGATTTATGATTTCGTTTTTGTTTTTTCTCTATTATTTATTCTGTTTTGAGGTGAAAATACAAAAACAAACACTAATTTTTTATTTTTTAGTTATACAGAAAAACAAATAAACAAAATACTGACTCATTTTTTCATTTTTCATTTACTAGATTGAATGGACGAATGATACGTGGACCATTCACGATATTATGACATTTTGTAATCTCGAAAATTCAACTTTATTGACATAATTTTGATTTCTTTAATGTCGAAATTTTGACTTTTATCTCGAAATAATTGCTTTCCTGTAATTATTTTCTTCTCTTCATGAGGCCCTAATCCTCTTTCATACAAATCCGTCCAAAACATATCACTGAATGTCCTTCCTCTGTAAAAACAGGGAAAGCAGAAAGGCTGCTGTGGAAAGTGGGTCTTTATTTGATGCTCCAAAATCAAAACAAGGTCAGAGTTCAGAAGTGAAGCGGCTCTTTATTATCTTTGTGGGCTGTTAAAACAAACACGCTCATTTGAGTTGGTTTTCTGCGGCGGACTCACTTCACGCGTAAACAAAAAACTGCCATTAAGTCAAAGCTGTTATTAACGGTGCTGCGAACACTCGCCGGCAGAGAAGAAACCCTCATCCTTCCGTGTGTCATATCTGCGTTTAGACGGCTCTAAATGACCTCAGAGGAAAGGTTATGACGAGACCTCGAACACGGGCTGCCACCTCCTTTTATCCGAAGTATAATTACCTCTATTGTAATTTCATTTTCTTGATAGAAGCAGAAAACAGGCCTTCATTATTGCCCCTTCAATGTGAAATTTAATTACATCAAAAAAAAACAGCTGAATTAAAGGGCGCTGTGGATGTCAGGGGCAAAAGGGCAGGTGCTCAAGCCCCCTCAGCTCCCCCCTTCTGCACGTGCCTGGAAGGTGACTCTCAGACACTTAACCACACTTTTATTGGAAGAATACTTGATAATGAAGCACTCGAGTGAAGGTATTGGGAAGGAAAAATCAATAAGATCATCTGTTTGTTCGAAAAAGACACCAAAACATGTGACCGAGCATCAGGAACCCACATCCTGACGCAGGAAACTGTACAATATAAAGTCCTCGGAGGCAAAATCCAACTAGTAAAGCTGCTTTATCGTCCAAAACAAACAAATCTGAATTTATTTGTGGAGCACTTAATATTAGCCGGAGAGGGATTATCACACGAGAGCTGTCTGGGGTTGTGAACAAGGATTAAGAGCTGTGGATGTAGATCACTTCCATGTAGCGCAAAACACAAACAAGGCCGTTCAAGTACACAAGGAGGGCTGATTGATTCTGAATAAGTTTGAAGGGGAATAAAAAAAAAACTACAACTCAGCAGGATTAGAGAAACATCCTGGGTAGGCGATGTAAAAGCCAGATCACATTTTCCTCTCTCTCTCTCTTTGAAAGCACACTCCGCCGTGGCACTCTGACATTTTTAAGATGAGGAGAAAGATAAGGAGCAGATTAGACGCAAGAGCCTCCCCCAAGGAGATTACTTATTGTGTCCTTGTGCTGGAGGTAAAAGGACTGGGGTGAGTGAAAGCTTGAGTCTGCTCCTCGCTTCGAAAAACTGTCACACACAGAATTTGTTGCACGTCCGAGCTGCATTTATTCGACTCATAAATTAGAGATGGAGAAGATTAAAGAGAGGAGGAGAAATGTGCAGATAAAACGCCGACATACATCCTGCAGCTATAAACTAACCGTTAATGAAAACAGATCATTGTTTTAAAGCAGGCGAGGGTTTGAAAGCTGTAAAGCTAAAACTGAGGTTGTTAGATTGATGATGAATCGCTTCAGGTGTGTTCGACATTTTGCATAAATATGAGAGATTTTGATGGATTAACTTGCCAGATTCAACCAGCTGCAGTTGTTATAATCGGGGCGGCGAGTGAGCTCAGAGGCTGGCGTTGTACCAGTTTGAATATTCAGTCCACATCACAGGTAAAAAAAAGACATTACAGTCAATTATAACTCTGAAGCAGACACAAGGTAATAGCTAAGGCTTGGACGATATGCTTTTCTCCCGATTCGATTCTTCCACGATTATTTTGGATGCCAATTCGATTTAAATTGCGATTCTACAAAAATTGTTGATTTTCCAGATTTTTAGTCTGCATTTTTATCACCAGTGAAATAGTTGAATGATTAGGATTGTCTACTGACTATTCCAGGAACCATATTTTCCCCAAAAATATATATCACGTCTAAGTCAGTTTTAAGATTTATTCTTAAATTCAAAGAAAAAATGTGAAAAGATATTTTCTCCCACCTCTAGTAATAGGTAATGTAAACTCATAATTAACCTGTTTTTCTGTTGCAAAATGTTGAATAATTAAGTGGCAATTTTAGCCAGAAAGTGGCTGAATGCTAACATTAGCCATTAGCCAACTTAGCAAGTAAGTTATTATATATGATGATCTTAAAGGCAGCACAATACACCCCTGTTGTTCCAGCTGCTAACCAGGTCCTGGCTTACCGTAGCTAGCTAACAATTTCGCTAATACGATTAAAAAGTAAAGCAGGTTAAAAGACTAGACGTAAACAAAGCTAGCGAAGTTAACTCAACGCTAGTTTAGGTTTTGAATGTTAATATTAGCTGCTAATACTACTGAGTTGTCATGTTGTTCATTCGTGAACAGTAGCCCCGCCTCCTTCATGATTTTCTTGATTGATTGTTACGCTGATTTGCTTAACTACTTCCCACCCCCTGTTGTTTCAGCTTAACCAGGTCCTAGCTTACCATAGCTAGCTAACAATTTTGTAAAATAGGGATGAAGCTCTTTCCTTTGATATCAGCTAATATGATTAAAAAGCAATTCTGGTTTAAAGGTTAGATGTAAACAAAGCTAGCTAAGTTAACTCATTGCTAGTTTTGGTTCGAATACTAATATTAGCAGCTATTATATCAGCACCACCTCCTTCAGCATTTTTCCTGATTGATCGTTAGCTGTAAGTCCTGAACATAGTGATTGGCCAACTACTTTACAAATTCATTAAGCAACAGTATCAAGTGGTCTACTTAAATATATTGAAGCATAATTCAAGTACTTATTAGTCTCTGTTACGCAAAAGCTTACTGATAGGAGTTTACCTGCTGACTGTTAGCTCATAAAGTGACTAAACATTTGTCTAATTTAGTGGAAATGATTTAAAATGTAATGTAAAACTTTATTTCAGACCCAGTTTGTCCATATGATACAGAAAACAATACAAAAGATACAAAAAAGGATCAAATATTTGTACTATTTATGACTGGATGTCTCTCATAATTTTGTCTGTTTTAAATTTCTGCGACCCTTCACTGAGTTCTTCACTAACTTTAATCAGGCCAATATCATCGTGAACTTCAGTTCATCTTTTCCCTTTCTCGTGATTTTTTTAATTGATTATTTCAGCTGCAAATCATCAGAGTCTTTGCAAACAGCTGGCTAAATATCATTATCATTAAAGTGGAATTTACTCCTTTCTAATTAATGGTGGACAAACTATTAGGAGAGGGGCAATGATCCAGGTTTGAAGGGGCTGAATCCCCTCTTTTGTACCCTATAAGTGGACCCAATCTTCTTTGCAGTCGAGGTTTTGAGTCGTGCTCTGACCTAGAAAGAGTGTCCAGGGAAACGCTGCAAACTCTCCCTGAAAGCATCTTGGGAGAACAGCAATCAAAGATGGATAAAATCTCAGTGTTCGTATTTTGGCAGAGCCGAGAGGGACTGAAAGATACCTGAGCTGAGCTGGAAGCAGCGTCTCCAAAAATCTGGGACAGCCATTTGCATTTCTATCGCAGAGGGAAATGACAATGTGAATGTATAATTTCAAACCAGTATAATCTAATGTCCTGGCATCTGCAGGATTTGGAAATCCCTCAATGATGTGGGTTTGTTGATTGATCTGGACATGTGCGTGGGATTTTCCTCTAACTACGTCAAAGGCTGCTTTCATGTTTTGTTTTTATTCATATTTTATGCGAATTTTGTGATTCTCAGAGGTCGACCGCTGCACTGCACCACCCGCCAGGCTGGGGGGTGTCCCGCTCAGCAGCATCTCTCCTAATTTCTGTCCTCCAATAAAGCTGATTATGCCCTCTGCCTGTCAAAGCGAGAGGTTTTACTTTACCTCCTCGTCATCACACTTCAGTGAAACAAGTTTGCCCTTTTTGTCTGCCACAAAAAATTAAAGTTCGGGATAAAACGGATGCGCCATCTCGCAGCGATTTTTCACTGACAAATTATTTCTGGATTATTTATGAAAGTGGAAGCTGGCTCAAATTACTCACTTGGAGTTTTCCAGGATTTTATCATCTATATATCACCTCCAGAGCTGATTTGACTGAGTAATGGCTTATTTTAGCTCCTTTGTAGGCTTCATGTGAATATGAAGCTCGGTGCTTTGTCTTTATTCTCGATAGTTTGAGGCAGAGAGAGACTTTTAAAGGTTAAGGTGTTTAAGCAGGAAAGTCTCAGATTTCCATCACAGTGCTTGTCTTCATCACCAGGATACTTCTTCATCTTTTAATCTGAGTTTTCTCTTAATTAGTTTGGCTGATTTATGTCAGAGCAACGACCGATCAAGTTATAACATTTATCTTAAAGTGGGTCATTATAGAGTAGATGCAAAATAACTGTAGCATAGTGGTTCCCAGCACAGTAAATGTGACACAGGAGGGACGATTAGATTAACAGCCTGCAGGTTTTTAACCAGCTGGTCCATCAGGGTGTTTACATGATGTTGGAAATATCTATCTACTGCATCAGTCCAGCTGAAACTGGACCAAACTGACCCATATGGTGAAAGCAGCAAAAATGATTCTGGTTTCTAACACAAGTTTATCCGCCTCTGCTTTGTTTTATCATCGAGATAAAACCTTATTGATATTTGTGTGTTTATTTACATGAAACACAGCAGAGTGATTCGCTGATATTTATATAATCATTGATTTATCGTACATTTTTAGTTTGTAAACAGGACCAGAGAAAACTCAAGGTGACTTGTTTGCAGAGAGCTGACACCTAACGTCAGGCTGATACTGCGTCTACAAAGAGTCTGATGTAGATTATAAATCCACAGAAGCAGGTTTTTACAAGACAGTCTGTCTGCAGACCTCCACTGTCAGGACCCACCGTCACTGAGCGGACTGGAAGTTTATTTGAAGCCTTTCAAAATAAAACAAAATTAAAGCAAATATACAGAGAGTACTTATTATTATTGTTTTATTACATTACAAGTTGATTTGAAGTACTTGAAAATACAAGCAAATATGTTGGGAGTAGTTTTTTATTTTTTATTTTTTTTTATTTTTTTAACTTTGAAGTTGATTCGAAGCCTTTCAAAGTAAAAGCATATTTACAGGAAGTACTTTTTTTTTACGTCGGAAGTTCATATGAAGCCTTTTAAAATAAAAAGCAAATATACTGGGAGTATGTATTTTTGTATTTTTGTATTTTTTCAATTATTATTATTATTATTATTTTTTTTTTTTACATTGAAAATTGATTCCAAGCCTTTCAAATTAAAAGCAAATAAACTGGGATTTTTTTTTTTTTTTTAAGTTAGAAGTTGATTTAAAGCCTTTTGAAATAAAAGCAAATATACCGGGAGTACATTTTTTTTTGTAGGAAGTTCATTCGCACCTTTTTTAAATTAAAAGTGATTAGGCGAGGAAGTACTGATTTATTGTCTGGTGTGAATATATTTTAATTCTTGGGGCTTTATTTTATGTATATATAATGTTAATATGATTTTTTTGTGTGTGTATTCATGTGTTCAACAAAAAGAAAATACAAAACCGGATGACTGCTTCGAACGAACCGGAGCGTGCGAAAAAAAAACGTCACCTCGGGTTCTGACAGTAGAGGTCTGCAGCCAGACCCCCGTCAGTTTTTATAGATAAGAGTAAACCTATTAAACCTGAAAGGAACCAACTCCCACATACTGGCAAAAACAGATGGAGCAAGTTAGAATAAAACCGTGTAATATGCATAAAACTGAAGCTTTATACTCTCTTTGGATGCATTTATTAATTTTATATTAATAGGACTAAAATATCCCAGGAGCTTAAAAGTCAAAAATATTATTGGAGGTAACTTTTCACCAAACGCCGGTGGGAAAGAGTTGTTAAACGATCTTTTGCTGCTTTCTGTATCCGTCACTGTCTAATTTTCTGTTTTAGCGGTGTGCTGTAAATCCGAGTTTCTGACACCGACCCTGCAGCAGTATCCGAGTCTTTAAGCTGATGCTCTGGTTTGCTTTAGTAGATCATATTAATGTCAGTCTGTTTCATAACCAGATAAGAACTCCTCAAAGGAGCTTTAATATTTAATAGGAAGTGTATTTTAAATCGCTTGAACTTCGAACGTTTAAATCTGAACCTGGAACTTTTTATTCTGCATCAGGAGAGTCAGCTGCAGGTTCCTCTAATAGTTTGTGTCCCGTACAAAGAGGATTGTAGTGACTGTCTGGTTTCTGTCTGTTGTAGTGTCGCAAATATTGTACTGTTTCGTCTCCGGGGAGGAGATTTACCACGAGTGCCTCTAATAAGTGTTAATCCACTTATGTCAGTCAGCTAAAGATCCTCAGGTTACTGCAGCAGAACAAACAGCTTCATGCAGCCTTTCAGAGGTAGATTCACTCCACTGCTTTCTGCTAATCCCTCCTTTTAAATGTGACTTCTCTATTCCTCCCATATCTACATTCACCTCCATTGCCAAACCTCTCCTGTGTTTCTGACTTCCCCTCGGCTTCAGTCTCACCCGAGCAGCATGACTGACTCTCCATTTTATTTGTTTTTCAGATATTTTACTCCCCTCTACTTTTCCCTTATTTACCAGGCTGTGCCCTTTTCTGTAGCACAAGCATGTAAAATGACACCGGGGTGACCTTTTCCTCTGCAAAACCAGCCAAGACAAAGAAGACATTTTTTATGCTCACAATGGTTCCCCCTCCCATCTCCAGCGTCATCCTCATCCTCATTCAGGAGGACAGTTCTCCGCCCTCGGACTTGCTACATCAGTCAGTTTTATGCGGAGGAAGTGCAGACCTCATCTCATGCTCCTATTGATCCATGTCACATGTTTTCTCCAGGTGTATGAGAACTTTCCTGCCGCATCAGATCCTCAACTTAATGACCGTATAGGAGCATGAGAGAAGTCCTGGAGGGGCAGAAAGAAGCTGAGCGGTGATTTGAAGCCCTTGACATTGGCTTCCATGACTTTGACCGTATGTATTCAGGACCCTCGGGTGCTCAACTCCAGCCCCAGAGTCCAGTCATGACCCTCATTATTCTGCGCCGCACTGGGGTCCTCTCCCTCTCTCATCTCCTGTATAATTTATATATTAGCTCCAGACCCTGCTGCTGCAGTCCTTCACGTTTGTACCCAGAAAACCCCGAGTGTTCGCTCCGACACTGACCTCCCACAGCAGACCGCACACTCAATAGAAAAAAAATCTTTATCTGTTTATTTTTACGGCACTTTTCTCGACAATTTGACAAAGTGGTTCGCTAAAAAAAGATAAGAACGACCAGACGAGGCTGATAAAGTGAAAGCTTAGAGGAGGAAGTGAAGGTTATAAAACTCGATAGGATCAAGCTGAAAAATGTCAAATATTTCTTCGAGGTTTTACGGAGAAAAGTTTGAGGAAGAAAGACCAAAACTGAGACGCTGTCCTGGACTCAAATTGGTCCGTTGTGGAGATTTTAGCAGCTAAACTTCAATCGTCCTTCAGACCTGATCTGTGACATTTACAGGAGCTCATCCAAACTCAGATTCTCACCTCTCCTCCAGAATCATCACGGCTAGACAAAGCGATGGATCATTTAATTAAAAACGGTGAATAAAAGGATGAAGGATAGAGGACAAAGGTCACATTAAGAAAATAAAGATTGAAAATTAAGTCATAAATTCATGAGGATAAAGTTGCAAGAGGAGTAGCGGTAAATTTGCAGCAATAAGGACATGAATAAAATCCTAAAATTATAAGTTGTACTTTTAAAGTTGAAATTTTTCAAAATAAAATGGTTATTTTACATGAAGAGCTCTAATTACAGGCTAAGGTTAATCTGTCTAGGGTTGAGGATATGAGGATCAGCTCATGAAGTTAATATTAAGAGCAGAGGACAAATAGTAATTGTTAAAATGTGAACAGGCCGGATAATAACCTGTTCTTCTTTATAACAAACTCACTTTCTCACACAGTCGATTGAAAATCCTGATTCTGAGAATCTTGGAGCTTTTTTGTATGAAGCTCATCGGCTTAAGAGTCAAACTTCCCAAATTGCTCAAACTGATAAAACTTCTCAGATGTGTTCAAGCAGCTGTCAACAACTTGAGTCATGTAAGTTTAAAAATTGACTCTCGTGAATTTTAAGTTTGTTCTCATAAATTTACGAAGTTAAACCCAGAATCTCTTTAAATTTCAGCAAAGCCTACAACCACATCATTATCATCTTCTTTATTTGTATTAAATGTTTAAACCATGATATTTCTTAGTTATTCAGTGTCAGTTTTATTCGCCTTGTCCTTAAAACGGGGCTCGAGGTATGTTATAATCACAACGAATTGCAGTTAATTGAAACGAATGTTGACAGATAAGTTACTATAGGTAAAGAGTAAAACAAGATTGTAAATCCAGTTCATCACATTGGCAGAATTGAATTCCCTTGAGCTTCCTTGGGATTGGTTCTCAAAGATTCAATTGACACTCTGTAATGTCATTGACAAAAAATGGCTGCCCAGCTTCAGTGGACTACCCAACCCAACATTTATTTACTTATTTATTTTTAACAAATTTTATTGACATTTTAAACATTACAATAAATTATGGTGACATATGATGCTTTAACAATAAACCTGTAAAAAAAAAAACATATATATATATATATATATATATATATATGTATGGTCACTGAAACAGGAGAAGTTTCAAAGTCTGAAATTAACGTGGTGGAGGGGTGTGCGTGTCTCATTGATCCCAGGAGCTAAGTTGTCGGGGGGCTTATTGCCTCTGTTAGGGTCACCTATGACAAACAGGTTTTGGGGGAGGCATCAGACTAAGGGTAGTCCAAATAGAAACCTAATGAATGTTTCCCTCACCAGTACACGGGTCACCAGGGCCTCCCCTGGAGCAATTAATTATTTGCATAATTCCGTTCTGTAGATGTTTTTTTTTTTTTTTTTTTCAAATGTAAACAACTTCATTTACAACATATCACAAACATTACAGTATTGAAACGGGGCTCGAGGTATGTTATAATCACAACGAATTGTCGGATTAACTCAGTAAATCAGTCTTTCGAACAACATGCAAACAAAGTGACTGTGTTTGACGCCAACCCAACTATCTAGTACTACAAGCATGAAAAACAACTCTATAGAAACGATCAATTATTCTCTGTTGACGGCCTCTTTAGTAGGTTTAATAATCAATATTTTCAAACTTATTTTATCTGGTACTAGATATTAAATCAAGTGTATCATGACGCTTCAAAAGCTCATGTCTTCCACGTCTTGCTGACAGGCTGGTTACTCTGGGATCTGGATTTGCTGTTTTACCTTCAGGACGTTGTTTTCTGAGCTTTGTTGAATGAGTAAAGTCGTGGTTTCTGTTTGAGTCAACCCTTTTTTTTCCCCTTTCTTCAGAAACTCTCAGAGCTTTAAGATGAACGAGCTAATCAGCCGCCTGTTCCCGACGCTGATTGCTTCATTTTTATTGGCATACAGCTTTATTGTGTTGGTTCATATCCACTTTGACTTCAGCAGCGTCTAGAAGTTTTTCTGGCAAAAACACATCATGATTTCTGGGTCTACATAACAGTATATCACTGTTAATCGTTGCGGTTTAATAGATGAGTCAAAAAGTTTTGCGGTTTCAAAGTCTTTCCAGCAAATTTGGAGTAAAACCGTCTGCGCTTAAATCTCCTGGTACGACAAGAACAGTCAATCCATGTCCACCTGAAACTCAGCGGCCTTTTGTTTAAGAGGTTTAAAGTTACTGTTAAATCCATCACTCCTTGCTTTTTCTTCGATCCGTCCATAAAAGATAACTCATGTTTGGGACAGCAGTTTTTACCTGACTCATACACGTCGTCTTCAGCTCCATCCTCGCTTTGTTACGCTAACCCTCATCAGCAGTCTACCTTTAGCTGAGGCATCACAATCTCTCCACTTTCACCCATCAATGCTCCATCAAGAGCCCGTCCAGCCGCTGTCAGCCAATTGTCATGCTATTTGCTTCTTATAAACCAATCTGTCATGCACGGTTAATGTTTAAAGGATATTGTTGTGTGTGCTGTTTGCTGCGGCGGCATCACGGGGGAACATGAATGATGTGAAGCGACTTCAGGACCGCTGGATTACGAGTGCATCAGTTTCTTTGATGCCAGACTTTCTCTGGAGTTTATTCAGCTTGATTTGATTTTCATTTTGAAGAAAGAAAAAATCAAAGTACAGTGCTGCAAGTCGAAATCAAAATAAGCCTCTTAGTGGGCTGTGCAGAAAGCTGAGAAAACGGTGGTGTTGAAATCCTTCACCTGATCCAGTGTTTTTATCAGAGCGACAACTCTTTGATGATGAAGTTTTTACTGGTTTAACCTTCGACACCAGGGAGTTATTCCATTAACACGAGTTACTCATCCGCAGGAATTGAAAATATCCGTATAAACTCTGTAAATGCATCCAAACGTGACATTAAACCTCCTTCAAACTGAACAGAAAACACAGAGGTTGTCTAACCTCCCGATCGAGGAGATTCGCCATTGCATTCGCTTGGACTTGGAGAGGAACAGTTCTAGACCTCATTAGTTATTTCTGTCAAAGTTGAGACGACGGCTCTTAAAAATGAGAAACTAGTTTTTTAATTCTTATTAATTTTTGTTCTAAAGAAGGATGAAGATTAGTCTCAGAAATGTAGGTGTACAGAAATAATCCGCGGTAGGGGTGTCCTGATACAACTGTTTTACTTCCGATATGATACCGATATTGTAGCTTTTCGTATCAGCGGATACCGATATTGATCCAATATTGGCACAAACTTGTGCATGACAAATTTTGCACTCTGCTGCAACGTTTTTTTCGGACTTTAATGAAAAAAAAATACTGCCACACTGCCGACATCACTCTTACTCCTTGCGACTTTGTTTGTACGTTAGTACACACTTTAGTTGTGATCATGTTGATCCAGGCACTGCTAGCTAGAGGTGCCGGAGCGGAGTCTGGAATGGACTGCTTGTTTCAGAGTGCTGATATCGGAGATTTAAGATGCAGGCCGATATCGGACCAATATCAGATTTCGTTACTGTATCAGAACAACCCTAGTCCATGGCTTGGATCAAACTGGCGTTGTAGACTTGGCGTCCTTGTTGAAAATGCAAAATCGTGCTTTTGAATTATCGTGATCCTGTGGTTGGAAAAATCATGATCCATGGATCACATTGGTTCTAGGTTCAAATCCCAGCCTTGTCTTTCCCTTGTCCTGGACTCTGACCGTGCTTTTGAATTACAATAATGTGCGAGACATGAAATTAACTTAAAGAAAAAAGCTTTGACCGGACAGGTGCATGAAGAGTCTGGATCCTACTCCTGACCATGTCTCGACCATGCTTTTGGATTAACTCAGTTTGTTGTGATCTGGACGCTTTGTTTTGAAGACCAGGAGTGTAGTGGTTTAGACTTCTGCCTTAATACTCCGGGTTATATCGTGGAGACTTTCAAACTGAGGAATGAAATAATCACTTTAGGACTAAATTAATCTGGTAAATGAAAACACAACTGAATATATTTAATAGACAAATACTGTAAAACATGGAGGATTAAAAACTTTCATTTTGTGCTTTTGAACGACCATAATAATCCGGTGAAATGAAAAGACTCGTCAAAGGTTGTTTGAGGTGAGAAAGCGAAGCGGACTAACCCTTAAGCCAAAGGCTGAAAGTGGAGCAGAGCTCGGTGCAATGTGGGTCAATATCTGTGTATTCAAACCGTGCATGGTGTCCATGTAACCATGGCAACCGGCGTGTTGTAGTCTCTCACTCTCATGAAGACTGGCCTTTGTTTCTTTGGTGCAAGGACAACAGGATGCTTCAGCTGCTGCTTGTACTTGACACTGTCTTGTTAGAGACGCAGAGAAAAAAGAAAGACTCCATCCTTGTTATGTGACAAAATCGGATGGGTATCTGTTTTCTGTTATGGCTGTTTTCTTCTTCTTTTAAATCCTCTTTTTGGAGTATATTATCACAAACTCACGTCATGTTGTCCAGACTGCCTCTAAACTGAGTCTCTTAGACCAATTGACAAAACAAACCGAGTCTTTACATGGAAATGTTGATTTTGTTCATTTTTGTCATTTTTTCTGCACCGGTGTTACAGGTATACAGGTGTTTCTGTTCGCTAAAGCATGTCTGATATGAAACATCACGTGTACTCCTCCTGTGCATCACTTCTTCACTTTACATCCTTGGCTTTTAGACGCTCACAGATCCTCACACCTGCCTCCTCTTGCTCCTCTCCGTATCATCCAGTCTTGATTATCTAATTTTCATGACTGTAATTTGCCTCACTTTTGGGCTCAGTCTCCTGTGGACACTTTAGGAACTGCACTTTTTGGCTCTTAACTCATTCAGTTACAGGTTCATTTATGCAGTTTTCACCCAGTGCCAATAGAAATGTCTGTATCTTTCAGGACCCACAGAATATCTTGTGCTTTGACTAGAATTAAGTGCAATATCTCAAAAGAAAGAGGTGATTCTCTTCTTTCACCAGGACAAAGAGTTAGTCTCTAACCAACTCCTTTTTTAGTTATTGTCTGATCAATGCAGCGTGGTCATATCATCTTTACCGATCTGGAAAAAAGAAACCTGGAAAAACATGTTTTTACAAAGTAGAGACTTTCAAGCAGAACTCTGATCGTCTTTGATTCATTTCACTTCAAACTACTTTACCGGTGGCATCAAGGTCCTTCCTCCTCGGACACCACTCAGATCTGATTGTGATAGGTCACTTTGTGATAGGTTACTTTGCAAGGCTGGAAGTCGTTTTGGCTCCCAAGAACCTGATGCCGGACGTAAACCACACGGACTGCTCGCTGAATTCCAATCCGGCTCAGTCTCGCTCACCAGTACTGGCCCCAGCGGCACAACGACACACCGGAAAATCATTTCTTTGATTGTCTGCTGACGACGTGAAGATCCGGTACTGGGATCTCCACTGGATCCAGAGACGGTAGCAGGGCCCCACCGGAGCCGACGCGCCGAGACCGTTAGCTCTTGGCTAATGACTTTGACATTTTCCTACTCTTCTCATAGAGAATAAACACTCCACAACTAGGCTAACTGGCACGCTTGATGTCACACTTCTCACTGATGTATTTGTCGGCTTTTCTGCGTTCATAACGACCCCAAACTTAGTCGCATGTTGGAGTGGAGCGCCCTCTAGTGGAAAACAAAAAATGGAAAAATCCGTCAAAATCCATCATTGTCACTGAATGAGTTAAGAATCGACTCCTACAGAGTTCGCCGCTTGGTTTGGAATCATCTTCTACATGTGGACCTCACTGATATCATGTTGTATCTCCTGCAGCCGCTGAACACCTTTAAAACTCTAAACAACACCACAATGTTAAAGAAACACGCTCTCCTGCGAGGTTGAGTCCCTAATGTCTCTCAGTAACTTCCAGGATGAAAAATGAATCAAGGACAGGAGTTTTAAAACATTCTGCAGGAGTATCTCTCTGCGATACATAATGCATCAGCTGGTGTAACAGTTAGCAGAGAGAACCTCTCCCTCCCTGATAGATACGAGCTGTTCTCCTCACCCCGGACACACTTTCTAGGATCACAATTTCGCACGCTTGCCTGCTGCACCATTTCCTACATGTGTGCAGCAATTCAGACGTAATTAATTTCTGTTTATTTTCTGGGCGCAGCTCTGTAAATTGATTTCATGGTCGCTCTTGCATTCAAAGCTTCTGGTCAGGAAAGCATCCTCTGCGGACCAAAGTGCCTGTTGAGGAACTGATGCTAATCTAGATAGAGGGAAGACTAGAAGGAGGAGGAGGTGGGGGTTGCACTTTTTTCTCCCCTCTCTCCCTCCTCCTCCTCCTTTTCTTTCTTCTTCTCTCTCTCTGTTCAAGATTGTACTGATTGTGCTGCAATATGTCGCATGACCGCGGCCACAACTGCAGCCCGAGGTGCAATTTCTCTGCTTATTAAATCAATGGTGTGTGGCTCTTGAAGCAGCGCTTGTGTTCGTCGCAGCCGGCTCTCCTCTCTTGACACAGAACAAAGCACACAGCTCTTGCATGTGTTACTCATCAAAAAAAAAGAGAAGAAGAAGAAAAAAAATCCTCTTTTGATCCAACATGAAGCATTTGCCTAATTTCACATTATGTAAAAACGAAGGGAACAACTCTTTGAATGTGTAATAGAGAGAGAAGCTTTGATATGCATGAGGAGAGGATCCCCTCATCTTTATTCATGCTCACAAACTTATGCATGTTGTCTTTCTTTTGCTGCATTGCCCGTGTTTTCCGTAAATATTCCCTCCTGCAGGTTTTCTTTTCCACTTTTTTTCCGGAAGTTTAAGCACAGCTAAAGGTTGAAGCGAGAGAGAGAGAGAGAGAGAGAGAGCCCGCTGAGCCTGTTTGACTGTCGGCTGGGGCGGCTGAGCTGAGTGAGGGATCTGCCCCTAGACATTTGCTCTACAGTATCCTGCTGACTTGCTCGCTCGCTCGCACTGCCATAGAAACAGGGTTCCTGAGTGCGGTGGAGGCTCATTCTGCTCAGGAGCAAGCCAGGGAGAGGATCGAGAAGGAGGAGGAGGAGGAGGAGAGAAAGAAAGAGAGAGAGGAAAAAAGGAGACACAGAGGGAGGGAGAAGTGAGGGGATCAAGAGAGGAAAAGTGAGAGGCGCTGTCACTGTCACCGGTGAGTACACGTCTTGTCACAGCAGATCGAATCAGCTGCTTTGACTCTCTTTTCCTCTTCTTTGTTGGTTTTTGATGCTCGATTTCTCTGGTAGCAGGTTGTCAGTTTGTTGTGGGATGTGTGAGGATGAGACACACGCTGCTGCTGCTGCTGCGCCTCAGACGCTTTCTGATTCCTTTAATCGCTCATTAATCCTGTTGTAACCTCTCTGTTTGCAATCATTGACTAACAGGCGGTATTTACTTCTGCATAATGCACGCCGACTCCAAAAACTATCTCCTGCTCTTCTTTGGCAGCCTCCCTGACTATATCATCATACTCTTGTCTATCATTCATGAAGCAGCATGTTAATATTTGATTAGAGTGGATGTCTGCAGCTGCACTTTCCTCCTCTATCTCACACACCTCTGCCCATTATTACTCGGGGTAAAATTGGAGAGATATTGACTCGTCCTTTCTGCAGCTTTTTATCAATTATTGAACAAGTGAACTAATCATCTCTGAGAGCTCCTCCACCTGTTTGGCAAAGGTGAAACACTAGCGTAAAATGTTAAGTCGGGTCACTGCTGTGTGTTTTCCGTCTGCTCCTGTTTGTGTCACTTTTTTTCTGTCCCTCGCCGCGTCCCTCTTTTTGATCAACGTGCATCATGACACTTTGATGAAGTGCCAGAGCTGCGGGGCTAATAGGAGGGGAGATACAGCAGGATACCCCTGCGCCTCATGTCAGCTCGTTGTCTTCCACGTTGTCACTCGGGATTATAAGTCCCCTCAGATGTGATGATAAGCGCCGACTCCTGCCTCGAATTTCACTCACTAGAGGAAAAGTACAACCTGTTATGTGGAGCCGTGTTAATCCTGCTTCTGTTTATGTTTATCTCTGCGGTTCACTCCGATCCCCAGCGTCCCTTCACCTGTTCCTACTGTGCAGTTTTTCCTTTTTTTTCCTCCTCCCCCTCCGGCAGAAGCAGCAGCAGCAGCAGCAGCAGCTTTGAGAGAAGGCTGAATTAAACAAATCCAACCAGGCTTATCAGTTTTCAGCTGGCTCCTGCCATGACTGGACCCCGGTGGCCCTTCCTGGCAGGCTTCATTGTGTGTGTGTTTGCAGATTGTGACCCCGTGCATGCATGTGTGTGTGCGTGTGTGCAGCAGTGACATGATTGTGTGTGATCTGGGCTCAGCCGCGGGGGTCGTTTGCTTTCCTCTGTGAGTAGATTCAGGGATTCTGGCATTTCTCTTCCCTCCTCTCTCTCCTGTGACATGTTTTATGACTTCTTGTTAAAATGTCACTCACTAAGGCTGGACTGTAAAGCGTCCCTCTGCGGGGAGCTTAGCGTGTGAACAATAGCGCATGGAGGTGTGATAAACCCGGTAAAGCACACAGCTGGGAATGCACGGCTGCAGGATGGGCGAGATAAGGCCCGGCTCTCTCTGACGGCCCCCACCAGGAGCAATTTGTTTCAATACAGAATAAAATTGGAGCGGATTTTTGCCGCCTCGGGGTTGTAGATCAATACCCGGGGCCTGGCTTCCCACAAGAGGAAACAATATTGCTTTTGTAAACAAGAGGATGTGCCACACTGACAATGATTGCACTTGTTCAGCGGAAGCAGAAGAAGCTAATGTTAAATAAAGCACCTGAGAGGAGGAGGAGAGGATAATCCCGCGTTCACGAGCCGGCCTAATGTTGCATCCCTCCTTTGTCAGAGTGAGGGAAAGCTCTGCAGGGCAGGAACTGCGACTGAAATGCAAATGGCAGTTCAGCAAGTGGGGATTTGCTCTAATAGCTGGTTCCATTTTGGATCTGTTTCCAGGTTGCTGTAATACCTGGATTTGTTCGGCTCGGAGGCAAATGAATCCCTGATCGAATCTTGTCTTCACCATGATAATCTGGCGTGGCTGCAACAGGCAGAAAATACTGAAGAACATGCTAATTCAGCAAAACAAGTCTGAAGAAGTTACACTGAAATCTCTACATCTCTTCCTGTGTTTCCTCTAAATGATAAAACACATTAGCTAAATGTCCTCCTTTTCCTTTCTGCAGTTGTGGCACATTCTCTCGATGAGGAGCAAAAAGCCATTTTCCCCTCCAGCTAGAAGAAAAATGAGCCAGGACAGGGTTAATGAACATCACAGAGCTGTGAGAAAACCTGTGCTGGAAACTTCACACCCTTTTAGGTATCACACTGAGTGTGATTCGAAAAAAGCTGCAAAGGAAGAGTCTGTGTTTTCCTTTTTTTTCACTCCTGGTGTCACCAATGATCATTTTCATTCTTTCCTTTTATTCTTTTTCCGATTAATCATCCCTTCATTTGTGAGAAAAAGTGTCCTCAGGGAAACCCAAGCATTGTCAGTCAACTCTAAATGAAATGTGAATATATGTGAAGGTATAAAAAAGAAGCCTTAAAGAAAAGTTCCCCGAAATAAAATGAAGCTGAGAGTCCAAAATCACCTCCTGTTCACTTCATGGTGCATCACAGTCACAGTATTGGATAAAAATTGAGGTTTTGAGGTTTTTAAAGAAAAGAAAGTTAAAATAAAGGTCAAGTATATCTGCACACAGCTTGGTTAATAACCTTCCTTGCATCCCAGCCTTCTCTTCCTACTTCCTCTAAAACCGCTTTGCAACCCAACTCCTCCTTTTCTGCACCGTCTGATCCTAAAGGTCTCATAGGCGACGCTAAGACAGAAGAACTACCGCGTCTGCAGTGCAAAATGATTAATATGATGATTATTACTTTAAAGAAATGATAAAGAGATGATCATAAATGTTCTTCCTTGAGCTGCGACACCCCACTGTAGTCCGTAATGGACTGGCCCGAGGTCTCGCTAAAAACAAGTGGCTGCTGGAAGAGAGTAGGTGAGTTGTGTTTAGTCTCTTTGCTAAAGAAATTTGGCAAACATAAAAAGATGTTTGGTGGCTAGTACTATGTCTGTGACCCTATATGTCCTGTTGATGAGCAAGAGGCTCTAAGTATTGCTATCCTGCGGTTGTTACTAAAGTTGGTATAACTAGAGAAGCAAACAGTCGGCAAAATTCATCTCTCGAGGGGGTGTCTAACTAATTAATTTTAATTTTAAATTAATTTTACGCTGGAATATCCCTTTAATGTATGCATGTGAAACAGAGGGGCAGTGTGGGAGCATAAACATCTTCATGCTTGTAAATTTACAGCTTCAATCATGTAAATTAGCATGTTTGTTCAGTATTGTTCTCATAATATAACAACTTTATTCTTGTAAATTTACGACCATATTCTTTTCATTCCTCCATGTTTCCCCAATCTTCTGTCGTAATTTGGTGCTGGCCAATCTACACCTTGGACCAGCCACTAGTCTATAAAGGGTCTGACAGATAGAGACAAACAAACAGCCAATCGTGCACACACTCGCACCTGCAGGTGATTTAGAGCAACCAATTAAGCTAACGAGCGTTTTTTAGGACACCTGCATGAACAAGGAGACGCAACGCAAATAAAAGCCCATATCCAGGTATTGTGTCTGATTCTAGCTCACGTTGCAGCTGGATCCCAAACCTTCCTCCACAACCTCACAGTTGATGTTGAACACTGAGTTCTCATCCCAAACAAAAAACAGCGAAAATAAATAAAGCTCCAAAAACAGCCCGAAGGCTTGCTTTCACTCCGTTTTTGTCGGACACACAAAAGAGAGTTTAAATTTAGGCTCTTTCATTCTACAGCCCTAAAAGTCGATAAGATCAGTTCCTGTGTTGGAGGTTTCATCCCAACATGTCTTCAGAGGGAACAACTGCTTTCAATGGGGGTTTTATTTAGAAGCTGGACCAAGAGGAAAATACAGGAACTGGTTTAACGCTCTATTTTTTAAAAGTGTTTCCGCTGTTTTCAACAATAGCATCATCTAAATCCATGAGAGCTTCTGTGGTGCATAATCAATAATCATTTTTCATGATAAGGTGACTCAAGTCAGCAAACAAACTACAGAGAGGAGGAATGAGAGGATTCAGCATGCTGGTTTACGCCTTACTGAAGCCGATAACGCTCCCCCCATGATGAAACGATCTGTGAGCGCCATTTTTCTTGTTATCAGCTGAGCTATAATACATCATGAGGCGGCGGGTCTGCGTACACGAGGGTCCCAAATGTCAGACCCGAGTTGATTCAACAGATTCGCAGTGATGGATGCATCATTTCTTCGTGCTGACTTGTTGTTGGCTGCCATCAGTCAGGACCCGCAGGCCGAAGGTCAGGTCAGACTGAGGTCCCCGCGTCCTTAATCTGATGTGGTGGCGTTTTTTGTTTTTTTTTATGTATGAGGGCTTAATGAGGGAGATCTGATCTGTCCTTGAAAACTTAATGAGGGAAATTCAACATGGAGATAAATGATCACTTGTTAAAGGAGGAGTTCGCTTTTCTTGGAAATACATCTTTTTGCAGCTGCAGTTCCTGGAGTGTCCACTAGAGGCTGGCTGCAAAAGCCCTTGAACCCACATACACACCCATTCTGAAAAACTCATCTGTACAGCTGAAAATAAACAAAACAGAGGGTCTGTTTCCAAGAGAAGCTGTTATAGATATTTATAGATTTTGCGGTCTTTCTGTTGCACTTTTACACATCAAACATACTGATCTGCTTTTGTCCATAAATTCTTTAATATTTTTGGGAGCAAAATTCCCGTTTTTTAGTGTCCGAGGAGTCCTAAAAAATTTGAACTTAATCAGACTTAAGCCCAAGTTCAGTCACCATGTATGTTTGGTTTTATCCATATACACCTGTACATGATATAGCCAAGCTACTTATGAGCTGACACAGATTAAATTAGTAAAAAATAATCTTTTTGTCCAGGAAGATTGCTGCAACACACAGGTACTGACTATAACTGTCTTTGCATAAACGTCAAATATTGATATCCTGCCATAAATAAGCGAACAGTTATACCATGAGCTTAAAGCTAAGGTCGCCACATGTTTAAAACTGAGGGGAGATGAAGAAGAAGCAGCAGACTGCCTGTGAACTAGATTTGAAAACAAATTTTATTAAATCAAAATGTGATGTGTTAGAGTGTATGCCCCCCCAGGTTACTAATAAATTGAACGTATATACTCTCTAACCTTTCTTTTCACTGTTTTCATTCAGTTCTGTAACTTTCGAACCTATACTGAAAGTATCTTAAATTTCAAAATAAAAGCATCATTTAACATACTACAGTATATGCAAAAAAAAATTGAGATTAGAGCATGACCAACAATCGTTTTATGAAAGAAGTTTTCGGATAAATCATAAATCAAACAGAATTTGAAACAGGTGATGAAGCATACGTATACGTAGAAAAGTAGTTGAAAACTCTTTTCCGGTCTAAGTTTGATCAGTCGGTCTTCCTGTCGGCGTGAAAAGCAGTAGCCTACAGTATATCTACATTATAAAGTATACTGTAGATATCTACAGTATATATATTTTTACATGTATTTTATTATGACTTTATTCTCAATAGTAATTACTTTATTACAACTTTATTCTCTTAAGTATTAGTTTTATTACGACTTAATTTTCGTAAGCAATTACTTTATTACGACTTTATTCTTGTAATTACTTTATAACAACTTTTTTCTTTTAAGTAATTACTTTATTACAATTTTATTCTTTTAATTACTTTATTACAACTTTATTCTTGTAATTACATTGTTACAAGTTTATTATTGTAAGTAACTATGTCATGACGACTTTATTCTCATAAGTAATTACTTTATTAAGACTTTATTCTCACGATTGCTTTATTATGACTTTATTCTCGTTATTAATGATTTTATTACAACTTTACTCTTGTAAGTGATTACAAAGTCTTAATTTTTTTTCTTAATGTGACCCTAATACTCCATCGTACATACCTTATTTGTATTTATTAGTATAGTTTATGAACTGAGTTGTTTCAAATTTCAAGTTTTCCATAAATTCCATTTTAAATCAGGAAAATCATGAAGGCTGTAGTTTCTGTCAGGCTGTTTTTTTGGATCCCTCTGGGCTCACTCAGTCAGTCACTCAGTCTCTCAGTCAGTCAGTCAGTCAGTCAGTCAGTCAGTCAGTCAGTCAGTCAGTCAGTCAGTCTGCGTCCTCCTGTTTACACCTCCACCACCAACAACAACAACAGAGCGCACAAGCGTTTTGTAATTTCCCCGTTTATTACCTCGCTCTGTCTAAACAACTATTAAATATCCATTGCCCTCGTCACCTCTGGTAAACAATCAACATTTAAATAGGCTCTAAGAATGTGCCAAAACAATTTCCATTTCCATTATGGTTCTCCCACATATTCACCCTAAACCTAATCAGGGACATTAAAAAGCTATAGCATCCCCCGCAGCCCCCTACCCCTCATACACGCATGACAGAGTAGCTGCGAGTCATATTTATCCGTCATGATTAACAGCTCAATATTTCAGGGCAACGAGGCATTTTGAGTGGAGCGCAGGCTTTCATTGAGCAACGCCAGCCGTGTCTACCTTTGGCCTGTAATGGACGCCGCACATCCATTTAAAATCCCTGGTGATGAAAATTACTGGGTCTGAAAATGAGCCGATTTCCACAGGAGCCAGATTACATCCTGTTGGTTTTTAGTGGGATACCTTTGGAAATTAAAACAGGAAGCGTCGGCGTGATGGTGGAGGCGCTCCAACCTTGTAACGCTGTAAATCTCCAACCTTTATTATTTGAGAGTATCACGCCGTCCACCTGCTCCCTGGTCCCATGAGTTCTGATGTTATAGGAATTCTACCTCCACCTGGTTTATGATATTCTTTCCCTGCACATCTCATATAAAACAAATCATTGGACTTCATATTGGATATAATATTTATAGCTCTCTGAGGGTAAAATTCATTAGCTGCACAGAGAAAGGGTAACCGTGTGTGATGAGGCTCTGGAGGATGATGGATCAGGCGGGATGCAGGTGTACCACATGTCAGGCGTCTGGGGAACGGCATGTTACTGTTTCAGGCTCAGGCTGAACGAGAGCAATGATGAGGTGACTCAAGGTCAGGGGCTCATAACACCTGAACTATAGAGAGGGAGGGATCTCTGGATCATACCAAATATATTGCCTGAGGGGAGGTGAAGCGGAGGAGGTCAGGTGTAGCCCTGAATGATTTAATAATACAGGTGTGTGACAAGATCAAGCTGGATTTCAGTGGCGCTACAACTGGGGGGGCGTGTCCGGACTCTCAATCGAGTTGGACCGAGTATGTTGCACACAAACACATATCCAAGTAGCATTTTATCTTCAGCTTTTTGCAGCATCGTTAGTTCGAACCCGAGTCCTGCCTTTGTTTACAGATGTCCCGAAGCGACTAATTTGCTTGTGTTTGTTACATATGACTCCAGTTCTGTGTTTATATGCCGATTTAAAGCTCATATAAGGAGTTCTTTTACATTAATGAAACAGGCTCAAGTTTTGATGCATGAAACTGGTACAAAGAGGGTAGGTGTCAGCCTTGTCTTAAATTTTTGCATAAAAAGTCACAATAATTGATGCGTTTGACTGTAAAAAGTTAGCAAGACCACTTTAGCATGTAATGGACAAGATAAGCAAAGACTGGTTTGTCCACAGAGGGCGCCAAAATCAACACAGGAGCTTTAGCTAGACATAGCCTATATCAAACTGTTTTTCTATTTTCTAAATGAAAATACCACCAAATCACTGTTAAACAAGAAGGCATCTGTCATATGTGCTTGTTTACATCCAGGTAGTAGAGCATTATAGCATTGTGGCGGTATCCATGGACCAAATCTGTAGCCTGGCAACGAGAAAATGTCCCTGTGGAGCTCTGGGACCTGTTTTATTCTGACTGTTCTTCTATTTGACCTCCTCGTGTTGCAGGTTTGCGGCTTTAAAGCTCTTGAAACACACTTGTGGTTTGAGATAAAATTAAGGCCTGACGATGTGAAAATGTGTTCAGGGACCCTGTTTCTTTTTTGATGTTTTGAAGCGTAGCTACACAGAAGGTTCAAAGTGTTTCCAGACTGATCAAGTGGATAATTTTAGTTGACAGCTCTGACTCGGCTTTATTGGCCGCAAAGTAATCCCTTCCAGAAAATCAGCCTGAACAAGTGTGTGAACTTAAGATGCTGTTTGTTTCCACTCTCACACTCAGACTGTAATAGGAAGTGTCTGAAGACTGTTTTTGGAAATGATCTTTACGAATATAGACTTTTGTTTTATTCTTATTTTAGTGACTCTACCAAACAGAAAAACTGAAGTGAACAAACACCGTAATTTGTTTGAGACGAGTCGGTAGCATGCAGGAGACTCTGCTAAGTTTGCAGCTGCCCTTCAAAGATTTAAAAGTCAATTTCTCTCATCAAAGGTGTATCATGTCATACTTTCTTATCAGCTTGTCATTCAGAGCGACCTGGGTCCACATACTCGTACAGTATCAATCAATAAAGTGACCCCAACTGGTTAATCTCTCCGTGGCAGCATGTTCGACCACTCTGCAGGAAACTGGAGTTTGTATCCTGTCATCGAAGTGCGATCGATGTTGGCGTTGTTAATAATGTATCTCCTAAGCAGCCCTGTTAATCCAGTATACCCGATGGCGTCTTTAACTGAAGATGACTGAAGTCAAACATCTCTTGGAGTGGAGGAGGAAGATTAGAAATATGTAACTACCTTTTTTTTTAACGCCCTGAGCGTGGAGAAGATTTCCCAGTTGTCACATAGCCGAGGGTTTTTTATTTGGGTAAACAAGACAGCGTCCTCATGGGCGATAGTGCAGAGATGTGATCAGAAATATCGTAAAGCACTTCTGGAAATACAAGCCTCGAGGACAGCCTTAATTTTCTGTTTGGATTAATCATAGGTCTCAGTAAATTAGCTCCTTTGATTGAAGCTCCTATATGGAGGTTTTTGACATTAATGACAAAATAAGGGGGACCATCTGCAGCACGATTAACGGTTTGTTGGTGTTCGGATAAAATCTTCAGTTCTGTTTTTGACATTTCTGCACCAAAGATTTTTACAAAAGAAGATGCATTAGTCTCTGAAAAGTGAGCAGGATGAGGTTTTTGTTAAAAGACAAAAAATCTATAAAGGAAAGAATATTCAAAGACTGTTAGTCCACTCAGGGTGCTAATAATGCAAATAAGAAGTTTCTCATTGGAGCTCCGGAACAGCAATGATTTCCATTTTCTGAGGCGAACTTCGTTGCGGATTATGGACAGCAGGAATTGTGAGAGCTCACAAATACCTGCAGATTCACATGCAATCGCTCAATAACAAGTTGTCTTTAGCCACAGAGGCTAACCATATAAGCAGTAGATTGTGTCCTTCAAGAAAGAAGCCGGTGGAAATCGACACATTAACTTAATTGTTTACGATCAGCTGCAATCGGCGGATATGGCCTTTTCGTAGCCGTCCCGGATGCGGTGGAAATTGGGGGTTAGATGTCATTCGTGTTTCAGCATTAAGTTAAAAATTGCATGTCAGTGTACATGGAATATATATTTTGGAGATGACTGATGCTAATGTGGAAGTGACAAAAACCGCAGTACCTTGAGTGTCCACAGGAGGCCCTATCGGGGCTCATATTAAAATTGTTTGTCTTACTCTTTCAGCTCGGCATCAGAAATTACAGTCAGTTGATAACCTGTTGATTATTTTGTCATATGTCGTGTTCGAGGTGTACTACAGCCTCCTACCACTAGTTGGGACTGTAGCTCCTCTTAATAGTTCCCGCTATGATACTATGATGTTTAATTACACTATTTTTTCATATAAACAATGACAAAAGAAGTTACTTTGAGCATAATCGGGGGTGTGGTTAATTTGACTGACAGGTGAATGCATCATAGCTGATTGGCTGGAAGTTTCTGGATTATTTTGAAGTTAGTTGGGGGTCAGCAGTTCACATATAAGGACATTATCCTTTGGGTGCCATCATGAATATCCATTTTACACAGTTTGTGCTCCAAAGACATTGATAGGATTTTAATCAGTGTTATTTTCCCATGAATCCTGCTAGTTTGACATTATTTTACAGATTTAATTTGAATCTTTTCAACCCTGTGACTCCTTATAAACTAAACCAATAATCATTTATCAAGAGGCCACACACGGCTGGTTTTTAAAAAGTCATGTAACATGTCTCCTGTAAGTTTTGTTATTAAGGCCAAACTTTGAGATGGGACTCTAATTAATTGAGAGCCGTGTTGTTGTTAATCAATGTTCATTTAGGCTTTGCCTCACAGAGCCTGAATGAGTTATAACTGCTCGTGATTCATTGATTGATTTCCCAGTAAATCCCTCATAAGTAATTGAAACAAATTCAACGTCGAGAACATCTAACGCTCAGAAATCGTTCTGTTTTGAGACTGTTTATTCTCCTTCCAGCTCCTGCAGTCCTCTTTATCGTTTTTTTTTTTTTTCTACTTCTGCAAACGGCCCTCTTGAGAAAAGGCAACCTGGCGAGCAGGAAGCTGCGCGACAGAGATAGGGGCTTCTGGTCAACAAGCAGGTTAATTGTGTGATAGCGCCAGATGCTAATACAGGCCTGAACTCGACAATCACAGACCCGGGGAGAGCCTCCCCTGTGGCTCCTATTTGGCTGGAGAACACGGCATTGGAAGGGCGTTCGACCCGATGGAAAACAGGCCAAAATTCAATGAATTTTAAAGCGAGGTAAATATTTTAACTTTCCTGGATGGATGACGACGGCGTTTTGGAGCGTTAGGAGGATTACAATACAAGGAGGAGTCTGCACTTTGATTAACTTCACACTTGTGGAGGAGATAACAGCTTTCTAAGGGTCTCTCCTGGGTGAATTATTGAGTGTGAGTGCTGGCACGTTGTCTGAACCTGAAGAAGTCAATTAGCAAACTAAGCTCATCTCACGGGGAGACCATGGGAAAGCAAGGCATCGAGTTTGGAGAGGAAATCGCTTAAAACAAATGAATAACTCAAAAAAGTCGGATTGAACGGTGGCATCAGCTGGGGTTAAGTATAAAAAAAGTCATTTTAAGAGACTTTGCAGGAGGCGGGTGATAAAATCCAACTGCAGAGCCGGAAAGAAAATTAAAAGTTGTGGTTGTTTCGATGTCATGAACTGCAGTAAACTGCAAAAAAACAGAGGAAGTAAAAAGACCGCTATTAACTTGAGTGCAGTTAGCTGTTAGCGTCTGGGGCTGTATCGATCTGGTCGCAGCCCGACAGGATTTAGTTAGATGTTGGAAACTTCTATCCTCCATAAAAGTGTGAAAGGGATTGAAGGGTGTAAAAGCTTTAACACTTTTAACCACCGCCTGTAGATTATCAACAACACGGACACATCAGTTCTCACTTCCATCCAGCGCTATCCTGCAGACTCATGCAGGAAGTGAAGGAAAGAAACTCACTCTCAGAATCGGCTAAAAGCATCATTCATGATTAGCGAAATTATCATCAGATGTTCAGAAACTTTGATTTCTGTTAAATGGGATTGATGCTCGCTTTAGTCTTTAATTTCAGCACACTTCTTTGGTAATAATTGGCTGCAACAGAATCCATCCATCTGATCTTTATTTTGAGCTTCTGGGATTTCAACACTGGTTTATGTTTATTCATCATGTTGGATTTCTGCCGCAGTCTGTCCTTGGGAGGCCAGTATCCTTCAGCTGTCTCTGAGTCTGAACATTCTCACCCTGACAGGCTCCTGGACCGTCTCTGTTGAAAAAAACATCCCTGCTCGAGAATATTTGAACATATTTCTACTTGACAGTGTACGGTGGCCCTGCAGGGTGGAGCTGTCAAGCAGTCTGAGTGATTAAGCTGTATAAAAAAAAAAGGAGCAAATGGTTTTAAGTGGGGATTGCAGGGAAAAGGTGTAAACTCCAAATCTTCTGTCTGTACTCCTGCAGTTGAGATAGCGCCCCGTGTTTAGTTTTTCCGCCGGAGGCTGCAGAGTTCACATAATGGGAAGAAGTTTGCTGTTATCCCTTTAAAAGTTCTGTCTGTTTAATCTTTATGGGGGCAGCCTGAGTGAAACTTTACCCTCATAAAACACAACTTCTGGAGAGCTGGAAGAAACATCTTTACCCATCCTGCTACTTTGAGTGTTCGCTCAGCTCTGCAATCATTAAAACCCTTTATTCCGCACATAGAGGCACTCTAAATAAAAGCAAACGACGGTGACTAATTATGACTCTTCAACAATTGGACTCAACATAAGTACTTGGATTTGTTTCTTGGAGCCAAACTGCGTCCTGTTTTCCCAGCTGGGTTTGGTATTCCTCTCACAGACAGCACAAAAAGATGAAAATGACAAAATATCAGATACATTTCTTTCCCATAGTGTCGTTAAACATCATGGAGGATATCTTTAAAGGGATATTCCAGCGTGAAATTAATTTAGGGTCAAAAACACCGTAACACTGAGTTACACACCCCCTCTCGAGACATGAATGTTGTTGACCGCTTGCTTCTCTAGTTAAACCAACTTTAGTAATGACCGCACAATAGCAATACACAGCGGTCTGAGGAGCCATAAACAAACTGCAACCAAAACGCCTATTTGGAAATGCAATCAGACCGAGACGCTAAGGCAGAAGAACTAGAGTGCAGTGCAAAAGGATTAATATGATGATTATTACTTAAAGGAAATGATAAAGAAATGATCATAAATGTTCTTCCTTGAGCTGTGTCACCCCGCTGTAGTCCATAATGGACTGGCCCGAGGTCTCGCTACAAACAAGTGACTGCTGGAAGAGAGTAGGTGAGTTGTGCTTAGTCTCTTTGCTAATAGTCTCTATGGCTATAGAGTGGCATTTTGGTTGAGGTTTGTTTATGGCTCCTCAGACCGCTGTGTATTGCTATTGTGCGGTCGTTACTAAAGTTGGTTAAACTAGAGAAGCAAGCGGTCGACAACATTCATGTCGCGAGAGCGGGTGTGTAACTCGGTGTTACGGTGTGTTTGGCCCTAAATTAGTTTTACGCCGGAATATCCCTTTAATATTGTCAAGAAATTTGAAGATGGTAAATGGCTTTCCAATCATCAAGAGAGAAAGGAGGAGGCTAAAGTGAAGAGACATCCATCAAATTGAAGAAAACAGATGCAAAGCAAACACGATATGGTCTGGGTTATTGCAGTGTCAAGATGCATTTATGCTAGTTTTCTGCAACCTTGTGTTACAATGAAGCCAATAATTCAATTCAGGGACTGTTTAAAACACTAAAAACAACATCCTCTTTCTTGATATCGACATAATTGATATTGTCCACATGTAAAATGTCATAATCTTAAGTGGCGCCCTCTTGCAGATGTATTGCTCAATACAAGAAGAAGAAGAAGAGCTTTATTGTCATTATACAGGAATATAACGAAATTTCATTTGGCAGCATCTCTTTTTTTAAGCAGTGACATGACACATTTATTAAAATGTGTTTAAAAAGACGAGGAAATAGGTAGTAAAAGAGAAGTAAACAAGTAACGTAAGTAAAGTGCAGTTTTAAGGTGTTATATATATATATATATATGTATATAAATGACATATAAATAGTATATATAAATAAATGCTGTGCAGTAGTCCGTTAAACAAGCCCTTAAAAGGACTGGTTTATTACAAAGAAAACGTCAGTGTAAAAGTTACAGAAGACCTTTTATGGATGCTGACTTTGGCGATCTAATGTGTTGAAAATTGTCGGTAAAGATCTTGTTTGCATCAGTCGGAGTTTGAGTCGGTTTTACAAACATTAGGAAACTCATGAGGAGGCTGTTACTGAGCTGAACATGTTCATCCTCTGAAATTAATGAAACCATGTAAATCGTTGGCTGTGTCGCCTCCACATAACCCCTAGCTAACTATACATTATCCTTACATAACTGACATCTCTGCCCGGGACATGTCAGCACCTGTCTTGCCGCTTAATTTGGCTTCACTTTTCTGCAGTTGGAGGACGTGTTAGAGGCTTGTCTTTATTCTCTCCAGGGGCCTAAAATCATCCTCACACCTCCGACTGATCAGCTTGGGTCCAAACTGTCCATCTCATGTGGAGGGGGTGTTTCAGGATAGGAGGATGAGGAGGATTAAAGGATTTACTGAATGCCCTGAAAAAGACACCATGGGATACAGAGATTCCAAAAATGGCTGAGGTACCCACATCAAGATTAGAGGGTATTATTCCTCTCCTTAAGGAAAGGGGACAAGAAAGCCACTGCTGACAGCTCTGTGACAAATGTAGAAGCTTGTCGTAAACTACAAGACCTTTTTATTTCTGCAAAAGTTGGGCAAACTTTTCCAATTTCATGAAATGCCATTGATCATGCTTTACAAGTGTACTGTTCATTTTCTCTGTAAATTATACCCATTAATAACATGTCTACTTTACATGATCCTCTTAGCATTCAGGCAGAAATTACTTCCAGCACGCTGCAGTTTATCCACTAATGCACGATGCGTTGCGAGGGAAGAGCATTTCCGTGCACGCTGGAGGGTGACGAACAACCGTGTTTGCAGGGGAAGTTTGAGCTTAAATTTGTCGAGACATAAGTTTTGACTTTTTTTTTTTCTCCGTGCCCACATTCACGTGTTTTTTGCAGCTCTTCTTTTCGTCCCGGGGAAATATCAGATGTCATGTGTGACAGGCAGAGAGCATGAGTAATAGCGGGCTACGAGGCACAGACAGCACCAGCACTCAGCGCTGTCCTCAGACGCTGGCCTGTAGTCAAATGAGGCCAAGGGAAGACGACACGGCAGAGCTTTTATAAGACGCTGAATGGAAATAATCAGGATGCAGAATTTAAATTGAACTTTTCTTTGGACTTTCTATTCTGCTTTTGTTGTCATAAAATGAGTAACCTGGGCTAAATTGCCTCGTAAAAGCTGAATTATCGTGGTGTGGATTTACGTGACAGATTTAACATCACCTCACCTCGCTGTAAACGTGGGAATGATTGTGGATAGAGATAATGGCATTAGCAGGAGGCAAGCGGAAATCACCACCCTCAGGTTAAAATGCGACATAGGAGTCTGAAAATGCTGTTTTTAGGCGCCAGGATAGAACGACTCATAGTAACGCTTCGAAACTGAGGAGATGCTCACACTCTATATAGCACATATTTATGGTTGGCATTAATATTTAAAGCTCTTGTGAGGAGTTTTTGGTCAGTAATGAAACATCAAATTAATACCCATGTCTCTTTTATCGCTTAAAAATGCAAACAAGACTATCAACAAGAAGAGTGGTTAGTTTTCTGTGTTGAAACCACAAAGGAAAGGGAGTTAGGTGTCAGACCAAGTGATTAAATCGTACGTTTTAATGAACCAGCCTTTTACATATGCTAAAGATCAAAAGAGGGAAAGATTAGGCTTTTTTATTACTATTACATTTATTAGACTTGACCAGGAGAGGGCGCTAAAATCAACACAAACTAAAAGTTCCTCACAGGAGCTTTAAATTTAAGGTCCTTACACACAATACAAGCGTTCACATCAGCAACGTTTTCCCGTCCTGCGATATTCCGGCATTTATTTTTTGTATCACGGTCAAGTTTTGCATACTGTGTGTCCACTTCTGACCAATCAGATTTCGTGTTGTTGCGACATCAGATTCATTGTTATATCCAACATGGCCGACCGGCTGATTGTTTACATGTCGGAGAAGATAATGACCTGAAGGAAAACTTGTGGAGAGTCATAGCGTCAAAATTCGCCTCCGAATATTTCGTAATTTCGTGTCGTATCTTTGCGTCGTCCCGGTGTTTAAGGACCTTGAGTCTGAAGAAAATTGTCAAAGTTGAGCACAATTTGATCAATCAGTCCGTGGTTGGATGATGTTGATGGTTTTTTGGGGTGTGGCGAACAAGAGTTGAGCTAGCACCACCAGTCACGCATTGGAAATTCTGGTCAAGTATAGTAAGATTTTAGGGCTGCAACTAACACATATTTTAATAGTTGACTTGTCACTGACTATTAAAATCATTAGTCGACTAATCAAATAATTATACCTTCTCCTCAAATATTCATGCATCACCGACATGCTGCGATGACATGCAAGGTCTGCTTTGCAAATCTCGCAAGGGTTTTAAAAAATTTTTTATCCACCTTATCTCGGCTAAAGTGCTCCCAAACTTTGGAGGTTTTGAGACGCCTGCGTTATTATGCATGTGTGACTCTAGGCAGAGATCGCAATGAAGTAAGACGCCTCACTCCACTGGTAAAAACACGTCTGGCAACTGGAATTCATTGTTGACCCTTTTCATTATCGATTTTTTGTCGACAATTTTGACTAATCATTGCAGCCCTGTTAGATATTGATTATTAGTTTAACCAATCAGGAGTTTTAATGACTAAAGAGGTTGATATTGAGTTCTCGTAGTCGACTGAACATGCACATTTACAGAAAATGATTTTTTTAATGACTTGGTACATATGAATATAACCCTCTATTAACACATGCGGAGCAAGAGAGTGTGAAACTGCCTCTTTACATGAAGTAATTCTTAAGTATTCAATATGACTGATCTGGTCTTTATGTGATGTTTATTGTAATTGCTTGTGTTATAATGCACCCTTGTGTCTCGGCTGTACTTCTCGGTGTTTATTCTACCTTTTCTAGCATCCTCCGATCATTACTTTTAATCACCAATCTACAAACCTTTCAATCTCAGCGTCCTCTAAACACTAGATTTAAGATTTACTGGTGCATCCCTGAACATAATACTCTTGTTTTTCTTTATCGGACATGTTGTTCTTGTTGCTGCACAAATGTTATTCTTGTAAGACGTTAGAGAAAAAGGTCAACATGCATTGACCTTCTAGGAGAGCCTAGGCGCTGTGCAGAATGAGCAGCGAAAGCTCCGGACGACTGAGTTATAACTTAAGAGCACAGGAAGTGACCTATTCATGATACATTGGGATCAAACTGTAGGTGAGTAGGTACCGATGGAGTCGCAGCTTAATCTCCAAAAGTAGAGGAATAAAGAGAGCGGTGTAACAAAGCCTCTCAGACAACAATCCCTTTGACAAAAAGATAAATTGCAGCCCACTCCTGAATCTAATTATATTTGTACAATCCCCTACATGCAAAATGAATTACAGCCCCTCCTGTACGAACCAAATTCTGTATCCAGCCCCCATCCTCACACCACAGTCTGCAGTCGAAGTAACTCACTCTGCTCAAACAGCATCTTGACGTCTCTCTGACCTGTGCGTGTTCCCGTCAGCCGAGCGGACTTCTGCTGCCGAAGATGAGTCAATTCAAAACAGCAAACAGGGGGGGAGGACACGGTCCTCGCTCTAATGACTGGGTTACTATGGAAACCAGGTCAGATATGAAAGCGCTAGATGACCAAAAAAAAAGAAAAGAGAAAAGAAAAACCCTCAGGCTTCACTTTGCTCTGTGGCTTCACCTCTGAATAAACCTAATTTAATTTGTACACACACACACACACACACACACACACACACACACACACACACACACACACACACACACACACACACACACACACACACACACACACAGTTAGAAACTTGTGGTTTGTCCTCATTATTATGAAAGTCTAACTAGGAAATGATTATTTATGAAAATCTTGGCAAATATGGATTAATTTCATGTGCTTCTACGACACAGCAGCAAACAGCACTGGGGTAAAAGACACATCTGATCAATTAGATATATTTTGGATCAATAAAACCCCCTGATTTTGCAACCTTTATCTCTTATGGAAGTGTAGTATGAGCAAACACATACACACACAGATACATAGATATTAGAAAATGTGTGTTTTTGGAATATAAGCGAACAAAGTCCAAAGATTAAGACGTGATTCAGGTCTCAGCTTCCAGGTGCATAATGGCAGTCAAATCTTCTTGATGCTCAACTACCAGGATGTAAACAGACCCATTAAACAAACCAGATCCTGTAGCAAAACCCAGTTAATGTAGCAATGTGTAAGGTGTTTAAACTTCAATTAGATTCAACTTTAAAGGGTTACCTCCTCAAGAGATGAATGTTGCCGACCACTTACTTCTCTAGTTTTACCAACTTTAGTAACTCATTTCTTTAGCAAAGAGACTAAACACAACTCACCTACTCTCTTCCAGTAGCCGCTTGTTTGTAGCGAGACCTCAGGCCAGTCCGTTACGGACTACAGCGGGGTGACGCAGCTCAAGGAAGAACATTTATGATCATTTCTTTATCATTTCCTTTAAGTAATTATCATCAATAATTTTGCTCTGCAGACGCGGTAGTTCTTCTGCCTTAGTGTCTCGGTCTGATTGTATTTCCATGAAGAAATGATCATAAATGTTCTTCCTTGAGCTGCTTCACCCCGCTGTAGTCTGTAATGGACTACAAGCAAGCGGCTGCTGTAAGAGAGTAGGTGAGTTGTGTTTAGTCTCTTTGCTAAAGAAATTAGTCAAAGTTAAAAAGATGTTTGATGGCTAGTGCTGTAACGGGGACCCTACATGTCCTGTTGATGAAGTTAGGTGCTGTTCTGAGCATTATTTGTTGCTATAGAGTGGCGTTTTGGTTGAGGTTTGATTATGGCTCCTCAGACCGCTGTGTATTGCTATCCTGCGGTCGTTACTAAAGTTGGTATAACTAGAGAAACAAGCGGTCGGCAACATTTATCTCTCAACAGGGTGTCTAACTCTGTGTTATGGTGTGTTTGACAATTAATTTTACGCCGGAATATTCCTTTAAGTGAAGTATGGATTTTAGTAACTTGGTCTCAGCCTCATGTAATCATGTGATATAATCAACTATGCACAACCATCTTCTCTAACAATGATGTATTTACAGGACGGTACATGAATAAGCTCTTAAGAAACAATTGATTATTTCTAGACCTTCAGTGACCTCCTTCTGCTGCACTATTTTGTTTTATTTAAACTAAAGTGAAATGCAAAAGGAACTATGAAGTCCTCCTGATCAGAGGTCAGTTTGCTGTTTCGAATGCACCGCCTCACTTCCTCGCCCTTTGCACCTGCCCCCAAAAACCCACCTGAATGAGCTTTTACACTGAGATTGATTGAGCGCCTTAAGTATTGACCCTGAAAGGTGTTTTCGGCTTGAAAGATCCCGACAAGACCCCCTTTTTGATTGACTGCGAGATTGTGGTAGCCCTCTCCTGCGTGGCGTGGGCGTGATCATTAATAGTGCGTTAAACCCCGGGGTCAGAGCGGGCTCATGCTGTCAGGGGAGGTCGTGTCCAGAGGGAGTAATATGTTCACAAAGCTCTGCTCCATTACCCATCTGTCTGGAGAGAAAATACAAAGACTTTTCCATCACTCTCTGACTGTCTCGCTCCTAGTTGAACCTGCCTCCCCCTCTCTCTCTCTCTCTCTCTGTCTGTCTCACCATATTTGCATCGTTAGTTGTCTACTTTCAGTACTCTTAGACGAACCAGCATCGCAGCACCAACACCTCTATTTTTGCCGTCAATATGGTGGGAATTTCTCACTTGCAGCTCTGTGGTTCCCTCATTAACCTCTTCACACCTGAGAGAGAAACCTGATTCACATCTAACATTTACAGTAACTGTAAAACTTATCATAAACCACAGCTCCTACATGCCTGTATCGCTTGCAACACCTGTCGAGGTGCATGAGAGGCCAGGCGGTGTATTTTTAGAGCTGAACAAAAGGTCCTCACAGCACAGTAGAGCATTTTTAAGCTCTACTTTACAGTGTAGGATATTCTGCTGGAGTTTAAAGAGACAGGTGTCTGCTGCTGTTCTGGAAACATCTGGAGGCTGTTATTACATGATGTGTTGTTTGGCATACGACAAACAGTCAGACAGAGTCGGTACTTGCGTGTGAAGCTGAGGCTGTGACAAATAGTTCACGGAGGGTAGGGTACTTAAAAACTCTTGACGGGTGATTGCTGTAATTTGCATCAATGTTCGCTCTCCCCTGAGTCAGGCGAATCTGAACAGACTAAGTGTCACTTATATCAGAACATGTAATTATGCTCTGAGATCCTATGTGGAGAAATGGACATTAAAGATCCTATAGGGAGTTTTTTTGATGGCTTAATTGCGATGCATCCTAATGACCATTCCGACAATGTCTTTATGATGTTTTTAATGTTTGAAACGACTATGAGAGAGTTTATACTAATATTCCCAATGAGGGATGAATCTCACCATCAAAAGACAGATAAGAGCAACAGGAAGTGTCCACAAGGGGGCGACAAAATCAACCCAGAGGGAGAGTTATGCTGTCTTCCAGTTATCTCGGAAGTCAGATGTCGGAGCTGGGAATGATGCTACACCAGAGTTGACGGCATTTCAGTTAACAAGTCAGAAAACCAAGATGGACGCCTACCTTTAGCCGTTGTCAGTTGTTGTTAGCGGTTGTCAGCTGTTACATAACACAGTATTTCACTCTTACAAGTGTTCACAGTTAGTCATTGGGCAGTACAACATAAACCACTTATTTAATTTCACAAAAACAAAACAAAAGTGCTGATAAATAATGCATTACAAAAGCTTTTACTGTTACTCTTCTCTGTTGATGCACTGCGCTGCCATCTTGGATAATGACGTTGTCGTTAAGTTGCAGTTGGCGACAACGTCCAACTTTCCGAGTCAGAAATCCGATTTCAGGGGGGTGTTCAAGACAGATTTCCAACTCGGAGCTTGGAAATTCCGACTTCCAGGTACAACTGGAACGCAGTATTTCTCACTGGAGCTTTAACTGACAAGAGATAACAGGAAGTAAGATGAAAATGTCGGAGGAAATCTCACATTTTCAGTTTATTTCCAGTATTTGAGAAACTCTCTGACGCCCCTAGTGGACAAAGGGTGGTGTTACCTAACTAAATTATCTCTTCTTATTGATTTCAATAGTAAAATTGATTACTTAATTTTAATAATTGTATCGTGAAAGTAACCTAAACAGGCTGTTTTTGTACTGCACCCACCCCTCACAGCAGTTACAGGCATTTAACACAACAGTATAGAAATTTTAAATCTTGACTTTGATGGTTTTGTTTGCTTTTGGACATCATAGAAATGAGTCATGGTTTATTTCGGTCAGTTTTAAAACACATTAAAATCTCCTACAGGAGCTTTAATTGTCAAAAACATCCAATCAAAATAAATCATCTTTAAAACTTACTGATTTGTATCAGAAAACCGTCCCTTTAAATTGTCTCTTACCTCCTTAATTCATTAAGAATATCTAAAGTAAACCAGCTGCCCGTACAGCTGATTATCGCCCGAATTCAAAGGTATTTTAATCACAGACTTGATGTCAAAATTGAACAATAAGTCATATATAGTCTATGAGGCCAACTGCACAGACAACATATAGGTTAAAATAAGTCTTTTAGACCAAAAGCTGTTAAAATACTAAATTTCTTACCCTCAAATTCAGAGCCTTCATGTTGAAAATTCAAAGTAAACGCCCAGTAAGCTGAATTTATAGCTTAGCCAGGCGGTGCAGAGATTTCGAGTCTGGAGGATTTATGCCTGAGGAGGATTTCTCAGCTGTCCACAGCCCTGGCCTCTCTATGTCATCTGAGATTTCACACAGCTCTCCACAAAGCTTCACCCTCACTGGACTGTCGCTCGCAGAGTCCTCACCCTCCGTCACAGCAAATCGAAGCAGACCCCTCTCCGTGCGCCGATATAAAGGCACTTGTGGTGACGATCTTCGGCTACAAGATGCTTTGACAGCCGAGAAATCAGTATCTGAGGATGTAACTTGGACTTGTTTTACTTTTTGCTCTGCAGAAGAACCCTTCACAATAAGAGTTCTCTTTGAGAGGAGGTTTTATGAGTCTGACGCTGTGGGGCACTAAAAAAATCCAGTCAACAGAGATCCTCAGAGTCAGTGAGACACTCAGAGGCTGAGCGTGAGGCATCAAAACGACTTAAATCTTCCCGGGACCCAGAAAAAAGTTAAAGAATTTGAGCAATTTCAAGATGTAATATGTCTAAGAGATGAAACGAACATGTCAGTGATTTTTTTCAGACACAGTTTTTCTTTATATTTCACAGGATGTCCTTTAACATGGATAACAGAACAATAAATAGATGTTTTAATGTCATTCTTGCAGCTCTGTGATTGATCAAAGCTGTGCTGCAACATCAGGACCAAATTAAACAAACATAAAAGTTAAACAGTGTTAATCTTCGGACAGTTTCAATCGTGTTTCAGAAACACATGGTCAGTTAAAGCTCCTGTGAGGAACATATCTTGTCCTTTACATACTACCAAAAAGTCAAACTGTTGACCGTCAAACGTGTCACTTTTAAAAACTTGGTTGTTTATTTAGCTTCTCAGCTGACACATACCCCCTTTTATTTAACCCATTAAGACCTGAACCCTGTCTGAGACACGCCTCTGAAATCCTGAGGGCCGTTTTGAGAAGGGCCCTCAGATCCTGAGTGTTTTTTAAGTGTTTAGGTTTACAAAATGATATCTTGGCCTCTGTAGTAGATAGAAACAAAAGTCAAAAAGTATTTGAGAGCTTACATGTGGCTATTTGTCCAAATCTTCATCACATTATTGAAAACCTTGAACAAACAAACTCTGAATATAAAAACTCTGAAATAAAGCGGCTGTATAAATCAAAGTTAAGGCTCTGCTCTGGAGAATAACAAACAATTTGATTTCTGTTAAACAAGTGGCAGTCATGATAAAGTGTCCATTCAATACAAATGTAAATGTACAAAATAAAGTGTTTAAAGGTTTGCAGCTGCCGAAGTATAGTGCCAGAACAAAAGCAGAACTAAAAACTAATAAATAAATAAATAAATGGCTGACAGTGTGTTCATCTCTGTGCTCACCCAAAGTCATGAACACTCACAGAAAACACAGATGGTATGAGCCAAAGCACTCAATATGAAGAGGTTGTTCCCACCGCTTATAGCCATAGACTATAGGTCCACCAGCTCTCTCATTTTCAGGGAGAAGTTGACCAAAAACATTGAACCAGAAGGTTCAAATTGTGGTCGTCAACGTCATCATTTCTGTCAATATCTCTACCTTCACTAAGGCTGGATGCTTCTCCTCCGATGCTGCCTTCTGCCTCGATCATTGTTTACTTTCTTCACGAAGCACGTAACAAACCCAAGCATGAATCCTATCACTTTATTAAGCTTTATTAGCCTATCGGCGCTCCCGGCTTGATGGGGAGAAATGCAAAGCAGTGCCACCGGTTTGGAAGGTTGTAATGTGATCGCCTTGTTTGCATTTGGATATCATGAAAATAAATTTCAGTGTGTTTCATAATGATGAGAAAAAACCTCATTGCAGCTCTAAATCATGTCTGAATGGAAATGTCTAACAGTGTGAGGTGAGCTGTGTCGGCCATCTGCTCGTCTCACACTGGCAGAGCGAAACTTTTAAGTCTCTCACATTTTTCAAAACTGTCTTAAGAGCTGAAAAAAATCCTCCAGCTCGTGCCAGACTTTGGTTAAAACTCCTCCTTCACGCCTACAAACACTTCTCAGTTTGAAGTGATCCTAAAGAGAGACAGCTGAGTAGAAATCATTGGTTAAAAAAAGCTTATAGCTTCTACTCCTGACATGTTTTACCTGATAAATCTGTAATAGGAGTGATACTTTCCACAGAAATGATCTGGAGTTGAAAAGAGAAACATGTGAAATGGGCGCTCTTTGGTGCCTCAAAATCCACTCCACATGTGAAGTACGAGGGTAGATGTGTTCTCGATGACTGGTACTAACATATTTTTAGCGAACACTCGGTCATTTCTATCTTGTTTGAATCCACTCTGTGCAGATGAGCCCATTACACCCAAACTAAAAGTTTTCTTTTGCTTCAATAGATGATTTTTTTGTGTAATTCACAGAGGTGGGGGAAAGTTCCTATGTTGCAAGTCCAAGTCGAGTCTCAAGTCCTTTGCTCTCAAGTCCGAGGCAAGTCCAAGTCCTTACCGTTTCTTTCAAGTCAAAAACAAGTCATTTCAAAGTCATAAACCATTTGTTATATGTGAAGATTTACATCAATCAATCATGAGCATTTTTCACTATTTGCATTTATTATTAAACAAGGGTTCTTGTTTGTGTGAAGTTACATAGTGCAGCTTTAACCAAACTATTTTACATGTCATACAAAAAATAACCAGATAAACTTCAATAATTGGAAACTTAGACAATGTGCACAAAAATAAGGAAGACTCAAATACAATTAAACATTAAACTGATGCTCTAATTCACTGTTCCAAAACAAAACAAAAGAGAGACACGAGGCAACACGTGGAAACAGGCGGGCAATACCAGCGAGCGATTTATGTTCAGTCCTCCCGGTGTTGTCGTTATGAGGGAGGCTAGAGTTTGAGACAGTGTTGCCAAGTTTCATAAGAGAAATAAGGGACATTTTTGCAGGAAATGAGCAGACTTGGCAACACAACACGGTGTTACCAAAGGCCGTAATTCCTGACTATTAGTTGATGCGACACTTTTTTAACGGTTTGGGCTGTAAGGTATTAAGTGACTTGAAAAGACTTGACTTTTCAAGTCACTGAGCTCAAGTCGAGTCAAGTCTCAAGTCTTTAGCAATCAAGTCCCAAGCAAGTCCAAGTCATTTCTTGATCATCAAGCAAGTCAAAAACGGGACTCAAGTCCAAGTCGAGTCTCAAGTCGAGTTGTCAAGCCCCCACTTCTGGTCATTCACCACCTGACATGCAGAGGAGTCAGAGTTTGTTGATTCTTACAGTGAGGAAAGTTTGAGCCTGTGAGATATCAGAAAAGAGCTTCTCCACAGTCCTGGGACTAGACTTCACATGTGTACAGAAAGGACCAGTGAGACACCCCTCAGTGTGAGTTATTGTAGATAAATCCTTGTAATCAGGGCGTGTGGAAAAGGCCACCCCAGCAGAAAGTGGAGAGTTGAATTCAATCTGAGCTGAAAGGTGTAAAAAACATCCCAAGTATGAACTGGTGAGGTATAATTAGTTTAAATCCAGAGCAGAGCGGCTCTGGTGAGTGTCTCAGGGGTGAAGAGCAGAGATACACAGTTTTCTCTTTTTTCTGTTTGTTCCTTCAGTGTCTGCGCTCGTCAGCATTCCTGCCGCGTCTCCTGCTCTTTGTATGCAGCTTGTTCCGGAGGAAACATATTCAAAAACGCCGGGAAAAATAAATGACTGTGGCCTCCGGGTTTCTTTTTATCGGTTTCACGGTGGAAATCCAAGAGGAGTGGTTTCTCTGTATTCTCCTTTTTTTCTCATGTTATTGTAATTACTTTTCCCTCAAAGCGTGTCCAACGCGATAGAAAATGATCCGTGTGCATGTGTGCGGCTGCGTGAGCTCATACGAAGGGTTAAGGTTTGAATTCTGTTTACATATAATACCTCTTTACCCCTGGCTGAACTGCAGACTAATGGAGGTTACTCTAATATTTATGAAACATCTCTCAGCACACTTGGCTGGATGTCTGGAGTCTATATGAAAAGCACTGATACAGCACTGGAAACTCGTGTCCTAATCGTCTCTTTCTCTCTCTCTCTCTCTCTCTCTTTTCTCCCCCATGTTATCACCATCTGTTTGTCCATATTGTGTGATCCTCTGTTTCTGGTCCCCGCGGTTCACCACCAGACGCTACTTTTGGCCTCCTGCTCGGTGTGTTTGTGGTCTGCGGCCTGGCTCTGCTGGGCCTCCTTACGTTCGTCTCCTGGAAGCTGTGCCTCGAGCCTTGGCGGACTAAAGCCCACTTCCCCAGCCCGTCCCTCACCCCCGACTGCGGCCCAGAACACTGCCCTCTGCAGCCGTCCACCCCGCTGCCCAGTCCCCAGCAGCCGCCGGTCACCATGGCGACGGAGAAGGTGAAAGACCCCGTGGGCTCGATGGGTTTCTTGGAGGCGGCTGTGAAGATAAGCCATACATCCCCTGACATCCCCACTGACGTGCAGCTCTCCATGAGGGAGCACTTCCTGAGACGCACACAACGCATGCAGAGGCAAACCACTGAGCCGGCTTCCTCCACCCGGTTAGTCTCACACACACACACACACACACACACACGTACATACATGTGATGAACCAGGCAGCACACACACTCACTTTGAGGCATTTATTCTGATCACAACAGGCTCATTTTAGGTCTCTGAAAACCACGCTTGAGTGGTAAGCTCCAGAAATTGCTTTAGTACAGACAGAAGCATAAACCCAAACTGTGAGCTATGAAGCCTCGGCGCAGAAACATCGATACGGAGCTGCTTTAACTTCAGCACACAGAGGAGAAAACCAGCACTCCTCATACATCACTAATGAAAGTGGAAATTTCTCGATCTAAGCAATTCAGCGGCTAAAAAGTTAATTATAATAAATACTGTAGATTGTGTTGTCCTCGGCCTCGGAGCCTCTTCTGCGCAGGTCATTATGGTAAAACTAATTATATGTAATGGCTTCTTCATGAGAACTCATAAAAAAATACACTTTCCTTGAGCTGTAGTAGCAGAAATACTCATTTCCTGGATGTTAATAAGTGAACTCTAGTTTTCCCTTCTGCTTATTATGCAGTTCTCCTGTGGAAACACAGTGTGTTGTTCTGGGAGCAGAGAGGAGCTCAGTGTGGGGTTCAGACACAGACCACTGGGGACCACAAAACCCAGGTCCTCTATAGACTCTCAGTTCAGCTATAAGAGGAGTCAGTGTGAACTTCTCCCAGAGTGTTTTTAAGATTCTGTGTTTGGTTATGAGACTGAATTTGTCATGTGGTGGATGGTGAAAACTGACTAGGAAAGTATCCTAAATTTAATAAACTCTGATAAATTTCCATAGAACATGTTTGTTGTTGCTACGTCCAAGCATGACCGGGTTTAAAGAGCGGTACAAACACATGGTTCTCAGCAAGTACAGGGAGGAAGAAGGACTTTAGCCATCAGGTGTTTTCATAAATGATTTATGTTCTTGTTTATTTACTCTGTTTATTTTCTATTTTTTGTAAATATGATGTAAATTTGTTGGAGGGACTGATTGTTAATTGAGTAAGGGGAAAGAGGTAGCTTTAAATAAACATACTGCTTCATCCTTCTCCTTTTCGGACATGTTGGGTTCACATTAATATTATAAGTATTTATTTATTTTTCCTTTGATTATTGTTGTTGTTGTTTTGAATATTCTCATTGGTTTTTTTTGTCTGTTTGTTTGTTTTTAGTTTACTTTCTTGTGTTGCACCTACATGTTCGAATGAATACATATAAAATAAAGAATAAATAAAATAAAATTAAATTGTACTTTTGAGGATGCTGTTATCTCAGGTGTCTGTTCTTTCCCAGTATTAACTATATGATGCTTTGTGCGTTATGTTGTTTTAGATCGTATCATTAATCTATTGTTATTATGCGGTCAGTTGTTAGAGTAATTAATTCATGTATTTCACAAACGACTGAATTGTTCACCTTAAATCATGACAAAATAAAGCTAATGTAGAGATGCCAGAAGGCTGCAGTTCCCCAAATATCCACTTGAGGCTGTCTGCAGAATCTGGTTCGAAAAATATCTCTTCTTTGTGTCTGATCTGGTGGCATATCTTCAACAGCAGGGTGTTTTAAAAACATAACTTTTTAAATATTTTGCTCCTTATCCTGTTAAACCATGTGAGAACACAGCTTGTTACCCAGGATTTCCAACGCATCCGGAACGGCTCCGATCCTGAACGGCGGGCGATTTTTGCTGTCCGCCAACTCCTACCAGATCCATTTGTGAGGCAAATTTCGTGGCGGATTACGGACTGCAGGAATCACGAGAACTTCCTCCTTTGGTTACGATCAGCTACGATCGGCAAATACAGCCTTTTCGTAGCCATCCTGGATGCGGTGGAAATTGAGGGTTAATGACATCGGTTCAGCTTTGTGTCATTTTAAAATGGCGAGCGTTGACAGGCGGTATGTAAGCTACTGGAGGATCTCAGTCTTTCCCAAAGCTTACGTCAGGCACTGCAGGTTACCGGGTACAAGGTGTGGAGAAGTTTCCCAAATCACAGATCGTCTGTGATCTCACGTCCACATAGGACTCTGAATAACTATCATTGTTGGATCTTTATTCACACTTTATGTTGTCCTGAAAAAAACAGAAGTCCATCAATTTTCTGCTCCTGTGAAAACTCTACAGTATTGACTGTTGTCGGGGAACAGTAAGCTTCCTCTCATTGTTAACACACCTTCTAGATAGAGTAATAAAGGCCACATGCCAATAGTAATGTGCTCTCTCATACAGGAAAGGAATCAGCCAGCAGTCGCCTGTTGTCTTTGATCAATACCTAATTTACCAGAAGATGTGTGGTGGCATAAGATTACCTAATCAGTAACCTTCATCAGTGCGAGGTCTTAGTGTGTCCCCTGAATATAAAACCTCTGCTAATTTGAGCCCCTGCAAAACAAATCCTAATTTCTGGTCTTTCATTTCCCAACAGGCACAACTCCTTCAAAAGACACCTCCCCAGGCAGATGCAAGTGGGCAGCCTAGACCTGGGAAATGACTACGTGTTGGACAAAGACGAGAAGTCGACCAGCATCGGCCGCATCCAGCCGGAGCTCTACCAACAGAAGACTTTGGATTCAGAGGATTCGTCCAAGAACGGCAGCAGCAAAAACTGCGGCTCCATCAACTTCTCCCTCAAGTACGACTATGAGAACGAAGCTCTCCTGGTCAACATCCTCAAGGCCGTGGATCTACCTGCCAAGGACTTGTGCGGCACATCCGACCCTTACGTGAAGGTCTACCTTCTCCCCGACCGCAAGAAGTTTCAGACGCGAGTCCACCGGAAGACGCTCAACCCCACGTTCAGCGAGAGCTTCCAGTTTCCTGTGCCTTACGAGGAGCTGGCGGTCAGGAAGCTGCATATGAGCGTCTTTGATTTTGACAGGTTTTCGCGGCACGATATGATCGGGGAGGTGGTGCTGGACAACTTGTTTGAGACGTCGGATCTCTCCAGGGAGACGAACATATGGAGGGAAATCCAATACGCCACCAGTGTAAGAATCTATCAGCTTATTGTGTCTTATAGATTCAGTATCAGATCACTGACAGGAAAAGATGCTTTTATTCCAGCTCATGAAGAGTCAATACGTAGAAGTTCGAATTTCAACCGAGTCAATGTCCTCGATGGACCAAACATGGAGATTTTCTTCAACAAAGGGGGGCGGGTTAAACCAGGACAGTCCTGCACAAACGAGGCCACTTTGGAGCTCATGATTTGCTGCTTCATCTTCCTCCGTACAGCCGGTTGTTGTTTGATATGCAGCTTGATCGTGACCCCTATTAACACCCCCGTACGATCAATGTTCCGCCTGTCGAATGATTTCCGCCGCGTCAGAACTTTTCTTCGGCTGTCTTGCACTTTTTCGCAAGTCCGCCGTCTCGCATGATTACGTCGGAAAGAGGCGTTTAGGCCCTAATGAGCTGGTTTGAGTGCTTAGATTGTAATGAGCCACGTTGGCGTCCGTTGTGGGGTCCGTGCTGACGCAGTGGCTGGGGTTGAATCAGAGCTATAGGCAGGCAGATGAAATGCAACCTGAAGGAGTTCTCAACAAATTTAGACTGCCGTCGTCGTATCTCGATATTGGGGTGGGGGATTATTACACACATTACGGCAATCCTTTACTAACTGAACAGACTCTGAGCATGCTTTTCCATTTTAGTTCTATCCAGTCCAGTTCTGATTCTGGCTCTTATCGATTCTAAATTCCAGCTCCAGAGTATTTTGGAGAGGAAAGAAAAACAAACAAATATAATCCTGCCTTAACTGGGCTTTTCATCGTGTATTTCTAAATACTTTGGACCCAACTCCTTCACCATTAGTCACCCTGTAAATCTCACGCTTTGTTGCAGAGTTTCTGCACAACAGGGTCTCTTAGGGTCTTAAATGTTCAAGCATGACTCAATTCAAAAAACAATATAGAAAATGTATTATCATGAGGTACAAGGAGGGAATGTCACAGTAACAATGCACACCGCTGATTATTGCAATTATATTATATGCAATATATATATATATATATATATATATATATATATATATATATATATATATGTTTTATTTATAAACAAAGATTAAAAAAAAAAAAAAGAAAACATTTAGTTATAGTGTTTAAGTTAAGTTATATGAGATCGGTAACAGAGGGGTAAGACTAGACAAGTCTTTGACTTCTTCTTACCCCTTTTTTGGACATGTGGATACTCTGGTTTTGTTGTTGTTCTTATTTTGTTGTGATAAGTGAGATTGATGTGCTTCTAAGTGAGGCACTTATTTTATTTTATTTTATTCTTAACTGTTGTTTTGTGTGTTTTTTTATATACATTTTTTTAACCATGTCCAGAAATAAATAAAGAAATGAAATGAAATAAAATAAATATTTGTTTACCTCAACTGAAACGCTAACGTTCAGTTTCAAAAGACTTTATTTATAACTATAGGTAGATTTGTTTTGCAGCGAGGCAATGACATCCACTTTGTAACTCAACTACAACACAAAAGTACTCCAGGCTCAGCCAATCAAAAGTAATTCGAGATAGGATATTAGGAAGTGGAAAGCAGAACCGAATTCACATGAAATCAATAGAAAACGATAAACAACATTTGCGGTACAAACGTGGCGTTTATCGTCCACCCTCTTGGTTCCCGCTGGGTTTTCAGAGCTCAGTCCAAAAACGATTCAAAGCCTGAAACTGGTTTGATGCCCGGTGGATGGGGACCCCTGCTACACATAATCCTTAGGCTATGTTATTAGTATTCTATAAACTCTTACACAGTCGGTCCAGAGCTGAGAGTGCAAAGACGGTGGGCGGGAATCAAGTGGTGAGATCTTTATTCGAATATGACAGCTCAAAGCTTTCTGTTTTCTCTCTTTTTCTGCTGTTTGAGTTAAAACGTTGGACTGTGTTTGTGCTGCAGAGTCCCTCCACTACGCTCCAGCAGCGACTGACTATTTGCTGTTTTAAAGGCGCAGCCGCTTTCTTCCATAAAGTGTGTGCAAGTGAGTGTGAAAGAATAAAGGTAATGGCCAAAGAAAAGGCATTAAAAGGCTGGCTGGCAGTAGGTTAGTGGGGCTTTCCTTGAGTTGGCAGCGGTAGTGAAAGAGATTTAGTCCAACGTCGGTTAGAAAGAGATTTACAGGTGGCTGATCTTACTGTTTTTCTGTGGCGGCTATCTTCTAATAACGTCACGCTTAGGGTGGAAAGCCGGAATATTGTTTTCATGTATCATTACTGTGTGAGCCGAAGAGTCAATAACGCCAATTGTCTGACAAACGGTGGTCATTTCACAGCTCCGTGACTGAAGGGCAGCTGCAGAGACAGTAGACGGCTACATTAGAGACAGCGGCTCAGATTATTATTCAGCTATTATATAAACACTCCATACAGAAACCAAAATCCTAAATCTGAGCCGAAGACTCGACCCGTCAATGCACAGCAATATCGAATATTAAACTCCCGCTCCTCCTGTGGGCGGGTGATTCATGTTGTACAAAGACCCCTCTGTTTTCTAAGTTATATTTTAGGGGATTTCATTACAGAGGAGAGGAAAGTGGACAGAGAAGGAGACGAGGGAGCGAGTGGGAGGGACGTCCACTGGCTAGGATTGAGCCAAACTCTTGTAGCCCACTAGGCCAGCAGTACCTCAAAGGAGACTCTTCCTGACTAATGACACATTTTAAAATGATAATAATAAAAATAATCTTAAAGGAATATTCCAGCTGTGACCCTATATGTACTGTTGATGAAGTTAGGTGCTGTTCTGAGCATTATTTGTGGCTATAGAGTGGCGTTTTGGTTGAGGTTTGTTTATGGCTCCTCAGACCGCTGTGTGTTGCTCTCCTGCGGTCGTTACTAAAGTTGGTATAACTAGAGAAGCAAGCGGTCGGCAACATTTATCTCTCGAGGGGGTGTCTAACTTGGTGTTGTGGTGTGTTTGACCCTAAATTAATTCTACGCCGGAATATCTCTTTAAAAACAGGAAAGACTGAATGCGTCAGAGCAGCATGTCGCCGTTTTGCATAGACTTCTTCAAACATGGCCGATCAATGTTTCCTACTCACCTGTGCCACACTTCTCTCATGATTCTCTTTATGCTAACACTATCGAGATCTCAAACTGTTAAGTAAGAGATGTAGAAAAGTAAGAAACAGACGCAAGACAAATTAATACCATCTTTGAAACGTTTGCGATGCTAGCTGTTTGGCTAGGTTAGCCACTTGTTGCTAAGTGACAACAGTATTGTATCACAACACCGTCATCATAGTAGTAATAGCAGACCTCGTGAGTTCGGCACATCCAGACCAGTCACACAGACGATAACAGATGCTGCGTTTGAGTTACCTCGGAAGTCAGATGTCGGAGCTGAAAATGACGTCACACCCGAGTTACCAGCGTTTCAGTTACCAAGTCGGACAAAAGTTAAATCGGAGGCGGAAACAAGATGGCTACATCTACGAAAGTTATTTTAGCGGTTGCCTTCGCACCTCCGATTTATCGTTTTTCCGACTTGGTAACTGAAACGCTGGTAACTTGGGTGCGACAACAGCATTGTATCACAACACCGACGTCATAGTCATAATGGCAGACCTTCTGAATCCGGCACATCCAGACAATTTACACAGGCTATGATAAAGATGCTGCGTTTAAGTTACCTCAGAAGTCAGATGTCGGAGCTTAAAATGAAGTCACACCCGAGTTACCAGCGTTTCAGTTACAAAGTCGGAAAAAAGCAAAATCGGAGGCGGAAACAAGATGGCTACGTCTACGAGTTATCTACGAGTTATTTTAGCGTTTGCCTTTTTTCCGACTTGGTAACTGAAACGCTGGTAACTTGGGTGTGACGTAATTTTCAGCTCTGATGTCTGACTTCCAACGTAACTCAAACGCAGCAAGAGCCCTTCAAAGACCGCAGACCCTGGACTGGGACTCGACTGAGCTGAAAACGAATGAAGCGCTCCGGTTGAGAGCTGCATTTTTAAAGAAAGGGTAATTTAGTACTAAGCTTGACAATTAAAAATGTAATATCCCGGCAGTATAAAAGATGTTTTACAAAGCCTCATTAAAGTGTCTGGTAAACAATTTAAGGAACCTGTTTTGGAAATTAATCTCCTGCCTTCAACCCTTTAATGTGAATCAAATAATGACGAGGACATGAGGGAGCGCAGCCTTATTAGGAGTCAGACATACAGCTCAGATTTTAAATCCACAAAAACATCATTTTCACTTATTCCATAAAAAAGAGAGTCATTGAAGCCATGAGGTGCTCACAAAAGGACATGTCTGACTCATGCAATTATGTTGGCGTTGGCTTTGTTCGTCATTAATGATGTCCGGGGTCATTTCTAACATCTAAGCGTTCCTCTTTTCTGGCACCATGGCGCTCTTATCACGTTATCGCCTCTGCGGAGCATTTATATCTGACAGTTTTCGAACTTGAGCTTCTTCAAGGGCTGTTCAATAACCTCAACATTATTGCTTAGAAGGCAGAAAAGAGAGGCCTCCTTCTCCTTGGCAAGCAAACGGTATCGAACCGCCGAATGATTTTATGACAAAATCTCTTGCTCACATTAAATTCAAGATTGGCGACATAAAGAAAGCACAGATGGTCAGGGATCGGTGGAAGCGAGAAAGAAAAAAACAGTCATGAGGCAGTGTGTACTGGAAGTGTGTGGTAACATAAAGACAGTGCTTTGAAAACAGAGCAGCTTAATGAGAAGAGACACCCGTGCTGAGCATTAGGAGGGCGGGTAAAAGGAAAAGAGCCAGCAGCTCCGCTTAGTTCATAGATCAAGGAGAGATATTCATCAATAAGGGCGACGAACAGGCGTTACAAAGATAAAGAGTCTGGAGGAGACGCTGAGAGAAACTCGTTGACTCGGGACTATTCCTCATGTGTGTTCGATCTGAGCGAACTATTTAAGGAAGGTCTTTAGGTGCTAATGAGTGACAAGGACGGAGGAGAGTATTTAGCATGTAGAAGCGACTGAAAACTGAAGGTGGTGATTCTTCTGCACAAAAATACCGGCGAGTAATCGACTTTTTTAAAGACTCAAGTCCGCACTCTGGTGAGCAGATCTATCTTTGGGGTGCTTCATGTCAACATGCGAACAATGACAACAAAAGGGAGTAAAATCAGTCCAGCGCAAATTGAGGAAATTATGGATCGTGAAGGTCTGCAGCTATAGGGTACAACTTGTTTTTAATATCGGGACAGGAAGTAAGGGAAGGAAACACAACAAACCCCCACAATGCCGACAACCTTTACCATGTTTGCATCAAGTGAGTGATATTATTTGTGTTTGGTGTGAATAGTGAAAGAATGAGGGTCGAAGGTTAGTGGCGCTAGCTCACCAAACTAATTTGATATAATTTACCCCAAGACTCTGAGAAATTGTGTTCAAGTTTGACTTTTTTTACAGGCGTTTTCTTACCTTTAGACGAGGGTGACCGTATTCTGACTTCCCAAAAAGGGGACATGACTATGTGGGGGCGGAGTCATGAAGTAGCACAAAGTTAATTTTGAGATTTTTTTGGGTCAGATCGAGTGTCTTTACGCACTTCTAACTCAGTAAGTCCATGTGACACAAACTGGAAACTTGCGTACAAAACCGCGGACATTTGAAGGATTTTATAAACTTTCCTGGACAGCCCAGACAGCCCCCAAAAAGAGGACATGTCCAGGTAAAAAAGGACGTATGGTCACCCTACTTTAGACCAACTATTAAGTCTAAAACTGGTTGTTTCATCAGCGCAGGTAAACCCGAGAACCTTTTCCCTTAAACCCTCACCAATCGTTTTTAAACTGGCTTCGCACTGATGTTCAATGGTAAAGAGTAAGACATCCATAGGCTGTATAAATCTTGGGTGCAGGTGTAGTGGCGTCCACCATTGGTTTCTTCAAAGCCTTTCGATAGCAGTCACCATACTGAAAATGCTAACTCATCCTAGCTACGACATGGCGAGATGGAAGGAGGCGGAGTCATGGTGGGATTTTAGCCTCCTGACTGACTGTCTGACCTCTTTATCTTCAAAATTAACTCCTGTTATTCAGACCACAACGAGTCTGTAAACATGTCTGCATTTGCTTCAAAGATGGGCGTCTTTCCCACTGAGAATAGACGGCTATTAGACATCTAGTTTCTTTTTAGACCTGATTTCAACTATCTAGATTCTGTATATTTTTAGATGGAATTTAGATGTTGCACTTTAATCCAATATTCAATAATTATTTATTGCAAAAAACAACAGTGATTTGCATAACTGATCTCCAAGTACTTAACCAAAATAATTATGATAGCCGTTGAGCAAAAAACAGTGTAGTATAGATATAGACCAGATTTAGACTCGGTCTAAATTTCGATGTCTAAAAGACTTTCATTTATAGACCCGTAGTAGCCTGATTTTAGACCAGTCTAGGCTACATTTAGACGTCTATTAGACCTCTTTTAGGCCAAAAATACTCAGTGGGTTATCAGGCGTGTATGTGACTTTTTTTACTTGATATAGTCCGTAAACAATAGCCAACTACTCCAGAGTCAGGGATCATAAAAGTCACAGGAAATCATCACTTTTCAACCGAGAATGATGTGAGATTTTGCTCCAGTTCGTCTGGTTTGTGCCGCAGAGTTAGAACGAGCTTTTAAGTGATTTTGGCAGAAGTGAAAAGGTTAGGAGGTTATCATCAATCCATCATGACTCGTTATATTAGATATTCCAGTTTGGATCAATGTAATAGATTGATTTAAAGGACAGAAGTGCCAGACCGATTCGACAACACACCAGCAGTCTGGCACCAGCTTCCCCCGGAGTCCTTGGACCGGCGTGGCTAAAACACGATTAATGCAGTACAGATGACTGGCATCAAAACAGCGTGTGTTCGTACAAGGACAATCAAAGTGTCACTTCATGCTTTTACCGCACTTGACATTTCTGCTGTGGTCTCACATTACAGCTGAACCTTCACACCCTTCAAACCGAATCCCGAACAGTGTGCCTGAATGTGCGAGGAGACGCTAAGACTGCAGCACTCTGTTGCTCTCGCACAGACGTGTTGAGATTTGCCAATCAGCGGGGTTCTCACCGAGCTCGTTCAGAGAGATTAGGAGTCTGTGCGGCTTTAATACTGCTCCTAAGAGCTGGCTAGGAACTCACATGAGACTGATAACAGGACTCTTTCATTTCACTTGAGACTATTACCTAAGTAAGTACTCATGAAGGACTCTCTCCATCCAAGCGAGAGCTGATATTTCAGCAGGTAGACACCGAGGGCTCGGAAAGTTTTCCTCAAAACTAATTTAAGAGTGAAGAAAATTCCTCACTCAGGGGATCTTAGTGGGTCTAAAACCCATCCAGACTTTGGCTGAGTGGGTGAATTATACCTCGTTTCTGGTTTGTTTTAATTAACTGTCTAAACTGATGATGATCTCTAAGCAGCTTAAACGACGTTTCTCGCGGATGTTATGAAAACTGCCAAGAGTCTAATGAATTCTGCTGTTTTTTTGGCGGGTGTATCGCTGAGATAATCTGATGAGGAGACAGTCGTAATGTCTTTAAAACAACTTCAGGACTTGAAGCAAAGCCCGGTTTCCCTTTGTGGCTTCAGTAGCTCCGCTTTGACACCTGCTGCGCCTTCAACTTTTTGTCTCACCGTTCACGTGTGCAGCAGGGAAATCTCAGAAGACACTTCCACCGTGTCAATTATGATTATACTTGATAAACGACTTCGACTAAGCACTTAGAATTTCATCAGCATCATCTATTGCATAAATATGCTAATTTAGAAAATCAGGCTCACGTAAATGTAATAAGCATGGAGCCTAGACCCAGTGGGGGGTACACTAGCTTAGCATGAAGACTGGAGGCAGTAACTTTGATATGATTTAACTTACCTTCGATTAAAAGCAGAAAGCTGTCCTGACAGCGCCGACCTTTAAGGGGACGGTCCGAAATACAGAACCTTATTTCAGTGAATTAGCTCTGATGGACCATCAGCTCAGATTCGACCACCTGGTAGAACAAAAGAGGAAGTTTCATGTAGAAGTTACACAACATGAGTTTATGAGTTGCGTGCACTGAAACGAAGCTGCTGTTGATGTGATATAATCTGTGAAATCTGCTGCCACTTTTTAGTTACACCAGACCTTTAGATACACTCAGGCAGTCATCTCTGAACGCTCATTTTAAGGTTTTTATTACTCTTTAAATAGAGTTTGCAAAACATTGAAAGTAGAGCAAAGACAGCACATAAAAATAGAATGTTTGGGACAAGATTTGGGAGTTTTCTTGGTAAAATGTTCTCCATTTTTGCCTGATAAAGGATTTTACCTTCGTAAAAGTTTTGGGTTTCTTGAATGTTTTCAATCCGTTACAAAAGTCAGGACTCCAGTTTAGCACCAGGACTCTTCTACTTCAGAGCCATGTTGTTGTAAAGTAGCAGAATATGGTTTGGCATATTCTTGCTAAAACACGAAGGTCTCTAAAATACTTGATCAGCTCACTCTGTGCCGTGAGCACATTGATTTTTAGCCGAAGTAACGAGTCTTAACATCATCTTTATGTTTGGTTTCCTACTAAGAACTCGACTCAGAGGATTTTAAGACCATGCAGAGATTCCTACTTCAGAGTCATGATCGGTTTTAAAGCTCTGCCGCCTGAGGGCCATAAAAACACGTCCATCAGGTAACAGTTTTTCAAACAGAGACGTCTCCAGATTCTCTGACTCTTGTTGAGATTTACTGTGGATGATGTAATCTTTAAGTTTTATGGGAATCGTTGATCTGAAATTTTTGAACTATTCGTGATTAACTCCTTCTTCACTTCTCAGAGACCCAGCCTCTGTAAGATGCTGCTGCCTGCTCAAGTATTTAGCCGGGAGATGTAATTATAGGTGTTAATTTAACCCTTACTTAACTTTTCTTTAGTGTTTTGTCGATTATTTCTCAACTTTTTAAAAATATTTTCCCAAAGGCCGAATTCAAAATGAGCAAATATTTTCAGAAAACAACAGAGTCTTTTATTTTTAACAAATGTTGAAATGTTGTGATATTTTTGATTATATTATTTTATTATTATTTTTTTTTATTATTTATTTTATATTGAATGTAGGGTTTGCACATTTTTTGGGGGGAACTTAAAGCATCTGTGAAGAGTTTATTTTTTAAAGATAATAAAATGGACTAAAATTCACATTGGGGCATTTTCTTGATTTGCAAAAGCTAACAAAAACGTCCACAATAAGATAGAAGATTTTAATATCCGGATTTAATAAGCTATTTAGAATAACTGAAATATTTGACTGTTGAAAGTCAGCAGGGTGAGATTTTTTTGCGCCAAATTCACATAAACTGAAACTTCCTCACAGGGGGTTTAAAAAACTTGTTTCCTAATTTCTAAAACTGTTAAACTCTCTGTTTTTAAAAAGAATTGAATATAATAGTTTTGACAGGTTTTCTGCTTTGCTCTGAGCTCTAAAACAAACATTATTCTTTTGTCTATAAACGCGCCGTATAATGAGCCTGTAGTCCTCTTGAATCCACCTCAAAACAATGGTGCAATTACCGAACAACAGCAGCAACACAATGCATTTCTCTGTCGGGCCAAAAATGCAAATAGAGATGCTGCATTATTTTGCATCGCATTACTTTTCTTCATGCCTAACGTGCGCTCCAGTCGGCTAGTTTACTGCTCCGGTGTTATTACTTATGGGAACAAGAGGCCACCATAAAATTTACAATGTTGTTGTGATTTTGTGATGGGGTCATGAAGGGAAACAGATGAGAGTGAATATATGAGTCTCTCTGCTTTGTGCTTGAGTGAATGAGTGCTGCTCTGAACATGAATAAAGTATAAAAGCGGCGGCAGAATCCGAGCTGTAGGATGAGCTGTCCTCTTAATGTACACGACTCCGACTCAGAGCATCAGCGCTGATCGTAAATGTGAAACTGACACACTCTCCCGCTCTTGCTCGGTGTGTGTTCCCACAGGAGACCATCGACCTTGGGGAGATCATGTTCTCGCTTTGCTACCTGCCAACCGCCGGCAGACTCACGCTCACTGTCATCAAGTGCAGGAACCTGAAAGCCATGGACATCACCGGATACTCAGGTGTGTGTTTGTTTGTGTGCGTTTGTGTGTGATCTGACATGTGTTTGCGGGATTTTCGTCCAGGTGCGGCGTCTCTGAACGCTCGAGTGCGTTTTGAATATTTAATTGTAAGCGTTTCAGATTAGGTGAACAAACAGCGAGAGCCTTCTGCACAGCTGCGCTCTGTTTGTCTCCGCAGTTATTAATATTCTGTATTAAGACACTGTCAGCAAACAGTTGCAGGCGGTTGTGTTTTTTCTTGGTAATAGACCTCTGTTTAACTTTTCAAATTCACTTTTCTGCGCCGCGCTGAATGTGACATTTATTAGGATGAAATGCCAGAGTTCAGGTAATTCAGAGTAAATGTTGCAGAGGACTCCTCGTGTTTAATGACATTTCGGGTTTCTAAATTTTCCCTTAAAGGCGTGGTTGACAATTGGAGAAGCAGTTGAAAAAAACTGAGCCGTTGAGGCAGATTTGGAAGACGCGTCCCGCCCCCTCCACACACACAAACCCCTCCCCTCTGTGCTCCACGACACACCCCCTCTGGCAGAGCAAGAACCCGGCCGGTAGAAGATCCTACGCTAGCTTCAAATAGGATTCACCATGTTGCACTGCGAGTGACCAGCAGCAGTAAACGCCAGCTCTGCTAGCGAGAACCGTCTGCAGCTGCCTGGACAGCTACTGTGTTGACATTGAAGAGACTAACCCCCAATTTTCACTGCGTCCAGAACGGTGGCGATTTTAGACGTAAGCCAATTCCTACGGAATCCGTTTGTGTGGTGAATTTCGTGGCAGATTACGGATACAGGAATTGCGAGAACTCACAAGAACCCACAGATTCACGTGCAACCACGCGACAACAAGTTGTCTTTAGCCACAGAGGCTAACCATATAAGCAGTAGATTGTGTCCTTCCAGAGGAGGAAATCTACTTCTAGACTTATAAAGTCAGCATCTCCTCATCCATGGCGTCATGGTTGCGATCAGCTGCGATCTGCAGGTGGCCTTTTTGTAGCCGTTCCGGATACAACGGAAACTGGGGGTATTAAGAGTTATGAAGAGTTCAGGCTCAAATACTGCTCCACCGCTCGCAGGATGACCCGATGTTTATTCAAGTTCGATTCCTCGCTTGGTCACGTTTCCTCATCGACTCCGCCCTTTCTTCTGTCGGCTCACATTTTCTTCCCACTTTAGGCGGTGGGGCAAATAGGAGTGTTTTTTTTTCGTCCTTCTCCATCACAGCTCCTGTAGCTAAGCTGCTACGCTACTTTTAGTCGTTCATACGTCCGAGGAGGGCCGGGAGAGTGGGAGGGGACAAGTCGGAAACACGGGAGAGGGGTGTGTGGAATACAGCGAGGTGATTGGATGGAGAGGCAGAGCAGGAGATTGACCAATATGAGCTGTCTGGGACGGGATGAGTTTTTTTGTAGGATGAGAGGGGAAAGTCCCGCCTGCTTCGCCTCTGATTGGCTAGAAGAGCTAGAAACGTCGTCACACGCTCAAGCCAAACACTGTCGGCTCTGTACATGGAACAGAACATTTTCGCACTTCTGACTCTCCTAACCCGACAGACGATGACGTTTCACAGCCATATGGAATAACCAGTCAGAGCCCAGCACTTCTAGCCAATCATAGACGAAGGAGGGCGGGACCTTCCCCTATCATGTGACAAAAAAAAAATTCACGTCCAGGACGGATGGCTCCCATTGGTCAATGTTTTTGCAGCCCTGTAACCTGCTCGGGTGAACGAATTATTTTCATTCTTTTGACCATGATCGCCATAGAAACGAGGTTCATAATAATTACCAATCTCTCCAATCGTCAATCGCCTTTAAGTTTGAGCGTTTTTAGCCTCCTTCTGTTATCCCAAATCCACGCTTCATAAACCTGCACCTATCAAATTGTCCCTTCAAGCGTGTTGTACTCTTGTTTGTGTTCGTTGATTTTAAGGCGGCTCAAACATGCGCCTCCGACGGCTGAAGATTGAGATCAGCATTCATTAGGAGGCTCTTTCAGTCTTGCCGTTGAAACTATCCAGTCGCCCTCCTCATCCTCTTTGTTTGTTCGAGGTGTTGACTCATCCTCTTCCATGCATGTTACCCATGCCAGCTCCTCCGGGGGGGGGCTTTCATGCTCAAACAAAAAACCCCCAAAAATGAAAACACACGCTCACACACTGGATGATGAAACGCCGCATTGATGGCTCTATCTTTGCAGTCGGAGGAGACACGCTGGTGTGTTTTTGCATAACCCTAGAAACCTGATCCTCATGTAAACGAACGTTCTTAGATAAGATAGAGAACTTGGAGAGCTTCCAAACGTTATGTTAATGTTTCTGCAGCAGTTTCTGTCCAGATAAAGTCACTTTTTATCCGCCCTTGTTCTTCTCCTTCACCGATCAGATCCGTACGTCAAAGTGTCGCTGATATGTGACGGGAGACGCCTGAAAAAGAAGAAGACGAGCATAAAGAAGAACACTCTGAATCCAACCTACAACGAGGCCATCATCTTCGACATCCCGCCTGACAGCATGGACCACGTCAGCCTGCACATCTCCGTCATGGACTACGATCTGTACGTACCGACTGAAATGTCACGAATCACACCCTGACAGACCTCAATTAGAAAAGCTGAAAAGTTTCTGAGTTTGTACGATATAAAGTCGTGAATTAGTCGTCAAAGTGACTGAGAAACTAAAAGTTTATTTATTCTATTCAGCACACAGCCTTGAGATGAGACAACTTCACTTTCCTGTTGGGATTCTGATTTTATCCGTTTTCGGTAAACTTACAAAACGATCTGACTTACAAACTGCAAACACACAAAACATTTACAGACATTTACAGACATTTACAGAGCGCTCAGAGTCACCACAGTCCACATAAACCATAAATAAAGACAACAAGATAAAAAAAACGTAGAATTAGGAAACTTATTTTATAAACAGCTAGAAATAAAAAGGAACAAAACATGGGGTCACTGGTGTCTTCACGATTGAGTCTACAGATGAAGAAAATCCAGAATAATCCAGAATAATCCAGAATAATCCAGCTCAATCTCAGCAGATGAGTGTCTAACATCAGTCTGGTTCTGCTCGAGGTTTCTGCCTGTTAGAGGAAGTTCTTTTACTCCATTTTAACTTGATAAATGCTGCAAAGAGCTTCAATCTGATCCCATATTTGGGTCTTTGTATATAAAGTCTGGTCTAGACCAGCTTTGTTTCATTAAGCATCTTAGGATAACACTTGTTGTGAATTGGGTTTGTATAAAGAAAGATTAATCAGTTGAAAGAAGGTAATAATTTAAGACATAAAAAAAACTAAACTCAAGGTCTAATCAAAAATTCAGTTTTTCTGAGTTTTCTTGTAATTTTCTGTGTTTGGTGAATCTTTTTAATTTTTTCCCTTAATTTCAGCTGATTTTTGTCTAAATTTTTAATTTTTCCCTTTAATTTTTTCTCTCAAACCTCCAAATTATAAGTGTTTTTTTTTTTTGTAAATTTTCAGCTTTAATAGAAGGAAAACAAACCTTGACTCGACAGGGTGCCTGCTTGGTCTAGGGGTTTGATTACATCCCCCGTGCACAGATACTAAACAGTGCACCTTTTACGTATTGTGGACTGTGCAAAGCATTCTGGGACTCCTGGAAATCTTTAATTCGTAGCAAACAGTGGTAAACTGCAAAAGAAATACTAATTATTCAGGTGTTGGTTTAATTTGACAGATAGTGAGGTGGCTGAAATGGGCGGGCATCTCTTGGCGTCCTGACTGCCTCCACACTAGGGGTGGGCGATAAATTAATGTCCACGATTAATATTTTCCATCTCACGATTAATGAAATAAACACAAGTTGATGACGTTAAGGACTCGGAGCCCACACAGAGCAGAATAACAAACAAACATGGCCGAAGGTGGTGAAGAAGACGTCCCTGAGCAGCTTGTTGCTAAATAAGACTCCTCATGAGGGATTTCCTTCCAGATTGGGGTTTAGACGAGTGCAACCAGGTCTGCCTGACACTGGACAGTGGATCTGCTGCTGCTGTTCACTCTGTGCAACAAGAGTTTTCAATGAAAGTTGTTTCACACTTACATGGTAGACTTCATAGATGCAAAGGTGCAAAAATGAACTACACGAAGACAGAATCAAGCTGGCAGCCTCTCGCAGGATTTTATTGTAGTTACGGCATCAACCACAGCTCATGAGAATCAGACGGACAGCAGAAGTCAAACGATCCCCCGATCCCCCGATCCCCAGAACTCTTTCCCTCTTATACTAACCAATGGCATCATTTATCCTGTTTTCCCGTCAGCGGCCTTCACATCGGTGTCTGATAGCCAACAACGTGACTTCTTCTGTGAACATGCTTTGCTTGCTGGCCGGCTCTGCCAAATTTCCTCCAACCATTATTTCATGTGTGTCAATATCACCGTGACCTGACCTCTCTGGCCGTATCCTGCATCCAGTTTTCTAAAAACATGTCTATTATTCGCTCCCACTGTGGTTAATTATCTTATTTGACTATTCTAACTGGTGTCCTTAAGACAAAATGAGTCAAAAACATAAAAAGGAAGTATAATATTTTTTACTTTTTGATCGTCATCGCCAAAATTGCAAAACTTATCGTGATCAATTTTTTTGCCCATATCGCCCATCCCTAATCCACACTGATAGTCCTCGAACCCGAGCCTTTTGCAGCATCATTTCCACTCTCAGTAAAAGCCTAGAGATAAACTCACATGTCCCTGCAACCCAGCGTTTTTCAGCTTCACAGTATTTACATATAAAGGAGTCGGGGGTTTCAGCCAGGAGGATAAATGTTGCCTCAGCAGTTTATGAGACAGAAAAGATTAAATCTGTTGTTTTCAATAGGAGTTTTTCATACGGAGGATTTGCACCAAACAACCTCTTTGTTTACTGAGCATGAGAGGCTGAAAGTGAATGTGGTGCAAACAGCTGACGGGAAGAAAACACAGGTGTCAAAGGTCGGGAAGAGAGCGGAACAAAAACAGAGAGAGCTGCTGCTTGGACTTCAGTCGAGTCTGCTCCTGTTCGATGCTTCGGTTTGGCCTCTGTATTAAATCGTTAATTATGTAAAAGGATCAATCCTCCAGTCATCATTCATAACGCAGCAGAGACGTCCTCTGACGGGCGTCCACAGATGAGTCAATCGTTGAGTCACGGAGACGGACAGCTGCGGAGACGGCGTATCAATCGACAGGACGTCCAGATTCAGATGTGTGTCTCCTCCAATTACACAACGCCCTTCCTCCAATTATACACAACAGTTTGATGTATGAGATGTCTTGTCAGGTTGAGTCACATGTATTTATACAGCGCATGTGTGTGTGTGTGTGTCCCCACAGGGTAGGTCACAATGAGATCATCGGTGTGATGAGGGTTGGGTGTCACGCTGAAGGACTTGGAAGGGACCACTGGAACGAGATGCTGGCTTACCCCAGGAAGCCTATTGCACACTGGCACCCCCTGCTGGAGTCTAAGAAGTCAGAGAAGGAGGTAAACCGGAGTTTTTCTGGATGTGTTTGTCGTCTGTTATGCAGAGGAAAGCGTCTCGGCAGGTGTTTGAAATCATGTGAAGGGGCTAGTTAAGAAAAACACATGCAGGTGCTCTCCAGATAGCAGGATGTTATTGAAGCTCGCTCACCAGACTCTGAAATTAAATTATCACCACATCAGCCGCCCAGCTGAAAAAAAAAACAGCTAAAAGGGTTTTTTTCTCCAATTTACTCTGTTTGTCTGACACTTCAAATACTCAGTCAGCTCTTCTTTGCAGGAAATAAAAGTGAAATTATCACAGACTCAGGATTTGCTGCCAAAATGACACCACCATCGATGCGCCATGGTGCAAAACATCCTGTTATACTTACCACTTTATTAGGGTTATCAGTGCTTTTTATAAATCACAGCAAACTCACATTGAAGAGTTATTTGATAAATATTAAAATCCGCTATAGTAGGTAGAGGTGGAATAAAATATTAATACATCAGTTTCTCTTTGTCCTGACTCACACAGTATCATCAGCATATTTCTGAATACGCTCTATCATTTTATCGCAGTTTATTAATTATTGAGGAGTCGCTGCATCATGGTATTATGTTACCGTAATTCATAATCATGAGATATCCCTCATTTCCCATTATTTATATATTGTCTGCATTAAAAAAGAATGCCAACACTAATATTTGACTTCAACGTGAATCAACACATAAAGTCTAATTTGATTTTTAAGAATTAATAATAATAATGTTTAGATAATACCATGAATAAGAATTTTAAAGCTTCAGTGAGGATTTTTTTTGGCTCAGCTGTTTAGAGAATTATTTTGGCTTTTCTTGTCCTTTAAATGCTTAGGTCGTGTCTTCATCCAAAAGTTCATCACTCCAGGTTTAAGCATCAAAAACTCAAATACAAAACTCTCACTTTTGTGGTCTCATTTACTTTTGTGTAATATAAAAAAGTCTATTTCATTCATATCTGAAAACTCCTCTCTGGAGCTTTAAGTATGTTAATTTAACTCTAATAAGTCTGAATGAGACTTACCTAAAATTCCCATTCTTAAAGCACCAGTGAGGAACTTTTTGCTTGTGTTGACATTGGCGCCCCCTGTGGACAAAGTGTTACCTCTTATCAATTGTCCCGTACATGTTAAACTAGTGTGTACAAACAAAAACCTCATCCTGTTGTCTTGTTGCGATGACATTTATCACTCACTGTGATTTTAAAAAGTCCAAAAAGGCTGTTTTTTTTTTCAACCTGCTGTCAGTCATCTGACCTTTAACAGCATTTTTAAGCACTTTAGAATAACTGCAGTGAAATGATCAGACTTTGACTGAAACTGGAACTGATCACCAACTAAAAATTCCTCACTGTGCCTTTAATATCAAGCTACCATAGGAGAAACTAAATCAGTCATTCCTTTAAGGGTCCTTTAGCTTGATTATTATAATTATACGTTTGCAACTGTTCACCACAATTATACTGTAAGACTGAAAATCCTAAAGAGCATCATGTGGCAAATCACTGACTAAAGAAATGAGTGTAAGTTTAAAACTTAATGGCCTCAATCTTGTGATATTAATGACTTTATTCTTGAAATCTTAGTATTTTTAATCTTAAAGGAACCCTAATTCTTCAGGGTATGAAGGAGCTCTTAAAATCTGAGGTTTAGAAACACGGGTCAGGTTTTAGCTAACAGTTTGGCTTACCTTTGGAATCCACGGCAACAGACGTCTGTAACATTAGAGGTGTAATGATAGATAGATAGATAGATAGATAGATAGATAGATAGATAGATAGATAGATAGATAGAAAGATAGATAGATAGATAGATAGATAGATGGACATAGGTATAGATAGATAGATTGATAGATTGATAGATGGACATAGGTATAGATAGATAGATAGATAGATAGATAGATAGATAGATAGATAGATAGATAGATAGATAGATAGATAGATAGATAATTCATCCCAGAGGGACACAGTACACATCCTACGAATACAAATACTGTGACAATACCCACACTAACTAAAGAATAAATAAAAACAGTCTATTAACATGACCATAAGGCAGAAGTGATGAATAATTTATATAAACATACAGGAATAATGAATAATTTATATAAAGAGTTGTTTGTCTTTTATTCATAGAGCCCCTCTAAATACATACATAGATGTCCCCTGTGTTAACACTAAGTTAAGAGTCGAATGCAGACTTCTATATATACAGATATATATAAAAAAGAAGCAGCATGTGTGTGTTATGAATCACTTCCTTGTGTGTGTGTGTGTGTGTGTGTGTGTGTGCCCTGCAGTGGAAGGCGAGGACAGCCAGCTTTGACAGCCAAGGTTCCTGCCCCTCACCCCGGCCCCCTGCCAGTCCCTGAGCAGCGCCACCTGTGACCCGGCAGCCCAGAAGGGGGTTCCCTCCCTCCTGCTGATCCACGTCCTGTCTGTCTGATTGAGGAGAAACACAACCCCACTGTCTCTCCCTCTCACTCCCAACTCTCTCTCTGTGTCCCTCCCTCCCTCAGTCCCAGAGCACTCCCAAGAACTGATCTAGGACCAGTCAGTCAGTTAGATGTGTGACGCACAGTCTTTTCGGGTTAAAGTTTAGGGTCACTGAATTGAAATGTGGGTGTTGTGATGACCCCGAGCTGCTCCCTGACAGACCTTTAATATTGAGCTGTCCGAGCCGAGGCGGATCTCGAAGGAGGCCCGTCCGAGAAGAAGTGAAGATTCAGCTTTGTGCCGCAGAGACTCTTTGATGGGAAAAACTCGCTCGGATCTCGCTCCCCGAGAGCGGCGGAGGTTTTAAAAAAAGAGGAAAGCAGAGGACCTGGTGGAGAAAGAGACGATCAAAAAACAGGATGTGAAGCAGTTTCAACACTCTCCGGCTCTCTGTCATTGAATTTCAAAGTGCTGTGTTAGCATAAGAACTGTAGCATTCTGGGACTGTTAGATGTAAAGTCACTCCATCCGCTGTTATTGTTTGTGGAAAAAAAAAAGGAAAATTTAAACGAATCTCAGCTCCGGCTGTACTTCCAGTTTTATCAATAACAAAAGCAATTATCTGAGGAGGGGAGTTTCAGGTCAGGACGGAGTAATAATACTTTGTTTTTTCGTGTGCGTTCAGAAGCGAGAAGTTTTTACGTTACTCAGAGGAAGAAAGGAGAGGATTATCGGTAATCACACCAGAGCAAATTGGCCAAAACAGTTTTCTCTCAATCTGCCAATTTTCCCACACGGACGCAGAGCTTCCTTAGAAACACAGCCGTGACTTCAAATCCAACCTGGAGCGAAAAAAAAACAAACAACAGAGAGAAAAATCTGTCTTTATGTGGGATCAGAGTTTGTGTTAAGGGAGCTCTGACGGTGTCTGTAAACGCTGGAATAGAGAGCACACTTTACACACCCTTACCTCTTTGTCTGTTTGATGTTTGCTTTTGAGAAATGTCACCCTTTGCTTCCAGTTAAAAACACACAGACGCTCTTGTTTTCCTCCAGACTGAAGCACTTCCTCGTCTCCTCTTGTTGTTTTTTTTTGTTCCTGAGCAGCTTTGAAGTGGATGTGTATTGTTACTGTGTGTACCTTTTTGTTTTATAAGCAGAAAAATCGATAAAATGATAGATATAGATAAAAAAATATATATATAAATATCACAGAGGTTTTGAATATATGTAGCTTTGTTGGTGGTGATGATTGAGAAAATCTAAACTCTTGAAAGGTGAACATATTTGTCTTTTTGAGCTTATAAACCTGCAGCTTTTTGGTGTTTAATCACTCATCTATCATGTTGTTGTACAGGGATTACGTGTGGCTGAGTTGCAATCCAGATGCTCAACCTGCGACATGTGGAGAACAGATTATTTCAGCTGAGACGAAGACCGCCGCGCTGCTGTGAAATTAGCTCTCTTTTTGGATCCTTGTTTTGCACCGAACTCCTGCAGATCTGTTCATCATCACACGCTTGTCATTATCTTTTTAATGCTGTTGTCATTTCTCAAAAAAAAGATCCTTGTTTTCCCCGAGATAACGAGGTAATCGACCCGTGACCACGTGAAAACAAAAGGTCATTTCCTCCGGTGACTAAAAGCGCTAATCAGAGCCGTGACAGCGTGCGTGACGATAAAGTAAAAGCCTCCGACCTGAGATAAAATCAAGTCTGATTGAATTAACGAGACTCTTGTTTTCAGCTTCTCTATTATTCTCATGTCGTCTTGAGAAGAAACAGCGTCTTCTCTTCTCCTGCTCTTTGCTTTGCTTGAGAGAAAATACATCACGCCGTTATCAGCCTTTTAAATCCTTCAGATAATGAAATCATCGACTCCGGCTCTCCAGATAACAGCATTAAGAAATTAAATGCGAGCACTTCTGCTCTGTTTTTAGCCTCGGCGGCTTTGAGAAGAAGTAGAAACATAATAATTTAGTTTCGGCGTCCGCTGTCCACTTGTTTGCCTCCTGTAGCGGGAGTTTTGTTTTGTTTTAATACTCGAGTTTATGAGCTTTGAGACGTGTGTGCGCACAGGGGGAGAGGAGAGAGGATGAAATCTCAGAAGAAGATCAGCCAAAGGAGTTGTTTTCTCTTTTACCCTGGAAGTGTGTGGAAAATGATCTGCAGAGATCAGCGCTCAGCTCATAATTAGCCATTAGCACCTAACCCTGAAGAGTCCTCTAATTATACAAGGGAGTAAGGTTCACGAGGGAGACACTAGAGAGAGAGGAGAGAGAGGTCATTTTACATCCAGATATTACAGAAAATGGTCTTAATAACAAATCTAATCTGTGTTTGTTTGGGTTTGTATTAACATTACCACCATTAGATTAAGCCTTTATGTGAAGCAGCTTTGAAGACATGGAGGAAAGGATGTTGCACACACATTACAGAAGTAAACAAAGTCATGTCTTTTCCAGCATCCTGCTTAAAGCTCACATAAGGAACTTTAGTTAATGTCAAATATAGCAAAAATGACCAGTCCTGTCGCTGATGGTCTTGTTTGCGTTTGTATATCATAAAGAAGCACCGATATGAATTTAAGTCCATTTAGTACATGTTAAAAACACCAATCAGGAGCTTTAAATTCAGTATAACTCAGCTTAACTTCTCTCACACTCCTTCTAAGAACTTAAACTTTTAAGGTTTAAGATTTTCACCTCAATTATTGTAGCCAAGAAATTTAGGATATCACAAGAAACTGATCCATCAGCTAAACGAAGAAAAGGCAGAACAAAACAGGAGCAACTTTTAGTGACTTTTAACTCTTTAATAAGAAATCAGATGGACTCACTAACATGTCATCTTCTATATTGCAGTAACCAGCGCAGTGACAGAAACATCCTCCAATAAAAAATCGATATCTTCTACAAGTCCAAATACACTCCGTCCAAAAACCCCAAACTGGCGAGGCCTTCAAAAAAACGCAACTGACTAATTTTTTGTTTAAAGGTGCTGTGAGGAACTTTTACTCTCTGTTGATTTTGGCGCCCCCTGTGGACAAAACGGTAACTCCTACTATTGACGATTTTGTCTGAAAGTGTAGTACCTAGCCCCTCACAGCACATATAGGCATTAAAAATGATAGTATAGACATTGTCAATTTCATCATCATTGGTCTCATTAGCTTTTGCACATCATAGAGTTGCATTACTGTTCATTTCAGACCATTACAAAAACCTATTAAAAACTCCATACAGACGCTTTAACTTGTAATCTTGTGAAGGTTAGCAAACAAAATTCAAATTCAAAAGGATTACGATCACATGACACTCTAGTTAACACAATTTTGGTGCATCCATTCAGAAAAAAACCTGCTTTCTTTGAAATTAATACTAAGAATTTTCCCTCCACTAACAGGCTAAATTTGATTTTGACAATATGGATTTGAGTCAAAAAGATATGAGACTTTTGTCCTCTACCTCTCTGCTGCACACGCCTCCGTAATTCTTGTAAGAGCTACCTGTGAGTCTGTTTATCATTTTTTAGGTTACCTTTTACTTTGACCTAAACTTAAAAAAAAACGAAACGTTTTGAGTTTTGTTGAAGTCAGCTTTTTTGAATGTCATCAGGAGTCACCAGGTCACAGAGGGATTCAAACCCTGCTCTGACACGGTAACACTGATTGTGACGATGTTTAATGTTAACTTGGTAAAAACTTGAGCAGTTTTAAAGGAGGAACCGTTACCAAAGTTACCATCTAAAGGTTCTTACACACCGGGAGCGTTTTTATCGTGCGATTATTTCAGACGTCAATATTCTTTTCAAACCCGTATCCTGTCAATACAAGCGTTCAAATCAGCGACGTTTTCCCGTCCTGCGATATTGTGGCATTTAAGTTTTCGTATCACGGTCGAATTTTCTAAACTTTCGCATACTGTGTGTCCACTTCTGACCAATCAGATTTCATGTTGTTGCAACGTCAGATTCACCGGTATATCCAACATGGCTGACCGGCTGATTGTTTACGTGTCGGAGAACAGAGTGATTTTTGATAAAAACACAAACATTACAAAGATAACGACCTGAAGGATGACTTGTGGAGAGTCATAGCGTCGGATTTCTCATATGACGATGGTTTGTGTGCTTTAACAGTTTGATAAACGTCTTTGTTTTAACTTTCATTTGTGCTAAGTAACTTTAGCTCGTAAGCTAACCTGTTCAGATACAACAAACCATATGTATTTTCACCGTCTCAAACTCAATCTCGTTGCTGTCACAGCACCATTAGGTCTCGGTTTTGCATTGCAATTGCATTGCACTTGATGTGTATAATCAGGTGTGTCAAAATCGCCTCTGAATATATTGTAATTTTGCGTCGTATATTTGCGTCGTTCCCGATGTGTAAGGACCTTAAGCGTTAAACGTCGACTGCGCCCACCTCTGAGCAGAGGCTCCATATGTCTTTATGATGAGAATAAAACATGTAGTTTGGTCTCTTCACATTATTTTCCACCAGTTTCAGGTTGATTCCCCTGCTGCAATAGTTTTGTCATTATGTCAAGCACAGATAGCATCAGTACATTTCAGGGCAGGAAATGCTCAACTCGAGCCAGAATGATATCAGGGAGGAAAAAGTGCCAAGAAACATTCAGGGGTTATGTTTGCCGATGCTTGAACAGATAATTTCTTTTCGATATGAGGCCCATTTGTTGAACAGCGTTCGCATTATCTCGACAGCAGCCCACAGCAGCTTTAATCTGAGTGTAATAATGTTCTTGGCCGGGGCTTTGACAGGTCTAGACTGCTGGGACACGAGACAAGAAATACAACCGTCATCCGCTGCTGCAGAAGAACTGTACGAGCTGTATGTCACCAAGTTTGAGAAAATGGAGACAGGAGTAGATGTGTTCAGCAGACCTGCACGAGTCTGTTTTCGCCATTTCCTCTATAGGAAAGCAGAGTACCTGAGCGTGTTTGTGAGGGTTGAGACGACAACAGTGCGGGGGCAGCTGATGGGCGGACAGGTCAGCGTCTACAGAGCGGTGGCATTTCTCTAATTGGGGCTTGTTACATCCAGAGCGAGTCTGTGCGTTATTGTTCGTGCTCGGCGTAATCCATCACAGCGTCAGCCCCCTCCTCGCCAAACATGGCGGTTTGACATTTGCTCTCATTCATTCACACTGTTGTTTTGATAGTGAGGATCTATACTAACGTCATTATCAGAGCTTTTTAATGTTATTTTGGTGTAAATTAAAACAAAGAAAAGTTGAATAATTGTGTTTTTCCCCTCCTTTTTCTTCAAATCACGTGCTTTACGATGGTCATATATTTCTCAGAACAACGTGCTGTGCTTTTTCCCGGTAGATGAAACCTGTTGAATCCATTGCCTCCGTTTATGGACTGTCTCAGCTTCACCTAATATCGTAACGTTTCTTGATATGATCTTGTAACCCCTTCCAGCTGTTATGATAGCACTGAATTTCCAATTTTTTATTGAACATTTTGTATTTGTAATAATAGAAATGTTTGAAAAAAATGTTTTGGTGACTGATATCAACAGTTGTTAGTTCCGATTCAAAGTCTATTATGAGCCCATTTTAGATTTTAGATCATATGAAGACTCACAATATGGAGTGACCCAGTGTGTAATAAACCGAGATAGCAAACAGTGCCGACACAAACTGTCTTTCTTTTGTTATGAGTCTGAAAAACCGACATCAGGAAAAGAGAGTGTTGTTTATTTGGTTCTCCCATGAGATGTGATGTCTTATCAGTCCTGTGACACGCTTTTCTTTCCTTTGATTAAAAGATTTATGCAAAGTGGGTTCTGCGCTATTAGTTTTTGTGGCGACGCACGCGGCAAATAACCACAACGCAGCCTGGGGGGGGGGGGGGGGGCTTAACAAGCAGGAGCAGGAACAAAGGAAATGAGATTTTCATCTGAATCAAACGGTCAAATTAAACGAGGGGAGACCACACACACACACATGCATAAACACACACACACAAACACACACTGTAGATACAGTTGTGTTCAAATTTGACTGAGCACTTTTATTTTGGTCAGAGTCAGAATTTAATAATCGCTCTAATGCTGATCATTCGCTTAAAAATATAGTTTATTTTGAAAAGGTATCAATAAGAGATGATTATTTTTAATGACTTCCTGTTGAGTGGGTTTACATGCACAGTTAAAGGCATGGTTGACGATTGGAGAGATTGGTAATTATTATGAACCTCGTTTCTATGGCGATCATGGTCCTATAGTGCGATCCCCCTAGCAGGTGCAGGGCTGCAAAGACAAAAACCGATGGGAGCCATCCGTCTCAGACAGCTCCCATTGGTCAATCTCCTGCTCCGCCTCTCCGTCCAATCACCTCGCTGTATTCCACACACCCCTCTCCCGTAGTTCCGACTCGTCCCCTCCCACTCTCCCGGCCCTCCTTCGATACCAAGTACAGCTCTGTACCTTTTTTGTTTTTGTATAAGAAAGGAAAGTTTTGTCTTCCTCACATCTTTTCTTCCTCTGCTGAGGTTTTGTTTACAACCCCGTTTCTTAGCAACACAGCCACACTGTTCAACTACAAGCTCACACTGCGATACTGCGACTTTACATATTTTTTAAAAGTCCCATTTCAGTCAGACTAAGGCAACAATTTAGACTTTTTGAACACTCTGGTACACTTTGGATCCACTTGCATATTTTGATCTTTGGTTTTCTTCCTCTTGTCACCTGATCTTTTTGGTCATTATGCTCAGAAAAAGCCAAAGACTTAATATGAAGTGAAGGAAGTCAAAGTTTTGACTCTCCAGGTTAATCCCGTTCATGTTTCAAGGTTTGTTTTTCTGCGTCTAACCCCGGTGTGTCCCATCGCTCAGACAGACCGGTAAAACCTCAAAAGGAAAGCGCTCGGGGTGCATCCTAAACGGCTGCCAAAGTCACCTCAATCGGCTCCTTTTGAAGTGGAGGAGCAGCAGCTTAACTCCGAGCTCCCTCTAAACCAAAGCTCCTTACCTCGAGTCTGGGCCCAGCCATCCTGGCAAGGAGGGGAATCTTTTTGGCTGCCTGTATTTAGTTTCCCATAAGCTCATGACCATATGTAATGACTGGAGTGAAATTCAGTCTTTGGACTCAGTCGACATGGTTTACTCTCACCCAGTGCCAAACAGAAACTTCTGCTGTTGAGAAATATAAAGCCAAGCAGAAGTCAAAGAACTGCAGTTCCTTTAGTGTCCACTTGAGGCTGCGAGAAACCACATATGCACCCATTCTTTAAACTTTAACTGATTAGCGTCGAAGATATTAAAATCACAAGTTTTGCATAAAATTGCAAACTTGACTGAAACTGGCTTAAAGGGATATTCCGACGTAAAATTAATTTAGGGTCAAACACACCGTAATACCGAGTTAGACACCCCCTCAAGAGATGAATGTTGCCGACCGCTTGCTTCTCTAGTTATTCTAACCTTTAAGTCTTCTGTGCGTGCTCAACAGTTAGCATGCTGGGCTTTGGTTTGGAGGTTTAAGAGTGTAAATGTGTTGCTAGGGAGCCGAGTAGTAAACAAAACCTCGACAGTAGAGGAAAGGACAGTAAAGAAAGATGAAATCATACAAACAAAAGGTGCAGCTGTGACAGTGTTGTCATCGTTAATTTTCATCTCGTTAGCCACTTGCCACAGGTGGACAACAGGTGGACAAGTAACGAGCACTAACGAGCTGAAAGCTGCATATTGCCACCTAATTCAGTGAAAGCATGTGTCTACCATTAATTTGTTTCTAAATTGTAATTTTGTTTTCAAGCTTTAACTGTAGCCCAGACACTGTATGACAACTATTACAGACCCATTTCTAATAGTTTGACTCTCGTCCAGGTATGAAAAAACACCTGTTCAAGCCTGATTAACCTATTTTCTTAACCTGTATTGATAATTTACAATCAACCACAAGACTCTTCACTCTGTCCTGCAAGAAGAGTCTGATTTTTTAATGTTTGGAAGGTTACGCCGTCATTTTGGGAGAAATAAAACTCACGTAGCTTCTGAATTCGCCATGAGGCCACGCCCACCTCTTCTAAACAGTTTCTTATATATAATTATTGTAAAAAAAATGCTCTATTGATCCCAAAGTTCTGGTAGTTCAGTCTGCAGAAACGTTCCCTTCTTCTCTCCAGTCTTTGGTGCTTTCCTGAAGAGTGCGCAGACGTCTATTCTAACGGTTTCACCAGGATTTCTCTTTAGATAATATGATACTCCTTTCCCCTGCTGTCAGACCAGCAGTTTCCTCTTCATGGTCAGTCTATATATGATCTGGTATCCATCATCCCAGGCATAGAGCTGCTTCTCTTCAGGATTGTATTTCAGACTTGCGTGGGCTCCGTACCTCCTGGGAAAGTAGAGTAACGGAGCCTCCTCGCTTACTATCATATCGTTGACATCAAAAAGGCACTGAACCCGAGACCTGCTGGCCAGGCGGGTGTTGTAAACGACATAAACGGTCCCACAGACGACAAACGCTGCCTCTGCATTCTCCCGTGGACATCTGGTGTCCCAGATTTGTTCTATATCCAGTGTGTCAGGGTCCATCTTGGCCAGGTGGATGTTTGGCTCACTGTCACTGGCGGCGTAAAGGAGCCAGAGGCCTTCGTTGTCGGCTGCGAGGTCTGCAACAGTCTCCGGGTTGAGGCCGTACACCAGAGCGTGACTCTCCACTGGAAACATGGCGATGTCTGTCACCGAGCCGCTCATCAGGTCGTATCTGACCACCTGCATGTCTGTTTCATCCTCCTGCTGTATGTAGTACAGATAGCCGCCGTAAACAGCGCTGCCAGGGCCGCTGAACTCCGATGGGAGTCTGATCTGTCTGCTGCTGGAGACTCCAGGAGAGCTGGAAAAGTCCCGGACGGAGTTGAACTGGTAAAAATTGTCCCCTGAAGTCCCATTAAAGACATAAACCTTAGAAGATCTGGGGTCTCTGGTCCACATGCCCTTAGGACTTCCCACTCTCTTCAGGATCTTCACTGATCTGATTCCAGAGAGAATTTCCACACAGTCTGCGGAGAGAAAGAGAGAAAGAAGATCTATTTGTGGTCAAAGAAACTCCCACAGAACAGGCCTGTAATTGACGGTTTGCTCATCCAACTCTAGAAAATCTGTCATGTTCTTGTTGAAAGTTTCCCAGGACCTCCACAAGTTTTTAATGAAGAACCAGATGTGTTTTCTTCCTCTGCAATGATGATCCAACTTGGCGAGATTCATGTGAAGTCAAACCAAACAGGATAATCAACATCTGCAACCATCTGAGCTCGAACAGGACGAAGGCTGAGCAAAGGAGGATTTTGGCAAAACTGACGCAAGAGTACAAATTAATGTTTTCCTCTTGTAAATAAAAATGTAGCTAAAGCTTTAACCTTAACTAAAACTAATATGTTATTCATTTTTCAATTTAAATTCAACTTTCTGCTGCAGAGGCAGGGGCGTATCCAAAACAGAGGTTTGGGGTGGTGTTGCCCGCCCCCCCTGAATCAAATAAAAGTAACTTATAAGGCTTCTTGTAACTTTTATTGCATTAAAATGTAGCAGATTCGAATGCGCCCTCTAGGGGTGGCCAGGACACAACAAAAAAAAGATTAATTATAACGATGTTCAAGGTCATAAGTCACTGATAAGCAGGAACACAGATAATATGGTGAGAATCGGTTCTCGAGTTCAGGTCAGATTTTTAAGTTGAAAAGCACATTCGGCAGCTAACTTGCTAATATGAGAATGTTAGCTAGTGAGCTAACTGCTTTAAAGTGCTTATGTTTATGTTAGTGTCTACTTTCGCGCGATTTAATTAGCTCGCATCAGGATATTAGCTCAGCCTCAATTTAGATGCTGTTTTCTTTTTCACGCTTTATTTACGAGTGTCGTTACATTTACCGTATTTTTCTGACTATAAGGCGCACTTTAAATCCTTAGATTTCCTCAAAAAAATTGCAGTGCACCTTATAATCCAGCGCGCCTTATGTATGATCACTTGTTGTGCTTACTGACCGATTTTATGTTATACAATGAGTTCGCGGCCGAGTGTGAAGCGGCTGGGATGTGAATCAGCACCTCCAAGTCCGAGGCCATCGTCCTCAAAAGGTAGATCACCTTCTCCAGGTAGGAGGGGCGGTCCTGCCTCAAGTGGAGGAGTTCAAGTATCTCGGGATCTTGTTCACGAGTGAGGGTAGGATGGAACAGGTGATCGACAGGAGATTCGGGGCATTACGGTACGCTGTGTCACTACCTGATCGGCCCGGTAACAGGACTCCTGAGCTGTCTACAAGACTGCCAGACAGCAATGTCTGAACTAGAAGCGCATTCATGAAGGGCAGCTCAGGTCTAACAATAAACCAATCAATGCTTAATGCGCCTTACAGTCCGGTGCCTTTTGTGTGAACATGGACACGTTAATTCACAGTACGCCATATAATCCCGTGCACCTTATCCCCTAGAAACTACAGAACACTTCCTTGATTTATTTACAGAAAATTGTCATGACCAATGAAAAACTTTACTCCTAGCTTCCAGATCGAAGACAGAGAAACACCAAAAGGGATTTCTTATCATGAGGAACCAAATCACTCATGGCTCACATGTTGTCAAAGCCTCATAGACGTTACTCGTAAACATTTATTTAAGGTTGAAATCAGAGGTATTGTGTAAACTTGTATCCCTGTGTCTCTTTTCTGTTGGGTCATTGCAGTCGGAGTAAGAGATTTTGAGCCAAAATGTGTTGACAGCTGTCGGTCGTAAACCCGTGCTGCTGGGTCGCTGTCAATCTCATAAAACATCACCGCTCAGTGCTGACAGAAGAGATTTGGGTTTTATGGAGTTGAAGTCTTCAGAAATAATACCTGCAGATGTTTTATCAGACCGTCAGTCAAGAAGTGTTTAAGATTCGAGGGACGTTAAAGAAACTTTAAAGCCTCATGAGAGGGAACTAATTGGAGAAAATGATGTGTCGAGGATACGTTTTGAAGCATCGCTATATGATTGCATGTCTGTAGTTGTGAGAAATTACACTATAATTATAAAACGTGTAAAATGAACATAATTATGATCATTAAATTTAGATTTGTATCCCTGGCTGGCACGGTTCCCTCCATTAGCATGATTCAGTGAATTTCCATTACTAAACTGAAATGTTATTTGCAACCTAACATTTAGAAACATCAAACAGCCCGCAGCAGTCAATATCTGGCTCTCTAAATTAAGGCAAATTTGAACCAGTCAGGGAGAAATGGGACACAGAGGCTCGTAATTGGAAGACGAATTAGTGCAGCGAGCTCGGTTAGGACCTAAAAACACACAAACAAAGGATGTTCCCCCTGATGTTGTCCTGCAGCGAAATCTGCATCCTGCACACAGATCAGAAATGGGTCCGCTCTATGCGCTAAGGTTTGTTTTGGGTCACTAAACAGACCTTCACAAAGGCTCACTGTGTGCAGAGAACATGAGCTCGGAGAGTATCGCCACAGCTTCAGGGCAACTTCCTGTCCGCAGAGTAGACGCGGCGCAGGAATGAACGAGAGACCCTGAACAAACAAAGACGCGGACAAGGCCTCTGTACCATCATCGGCTTTGTATTATATCATCTGAATGAGAGGAGCGTCCTCTGATTATACAGAGCAGGGATGACAGTAGAGTATATGACCACGTAATTCTTCAATTTATGTGTTATTGATCGTCTCGTTTAGTCAGCCACGATAATAAAGAAATCAATATTTCTTTCATTTGGTTTGAATTAGAGTCTGTAAAAATAGCACTAAAGAGATTTACTGATCCAACACTGAGGGATTAAACTTTTGGAGTCGATTCAACTTGAAAATAATATTGTCTCTGTGTGTCTGTGTGGATGATTTAAAGGAACTTCTTCTTTTGAGTGAATTTAAGCAGCTAATACAGACAAAGTGGTGTTTTTACCTCTTTACTTATCTTATCCTGTAAATAAAGAACTGTTTAATGACAGTAAATCCCATTCAACTAAGCAGCGGCCTCTTAGGTTGAAAATTGACACCGAAGCAGAAGTGCAGAAAAATGCAGTTCCTCAAATGTCCACTTGGGGCTGTCACCAAAAATCAGGTAAACTCCATTAAACCCATAAGGAACTAACTCTAGGGTGACCATATGACCTCTTTTACTGTGACACGTCTTCTTTTTTGGGGGGCTGTCCGGCCTCGTCCGTCTTTGTCCAGGGGAATTTATAAAACCCTTCAAATGTCCGGGGTTTTATTTGGAAGTTTTGAGTTTGTGACGCATGGACTAACTGAGTTAGAAGTGCGTAAAAAACATTCAATCCGACCCGGACAACTCTCAAAATTAACAACACGCAACTCTGTGACCTCGCCCCAACGTAGTCATGTCCTCTTTAGGGGGACTCAGAATATGGTCGCCCTAACAAACTCAGAGTAACTTCAGGTACTCGGGGGGCTTTAAATCCAAGATGGCCGCCCCCCTGCAACAACTGCAAAACTTTTAATGGTTTTTCCGAGCAACTTCGTCTTGTTTTGTGCAATTTATTCAATCATTTTACCTGTAAACATGTTGTAATGGGGCGCTCACACCAAGTGCGAGTAAAATCATCAACTCACTTAATTTGCACAAATCGAGACGTGTAATGAATAGTATTTACTCGCTTCGCCAGTTAACCAGCGGGATCAACTGACAGACAAAGGTTTTTTTTACAATTTACCAGGTAATCCGACCTCCTCACTCACTTGCCTCCAAGCGACCTCCTTTTTATTCCGGTTTCAGTATTTGAATGAAAAGGTAACATATAATTCGAGGCACCCACACACCGACACGATCAGTTTGTCAGCTAAAAAAATTGCCTCACCAACGGATCCAGTTGGAATTTGCGGACGGCAAAAATCATTCTAGATTGGAGCCATTCCAGATGCAGTGAAAATTGGGGGTTACTCGCTTCATTTGCGCATCAACGGTAACCCCTGCCAATTCAACCAGCAGGGTCAAGCGATGGACTTTTACGATTTACCAGTTAATCCAACCTCTTCACTCACTTGCCTCCAGGTGAGCTCCTTTTTGTTCTGGTTTCAGTAATTGAAAGAAAAGGTAACATATAATTCGAGGCACCCACACACCGACATGATCAGTTTGTCAGCTATTTTAGATACCAGTGAACAACCGTCAATTTTCTTACGTCACACGGCAACCTTCGTGCTGATTAGTTATCGCGACACCAGAGTAGTAGGAGCGTCTTATCTCGTCTTTCCATTGATTTAACATGTAATTCATTCATGCGAATGATTTTACTCGCGCTTGGTGTTGAGACAGTAATGGTGCTCTCACGCGCAGACTATCACATGGTGTGTTGTTATTGTCTGCTATAGTTAATAATCCTGACAAAAGTTTCTATTTCATCCAAACAGTTGCAGCAGTTGTGTTTCTCGTTTTTTTGCAACATCATGTCTTTGGATTTAAAGATTACAGGGACGAGCTCAGTGCCTAAAAAAGCTCAGACAGGAGGGGCTCTGCTCAAATACACGACTCGCATCAAGCCACATTTTTCCTGGAAAACATGACGGCCCACTGACTCAAAGCTCTTCCTTAAATGACTTCTAACAGCGCCGTGTTTGTTCCCAGTTTTCCAGGAGCTTTTCCAAGACAGAAGCTTTGCAAAAAAGGGGGGTGGTATATTTCCTGGTTTGATGTGTAACGTCTCTTCTCACTAACTAACTAACTAAGCTGCTGTGTGCATTAAGGTCTGACTCTGCCAGGGAGCTGTCATGAATTTAAAGAGGAGCGCTCTAAGGTAGACACTGTGCAGAGAGAAAAAGTCTGCATGTACTTCTTTACAGCTCACCTGAGACTCTAGACTTCACCTCCTCCCAGTCTTCTCCCTCCTCCTCCTCTTCTTCTTCTCCTCTGCTCTCCTCCAGCCCCCAAGCTCCCTGTTCCAGCACCTTGTCTGCCTTATTGGCACAGGCCCGAGGCCAAGTCTGGGTCTCCACATAGTCCATCTCTCTCTCCACCCGGTCCACCCGAAACGAAGCTCCCTCCAGGTCTTTGGACAGAAGGTTGTGCTCTTTGCTCAGAGCATCGACCGCCTCGGCCGTTAGCTTTTTGAAGTCCTGCAGCTCGGTGTGGTAGCGATGGGTCTGTTCGTGCCAGAACTGCATACGGTCCTGAGAGACATGGGCAGAGCAGAAGAAATTATACAAAAGATTTCAGGTTGAGGTTTTTAATTTTACCCGGCTAAATGTTGACGTCAGAACGCTAGAAGATGTTATTTCTGAAAACACAGCACAGGTGAGGCGAATACTGTCAAAGTACATCAATGTTGGTATGAGACACGAAGGCCTTCACAAATTTAATGCTAATTCAGCCTGTAGTTTGGGATATGCTAGTTTATACTTTTATGCTAAATCAGGCTAAGGTGTCTTGATATAACTGAGATTCATAATCTGAGGAAAATTAATCAGTGTATTTAACTTTGTCTGGTACTAAAACTTTTCTAATATCTCTGGCAGGTCAGAGTTTTCTCCACTTCTCTGTTTCAGGGAAACAAACTGACCGACAGCGAAGGTTTGGAGAAGGAGGCAGAATAAAACTCAGTGAGCCGGTCATGAACTCTAGACGTGGAACAAAAGCTTTCAAAGCTGAAGGACGGATGGATGGATGGATAAATAATTGACTAGTTAGGGATGGCAGGTAGGCTATATAGATAGATAGATAGATAGATAGATAGATAGATAGATAGATAGATAGATAGATAGATAGATAGATAGATAGATAGATAGATAGATAGATAGATAGATAGATCAAGAATAAATGGATAAATGAAATGATGATCAATGGACAGAATAATGGATGGATGAAAGATGGATGTAGTGTGGATGGATGGAAGATTATCAATGAATGGATGTTAAATGGAGGGATTAATTTGATTGATGGGTAAATGGATACAAATATGGATGGATGAATGATGGATGGATTGAAGAATAGGGATAAATGAAATGATGGTCAGTGGATGGATGTAGTGTGGATGGATGGAAGAAGGGAGATGTATTTGGATGGATAGTGGATGGATGGATGGATGGATGGATGTATAATCAATGGATGGATGATTGATGGAAGTATGGAGGGTTGACTGCTGATTGGATTAAAGAATGGATGGATGGATGGAATGATGATCAATGAATGGACAGAGGGATGAGTGGATGAAAATCGTATGGATGGAAGGATGGGGGGTTGTTTGAGTGAGTAGATGGATGGATGAATAATTGATAGATGGTGGGAGGGATGGATGGATTGATAAATGTTTGATGGAAGGACGAAATGGAATGAGTGGATTAAAGAGTTGTTAAGTGGATGGATGGATGATAGATGAATGGATGGATGAAATTATGGCAAAGACTTAAAAATCAGCTCAATTTGAATGATTTTTTTATTGTAATTCATTACAAACATGCTGTGATACGTTAGATCTAGGCTGGACCTGATCAAGATTTCTCATTTCTCAGGTGAAGGTTTCATCTCCTACATCTCGTAACTTTATTCTGAAAGGCCCCAATCTATAAGAGGTCAATCCAAAACCAAAGGAAGCCTCACAAGGGGCGGATTGGGATCAGGCCTCAGCCTCCCCTCTTGTCATAAGACGCCTCAGATGGTAAAATATGAATCATCATGCAAACAGCAAACGGGGGTCTGATCGGTGTTGAGACTGTCACAGAGCGGCTGACAGGTAAATTATTCAGAGTGAAATGTAATAACCAAAGGCCTCTCCTATGTCTCCTAAGTCTCCTCTGCCGCCTCGCTCTCATTTTCTCCCCTTTGCTTGCTGTGGGCATGCGGAGGAATGGAAATGAAAGTCCAATGAAAACCTGCTGATGATTCTCCATGTTCACATCAATGCAGGAGAGGAGCCAGCAGATTGGAAATGAGACTGGAGGGGAGCCACAGGGGGGAGCGAGGGGAGCCGGATCTCGCTGTAAATAGACAATCCATTTCATGCTGTTAACCGCCTTAGGATTGTCATTTTTGTGTTGCTGCAACACGGCTGATGAAAAAGGAAAATCCTGAGTCTGAAAACGCGCTCCAAGTGAATACATGTGAAGATTTATTCAAATGAGACCTCGCTGAAATACTCTCACATTTACATCAGACTCACTTTGAACCAATAATGTTTTTCTTTACACAAAAATTGACTTCTGGTAATTTCATCCCTTCCCTCCAGCTCTTTGTTGTGATGCAGCTTCGTTCCGCTTTTGCAGAACCGGTCTTTGCCGCGGCTGCAGAAAGGTTGAGCTTGTTCTCATTAGTGATGTGTCATCGTCGGTAAATCTGCAGCAAAACTGTAATATTGTTGACACAAACTGCGTGTTGCATGCATCAAGTGATATCCCCCCAGAGGCCCCGGCAAAGTTGATGAGCTGTGCAGAGATTGCATTAATTGGTTTGCATTAGTTAAGATATTAAATTCACATAAAAGGAGGAGGAGGCAATCAGGAACACTAACAGATGCCATTTTTTCTAATGTTTAATGACTTTGTGGAGTCTCTTGAGAGGCAGTGATGAATTATGAGGCTCTTAAAGTTGTTTTTCTCTTACCTCTATAGCCAGCAGCCTGTTCTCCAGATAATCCATCAGCCCCTGGTAGTAATACTGGGCTCCAGTCAAAGTCCAAGCAGTGGAAACAAGGAAGAGCAACACCGGCTTCATTGTGAGCCGATCAGCGGGCCGGCTGAGTCTTTCTCAGTATTCTTCAGGTTTTACGTGTCCTTCCTGCAGATCAGTCCTCAGAGCCTCTCATTTAAACTTCAAAATGTTGCGTGCGGCGAGAGGAGAGGAGGATAGAGAGAGTGCGAGGCCGCTCGCAGAGTTTCTGATTCTTTGACTGCCCTCACTTTGCTGGAATGTTTTCCCAAACTCTCAGGGAGGAGCTTTGAGCCTCTTACCCCTCTCTGTCCTCAGAAAGTGAGAGTGCTGCTCTCAGCCGGTGAATGGGATGTGAGTTTGTTGCACATGTTGTTCACTCTGACATAATCCTGTTAGACTCTGGAGGACCAATTTAAAGCCTGTACTTGTCGGCTCTGCTCTCAAAAAATCAACTAGAAGTAAAAGCTCTGCAGCAAAGGAATGATCAGAGAAATAGGTTGAGTATTTGTGTAAACTTGTAGTGTTTGCAGAGCAGGGTGCTGTAACAGGAGATGTTGCCGCACAGCAGGAAGGTTCCTGGTCTGATGTGCAGCTGGGGCCTCTGCATGGACTTTCCCCGGGTATTCATGTGATTTCTCAGTTTAATAGTTTTGTCAAATTTCCTGCAGGTGTAATTGTGAGATACAAAAATGAAGCAAATGCAAAGGTTAAAAATGATGCAGTTCTCAAAGTGGCCACTAGAGGTCAGATGCAAAAAAACAAGCTACAGGTGTGATGGAACCAGAAGTTGGATGTGCTTCTTCCTCCTGGAGTGACAATTTCCAATATAGCAACCATCATCTTTTAACCTTTTAACCTAAACCTTTTCACGGTAAGATGTTGCAAAATGACACAGTGTGTTTAGAGAATGATAACATCTCCATTTATTTTTCTATTTCTTTTGGTTTATAGTGCAAAATTAGATTTTAGGCCCTCTATATCTGGAGAGCAGGCGGGGGTGATTCAACATGCTCACTCGCGCGTCCTACCTTCCCGGCTACCGTAATACCGTTGTTTATTTTGTTTTCTCATTCATGAAACGCTAAACGGGGACGTTTCCGGGGAGAGGACATCCGAAAACGGGGACTATTTCCGAAATCAGGGACGCTTGTTCACCGTATAAGGAGAAAGCAGATTCTGCGAACCCCAAAAAGACTGGACCTCTACACCTGTCCTCTTCACATCATACAGGTAAGAGCTGAAAAACAACCACACTGTTTTAAAGGAGCAGAAAGACTTAAAGGGATATTCCGGCGTGAAATTAATTTAGGGTCAAACACACTATAACACCGAGTTAGAAACCCCTCGAGAGATGAATGTTGCTGACCGCTTGCTACTCTAGTTATACCAACTTTACCAACCATTTAGTCCATCACGGACTAAAACGGGGTGATGCAGCTCAAGGAAGAACATTTATGATCATTTCTTCATGGAAATGCAATCAGACCGAGACGCTAAGACAGAAGAACTACTGTGTCTGCAGAGCAAAATGATTAATATGGTGATTATTACTTCAAGGAAATAATAAAGAAATGATCATAAATGTTCTTCCTTGAGCTGCGTCACCCCGCTGTAGTCTGTAATGGACTGGCCTGAGGTCTCTCTACAAACAAGCGGCTGCTGGAAGAGAGTAGGTGAATTGTGTTTAGTCTCTTTGCTAAAGAAATTAGTTAAAGTTAAAAAGATGTTTGGTGTCTAGTACTATGTCTGTGACCCTATATGTCCAGTTGATGAAGTTAGGTGCTGTTCTGAGCATTATTTGTGGCTATAGAGTGCCGTTTTGGTTGAGGTTTGTTTATGGCTCCTCAGACCGCTGTGTATTGCTATCATGCGGTCGTTACTAAAGTTGGTATAACTAGAGAAGCAAGTGTGTTTGACCCTAAATTAATTTTACGCTGGAATATCCCTTTAATTTCCCAGAATTAAAAGACATTATAAAAAGGGGGAAAAATCGATGACTCACTGAAAGCACTAAAGGAACAAAATAGAGGGTTTTTTATTGTTGTTGTTAAAACCAGGCAGGTGTCTTTATTTGAAAACTCTCATCCCTCCTTCCCCGTCATTTACCGTGGCTCAGTTCGTGCTCATACAACACAGCTGCGTGATAATCGGCTGTGGAGTCTGAATTGGAGAAAGAGCACCTGTCAGGTGGATGGATGTTCAGAGTTATAAAACAAAATCTTGAACCAGTTCTGGGAAAATAAGCCTTTTACTTGCACAGAAAGAGTCTGTGTGATCTTTTTGTTTGAACCTGTGAAAAAAAAGGAGCAAATCTGACACATAAAAGCTGAAATGCTGAGCCAAACTGAAGTTATATCCGAATTTAAAAAGAACAACCATCTCCGGTGGTGAATTTGCTCATGCTTCACAGATGATCAGTCTCATTGGCTCGAGCATTCAGCTCCACTTCCTCATTGACAGCTCGGATCAGTCAATAACAATTCACTGAGACTTGGACGGAGATTGCATTTCTGTGACCTGAGTGAACAGTGAGCGTTGTATAATCTGCAGGAGCAACAGTGCATGAGGGTTTAAATTACACAGACGATCACACTCGCCGGCTACAGGTGACCTTTAACCCCTGCAGAGTCAGAAACTTCTGTTTTCCACTGTAGTGTTAGTATTTAATTTATCAAAAGAGGGCTGAAAACAACTCTAAGTATCCTACCATGAAATAATTAAGTCTTTCTTGTGCGTCCCTGTGGGTGTTTTGCTATCCATCAAAGCCGTCTTTACTACTTTGAATAATTTTGTGCTTTTTAGCGTCTAAATTTTGTCATTTTCTTTATCCAGTCATGTTGTCAGTCTCAGTTTTCATAGTTCTATTTCTATCTGCGTCTGAATTTCTGCCTCTCTTTGACGTAATCGTTGCTGTTTTGGGATGTAGCCGTCATGCGTCACTTTCTGTGAGTTTGTCGTCTCTCTGTTGGTTTTATTTTTGAGTGTCTTTGGGGACTTCCCCGAAGGAAAGTCAACAGCCACACTCCAATCAGCTCTCTGTCTCAGAAGTTTAAACGACCCTTTAGACCGCTTCAACTGGAGGAACACTTCACAGAGTCCGTAAAGTTTGAGTTGGGGGGACTTGCAGCTTGTTGCCTCCTGATCACAGTGTGATTGCGAGACACTCCAGCGAGCCTGATGACTGAGCTCCAATCACGCTCCTTCGTTTGATTGTCGGCCACCCGCTGTCATCTCATCGAGTCCTGGACTGAACCACGGACCCCTTTTAGTCTATTTTTATGTCCACACACAGCCAGCCAGGCTTCGAGGGTCGTCATGGTAACAGAGTACAGCTGCTTTTAGAAACCAAATGGGGGGGCCTGTAGTTTGATCTAATCTAAAACACATTGCCTGTCTGGAGCTGCCAGGCAGGGGCATTGACAGGCCCGTAAGATCTGTGTGTGTGTGTGTGTGTGTGGTTGTGAGGTCTTTTTTTAATTATGATAATGAATTTGTCAATACAGCTTTTTCTTAAGAGATACTTGTGGAGTTTGTATATCAGTTAGGTTAGTCGAAAAGGTACCAATGTAAGTGACGTAATCACAACCCGGCAACCAAAAAAGTATGGATGAATAAGCTACAGATTAATGATATTAATAATAAAAAAAAAAAAATAATAATAATAAAAAAAATAATAATAATGATAATAATAATAATCATGACAATAATACTAAGAAAAAAATAATTAAAAAAATAAATAATAATAATAATAAAATAATAGCAACAATTATAATTGTAATTATAATAAAATAATAATAGAAATAATCATGATAATAATAATAATAAAAATAATAATAGCAATAATTATAATAGTAGTAATAATAAAATAATAATCTTAATAATATTAATAATGATAATGATAAAATAATAATAGTTATAATAATTATAATTAACACAATTTAAAAAAAAGAAAAAAAGTTAGAAATAAAACCAACAATGTAATAGGTAGATTGGTTGATTTATCGGGCCGATTAATGGAAATTTGATGTTATCAGTCCGGCTGACGCTGATTTATTCACAAAATAATTTTCTGACTTCATTAATTTTAGAGAATTTTCATTTAAGTTCAACATTTTTGCTCCTCACGTGTTGGTATTATCACATGTTTTGTCATGATATATTCTGTTCAGTTGTATTCCTGGTTGTATTTGAGTGCATTCTGTGTCTGTTCCCAGGAACCAGGAACATTAAAGCCAGAAACATATTTGAACAGAACATATCATGACATGTTGGTTTTTACTCAAATTAAATGTGATATCACAATTTTAAATCAGCTATTATCCTGCTCTCTCAGAATTGATATCACCTCCAGATGTTTATCTAACTTGAAGATATTTATAAAACTTTCTCAGCCTTTTTCCCATAATGATTGTAACACTAAACACTTAAAAAGTTGTAAAATTTCATCTTGTTTTCCGTTCATTTTTAACATATTCACAAATTCCCTCTTGAGCCTCTCCAGTCTGCTGTGTTGGAGGTTTGGTTCAATCGTGCTGTTTGATTGATGCCTGTAATTACACTTTTATTCCCTTATCATCGCTCGTTTCCAAAAAATCCTTGTAAAGCATGCATCCCATAATGCCTGTCACTCAGAATGGATTTTCCATCTATTATTAATTATCGGATTAATTGCACCATTGAGTGCCGTGTTGTGATCAAAGGGCAGAGCGTCATTATGCTCAGCTAAACATCGGCTTGTCGGAGTCTCGTAACCTTTTAGCTGCAGGCTGGTGCAGGATGAGAGGGTGGAACTGTTCATCAGACGTTCGTTTGAGGGCTGCTCTGATTCATTTATGGAGGAGGAAGAAGACAGGAACAGGCTGTTAGGGGTTTGCTTGCAGATTTGTCCACTAGATGGCAGCATGTCTCCGTATGTGGAAAAGTTAAGGAAGAAGAAATCAGATTTTCTGTTTACAGATATGAAAATAAGCACCTGAAATGAAAATAGAGGAATAATTCATTAACATGTATTTAAACCAAAGGGTTAAAGATTAATCAGAGAGGTTATGAGTGATCAATAAAGCAGAAAATAATCAAAATGTTAAGTTCTGATGCAAAATCTGTGCTGATTTTTGCATTTCAGTAACTTTTCACAATAAAAGATGAGATTATAACGCTGTAAGCTCTTCAAAATAAAAGCTTCACACAGATTATTTTGGAAAACTTGCATTTATAGTCCACGCTTGTTTGATTTTTGATAGCGTGTCGATGGGTTGTCCGTCATATATCAATGTGAGAGGCAGTTATAGCTCTTATATAAGTTTGACACAGTTCAAAGTACAGTATACTCTTTCAACTTGCAGTGAAATAAAAGTACAAAGTAGCAGGAAAGAGAAATACTCAAGAACCACAAGTATCTCAAAATTGCTCTTCAATGCAGTCCAACATTTAATGTTCTCGGTTCTGCTGGTCACTGCGCTCGGCTCCACTGTGGTTTTGGATCAGAAACGGTCCCCCTGAAGTTGAACAGATATTATTTTTCCATCAGAATTGGCTTGATGTCCTCATTGTTTGGGGTCCCAACGAGCCCACCACTTACTGCGTAACACCGATCACTGTGACACCACGCTGTTTTTCTTCACTTCTGATCCCCGAAGGCACCAAATTCATGAAAGTTTTGGTGCTGGTGAACGGAAAATCCATAAAACCTCAACTGGAGTGGTGTCAAACACACAAAAAATCCCCTAAAGTTGCAAATTTGACAAAATTTTATGTGTGATTTTAACTACATCACAGGCCTCTTTAAGAGGAGTCCCTGTGGGGGGGAGTTTGGGCACATTGAGCAAAGTTAGATTTAAAAAGTAAATTTAACGAAAGAATCAGGGTTAGGGATTTCTAGGGTATTTTGATACTGATGCTGTTATTGAATCTGCATGTCAGTCTAATTTTCTATCCTTTCCTTTATACATTTCTGCAAATCACCTGTGTGCAAAAAGTCAGATAATATATGGACTCCAGATTTTATAACTTTTCCTCTTCTGCTGAGGGGACAATTGGGTTTCTGACTGGACCTTTACGTGTCAGCTGATTGCAGATGCAGCTTCTGATTTGCTGAGAGACCAAACCAAAAAACAGCAGTCGTTGTCAGTTAAACAACAGAAATGAAACTAAATTGATTTTCTCTGTGGGGTAGAAAAGCTCCTGGATGTAGACGATAGAATAGAATAAGATACAATTCTAGACTGTATCTAGAATGGACGCCGTCTGCCTCCTCACTGGGTGAAGCCACTCCAAGAACAGCACCCTCTGGTGACGGGCTGCAGTATAGGTCATTTGTTTGCTGCTTCAAAGTTAGCAGTAATTTATTGTTTTACTTATGTGATTCTGGCTGGTTAGCAGAGGACAGGCAAAGCGCGTCAGGGATGGGCACTCAGGTGTTTCTCCTCCATGAATCCTGAGGTGTTTAATCATGTTGGTCGTTTACCCTCCTTTGCATGATTTAACTGTGTTGCTAATGTTGCATTGTTCATTCTTATCTCAGTTCATTAATTCGCTGTGGGTTGAAATACACTCTCTCTCTCTCTCTGTCTCTCTTCTCTTTCTGTGTGGCTTCGTCTCATATGCTTCACCCTTGTTGGTGTTCAGCAGCTTCTACTTCGTGGTGTTTTAGCGGCGTCTACTTTGTTGGTGTTCGGCGGCTATTTCTTCCGGTCAGCGGACTCCGGCATCGAAACCTGGAATTTAAATTTTAGAATTTGGATGATTCTGGGAGAATCGGAATGTTAGTCCCGGTCCCCATCGATGCCCAACCCTAGTCTTTAACATCCCTGCAAAAACTGCAGTGTGCCCACCTATCAGTCGAGTCAGCCATGCCTTTAATTTGCCAATAATATAAGCTCGGAAACAAACTTGTTA